ACGGGAAACACTTACATTTAAATTTAACAACGATAACTGAGTAACAGCAGCATCAGTAAATAACATTTTAACACAATCATCAGATACAGGAGATTTCAAACCCCATAACTGAAGTAACTCTCTTTGTCTTTCAATAGACAATTCACCAATTGTAGCCATAATTAACAAGAACAATTAACAGGAATCCTGCCTGGGTCGCCAAATCTGTGAGGTTATTTTCGATTTCTAATGTTCGAATACAGGAGGAAAGGTGTACCAAGGTAATCGTAAGGCAATAGATTGCAAAAAAGGTCACAGATATCCCTTTTTATCGGGTTCGTATCGAGGATTCTTATTAATTGAGGGTTCAGGTTAATTACACTAATTAATTAACAGACAATTCTGTTCAGAATAAACTTTAACACTAATTAATTTCGGTTGACTTTCAATTGAAACACAATCAATTTCACAACACTGGCTTAATTACCACCAAATTAATCAATTAAATACCAAATTTAATGACAAAATTTTCACAAAGATGAAGAGGTTTAGATATAACTCCACATGTAAGAGGTTGAACTTTACAACATTAGATGTAACCACGTTAACTAAATAACTCTTAATTAGATTGAGGTTCATCTTTCCTTATATAGTGGACAAAACGGAAATGATTAGAATCAAAATTAAAGGAAATAGAAAAGATAAACACGGAAATAACAAAAGAATGTAAAAATGGAACATTTTAGAAAATTTTAGAAAATGAAAAAGGAAACAAAGGAAAAGTAAGAGAAGAAAGAAAAAAGGATTAAGGGATCTTCTCATAATTACGCTTTTTTAAGCTCTTTGTTCTTGATGAATTTGATTAATTAAGATTAGGTTAATTTCTACCTTACAAATTAAATCAACCGAATATTATTATGTTATTTGTTAAATTGAAAAAATTTAACCAGGATGCTTTTATTCGCAGATAACCTTTATTGGTTGCAGTTCAATACCTAAGATATTAGTTAAAAGTCTTTAATAAATGATTATTGAAGATTAATTTTCGGATACCTAAGTTTATGAGGCTGTTGGTTTTAGTTGGATAATTACTTCAATTTTAGTGATAATTAGAACACAATCAACTTGAATGTGTTACCAAATTTCTCTGCGACTGTAACAATTTTACCAGATTCTAATTCATAGATACAAGTTAAATCGGGTGTTGATATCAATCCAAACCCTTACCTTTAGGCACAAACAAGACATTGGTAAGTTTACATGGAACCCACTGATTCAAATAATAACAATCACCATGAACATCACCTTTGGTTTAACCTTCAATTTGTTTGCTATCACCAATGGTAAGTGCAATCGGTTCACTTAATTCCCCTAAATTAGTTAAACAATTGAAATTACTGGTTAAATGTAGTGTAATGGTGAGAAGCTCCAGTATCGAGTAACCATTGATTATTATTATCTTCATGTTCATTAATTAACAGAGAAAAATTATCATTCATCTGATCTTCATCGTCATTTGATTCATCTTGTACATTATTAGCAAAATGATGATTTACTTTTTGATTGTTATTGTTGAAATTGTTGAATTTTTTATTATAATTATTATTTTTGTTCATCTTGAAATTTTTCTCATTGTTGTTGCTGTTATTTTGCTTTTGGTTGTAATAACCAGAATTTCCTGAATTACCAGAGTTACCAGAATTATCAGAATTACCAGACAATTGCTGCTTTTGATTGTTATTATTGTTTTGATTTTGATCATTATTATTATTATTCTGATTTCTGTAGCGACAATTATGAGCTAAATGATTTGTTTTCTTACAAATCCAACAATGTCTACCTCCAGGTTGAAATTTATTTCCGCTGAAATTTATGGGAACCAAAGCTTCACCATGTTTCTGATTTGTTTCATTTTTATTTCTCTTTTCATTCACAAGCAACTGACTTTTTAAATTTCTCAATGTAACAACAGCACCCGCAGTAATTGCAATTTCAATTGCCTGACGAAATGACTGAAAATAAGAAGGAAGATCATCAAGAACTTTTTTCATTAAGGAATTATCATCAATGTTAATTCCAAAATCTTTCATTTGTTTAACAATTGCCTCGAGTTCAGCGAAATAACTTGTTACTGTATGTGAAGAAGTGAATTTCAAATCGGTCAACTTACGTCTTATCCTCCATTCATTGGTGGTTGTGCTTTGTTCTCGGTGATTAACAATACTGTTGTACATTTTGTTTGAAGTTAAACAGTTGATGATGAGGTTAATATGATCTTTGTCAATTGAATTGATGATCAACATTCTAGCAAGAGCATCACTTGTTTTCCAATCAGCGATTGATTTATTTCTCTTTGTATTTTCTGTTGCTCTTTCAGCTTGAGTTTACTCTTCAGTAAAAGTAGCTTGACACAAAGTTTCACCTTTCACAATCTCACAAACATTTTTAGATTGTAGCACCGCTTGTATGTAAGCTTTCCAATGGAGATAATTATCTGTAGTCAGTTTCATTGTAATCAATTCTGATGATTCAATCATGATGATGATATATTTAATTGAAAATTTTCAATAAAAAGATACACAAGCAACACAACACAAGTAAATTGTTGAGACAATTAACAAATTCACAAGTTAAGTTAACAAAAAAAGGTAAGTAAAGAAGGTAAACAAATTTACTATTAATATTTTTCTTGATTTTCAGATTAGCAGTTGAACAGAAAGATGACTGAGCCCATAACCTTTTGGTTTTAGTTGGATAATTACTTCAATTTTAGTGATAATTAGATCACAATCAAGTAATTGATTAAACAAGAAAGAAATGAAAAGAGATGTTAACACAATTACGTTCATCAACTAAAGACAATTTTATTTAATTTGGTTTGGGTTTTTATACGGAGAGAAAAACAGTTGAGAAGACATTTTAAAGTAATTGCTCGGTTTGAATATTTGGATAATGTTATCGGTTGTTTATTAGTGTTGTTTAGAGAGAAAGAAAAAGACAGAGAACATGGAAGAGATAGTAAGAGAGGGAAAATAGACAAAGAGAGAGAAAGTAAGTTGGCGGTTGGAGCAACAAAGAAAAGGATTGAATCTCCTAATGGATATTGGTGATGATAACAATCGTCTTAAGATGAATAAGAATGATAATAATAATATAAAGATAATTAAATCATAGAGAGAAATAAAAAAGCGTAATTAAGCGAAAATGGTTAATTGTGATTGTGAGAATTGACCAAATGTAAATGGTCATAACTTGGTCGTTATTTATGTTATATTGAAGATAATTATATCAGTCGATTCACTGATTAATTATCTTTCTAATGATATCTTGATGATAATCTAATTCTGTGTTTTCATGATTACCGGGTCTGTGTCCCAAGTGTTCAACTGGACCTTAATTATTGACCAAAAATCAAAGTTAGATAGTTTAGATAAGTCGAACTGTTTAGGTATTTTGTTACAAATTCTAAACGAATTATTGGACTAAATGATTGTAAAGAAGTGAGCTCAGTAATAATTCCGCAAAAAAAAACATAGAGATTATCATTAGAATAATAATTAATTAGAATCATTGATTAATTAAATCTCGGATGACTTGCTGCAGTTTTCTGCAGCTATTTACTTGAGCTCCACCTGGTTGATCAGTGTGAACTAATTTTCCTGTTTTTTGTAGTCTGCAGTCTCTTCTTATTACTATTTGTTGTCCACAGTATAGATTAACAATATTGTAAAGATGATGATGATGAGGAAATTTGAAATTTATTTTCACTAACCACAAACTTTAGTTTCTTTACAATTTAGATAAAACAAATTACAATTTTTTTTGTTTTTTTCTTTGCATGATTTGTCTTTGTTAATAGTTTATATTGATTCGTTTTTTTCGTCTTTCAGTGTATTGATGAGGTCAATAAACAAATGACTCTCTCTCCATCGATCACCGATTCGAATGAATATCTTCTAGCGGTGATTACTATGAATCGGCTTTCACCTTGTGCAAAAGAGCTAGAGGAATTTTGCTTGGTCATGATTTTGTTGGATGATGACGATGACGATAATGATAATGATAAGGATAAGGATGAGGATGGAGATAAGGAGGATGAAGGAAAAGAAAATGATGGGAAGGGTGGAAATGATGATGATGACGATGATAATTTTCCTCACCCGGAAATTTCATTAACAAGGATGGCCCCTAAGGATCTGTTTCCCTTTTTGCATCCACAATTGGAATTGATTTATAAAAAGTTTCGGGATAGTCCCAATCCTTTGATAAACCGACTTCTCCCGATACTGATGGAAAATCCCGGGTTCGGCTTTTGGACGGGATTTTCCGTTCATAATGATTTTCTCAAATGTAAATTTTGTCTTTACAGTTTCCGGCTGAAGAAAGCCAAGAGATGGAAGAACTTAATTTCTCACTTAGCACATTGTCACGCTAAGATCAAAAATTGTAAAACGGGATGATTCCTTCTCTCCAAAAGGTTTGGATTAGGTTAGGTTAAATTAATTTCCAATGATCAACAAATAAACTTTCCCTTTGTACTGGAATTAATCTGCTTTTGACTCTCTTTTCGAATATTGTAAAGATGATGATGATGAGGAAATTTGAAATTGATTTATTTTCACTAACCACAGACTTTAATTTCTTCACAATTTCGATAAAACAAATTACAATTTTTTTTGTTCACTTTGATGAGGATAATCAGACACAATCAATTTCAACTAAGATCGGGACCAGAAACCAGACTAACTTTTCTGGTTATTCAACCTTATTTTTATATCAAAAATTTCTCTCTTTCTATTTTCTCTGTCTACAATTTGTGGCACTTTGACTTTTCTTCTCATTATCACCTTGATCTTTGTTTGTTTTTCTCGTAACAATTTCTTAATTAAAAACGACTTTGGACTAACTAATTAAGTGAACACCTAAATCAACATTAGATAATTTTCTCGATAAACTTTTAAATTTCGTATCATTACAACCATCTAAGCAAGAGTACAAAATGAAGAGAGTGCAAATAGTTTGTAAGAAAAAGATTAAAGTTTATTCATCAATATAATACATTAACGATATATTGTATCATTTGCTGCATTGGTTGTTCAGACATAACATTTAAATGAGATATGATTTTGGGTGCTTGTTTATCTATTTTTGATTTAAGATTTATCAAATCAAGTGAGCAAATTTTTTCATTTTGGTATAAGTATAATTTTTACATAAAATTTCACGATCTCTTAGCAGTTAAATGAATTCTGGATAAAATTTATAAGTCACAAAAATCTTAAATTGTTGAGTGAGAAAATGTTGTAGTAACGATAGAAAGGTCTGTCTGGTTGTTAGAGTTTTCCATTTGTTGTTAATTCCATCAAACGTGTGTATATGCATCCGTAGACTTCCAATGACATTTACAATTGCACTTTCGGATATAATATTTACTATTGATCAACAGAGAAAGAGAAAAACTAAAAATGAGGACTAAAAGTCTATTAAAAACAAGATCATCGAATGTTGTTCAAATTGGTTTTTATCATGGAACTTCGTTCAACTACTATTATTTTCTGAATAACTTTTAAAATAATAAGAAGGAAGCACAATAAAGTTTTCGAGGGATTAAGAGACGTTGCGAAAAGAAATTAATCCATTCATTGATCAGGCTTTTTATTAATTTGTCGAACCAAAATGGTACTTTCACTCCAAGTTTCATCACTGGAACACAAGAAAAAAGTAAAATTAGGATATTAATTATTCTCTTGCTGATCTTTTTATCCAGTGTCAAGATTAATAAGATAGACATGGAACTTGATACTATTCGGTATATGAAACACACCTTACCTTGAATCACCCTGATTTGGACTACAAGGTGAGCCGATTGCTTGAGAAGAGAAAGTTTTGGATACTTTTCGTCTACTTCTTGGTTGAACAATTATCTCAGCATCTTCAGAATCACCAGTTGTTGGTAAACTAGAAAATCAGAATAAATTTGAAAACAAGTTCGTAAATTGATTGACATAAAAAAATTAAGCTTTGTAACTAAATTGTAACAATTTAATTTAAATGTTGATTTTCAATTTTTCTTTAATAGACTAGTGCGATTATAATCAAAGGAAGTTTCATTTCAAAACGACTGAAGTAAACAAACTAATCAATAACTTGAATTAACTGAAAAGGTGATACAAATGAAGGTGATGATAGAGAAAAGTCAACACTAGCCTTTGACCTTGAGATTGTTTTTCATCTTGATTTTATCACACCTTTTTCTTTATCACCATTGATATAATTTTTTAGGTAGATTGAGGCTTTGATTAGTTTGATTACTTTTATCGTTTTTAAACCTTTGACTTTCTTTTCATTTGTTTAGTTTTTTTACTTAGTTAGTAAATTGTCTTTCTTTAAATTACCTTTGTGATGGTGATTTGAGTTTTGCTCGACGATCATACCAAGATTTACCATGACCTCGACCTGACCTGATTGTATCAAATGAAAGTGCAGTATCTGAGATTGACATTTTCCTTGACTCTTGCCTTAAATTGGCTTGTTTGAAAGACTTTGACCAGCCCTTTGAACATTTGTTAGTATTATAGTGATGATCGTCATACCTTTCAGAATCAAGTCTTCGTAAACTACCTCGAGGTGAGGCTGATTTAACTCCCCGTGGACTTGGAGGACAAGGACTGTAGGCATTAAGTGAACGTGTTGAATGCATGGTTACCATTAACTCATCGTCGTTGGTTGAAAGGTATGATTCAGATGAAGATGATGAAGATGATGAAATGGTTGATGATTTATCCTTCATTCTTACCATTCCTCCTCCTAATCTTTCAGCTCCACTTGCACCAAGTGATGATGTTTCACCACCTCCATAGTACCGTCTCATTGGATAGGAATCGGTTCGGGTCATGATTCTATGTCGGTTACTGTTATTATTTACATTTACTCCTCCTGTGAATCTGTTTGATGATGAAGATAAAGATGTACCCGCTACAGGTTCACAAAGACTTTGGGAACTCTTTGATGAAGCTTGGTAAACTGACCTTTTTGATGAGAGACGACGATTAAGGCGACTTCGACCTGGTGATCTGGGCTCCCGAAAAGCGTGATCATCAATTGTAATTATTCTCATATCTGCTCCCGTGTCATCCGAATCTGATGCAGCACTGATCGACCTTATAAGTCCAGGCCAAGAAGGATTTCTTTGTATCTGAGGCTTAGCACGTACCATCAAAGGGCTTTTTGGTCGTGATTGGAGTGCGTGTAAATTTGATCCTGAAGCTGTAGAATTTGTCGAACCCGAAGCAGTTCCGTATAAAAGATATTCGTCATTTTCACCCATAACATAATCATCTAATGATGCAGTATTATTACCTGATCTAGTTCTCAGTGCTTGTGATCGAGTCTCTCTCATTGAACTTGATGGACAACCGATTGTTTTATGAATCTGTTTCATGGCTAATAATCGTTCCCTTTTAGCAAGTAAATTTGAAGTTGAACCACGAACATCGAACTCAGAACCTGAATCAGGTTCGAATCGATTTAATCCTCCATAAGTAACATTACTAATATACTGACCACCAATGTCACCATCGCCGCTTGGAATAGACTCACTTTGCTCCGTTGGTGAAGATTTTCTCGGACTGGATGGACCCGAATTCTCACCGATACATTTCAAACTTTCTCTACTTTTCATGATACGACGTTTGACTGATGATGAATTTTTATTCGGTGCATAGTTGACTGAAGGTATTGTTAAAAAATTACCAAAATTTGAACTTTTCTTAAAGTGCTGCTGCTGTTGGCGACTTCGTCCTGGAGCATCATTCAATTCGAGTGACTCTGGAATGAAAACACTCTGTAAATTAGTGTTAACACCTCCGATTTCATCTAAAATTGGCGAAGCTGAATTGGTTCGTGAAATTCCCGGTGATGAAAACGATGAATATCCTGATGTACTTAAATTTGATTCGGAAATAGTGTGAGCAGAAACTGCCTTCATTTCAGGTTGAAGACCACGGCAATGAACTTGATGTCCAACATCGGCATTGATTGTGATCTGAGGAGTAGTCAATTCCAACGAATATTTCCTCACATTGGTTTCCAATGTTGGTCGATTTGCATCATTACTGTAATGTTTAGATTCGTGCTGTCTCATCTCACTGGGTGGAAGACAGGGAGGCTCAGATAATCTTCTAGTGGACAGAGTTTCGTTGCAAGGAGATAATGTTGATTGTTTCATGGTCTTATTTTCATTATAACTGTATCCATATCCATTGTTACCATTTCCATGGTTCGCTTCATGATCATCACCATAATCATCATGTTCATCAGGTGAATCGATTCTAATCTCAAAACCAGGCATTGCAATAGATGAATTCCGACCTGATCCTGGTATTGGAGGTAATTCAGAATCGGAAATATCTTGATACTCAACGGATGCTCTGGTTACCATTATCTCAGGAACTGGCATATGATTTGGTGAACCGGAATCACTTGAGCTTGACAGATCGCTTGGAGCTCGTCGGGGGGAAGGACTTCGCTTTATTCTGAATGACGATCGAGATTGAGGTATCGTTCCACTACCGTTAGATCCACAGCTTGAACTGCCGTTGGCAATTTCCTTGTCCAAACGAAGGCAAGACTTTGAAATGCTTTGAATATGTTCAATGTTGGTCAGAATACCTTCAACTTCTGAATCTTGAGTCATTAATTTTTCCAATCTCTTAGAATGTTCCACCTCAATGATTGAATTTAATTTAGGACTGTAACCCTCGGACATGCATGTCTCATGATATTCCTGATCTTCTTGTGAGTTTTCACGAATTGCATGAAACTGTAGCCTGGATAAAGCTCTGGCGGACATAATCGGATGGCTTGTGGAAACTAATGAAGGATTAGCATGATAATCATATGATTTTCTTGAAGAAACTGGTGACAGTTTTTGTTCAGCATCAGATGATGAATCTTGAGTTGATTGTTGACGAGGATCAAAAAGAGCGGCTTTCGAACTCCGTATTGCTGATTCGCTGATTCGAATAAAATCATCTAAACTCATACGTCTCTCTTTTGATTTCAGGCCACCGGAAACAAGTCCTGCTAGTATTCGGGATTTTTCATCTCTCTCAAAAGAGGATAAAAGACCATTAGATGAATTACCCATTGATTTGGAAGAGAAAAATAAAAGAGGAGGAAATTTTCGTCTCGATCCATGACCACTACTTGTACCTCCTCCCGTTGGAAGCTCAGTATCTGAATAACCATCGTCTTTTTCCTTCCTGTGAACAACTTCAGAGTCCGATAAATGGCCAGCATTAGATGATCGCAATCCTCGTTTACAGATACGACCAATAATTGACGATCTGGATCTAGGTAAAGGTGGACTTCGGTTAACTGGAGTAACATTAACAGAAACTCCTAAATTAGAGGTTAAACTATATCGATGACCTCCAGATGACATATCGTTAAGACCGAAAGCGGTCAAAGTCTTGCTCTTTTCAATCTCTTCTTCGAAAAATTTCTCTATTTTCTCAGCAAACTTTTTCTTCAGACAATAGACCAACGAAATTAGCGCAAGAACCACTGCGACTGTAATCAGCCCAAGCCAAAAAGGTTCTTCTAACATCCTTTGACTCAAAGGCTTGTAATGGATATGTAATCGAAACTTATCGCAAAAACGACCTGATTTAGAAAAAGAAGAGAAAATTATTAGACAAAACAGATTGAAAACCATAAGTTGATTACCTTCCAACCAAGGTGGACATTCACAAACGGGATTCCCGTTGATCAATGTACATTTTCCTGAGTCCCCACAAGGATTAGTACGATCACATGTACCAACCGAGTCTCGGCAATTGCGACCAGTGAATCCGCGATTACAATGGCAGACATAATCATTTGTTTCATGATCTATTTTACAAACACCATTACTGGAGCAAACATTTAAATCGCAAAGAGTAAGATGGCAAAATAATCCCGTCCAATAAGATGAACATTGACAAACGGATATTGTTTGGTTCGAGGATGTTAGACGATCTAAGCAAACGCCTTTTGAACCACACGGGTTATAAATACAAGAATCAACAGGATAGTCGAGCGCAAGAAATTTGGTCTTGTTCAGTAAAAATGGATCTGTAAAAAGAGACAATCGTTGAGAAAATATGAACGAAACCAAAAACTGTTTATATCTTCTTCTTACCTGAATCGGTTTTATAAATAAGTTGAAAAGTATGACCGGTTTCTGTTTCCGTTTCTGTTTGGCTATTTGGACTTAAATTGCTGACCAATACCTTAAGGCTGTGGAAGCGAGAAATGACCGTATCGATTTGTCGATAGGAATCATTTTTACTATTAGACTTACCAATTAATTTACAAAGGAACCAAATATTGGGTGTTGGCGGATTAAACTCAGTTGACCCATAAGGATCAGATATAGAAATAAGATAATCTTTGAAAAGACCCGAGGGTGAACACTGATTGGATGAGATAAACATTGAACTTGATCTGGAAGCACGAAGTTCAATCTTGAAGCCAACCTGAGTCGTCAAATGAATTGTATAGTTAAGATTTGCAGGAGCTTTGTGCGGATAATTCATACTGGTCAACCGGCCGAAAGTGTTTTCCTGAAGGTTTAAAATGGTTAGAATTGGTTCGGATCGAGAAACGATCTCATATTTAAATTTGAATCCACGAAAATTTTGAAATGGATTAGGAAATTTACGCTTTCGAGTTTGATAACCAATTTTAAGTGTATTGTCATAGGAAAGGAATTGTTGACCTGAAAGCAGATCTTTATTATCAATGGAACCACATAAAGTTATGTTTCGAGTATCATCAAGCTCGAGGATAAGAAATTCAGAATTGGAAGATAATCGACTTCGACAACGATTATCACGAAGTGTTCTCCTAGGTTGGCCTAGATTAAAATCAATCAAAGTAAGAAGAATCTGGAAATAGAGAAATTTAAAAGAGAAAAGAAAAGTTAATCATCATTAAAATGATCAGAGAAACATTATTATTATTATCATGATGATTATTTTTCTATCTATCGAATTCATCTTGAGATATTATCGATTTTCAAATGGATTTATCAATTCTAATATTCAAACTTTTATTTCTTTTCATTTGGAAATTTTTATTCTTCTCAATCTCAAAGTTAATTGCTTTAATCATTTTTACCATAATGATAATAGTAATCAAAATAATAGGGTGATTATAATAGTTATCATTATGATGTTGATGATGAAACTGAAACTTACAAGATCATCTTTAGGTGCAACTAAAATATATGAACAGTTCATTGAAGGTAAACTCCAATTGGGATAACCAGGGGATTCAATGAAACCAGTTTTATTGATTGAAGTATTAATTGTTAATGGAGTTGAACACCAAGTTGTTTCAATTATACGCCAATTCAGCTTGAATCCAGTTCCACGATTAGAAAAATCGGAATGAAAATAAATTGTTACCCGGGAAGATTTTGAAAAATAAGTTAAATTGGTCAAATGGTCACCCGATTCAATGAGGCCACAAATACGTTCATGAGAATGACCAGAAATAATATCATTCTCACTGATTTCTAGATAATCGTAAAGACATTCTTGTTGCCATTCAATTCCAACGATATCAAACCAAATAACAATCTTTGAATGAGGATCATCACTCGAAATGTTGACATGATAATGTAAATTATTCAAATATAAACCTGGATAATTAGGTGAACTTAATGATCCATGGGTTTGATTTGTTATTGATAAATTTTGGACTTCATCTAGATCTAAATAGAGTGAGAATCATTAGGAAGACAAGAAAAATAAGATACATTAGCTTTGAACGTGCAAATAATATTCACATGGTAACGATCATCATAATTACAATTAATATTAATACATCATAACTATACAATAACATTAATGATCAACAAATAATCAAGACTTTGATTATGATCATTCCGATCGTGACTAATTTCATTGATAAATTTGCTAATAAGCTTAATTAACGATACTAACAAATTATTACTGATGAAAAACTGTTCATATCATAAACAAATTGTTACAATAGACTGATTGTTACGAATTAGAGACTTGATTCTACTAATTAAATTGCAAATGATTAAAGGTCGAAACAGTTAGTCCTTATACTTGATTCGTGTATCTTGATTGTGATAAATAGTTAGTAGATTAGTTAAATAGACAATTAATACTTGTAATCAGCAAAATAACAAACATATTAATCTTAACTTTTGCTCTAAAACTCAACTTAATTTTCATCCACTTTTGATTAACTTTTTAATTCACCAAAATTTCATGAACATAACTAAATAATAATCTAATTAACCGACACACAAGTAAACATTTACTCCAACAATATTAATGAAATTAAAATGTTCAGTAATTATTTATTAGCATTCCCTTCAACTTAACCCACCTTAGCCTCAACTTAACATGATATATACACATGAATGTATTTGTTGTTATGTAAAAGATGAAACAAAAACTAATATTATCATCAAAATGTTAATATTACATTTGTGTTGAGAATGATGAAAAACAAAATCGTGATACGAATTAACTAAGCAACAATTTAATGTTTCCTTCTGTGAATTTGTGATGATATAACCACCCAATCAATGGTTGATTCAACTATTTCCTTGCCTTCAGAATTGCTGAACAGTTCTGGCCAATGATAGAAATGAATTGTTGCTTATTATCATTTCAATTGGTTAGAATCAGTGTCTGATCAACAATCCAAAGTTGACCTGGTATAATGATAATTGACCAATAAAAGTTTTATACTCAATAACCTCAATATTGACCATGATCATCATGTAGATCAAACAATCATAAGATTCATTGGTTAACAATATTAAGGTAAAAAATCAGGTAAATTAATTATTATTATTAGTTACCAATGAATCTCATGAATATGTCAACTGCCATTTCAAGCAATAAGTTTTACCTTCCATTAGTTAATGACAATCAAACCATTTACACAATTTACTTATCTATTGATTTATTACGTAAATAATTTTTTCCCGTCTTCATACAATCAATTAAATAACAATTTACTCCCAAGTAAATTAAACTAATGGTTAGTTTATTGAATAATGGATATCCAATGAAAATTCAAGACTTGATTCCTATTAATTATTAAGATCAATTTTTTTCTTCCTAATTTCTTTCCAAATCAATTTGATACAAATCTTAATCACTTTCCATTGATTGTTTTCTAGAATTAAGCTAATTATCAATGTGTATTGATACTTTTTTCAACCTTTTCCAAATGTTCACTAATTTGTATTCTATTAATACTAATCAATGAGCTTAATTGTGATTTATTTTGACGATAGAATAGCTTTTAATCACTCGAAACGTTAACTGTCAAACTTACCCACTGGTTTTTTCTTACATATGTAACCTGCTTGGTGATTACATTCAACTGACCGATAGGCAATGTTATGATTAGATGAATCGATTGAGAAAATGTTACACATTTTTCGAGTCTCTTGATAATCTTCACCCATTTCTGTTGGTCCGAAAGTTTCACCGACAATTTTATCCGATAACCAAAGGTTCGTTGGTCCAGATTTGGCTTCGTTATTCAAGTTTGACCTTCCAGGTTGAGGGCGAGAACTGTTATTGTTATTATATGGCTGTGGTTGTTGTTGAATTTGTTGCATTTGATTGTAATTAGCTTTGCTGATTCCAATTGCAACGGCCAAAGAGGTACCATAGTTACTATTGATGTTTTCTTCATCATCTTCAGGACTATTTAAAATCTCTTGGGTGGAAAAGACTGAACTTTTTGGCTGAAGAATCCAAAAAGCTCTGACAGGCCGTGAAAGGTCACTTGAAAATCGATCTAAACTGGTGGCAGTAAAGAAGTCGATAATTTTTCGTTCATCGTCAAAATCACGAATGACCAAAATTTCCGCACTAATGTCACCACAAATTCGTCGAGCGGTTGTCCAAGATACTTCTGGGTAACTGGAGACCATATAACATTCACCTTCGAAGGGTTGAAACATTTTATCATCACAAATTGTCTTCGATTGATGAAGTGTCGAAGGTAATGAGCCTGAAGGAGATAATTGAGGAGCAACTGGAATTGATAGTAATCTATTTGTAGACATATCAGGTAATAGTCGAACCTCTGCTCGAAAACCTCGATAATTGTGAGATTCATCGGTAATTAAATCTAAGTGAATACTTTTACCAACAGTTCGAAGTAATTTAATCTTCGAATTGTAATCACCACAATAGTTTCTCATCGAAATCAAATTACTGGAAGGATAAACAGGATGACCAGCGACAGTTGATGGTGATCTCGGACCTTTACTATAACTATGGATACTTAAATAATCATATTGGCAACTAAATGTAATACAATTAATACAAAATTAAGAGTGAGTTAAATTAAAATCAGTCGATTAGAATTGGACATTAACTTACTTTGAATCGCCTTCTTCAAGGATGAAATCAGTGAAAATAAGCTCAACAAGATTATCATCATTTGATGAAATGACAAAAGTACAATTTAAATTATTCGGATATGGGTCAGGATACTTGGGTGTGGTTAGGACCTCCCAATTGTGCTGAATACTTAAAATAACGTTTTTATCACAAACCTCGGATTCTGATAGTTGATTAAATTTTGACTCGATATCATTATCTGTGTATGTTTGGGAGGAAAAACAATAATAATAATAATTCATTTGTGACATTTTATTGACCGATTTTGGAGACAATTTTACCTTGATTGTCTTTAATGATTGGTACTTGACATATAAACGCGTTCCTGGAATCACATGAAATATCATTCCAATAATAACGATCGCCCGTTGAGCCGAACCCTTTAGAAGCGTATTTGAAACGATTCCGCACTTCAACACAGTCCTGCCCTGAGAAACCATCATCACTTGGCTGTTTACCATATTTAATTGTGCTTCCGGTTTTGTGCCAACCAGTAAACCAATCTAATTGTCAAAATATTTTCCCCGATTATAAATCAATTGAAATTTGTGAAGGAACAAAGTTCACCCACAACTGAGTTATCTTCGAACGGCAATAACACCCAAAGAAGTTTGAATTGGACACAAAATACACTTTGGAACTGAACTGAAAATCAATTCATTTTCAATTTGACGAAGGTCAATTCCGGGTGAACCTCGCCCCTTGTAAACTTACTTGTATAACTAAATACTGATCCATCGACCCATTGGAAATGATTCTCGTGCTTCATATCCGTTGCGCCGATCCAGTAAAAATATTGTTCACCATTAAGGTCACTTGGGTCATCATCTGATTCATTTGTTTCTTTCTTTTGATTTGATTGTTTTTCCTCCCTGTGGATAATTCAATTAATCCAAAAAGGTATTGAATTTTGTTGAAAATCAAGTTCATTAAATTTGATTGCTTTCAAATTGGTGGGAAAAATAAATCAACTTTATAATCCTCATTATCATGTAACATTCACCATCTAAATTGATTGTCGAAATTATCAATAATCGTCAATATTCAATATATCACAACCAAATAACAATCTGAATTTAGCAAAATGCTGTTTAATTGTAAAAAAATTCATCTAATTATCTCAACTTAGACACTCTACGATTCTAAAATGAAAAAAAATTGTTAAACAAATGAACGAACATCATTTCCGTTTCCTACTTTTCTATTGAAATATTATAAATGAGCCACATGGATGACAATTATAAAGAAGAGAATGAAAGAAAAAAGATAAATCAAAACGATATCAAAGCTTTAGAATGAATCAAGTATCATCATCATCATCATCGTTATCATCATGAAAAGGATAAAGATGATAACTCATCCTACAGGTTTATCTTTTTAGCGATAATATTTCATCCCAGAAACATTTCGGGAAAATAACTTATCCCGAAAACGAAACTTATCTCAAGAAAAGGAATAACATCTAGAGAATCCAAATTCTCAGATTACATGAAAAATAATTTCAATTAATAATAAAGATAATTGAAAATACTTCTTATTCATCAATTACAATTAACTGATTAATTTCTTTGGATTATCAAGTGAGAGCCGATCAAAAGAAAACAATTAATTATTATTAACACAATGTTGACAAAATCTCAGCATCTTGACGATAACTTTGATTGTAAACATCGTGACAACAATCAACTGATTTAGATGATAAAGTTTAACTTATTGTTAGTATTAGTAATTAAGTGTTGAGATATTTTTCCTTGCGTGACATTTTGTTAATCATTTGATGATTAGTAAATTTAGGAAATTGCTCAATGAATGAATTCATTGAATAATCTTACTAATTATTATTAATATTTTCTTATTACTGAGAAAGAAATAAAATGTTTTTGTATTCAATTAAGTCTCAGTATCCTCATCTCTCATCTCTCATCTCTTAAATGAAATGAATTGTTAAATATCATAATCTTGATGATGATAAAATCTATCTAATCTATTAGAATCAGATTAACATTGAGAGGGTGATTAGTTAATTAATCGTAAAATAATAATGTAGAAAATAATAAAGTTGATTAATATTGTGTTCGTATTTTCCCATGATAGCCAATTCAATGCTCTAAATACAATGTACTTTGTATGAATTAACAATCTAATGATTAATAGGATTGTCGTTTAATTTAACAAAACAGTTTTGATTAACTACTAAATCTCATGATAAAAATGATGGAACAGTTTGAATAAAAGTAATTAGCAAAATTAGATTAGCCAGAAAAGTAGAAATATTTTGATTTAGTTTGTATCAACTGAATAATTACTTTATCATAAATTGAACAATTCCATTCCAACAATTAACAGCTTCTTAATTGTTAAGTCTCATCATTAACAATTTAAATGTAATATCAACGTTTCAAAAGGATGGAAATATTTCTCACTGTCATCATACAACTTTTACCTTTAATTATCATGATCCTGGTAAATTAATGAATCGGAAGTAAGCTGAATACATCAGATGAATGATAATGTTACATGATTATATTGAAATGATTATCAAATGAATTGAAATTTATGGTAATTAAGAGTTTAACAAATAGAGAGTAGCATTAATAGGAGGCTTAAACTAATATTTTCCACCTCATTTGATTAACCATTTTGCTGACTTTCAGTGTTGATCAAGTTCAGTTAGAGAAAAAAAAACTTCCAGTTCAATTCAATCAGTTAAATCTTTTGAAAAAAAAACTCTGAACCACATGAATTTCATAATTCAAATCAAAACAGAAATGAACATGAAACTTTTTCAGCTCATGAAATGTCAAATTCAGGCTCTGTACTTTGAATCTTACCTTAGGTATCATTTTTAATCATGGGAACTGCTTTTTTTTCATCTTATTCTGGGATAACTAATCAAGTATTGATGAATTGCAACTTTGAATTGTTTTCTAAAATTTCAGATTACAGTGAGAGAAAATCAGTAATTCATGATGATATTGATTCATTTCTCTTTTCCCTTTGCTCTAACATGATAATAGTTAAGTATCATTGAGATTTTGTTTCTGTTACCATCAGGAGATTTCATGTTCACTATCCGAGCTTATTGTTTTGCCAGGATATTACTGATTCTGTGAGCCTTTGGTAAATAAATCAAGGACAATGTGAACTTTATTATCCCTGAAAAATATAACATATACATTGCTTGTTCTCGATATTTTTTTTCCTTTTACTTGAACAGAAACAAAAAGTTATCAGTAACTTCACAGTGAGAACGATGAAACTTTGATATAAATGATAATGTTTTCGTGAGAGATGATGATGATGTTTAATTTGCATTTGATATTTTACAATTTTCTTGTTTTTCTTTGCTTAAGAATTTGCATTTCAATTTTTAATGCTGATTTTTAATTTACCATAACAAGGGTATTCATGATAATATTCACTTGGTGCATGTATTCAAAGAAAAATTCAATTCACACCCAAAACTTTCAGTCGTATCATTTTTTAATTGGTATCAATATCTTATATATCAAATGGATAGTTATTGATAGCTAATTCTCAAGCTGATTTGGTCTATTACAATGATACTCTTCCGATGTCTTGAATTTCATGATAATCGATCATCTTTTAGATAACCACTTTGATTGCATTCTATTAATATGATATTTATTTGATCATTTTGGAAAGGATAATTTGATTCTAATTGGTTAAAAAGGCTTACTTTTCTCTCTAAATAAATTCTATAAATGATATTTTCTAGAATGCAAATCACAGGTATGCAATTATCAAGAATCATACCTCACATAATATCCATGAAATCTATCAGGCATATTCTCAGCATTGGTGATTGAAATATCCGATAATTAGCTGAGTCGCAAAAACTCAAGTTTGCAATTAATTTTCAAAGCAAACAGAATTGATTTTATTAGGAATATTTTATTGCCGAGAGAAAAAAATATGATCACAATTAATATGAAATTCCCTGAATTAATAATTTTCTATATATAATTTAATTCACAATTAAGGTGATTTCGGTTTATAATTAAGATGAGTTGTTGGAATTAAATTAACAAGTTAATGGAACAGTAGGTGAACCATGAAAAATTGAACATCTTCTCAGAGATATTATACAAAAACGAAACTAAGTTATCCAGAATTCTCTGAATCAAAATTTTCATCTAACGAAGAAGAGTATTAATGATTTAGTTATATGCTTATTCCCTACCTTATAATGAAGTTCATTGATTATTTGATGAACAGTTAATTCATTGAAAAGTTATCAAAATTGAAGGAATATTATTAACGTGGAGTTTTAAACTTGAATAAAGTATCATGAAAGTGACATGAAACAATTTATCTCTCTGAAATGAACTAATGTTTATAAAGAAAAATTAACTTGAGGTCAACTTTTTGTTTGACAGAAATCAGAACAAAACAAAAATGAAACAAAGATAATAGTAAACATTCAAGTTCCGGTTTGTATTTGATATGTAATTACCTAAGAATCGTTGTCATAGTAACGATGAGCTAATTTCATGTTTCCCTGGAAATCTGTTTATATTTCAAACAATAAGATATTCAGAGTAACTTGAATTAGATTTACTTCGTTGATAATAAATTTCATGCAATTACTTTTGTTGATCATCAACAGTTACACGAGAAGAAGAGCAATCGAGACTTGAAGGGTTATTATGATTATTGCTTTAGGAATTTTTTTCTTCTCCCATGAAATGTTTTTTCTCAGAGAATAATATTCTTTACATTTGAAGGTAAACAGAAAATTTATGCTCTCAAGAAGATGAACAAAGAGAAGGTAAACTTTTCCTCTGTCAATCAAAATCTTGAGAGAAAAATTTTCATCTCTGTTTTCCTTTTCTCTATCCAGAGCTTTCAAGTTCAGAAAACCATGAGAATGATGATGATTTTTTTATCAACCTCAAGGGAGATGAAACTGAATTTCATCATGCAAACTTGATAAGATGACCAGGGACTGACCAGCAAAAATGTTCACCAAACTTTACCTTAAATTGGACAAGTTGTGAACAAAATTATCTTTACGTTTTTTTTTTAATTCAGTTTATTTTTGTTACCTTGACCTGGAATTGAGCATTCGGATGAATGATTTCACCCTCTGATCACAGGGTTAATTTAATTGCACAATTTAAGATGCTTTAAAATGAACCTTGAATCATGCGATTCAACGATCAACAATTTCCAGGATTGATCAGGAACAAGAACTTTTATCAAAATGTATTATAATGTGTAAACCAAATTGTTTAGATTCTTCAACCATCCTAAGCTCAGAATTTATCATGCAGTTCATTTTATCTTGGTAATGATGATAAAGATCAATTCTCTCTCTCTCACTCCTTGATAAAAGCTTAACTTGACTGTGTCATGTTTTCATCATCTCTCAGGACAATAGATGAGATTCAGAAGTTTTTCTTAGCCCATATCATGAAATGTTGAGAGAGATGATGAAGATTCTGTTTTCTTCACGATAAAAACATCAAAATAATAAAATGAAAAGTTCATTATGAAAGTGACAACTGAATTCAACAATAATTCTTGAAATAAATCTAACACAATTTTCATTTTCCCAAGAAATTATTAACATCACCATCATGACGAGTTATGATTAACATTATTGTGTTAATAAACTGTTAATGATCAATAATTAATACTAATTGGAAAATAATTGCAATTAAAATTTTCGAGTTGCAAGCATCCCTATCGAAACAGTTTCAATACAATTAGGGTTAATGATCAGAGTGATTAAAAACCAAATATTTACCTTATCATGTTGGTTCAATATAATACTAAACATCGACACCACTGAACACCAATTAATCATCACTAATTATACTTGACCAGGGTTACAGTTAATCATTAACCAAATTGTAAGCCCATGATTGTCCTTGATTTAATTTCTAGAGTTAATCTTTCATCAATATTTGCTTCAATGCTCATCAACCATAATTAAGCATACAATAAGTTTATGATACTAACATTAAATGAAACTTCATAACCATCATGAACATGGTTAAATTAATTATCACCACACAGGTTAGACAAATTGTTTATTAGATATCATGTTGTAACACAACCAATTCAAACACTGTTGGAGCTAATGTACTTTCACTCCAACGTCCTCGACTCAAGCATTAACCCTTTCACTTTATTTAAATTAGTGTTTTAATATCCCAGCAAAAGCACAAATGAAAAATTTGAAACAATTGCAGTAAATTGAGAGCAGTTTATTTGCAAAAAAATGAATGAATTGTCACCTTAATTATTGTCAATTGATCAAGATTATCACCTTGAGCCACACCTTGGGAACTTTTTATTTCAATAATATCTCAGAACGCAAAGACTTTTAATACCCTTTGATTTACCACTCGACCTCTACCCTGTATTGTTGTCTAATTACCAGGACCATTATCACTAGCAATCAGGTGTGTCTATTGAAACTTTGAAAAAACTCCCAAATAACAAGCAATCAGAAAGTAAAATATTCACGAAACTATTGCAAAAAGTGATCAATCGTCGTGAATAAAAGCAATTTCATCAGATGAATATCGTTAATCAAGATGATCAACTTGACTTAAAGAGTGAAAAAAAGTTCGTTAATCAGATTGATTAAGAGATAATAATTCCAAAAGGAAACTAAATATCGTGAAAGAAAAGTGGCTCAGGTAAAATAATAAATAATGCAAAATAAAAGGTAAACTAGAACATCGATTTCCAATTGTTATATTAATGAATTTTTCACTCCCAGTTCTTACCCTCATCATCATCATCTCTCTCGAACCACTATTTATCTTCATCATCTTCTTTATCTTCTTAGTTTCCCATTGCTCTAGTTCTCTCTTTTTTTGACTGAAATATTTATTGCTTTAATCTCATCAATACTATTTCTTTTTATTGATATTACAAAGCAATGAGCATTTTCATCATCTTCTTGCTCCTTCATGTTACCTGAAATTGCTGATGATCATCAATACCAATTGAAGAGCAATCAAGAAAAAGATAGAGACAAAATTACAATCTCCTTTTCATCCTTTCCATTGATTTTTCTATTATCATTATCGTTATTATTATCTGATTGTCAGCACAAAATTCATTTTTTTGTTCAGGCTTTTTCATCATGCATTTTTCATATGTTTTCAGAAAGAGTTGAACAACTTGAAATGGAAAGAGGGAGAATAATTTTCACGACTTTGTGGTCTACCGTGGTACTTAATGAATGAAATCATAACTAACATCATATGTTAATTCAATTCAAAAACTACTCATGAAATATTCAATGGATTAATAGATCAATTTTCAAAGAACAGGGTTGAGATGGAATCAGGAATTTGATGGGAAAAAACAACAGATCCCTGATATAAAACATGCAACCTTTTTACTTTGATTGATAAATTAAGCATAGAGAATCAAGAAACAGAAAAATCTGAATATGAAATTATTATCGAAAGATTTATCTCTCTCTTTCTCTTCTCATATTCTTATCAAAACCTTTGAGAGAAGATGATGCTAAGTGATTATCTCGATAAGATGTTGAGTTGAGCTGAAAATCGTCTTAACTCATACAATCTACGATTTTTAATCGAAAGGAAAAAATGACAAAAAACGAAAATGCAATTTACTGTTATCATGAATTTCAAATGAATGAACATCATTTCCGTTTCCTACTTTTCTATTGAAATATTATAAATGAGCCACAAGGATGACAATTATAAAGAAGAGAATGAAAGAAAAAAGATAAATCAAAACGATATCAAAGCTTTAGAATGAATCAAGTATTATCATCATTCTTATCATCATGAAAAGGATAAAGATGATAACTCATCCTACAGGTTTATCTTTTTAGCGATAATATTTCATCCCAGAAACATTTCGTAAAATAACTTATCCCGAAAACGAAACTTATCTCAAGAAAAGGAATAACATCTAGAGAATCCAAATTCTCAGATTACATGAAAAATAATTTCAATTAATAATAAAGATAATTGAAAATACTCTCTATTCATCAATTACAATTAACTGATTAATTTCTTTGGATTATCAAGTGAGAGCCGATCAAAAGAAAACAATTAATTATTATTAACACAATGTTGACAAAATCTCAGCATCTTGACGATAACTTTGATTGTAAACATCGTGACAACAATCAACTGATTTAGATGATAAAGTTTAACTTATTGTTAGTATTAGTAATTAAGTGTTGAGATATTTTTCCTTGCGTGACATTTTGTTAATCATTTGATGATTAGTAAATTTAGGAAATTGCTCAATGAATGAATTCATTGAATAATCTTACTAATTATTATTAAATATTTTCTTATTACTGAGAAAGAAATAAAATGTTTTTGTATTCAATTAAGTCTCAGTATCCTCATCTCTCATCTCTCATCTCTTAAATGAAATGAATTGTTAAATATCATAATCTTGATGATGATAAAATCTATCTAATCTATTAGAATCAGATTAACATTGAGAGGGTGATTAGTTAATTAATCGTAAAAGATCAATACCTGGAAATGAGTTTTTCAATTAGTCTCTGGATGTTTTCGTCTTTGATTGTGACAAGGTGACCATTGATTTCTGATGATGAGCAAATTGTTTCAGCTTCGTTCCAGGAAACGAAATTTTGAGAGAAAATTTTGTAACAATAAGAATCAAGGTGAAACCAATCACTATTATCAGATGACGATGTTTTCGATAAATTAATTGTTGGGCACGATTCTTTGTATTCCATTGCGGGGTATTTCTCAATGGGAATGGCCAATACCAGGGAGAAAAAAAGATTTAACATTATTGGAGTAGGTAGATGAAACAGAATCCTGAACAAATGTGAAAAGTAGCGAGATTAGTTCAGAAATTGGCACAGAGGAGGAAGGAGAAAGAAGCAGAAACCAAAACTTACCTGAGCGATTAAATAATTAACATTGAAAAAAAATCATTGGTTATGATGCTGATGGTTTGGTGAGTAGTTTACCTTTAACCAAAAAGGTAAGGAAAGAGTATAGTTTGACACAAAAGCCAGTCGATTGAGTCAGTCGACTGTTGATCGACTGAACATTAGCTGACTAAGTCAACTCGATAGAAAAAAGTTCAACAAGCAATTCGAAAACAGTTCACTCAGTTATTAATAGAACATTTTCCAAGTATCTTACTTGTTAGATTTCGAATTTTTCAATGAAACTTGATAATGAGCATTTCTTTTCACAGGGATTTTCAGCTATTTTTACTGTTTTCTTTTCGATTTTCTTGATAATTTTTTGCTCATTTGGTTCGATAATCAGTGAGAGTGTAAATTTCAATTTAGAATAAGTTCTGTCATCTGTTGGCGGAATCTGAAATTTTAAGATTATTTTCGCTTATGATGAAATAATAATCAGACTGATCGCGCATCCGAGGCTGACATGCTTTCAGATTTTCTTTTTCTATCTTGATACACAAAGAAAACTTTTATATCAAATATTAATACTTTTCTGGGCTTTCAATAGCTTGTGAGCAAGGACCAATAGTGAAAGTAGTTATTAATATATCGGTATTCCTTGGATCAAGATCAATGTTGGAATTCAGTTTTGTTGGTACTGTAACTCGCGTTTTGGTTGATTTAGGAAGATATAATTTCATAATGATTTAGTCTTTATTTGCTTAAATAACCATTAGCTCTCTCACTTTTATTATCTTACTCACTTTGTTACGAGTAAAAGTATCAATCGTTATCATAACAATTGTATCAAGGACAAAAGAGAGAGAGAGAAATTTCATTTGATAATAGAACTTTTTTGGTTCTTTTTTGGGATGCAGGTTAAGAGTAAGAGAGATTCGGAAAGATGATGATGATGATGATGATGGGAGGAAGATATGAATGAAAGATGGAAAGGTCAGAAAAAGAAGAAATTTGATTGAATTTTGGGTGGTTCGGGTTTGCTCCTTCTCATCTGCATCTTCCTGTATGATTCTAGTCTAATATTCAATGTTGCAAGAGTAAAATGATAGTGTCCATTTTGTAGTAAAAATGATGATGAAGATTCATTGACCCTTTAGGTTAAAATGATGAAAACCAATACAATCTAATCGCGACTCTCTCTCTCTCTCTCTCTTCATCATCTCAAGTCATTTACAATTCATTCATCTCTTATCATAATCATGATAACCTTTGATAATCATTAACAATGAAAATATATTAACATTGATTGTCTCAATTATGAAGAAAGATTAACAAAATGTTGCTTCTAAAGAGTATCAATAAATCATTTCGTCACAACGATTGGTTATTTATTTTCTTTTCGTACTAAATAAACGTATTTCGAAAAAAGCTCAGAAACAGTGAGAAATAAAAAGTTTAAGAAAAAGTTTCGACACTTTTCAGCCAAACGATCGAGGATTTCGAGGATAATTTAAAATCATTTACGCATCAAAAGTGATTATCAATCAAAACAATCGTAAATTTGAATCTCTTGATTATCTAACTACTGGTTAATTGTTGTTATCGTGAATCATATATAAAATTATCATTATAAACTCATTTCGTTTGGCGTTATGATGAAAGCGGGAAGATGAAAAAGAGAGATGATCTCTTATTGATTTAATCTGTTTTCTTATTCCAATGATAAGATGACCTTTAATGACCTTTGAAGATGAGAATTCTCGTCATCACTACCGGAAACAACCTTCGACCTTATTGAAGTTATCATCATCTTCATCTTCTTTGAGTGAAAACATTTAAATATCACAAGTTGACATTATCAGAGGTTCTCATTGATTACTTATGATAATTTATATTTAATCATCCGGTTGATGTTTGGTTTTTTTGTTGATTTGTTTCGTTTAAATGTTACTTGTTGTTTATATGCTTGTTTAAGTTAATTAGTTGGTTTAATTGCTGATAAATAGTTATTATTGATTGTTAGTCTTCAATTTAGTCTCAATGGTTTCAGTTGAATATGGAAAAGTTTTCTCTTTTATAATTGTATTAGAAAGCTAATAGGGGAAAATATGCTATTCATGGTAATTAAAATTAATTTTTTTTTCGTCTTCTGCTCACAATTAACTTTCACTAATCATTTAAACAGGTATTCAAGGCTATCAGGTAATCAGTGTGACAACAACAAATTATTATCAATGGTTCTTACTAATGGTAGTTAACAACAATCAACAGTCTTGGATTGTTTATCATTTGGTTAAATCATTTGATTGTTTTACTTTTGGTTGTTTTTTTTATTGTTTATCATTAAATGAGCAACAATTTGATTAAAGTTATCAGGATGAGTATTGATGATGGAAATTATCATGTTAATATTGTTTTTAACTTTGTCTGTGAAAGAAAACCAAGGAAACATGATGATAAACAATAGATGATTCGACAAAAGTTTTTCTTTCTATTTTCAAGGTTAAATGTTAGGTTGGTCTTTCTGTTGATGGAAAAGAAGACAGAAAAGAAAGAGAATGATGATGATAAGGAGCTTGGAATCCATGGAAGAGAGAGAGAGAGAGAGAGAGAGAGAATGCGCTGTTAGAATTGAATTCTGAGCCCAAAGATCAACTTGGTAAACGTCACTACGTCATGATGAAGATGAGGATGAGGATGAAGATGATGAAGTTTGTTTTTGTTACTTTGGCTCAATTCATTTAAGGTCACAAAAAACGTTGTTGGTTAATCGCTGTTGATGATGATCAAGCTTGACGCGTCTTCTCACCTGTCGACAATGAAGAGAGAGAGAGAGAGAGAGAGAGAGAGAGAGAGAGAGAGAGATAAGAAAGACCAAGGTTTATTCAGAAAGTGATGATGGAGAAGATAACGAAAATTCAATGAAGAAAACAGATGATCATTATCGTAAGAGAATAACGAAAGAAATGAAAAAAGTATAAGTGACCAGCGACTTTGAAAGAAACAACATTTCAAAAGAATCAAATTAAATTTAATCACAAGACAATTCAGTAATCAACAGAAAGAAAACAATAGAAACATTAATTATGAATACAAAGTAAGAAACAATTGATAGAATATGAAAGAAATCAATAAACATTTTCTAAAATGTTCATATTAATTTTAAGGTCTATTAATGATCTTTTAATTGTTAACCTAATTTTCATATATTAATTTGATAATTAGAAAATTATTGATTCAGCATCTCTAATTATTAATAACACTGAAAAACTGACTGCTAATGAGTGAGTTTAATTGCTCTTATTTAATGAACATTGTAAATCAATTTTTGATATTGTTTAAATTGTTATCATGTTGAGTGAGAGACAATCAAGGTTACCACCATGTTGTTAGATAATAATAACACAGGTAAATGATATTATTATGAAACTGTTTTTACCTGAGAATCAAAATATTGATTATATGGTTTCAATTGACTCTCATTGAGTAATAAAAGTTAACAACAAAACCATCAGCAGTTAAATATCATGACAACAATCAACAAATGATGATTTAAAATCAATTGTGTTAGTTGGAGAGAGAGAGAGAGAGAGAGAGAGAGATATTTTTACGCAATTTAATAACTATCATTATAAGTTTCGGACAACAATTTATATTAGAATTGTGAAAAGTAACTTATTATTAGGTAGAAATGTATTAATATCATTACAACTTCATGTTCTTTGGGTATGAATACATAAGAAAAAAAATTTTCTCTTTCTTTTTGCTCTTTACCTGAACGCTCATCGCCCTTTTTTCAATGAAAGAGAGAGAGAGAGAGAGAGAGAGAGAGATGATGATGATGATGAGAGGAAGAAGAGAGAATAGTGATGATCGGTTATCTAGTCTGATCTTTTCTTCGCCTTCTCTCTACCTTGAGATTCCTTTTCCGTGTAATACCTTAAACTTGGTTCTAATTTGGTTCTATTGCTCTTCTTGGGTAAACGAGTTTGTTGGTGAGGGGAAGATGAAAACCTCGGGAGTCTGAGGCAAGTAGAGGTTTAGGGTGAGGTGGTGGTTGTGTAGTGGTGGTGATATGAAGGGTGGGAGGGAGAGAGAAAAGAGAGAGAAGATAAATGTGGTTGCAAATTGCATTCCAATTCTTTTATCTTCTTTCTTCTCTCTCTCTCTCTCATTTATCTTCTCTTTCTTTTTGTCAGAAAGAAGTAAAACAAGTAAATTCAGAGGTTCAATCAACTCCCGCTCTTTTTTTCTCTCTCATCTTCTTTCTTTTCTTCAAATTTCATCCTCATCATCTCTCCCTCTCTCTCTCATTCATAATGAAACCCAACATGTTCATGATTCTTATAAGAGTAACTAGAGACATCTATTATTTATCCTCTTGAAACTATTACAATTTAGTAATTGTCCCCACTAATTGTTGGCTCAACACTTACAACTTGTTGGTTAATTTTCAAATAATTATCTTTACTCACAATCAACATGAATTTGGGTTAAGTTCCCTTGTTTCCGGTTCGATGTATTTTCTCATTCCCTCTTCGGGTTTGGGTTTTTTTTCTGGTTAATTGACTTTACCCATTTGAAATCGTATCTCTAATTATCATTTCTGTTGATTAATTGTTGATTTTATGTTAAGTTAAGAAATGATGAAATTTTAATCAACTTGATCAGCTAATTGTTGATGTTCCCACTTTGATTTGTGTATTTTTGGTTCCTCTTTCTTTTCGGTTTTCTTGTTGTACCTTTTTTTAGATTGTAGGCAGGAAGAGATGATAATCATCCTCATCTTCATGATGATAAAGGTAAAAAAGGGGAAAAAGTTTCACCCACACAATTCACTTTGATCTGATTATTTTGTATCTTCTTCATCATCTTCATCAATACGATTCAATGTGTAGGTTTCATGTCATCAGTTCCTGTTCTCATTATTCTGTAGACTAAATTAACTAATTGGAAATAATTTACTTAATCTATTTAATCTTTTAATTGTTCACAAAATCACTACAATTACAATTTTCTTAAATAATTTTCGGATCAATTTTCAGAGCTTTCAAACTAAATAAACAACTATTATTATTGTTACTTTTGTATAAAACTTTATAGTTGATTGAACACTGTCGTTAGAAATCAATCAATTTTTTTCTCTAAATGATCAATATATCAGATTGTAATTGGTAATCAACTTAATTGTTTCAATCTTGTCAATTGATTGTTACGCCAGAAAATTTGAATTTGCCGCGTAAAAATTGCGAACAATTTAAGCTCCATACTTGTAGCGCCATCTCTTGGTGGCCATTAACTTATTAAATTCTTGTTTTCATTTTGTTACATCATCGGAATTAGAATTACAATTTGTTATCATCAATGATTAACTTTCGTAACAGTTTTAATTTTTCTTAATTGTTAACATTTAAATCTCTATGTTCACTTTAAGTTAGTCGCAAGTTATTTTCTCAATGATTCTGGTGGAAAATGTGTTGCGATCAATTGTTATTGTTGTTGTTCCTTATGACTGGTAATTAGATTGTAAGAGGAACACAAACAAAACTGTTGCCCCTGAAAAAAGAGTAATGATTTATATTATTATGTGTTTACATGATTCCTGTTTCCATTCCTAATCTATCCTCATTTTCTTCCGGGGTTTCCTCTTTGTTATCATGTTCTCTCAATTCTGATCATCTTGTGTGTTCACTGAATCTCTTTTTCTGTCTCAACGTTTTTGTTTATCTTCTTTCGCTTCTGGGGTTTTCCTTTTTAATTCCTCATTGTTTTTAAATCTTTTCTCTAGTTTTCTATGTTTTATTATTATCTCTGATTCTCCCTCGACTTCCTCTATCACATGGTCTTAGTTTTTTTTCTTAACTTCCCCTTTCTCTCTAAACCTGATTCTCGATTCGCTGAGTTTTCTAAAAACCTTTTAATCAGATTTTCTGTTGTTGTTTATTTCTAGTTTTGTACAAACGCTCAGCGAGTTTTTCTTCTGGTTTATTGGAATTGTCCTGATTATCGTTCATCATATTGGTTGTTTTCTATTTGTTTCGACTTGTTCCATCCACTATCCAAGAGGCTTCAATTCACTATGACCCAAAGTGATTCGGATGATGATATGGACACTTTTGAGGTCGATTACGATGAAGATGATACTTGTGATTATGATCATTACTATCGGATGAGTGAACTAGAAAATGAACTGGATTATCTTCAGGGTGATGCTAAACACAATGATCCTGAATACTTTGACTATGAATGTTTACCAGTCCAAAAAGTTGACAAATTGTTTAAAGATGCCATTGATTATCTTTGTCAATCACTTCAAATTAACTCATCCGAAGCAAAGGTAAGTCAATTAATTTAATAGTAAAAAAAGTCGACTTTCAATTAGAATCGTTTTTATATACAAAAACAACTTATCAATCAATTTAATCGTTGACAAACTTAACCTACTATAAATAATTACTTATCTTGAGTATATTGAACAATTTAACATCAAATTGTTGATAATTACTGTCACCTCTATTTACAATCTACGATTGATGTTAACCTGAATTATTTTGATAGCTAATTTAAGTGGCAATGACACAAGTTGATTAACCCTTTTGCTGATGAATTAAATTTACTCAATTTTGTTTTCATCGTAATCGTTTGATTATTGTATTAAGTTACCGTTATGTGTGAGGTCATGTTAATTTAATCAACTTCCTGGTTTCCATGAGAGTCAAAAAACCAGAGTTTTACCTCGATATTGGTTAATATTATTATTCTCTTTCATTTATTGAATCAATTTTTGTTAATTCACAGAGAAAATTAAGAAAATTAAATTCATTTCCTTTTTCCGTTTAATGTTTTCTTTATAATTGTTTATATTTTTTTCTTAGGTTTTATTGTATCAAAATAAATACGATGTTGATAAAATAAAGGAGAAAATCACTAAAGGTGAAATGAATGGTTCGAAAAACAGTCCATCGGATCAAATAGATTCCAATATTTATATGAACGGGAGTTCGAATGGTCAAATTGGTTGGACAGATTCTTCAAGTTTCATGACTTGTGTTATTTGCCTTAGACCGCAATTAACTTGCACATTTATTGGACTTTCATGTGGTCATCGTTATTGTCGAGAATGTTGGACATGTCACATTGAGACCCAAGTTACACTTGGAGCTTCAATTGGAATTGAATGTATGGCCTCCAAGTGTCACGAACTGATTCCTGAAGAATTTGCTCTTGCTAATATACGAAAAAATTGTCTCCGAGAAAAGTATTCAAAGTTTCCATTCACCGAATATGTTAACTCTCATCCAGAGCTTCGTTTCTGTCCTGGCCGCAACTGTAATATAATAATTCGAGCGCAAGAAAACAAATCGAAAAGGGTCATTTGTGTACAATGTAAAACGAGCTTCTGTTATAAATGTGGTTGCGATTATCATGCTCCAACCGAATGTTCTGTGATCAAAAAATGGTTAACCAAATGTGCCGATGATTCGGAAACTGCCAATTATATTTCCGCGAACACCAAAGATTGTCCCAATTGTAGTATATGTATTGAAAAGAATGGCGGTTGTAATCACATGCAATGTGTTACCTGTAAACATGATTTCTGTTGGATGTGTTTAGGTGATTGGAAAGCTCATGGAAGTGAATATTATGAATGCTCAAGGTACAAAGAAAATCTATCGGCTATCAAAGAATCGGCAAATGTCCAAGCTCGAGAAGCTCTTAAAAAGTATCTCTTCTATTACGAAAGATGGGACAATCATGCGAGAAGTTTACGATTGGAAGAACAAGCATTGACCGATATTAAAGATCGAATCCAACGGGAGGTAATGTCCAACAAGGGAACTTGGATCGATTGGCAATACCTTCTCGACGCCGCTTCTTTATTAGCCAAGTGCCGTTACACTCTACAATATACTTATCCTTATGCCTACTTTATGGAAACCGGACCAAGGAAACAATTGTTCGAGTACCAACAAGCCCAATTAGAAGCGGAGATTGAAAATCTCTCATGGAAATTGGAAAGAGCAGAAACAACTGACCGAGGAGATTTAGAAAATCAAATGGACATCACCGAGAAGAGAAGAGCAACTTTACTTAAAGATTTTCTCGCCGATTAACATTAATCTTAATTTTCTTTCCTCTCTTCTCTAAGCATTTAAACTTTATTTTGATTATGAGAAACAACATCCTCTTAATCAAAAGGCTTGACTTCTCTTCCGTTATCTTCCTACTCTCTCTCTCTCTCGGTCTCTCTTCCTCTCTTCCTCTCATCCTCCCGTTAACCCTTTTAACCAACAAAAAAATCCAAGTTACTAACATTAGATATTGTTAACTTATATTATCTTTGCCCTCATCCAACCTGTTTAAATGATTTTCAACCCACTAGACCGGCTTCAATTAGTTGTATTTACTTTTAATCACATCTTGCCTTTAATTTTTAGTTAATTGTGATGAAATTAACCATTACAAAGGATGAAACTGATTCCAATTACATTAAAGAGACCAATGAAGTGAATCAACTGATTAAGGACCAATTAAGCGAGACACAAGATGAATCCATACCAGCCAAATACTGGAATAAATCAACTAAAAGCAATAATTTAATTACATTATTAATATCAGTCAATTGCTAAAGATTATCTTATTCCAGTAACAATTGACTAACACTATTTTATATTGTTAAAATTAAGTCAGCATTGATTTCTTTTGCTGATATGAATCAATCCAACAATCAAAATCAACTAGAACAAAAAAAACATTTAACTTTAATTAATTTTACTCTCACTCATAAAGAGATAGAGGAAACTCCATATTAACTACGGTTTGATGAAACAATGATTTCGAAAACAATTAATCCTCTGTAAATTGTAATTCCAAATAATATTTTCTGTTAATATTTAATCAAAACAATTAAACTCTAATATAAATAACGTGCATTTTTATTTAAGAATTTAAGTTAACTGTCTCATATCACCTTTTTAAATTTTCTCTAATCATCAATCTCTATAATAAAATTGTTCATAATTGTATTAGAATTTCTATTAACAATCAAATACTTAGAAACAATTAAAATGATTATTTAATTTTCGAATTTTTAATTATTTGAATTGACCGCCAATTATTTTTCTATTTTTTCCATTTTGCAAACACTCGCCATCTGCCGGTTTACATTGCAAGTTGAAGATTCTGATGCAAGTGAAAGTCTGAATTTGATTAAACAAAAAGTTAATCGTTAATCTGTTTGGTTGGACTAATTGTTTTGTTAATTTGTTACTGGCCAATAGGAGCAATTTAAGGAACAGGTAAATAAATCAACTGTCTTATTCTAAATTCTTGTGGTTTTCTTCAATGTTACCTGATTTTTTTAATCTCTCTTGGGTCTCTCTTTTTGATTCCCCTTTTTCTCAATATTTTTTTTTTCTCTTTTTCTTTGTGTATACATTGACTTTCCCTTATTCTTTTTTTGAGTAGATTTTTTTTGTTCTATTCTACAGTTTGAGCTACATTTGCCTTTCCCCCTTGATAACTTGTCTTCAGGTATCACATCATTTCCATTTCCTTCTCTTCATCACAATTAGAGCTATTTAAAGAGACTATCTCAATCATCATCTCTCGGTGGGCTTTCTGCATATAAACCCTTATCTAAGTGACTCTCGTTCCATCTTTAAACCTTCAACAGTTAACAACATTTTCCACTAACCACTTTCATCTTTGTGAAAATTTTCTCCATCAACATTTTCCTCTGATCTCATATAGCATAATTTTTATATTCCTTTAATCAACCAAACGCTTTTTTTAAAAGTTCTACATTCACCAGAAGAAAGTGCGTGTGTAAATATATTCGTTTAATTAGCCTAATCTCAATATCTTCTTCTTCCTTTGTAATCGCTATCTTTTTCTTTTCTCTATCTTTAACTTTCTTTTTTCGTCCTCTGCTCTTTACCTTCTGAAGAATTAATCTTAATTATCTAACGTGTGTCTGCGTTCATCTAAACTGTTACTAATCTCTTGTTCTATTCTCTTATTAATTGTACCTTCTTTTTTTCTTTGATCTTTTTTTTTATTCTTCTACTTTCATCTGGTCATCGGTTTCTTTACTTCTTCCACGGATTAACCATTACAGTTTTGTTTGACAATCCAATATCCGAACAAATCGTATCAGGACCTGGTTTAGTGATGAGCCAAGACAATAATACTTCGGACACTGTTGTCAACAGGTAACTGAGCGATATCGCCTTTCCTTGCCATTGCTATTATCTTCAATTTCATCATCTTTTTTATTGTCTCTGCTTGGCTAACGCTTAATTTTTTAAGCTTTTATTTTCCTTCAGCTATTATGATCTATAGAAATGAAGCTTGTTTCTTGTTTAGACAAGTTTTTTTTTCTTTCCACTAACTATCATCTTCCCATCATATTCTAGATTAACTTACCCACCATTGAAAAAACTCATGATACTCATGATGTCCAGTTAATGGATCTCATTCTGCTCTTTTTGCTCTGAAAAAAAAATTCTCTACGTTTATCAGAAATGAAGCTTTGAAAGCTGCTTATTTGCTATATTCAAGATTCACTTTCTCTTTTAAATCTATTTTCTCTTACTCAATACTAACTTGATTTTCTCTCTATTTCATAATGATCAGTCTCTCTTCCGAATTGGAAGCTTTGAAGGAGATTTATCTCAAAGAATTTCAGACTGAAGATGAAGATACTCGGATCGTTGTATCTGTCAACTTATCGCCATCCACAGCCGATCTCGTAGATCAGCAATATGTTTGTTTAACTCTTCAACTAACAGTTTGCAAGCAGCAGGTTAGTTAATTAAATTAGCTTTTATGTCTTCTATTAACATCTAATTATAAATCAACCTTTATCTCTAAAGTATCCACATGAGTCACCAATTATTAACATTCGCAACCCGCGTGGTCTCAGCGAGGATGTCGTTGCAAGGTAAAGTATTACTAGTTCAAAATAGAATTTTTTTTTCTTGCTTTCATTCTTCATGAAATCTAATTTTCTTTTCTCATTTTCTTTCATTCTACTTCAGTATTATCGCAAACGTTAATAGAATTGCTGATGACAGGAAAGGCACAAATATGCTTTACCATTTAATTGATTTCGTTAAAGAATCATTAACATCCAACAACTTTCCAAGTGATAAATGTATGATATGTCTATATGATTTCACCAAGGATGATCAGTTCGTGGTTACCAAATGTTTTCATCATTTTCACTGTTATTGTTTAGCTCACTATATAAAGAAATCTGAGGAAGAGTCAGCAGAAGCAAGTGGACCAGCTAATGGAGACAAACCCAGTGATTCTGATTCCAAACCATGTCCAGTTTGCCGTGATGATCAAGATTTCTCTAGCCTAGTTAAACAAGAAGACTATCCTCCACCCTCTTTATCGAGTAAACCAATTCCAGGAGAAACTGTGATGCTAGAAGAAGCAAGACAAAAGCAAGAATCATTCGCTCCCATGTTCGAGAAACAACAACAACAAGGCGGCATTATTAACGAGGAAGAAGAAAAGAACAAGTTTTTACTACGAACATCCGACATGAATGGTGCTGGTTCTTCAAGCAGTACTGGTTCTTCTACTACGTTGACTTCTACTAGTGAATCTGGATCTTCAAAGCAAAGTTCTCCTGTTAAATCTCTTGAATCTGCAAATGAAAGTAATTCATCAATCGATGGCCAATCTAACAATGATAAGTCAAAAGCTAATGGTCAAGATGGTGAAGGAAAACATTCTGAAGATGATGATAAAAATGAAGAATGGGCTGATGCTAAGCCAGAAATATCTCCTGAAGAAGAAAAAGAAACTAAAGAGGAATCAAAAGGTTCTAATGATAAAGCAGAAAGTGATCCGTCCAAATCTGATTCGAACTTGGAGAGTTCCAACAAGGAAGAAGCGACGAACGGTAAAAACGAAAGTGAACAAGATACTGAAGGTAAAGATGGTAAAACAGAAAAAGAAACTAATAAAGAGAATAAAGTAAAACGCAACAAATCTAGTCGTCGTAACTCTCGACGAAATCGAACAAGATCTTCCGGACGAAGAGCAAGTGCTGGCGATGGAGTAACAACCAAAACAACTAACGGAGAAGCTGCTCCTCAAAATGATAATCGACGAAATCGTTCTCGTCGACGAAATCGTACCAGTAGTTATGATCCAAATTCTTATGGAGCAGACTATAGATCTCAAAACTATAGACCCAATAATCGTGGACGACCTCGAATGAGAGGACAAGGTCGAAACAATGTTGGTTACTCAAGTAATGGCGGTTTACCATCGCCACCTTATAAACGCAACTTTGGAAATGGCACTCAAGAAGAAACCAGCAATCGATCTGATTTATACAATCAGGAATCTTATCGTGATCGTGATAGACCAGGTTTCTATGCTGCTCGAGTTATCAGGCCAAGTGCGGGTAATAATGCAAATAACAATTCAAATCGACCTCGAAATGGAACCAGAGGAAGTGAAGATTCTTCAAAGGCAAGCATCTCCCCTCAAGCTGATTCCAGTGAATTGAATCAAAGTACAAGTGAACAAGAACAGCAAAGTCAACCCCGAAGCCGAAGTAAAAATAAACGGCGAAATCGTTCAAATCGTAATCGAACCTCAAGCCAAAATGGACGATATAGTGAAAGTGATTATCAAAATACGGATGTTCAACAAGGGAATGGTTACTCAAGCTCAAATTCCAACAAAATGAACAATCGTCAAGGTTATAATTACGACTACAGATCTCAAGGTTAGTTTATCTTTAAGATCAATTGATTGCGATCTCCTTTGGTCATTCTAACAAATTTCTATTCAATTCTTAGGCTCATATAATAAGCGAACCTCTTACTACAATGGTAACTATCCTAATTACGGATACGGTTATGGTGGTGGCTACAACACAGGATACGCAAATGGTTATAACAATTATAGTTATTATGATCGATTCAATGGAAACTATGGAAATTACGGAAATTATAACAATGGAAATTATTATCGTCAAAGGACAAACTACAATGATGCTCCTCAACGAAACAATAATTATCGATCATCTAATTACAGGCCCAGGAAACGGGCTGACACTGGTCAAAGTCAGTCTTCAGTTAAATCCAACAGCAACAATACACCAAACGTATCCACCGTCAACGCGACCACCACAACCACAACCAACAACAGCAACACAACTGAAACAGTAGCACCTTCAGCAGTAGTACCGGCCGATAACAACGTGGCCGTTGTTGAGGTCACTGCCTAGAGCGTCGGTTTAACCAAGACACTAAAAACTTTTCCCTTCTAAAACAAACTATTTGTATCTCTTTTTTGTCACTATACTTTTGTCGTTATCTTTAGATTTAATTGTTTTCGCTAATCTAAAATTCTTTAAAAAGATGAAAAATGATTAGCAGAAAAAGTTAAACAAAATCAGTTAAATTGGGATATGTTTCACTCTCTCTCTCTCTCTCAAAATCAACAAATATTTGGAGAATTTATAAAGAAAAAATTGTTTCGAAAACAAATCAACAAAATCTTGCGAAGAGCCTAATAACTGATTAAGTGATTCATTTGTAAGAATAAAAATAAAATATTTTGGCTCCGATAATCAACTTTTTCTTGATCATTTCCAATTTTCGCTCAACTGATCGAAATGTTTTTATTAGAATATTAATTGAAATGAAGTAAACATATTAAAATAGATTAAAGATACTAATCAATGAATTTCTTTTCTAAACACAATTTTCAGTTTGAAAAGTAATTAAATTCATCGGAATTTAATTTATTTCGATGAACCAATTTCTCAAAATTCGCATCTTGTTGCCAAGAATAACAAAACAGTTCGTTAATCATCTCAAGCTGATTGACTGATTGTTTGTTGGAAATTATCGTTTGCCAATTGAATGTAAGTTTTTCGAGCTGGATGATCATCAGCGGGTCGATTGATCGGAGTCCAAACGGGCTCACCAACGAAAAGACGCATCGCCTTAATATAATTCTAGAAAAGAAATTGAATTAGTGATTAGAATTGTTGATGGAAATTGGAACAAAAAAAGAAAACAATTGTGTTTCTTTTTCTCTCTAAATCAGCAATGTCAACAATTAGCTCTTAATCTCAACCATTAATTGTTCACGTGAACAATTAGATCCAATGGTTGTGATAGTTTAAATGATACTAATTCTGATGTTTACTGTGATTGTTTTTGCTGTTTACCTTTTCGTCCAAAGTGAACCGATGGTAAATACCCGCAGGTAAAGTGATAAGATCACCTTTGGTCACTTGAATTCGTATCCATTGGTCATCGATGTCTCGACAATCAAAGTAACCACTTCCGTCGAGAACGAATCTGATCTCTTCATCGGCATGAATATGTTCAAGGAAAAAGCTTCTCAATTTATCTTCATAGTTTTCCAATTTCTCTGGACAACATTCAATACAATCCATGTAAGTATAACCTCTTTCTTTCCGAATTTCGGATAATTTACCTTCGTTCTCATAATTATCAGCGTCAATCTAAACAAAGAAAATGTCGAGCATAACAATTAGTTGATTAGCTGCGTAAAAGAACAGCAGAAAATGAAAACAATCAAAATTGAGACAAAGAAAGTGAATCAGATGATTGAAACTCACCTTCCAATACAAGACACCAGTTTTTTCAGTTAATTTCTCCAAATCAACTAATTGTACTGGATCATGTTGATGGGCTAATCGTTGATCAGTTCCATCGTCGTTAAAATACCAACACTTAACCATCTTTAATTACTATTAACTGTCAATCGAAAACAAAACAACAATCAAAAAGATTTTGAAACATATGATCAATTAAAGGGAAAGTTTAGTAAGAAAAAAATGATCGATGTGAGAAGATTTTTGATTGATTAATTATCATCGATTGTTTCTCTTCTTTGATGATGATGATTGACAATTAGTATCAATCTTTTAATTGTTTTCTCATGTTAAAGATAATTGGATTTACTAATTGAGAGGAAATTATTTTCGATAGTCACTAATCACTTCGACTGATGATCAAAGTTTACAATTAATCAAGATGCAAACTAATGTATCGATAACAATTGAATTTTTATTGGCTCTTTTGTCAACAAGATCAAAATTAAAAAGTCAAATGATGTTATTTGATTGTTGATTGATTGGCGCTGTGGAATCCGAACCGACCTCTTGATGTTTCGATAGATATTCAGACCACTTCGATACCTTGGAATTGTTGAGATGCCATTTCGAGCCACTTGATTCGAGCAGGATGATCATCGGCAGGTCGATTATGGCCAATCCAAATCGGTTCTTCGGTAAAGATTCGTTTGAACGCAGTTTTACCCTGAATTGGAATAAGAATTGACGACAATTAACATTGGAACAATCGGCGAAATTGATCTACGACTTACAAAAGGTTTCGGTGAAAATCTATGGTAAATTCCCGGTGGAAGGATAAGAAGATCACCTTTTTCGACTTGCATTCTAATCCAATTATCTTTCGGGTCTCTAACATCGAAATAACCAGCACCATCGATCCAAAGTCGTATCTCCTCGTCCGGGTGAAGATGTTCAGTGAAAAACTTTTCACATTTCGCATTATAATCATCCGATAATTCTGGATACATTTCAAGAACATCGGACCCAGAATAACCTCGTTTCAAGCATATTTCACTTAATTGTTGCTCATAATTGTCATTGTCAAGCTATTAGATTGGAACGGAAAAAGGAAATAAATTGATTAATGTTACATGAATACGAATAAATTTCATGACAATTTACCTTCCAGGTAAGAACTCCAGTTCTCTCTTTCAATTCTTTACCCTCAATGAACTTCATGGGCTCCGGTTTATGAGGTGACAGGGGATCAGAACCATCGTTAGTATATTCCCAAGCTAAAACCATGGTGTTAATTAGTGGTGATGATTAGTGAACAATTGGAAAATAGTTTCAGATTTTAAATTCACTTTTGTAAACACAATCTCTTGTTATGATTTAATGATTTGCTTTATTGTTAATCAAGGTTAATCACAGAACTGGTTGTGACGTTGGTTTAGCTGATCTCTCTCTCTCTTTAAATGATTTCCAGTTTAATTGTTGAACAACAGTCAAGAAAAATCAGATAAATGGATGAATATGAGATAATATTAAGGGAAGAATTATCATTTATCATGAACAATCAGTGAAATATTTAATTGCTCTTGTGTTACACAAGAGATGAGAATTTAATAAGAGAAAGAATCAGGAAACAATTAACTAATTGTTAACCAGGACAAATTAATTTCCAATCATATTTATCATCTCATTGAAAATAATCTCTTTTATCAAATTACATTAGCAAACAATCAAAATATTGAGCCTAAAATATATTATAATTAAGAAAAGATTGTTAATCAAAGTTGATAAGATAATCTTTTCAGTCTTGTTGTTAGCAAAATCTGACTCTTAATCACTCACAATTAGGGATTAATTGTAAACATAAGACAGCAATTGACGAAATAGAGATTATTTTTAACAAGGAGACTTTAATCCAACTGATTATTTGGTAATAACTAAAATTATTTGGTTAATCAACATGAATTTTTCGGTTAATTAACTGTTACAATTAATCAATCCAATAGAACTGAAATCTTTCCAAATCACTTTTCTCCAATTTAATTCTCATTCAAATCTATTCATTAATCATTCTGCTGAAAATTTCAACCTTCACATCAACAGGGATAACCTTTAATCTTTAATTGTAACCGATTTAATTATCAAAATGATAACAATCAGTCAAGAATTAATGTTAATTTACTATTTCCTACCAACAGATGGAGTAATTGCTTTGGAAAATTTTTCTGGTTAATTTTTCCTCTTTTTCCCTGGTTGATTAATAATCAATTTACTATTAATTATTAACTATGAATAATAAAATTATCTATTTACCTTATACCAGAAAAGAACCATAAAGATAATCTCAATTTCATGTTCATCAGTTATCAGAGTTTTGCTCTTTGAATGGACATTGAAAAAGGAGCGAAACTTAATCATGTTAATCGGGACGAGAATCAATCTACAATCAAATTGATTGTACTGAACGCGCGAGACTTTGAACGTTAATAATTTTTTGATTCTGTCAAATTTTGCACTTAATTGTATTTTAATTAAAAGCTAAATGTCTAATATCTTGAAGCTGAATAAAGTTCTAAGAATCAGCTGAGTTTCATTGTGATTTATTCATAGGGACAACGGAGTTTTGTTATGTGACCTCTTAAGGAAAAACATTCGTTTTCCCTGTTCGAGATATTTGTTGAAAAGGGAAACAGCCTATGATAATAGAAGCCCTGAGTATCTCTTTATCGCTAGATGGATTCGATAATACAGAAACGGCCGTTAAAGTGCAGTCGATATGCCAAAACCAGGACAATTACTCGAAATTGTAGAGGTCTGAGAGTAACTGAGTCCAATTGTAACTCATCTCCTTGGTGTGGAAAAGTCAACTGCAAAATGGGTACTTGGTAACCTCACGTGCTGACTATCGGCCATAATGTCAACAAGTCGCTTCGAGTAAAAATCTTTAGGACTTTTCTTTAAGACGCTTCGTTCACTATGGATGAAAGCTGAGTTTATACTTATGACCCTTTAACAAGAACCGGAGCGATGGAGTGAAAAGCATAGAAGAGGTCACCAGGAGAGCGAAGGTTTATTTCCGATGACCTTAAGGCACCTGTGCGGGTATTTTTGACGATCAACCTTCGCAACTTTATTCCAAGAAGTGTTATCTCAACTACCTGAAGTTATTAAAAATAAACAACAGTTTTATACTTTGAAATTCGTAGGCAATAGTTCAAAAAGAAACTTTCGAGTGACCACAGTTTATAATAAGTCTGAGTCCTTGTTCGACTGCAGTCTTATCATCCGCTCTTCGCTAATCTGAGGTTAATAATCACTCGGCCGATTTAATAATTAAGACAAACATTCGATTCTAACGCCACCTCTCGTCATTTGACGACATTAAACGAAATTTAATTTTTCTTGTCATTTGATTTCTATTGATTGAGTTGATCGTTTATAAGTTGTTATTGATTATCATCATTATCGTCATCGTCATTATCTGAATTGAACGAGATCAACAATTTACCATCGATTTAATAGAAATTATAATCTCTCATCTTGTTGACTTTGTGTTTCTATTCTCTTTTTCATCGGTGTTTTTTTCCTTTTACTGATTTTCATCAACACAATATTTTTCTCTCTCCTTCTGATAAGTGAAATTATTTTTCTATTATTTCCTTTACTTTATATTTTCGATTTTTTTTTTCTCTCTCTCTCTCACCCTGTCTTTCTGTATCTGTGTCTGTGTCTTTTTCTATTCTGTGCCTTTAATCTGTTTGAAGCGAAAAGTTTGCTCCATTTTTCTGCAACCATTTTAATGTCAGTGTCTCGTACGATACCTAAATTAAGATCACTCGGTTATGATGAGTATTCAAAGAGTTTACAGAATTCATTTGAAGTTGATGACCTTGATTTCACCGAGGGAAGTAGCACCGAGCTGAGCAGCGATGAATGTGACCACGAGTTGCAGGTACGTAACGAAAAACACTCATCAGAATTGATCACTTTGCGAATAGTTTCAATCGCTATCACCACCACCACCTCTGAGCGACCTGACGAAGAGAAGACAAAGAAAATAAGTTGATATCAACAAAGAGAAATGTGATAGTGATAATCTGACAATAAATGAGTCAAATTCTTTAATTAATTAAGATTAAAACAAGTGGAAGGAGAGATTAAAAGAAGAGAAAAATCAACAAGTTGAAATTTTATTAAGATTATAAGATTATCTCTTTTTTCTCTTCTCTTCTCTTCTCTTTGTCCCAAGAAGTCAATCACAAAATTGATCTTCTTAATATTCTCCAATTACAGTTAATCATCAACAATTAAAATCTACTAACAGTAATTTCAAAAGTGTATTAATTACCTGATAAATTAACTCTTCTTCCCTGTTTTCCAATTTTCTGTGTGACAAATATGCGACAATATAAACCCAACCAAAGGGATAATCTAATTTCTGTCAACCAACAATTTAGAAATGTAATTCAATCAATAATCCAATCAGTTGATGATCATACAACAATTAATTTCTTCCCAATAGAATAGAAAACAGAAACTCTCAAGTCCTTTTATTACCCCGATATCCAAACAGTCCAATCAATAGTCAAGAACCAAACAATTTACTAATTGTTAGACTTTTGCTCCTCAATATCTTATCTCCACTTTTCGTATTCATAAATCAACATGAAAATTGATTTAAACATTAATCCAAATAACAATTCTAATGAAATCAACTCTTTTTCATGATTATCATCTACTCTCTCTCTCTCTCTCCACCCTGGATCCAACTTCAGCCATATAATCATCACTGGAGGATAGTTCGAAATGTACTTCGTTGGTCACCGTTCGTACAAACCTACAAAAAAGTGAAGTATCCTTGGATCCAATTAGCTGGTCATCAAGGTAAGATTAATTGTGATTCCAGCTCTCTGTTGATTGTCCATTGTATTCCAATACATTCAATTTACGAAAGTGATGCTAAACTGTCAATCCAATTTCGTCTTCGTTATAAATACATTGCGAATTTCAATTGATTTTCTCTTCAACCTTGTTGCTTTTTCTTTCGTCCGCCATCTTTTTTTCTCTCCGTCAGAAGTTGATTTTTTTTTCGTTTCATCAATTAGCCAGAATTCTAAAAATAAGACAAACTTTTCGTCAATGTTTTCCTCACATGAGAACTGATTCTCCACGAACAAAGAGCTCGACTATTGAGCTGTCATCGAAAATTAATAACAGTTAACATGATATTTCGTTGTCATTATTCAAACTCTTTGTGAATCTCTTTCATGGTGATTAATCAGATTAGTTTCTATTTTTAAATTCTATTCTTTTTCTTTAAATTAACCTTATTTTCGCTCTCTTTTCATAGGTAATTTCATTTCAGGAACCGCGGGGACAATTCTCAAGAAAAGTTGTGGTGAAGAAGAAAAATGTTTCCAGAAATTAGTTGGTGACCCTTTGAGTGAGTTCGTGCCTAAATTCAGGGGCAAAACCATTTCCAATGGAGAAGGTAATATGTTCAACAACTTATCAGCCATAACAATTAACTGATTATGACTACCATCATGCTACTAATCAACACTTTGACTAACTTATCATTCCAGTCACAACTTATCAGCACTTTAAGATGTGATGTAATATCATATTGTTTCTTATATTCCATCATCTTAACTGTTTATCTCTTTTTTTTTCTTAGAATTTCTCGAACTAGAAGATTTATTATCTAAATTCGACTGTCCCAGTGTGATGGATGTTAAGATTGGATTGCGAACTTATCTAGAAGATGAACTGATTAAAGCTCGAGAAAAACCTAAGCTTCGCAAAGATATGTTTGAGAAAATGATCGCCGTGGATCCAGATGAGCCCAATGAAGAGGAGCGAAGATTAAAAGCCGTCACTAAACCTCGATATATGGTTTGGAGGGAAACCATTAGTTCAACAGCGACGTTAGGATTTCGTATTGATGGTATCAAATTTAAGGATGGAACGACTAGTAGAGATTTTAAAACAACGAAAACGGAGACTGATGTAATCAAATCAATTCAAAAGTTCACCGAGAACAGGCATCTAATCATTGTGAGTTAAATTCAATCAGAAAGTCATGGTGATTTACATGGGGATTAAAAAAGAAACAGAAAATCATTGATTTCTGTCATCTTTTGTCTACTTAAAAACAACCATAATATTGATAGTATATGATGATAAGAATTAGGGAACAAAAAAGTTAATCATCAAGTGATGATTGACCGAAAAGATATAATTTAAAGAATTAGTGTCTTAATAGGCCGCTAATGTGCAGAGATTAAGTCTTGACTTTTTCAAGCTTAGGATATAATATGATAATCGCCTTCACGTAAATAATATGACGTTAAGAACGAAAGAGATACAGAAAGAAGCAAATTAAATGATTGGATTGCTCCTGGTCACAGTTTAATTTATTATCGATGGTTATTATTATTAACACAACTATGGAGGAAACAACTTCTCCCTCAGCTCTCTCTCTCTCTCTCTCTCTTCTCTCTTTTTTTGGTCCTTCAAAACGTTTTTTTGCTATTCCTTTTCTCTCTCTTATTATTTCGCTCTCACTTGTTTATCAATTTCTCTTGGTCCTATCGCCCTAAGGCAAACATGCGACTCTTAGGGAAGGAGAAAGATAAAGAGAGGAAAACAAGTGAATCAAGATGAAGAAGAAGATATCAGGACAAGATTTTCTTTCGCACTTTTTATCTCTCTCACGCTCACTTCGTGTTAATAATATTTTGAATGTTTGATTGAGAAAGATTTGTAATTGTGATAATTGTCTTTCGGTATATTAGAATCATCTTATAATATATTTTACTTTTCTCTTGAATACTTATTCCTTTTATTGGAATAGAAAACCAGCTCAGTCATCTTATTCTAGAACTTTTCTTGTTTCTTTTTCTTCGAGTGACATTGTTGTCAATACATAGAGAATAAAAGAAAAGGGAGCAATATTTTCTCATTCTACTGATTGTTCGTCAATTGATTCCCATCATCTTCTTATCCTTCTTCTTCTTTCGTCCTGTCACAATATGAAAGAAAATTGAAAACAAACTTGAAATGTTCGATAAAATATTCTAATTGCTTACAATCCATCCATAAACTATTAATACTTATTACAATAATCAATAAATAGTAAACAAAGAATGAAAATCTAAAAATATCCCAACGAAATAATCGTTACTAAGTTTACACTATCAACGAATATTTTTACTTTTGTTTCTTCAAGTTGATTAGATATCAATTGCAATTATAAATAACAATAAACATTGTTACCAACATTAGCATCATTTGATCAGTGGAACAACTTTAATAATGATTAACAAAAAAAGTAAATATTGCATAGTACTTGTGGTATTATTCAGTTAGACTCAAGTTACCATTCATTGACTTCATGTAACTTTACTCTAAGGTGTTTCATTGGCGGTAAAACCTTGAAAAAAAACCTGTAAGGAGTAAGTGAGTGAGAGAGAGATGATGATGATGATGATGATGAGAAAGAATCACCTCCCTCTATTAACCCTGTGACATTTAAAGAAATACATAAGCAAATGTGATGATCGTACGATGTGAATACCTTTTTTTACATAAACTCTGAGAAAAGGTATTAAAGAACAATAGAAGATTTGATGATAATTTATCTTCTTTATCATCATCATCTAAGATGATGCAAAATTATTACTGATACTTGAGCTTTTTAGCACATGAAGATTGAACATTTTTTTCCTCGTTCGTTTGAAATCAAATTGTTGGTACTTTTTGTGCTCATTTGACTTCTTAATGTAAACAAGTTTTTCTTTCGCCTCCTCTTTCTGTACTTTCTTTTATCTGTTATTATTTTCCATGATTATCATGATTATCATGGTGATTCTATCATGCTGATTATTGGATAAATTGACCAAGAACAAAACAAAAATTGTATTGTCAATGTTAACAGCAATCCAAATGGTAATTTGTTATTGTGATGACAATTTATCTCCTATGGATTGAGTTACCTTTACAAATTTGAATTGTGATTAACTTTTAATGAGAAACTTTTATGCTCTCAAATGAATCAAATCAACAAGTTATTAAATTGTTATTATATTATAATAATAATTATCATCAAGGTCCTAATCTAAGCTTAAATATTTGATAATCATGATGATAATAATACACTAATCAAAAGTTAATGTTTCCATTGCAATTGAGTGCGAAATGATTTAGAAATGATGTTACTTTCATTTCCCACAATTAACATTATTTAGCGGTTATTGATTCCCTGGATATTTTTTTCCCCGCAACAATTAACTTGGCAATTTATTTGATTCGGTTTGATATTCATTATTATCATCACCATTTCATAACAATCAGTTGATACTTTTTTTTAATGATTAACTATTAATAACTTTCAATTCCTTCATCTGTATATTAAGAGTATTATCATTGTAATTATCTTGTTATCCTCCATAATCAAATTTAATTGTGAAGATTAATTTTCTCATATTAACTCTCTTCCTATGGTTATTTTTAATTTCCCAAGTTATTAATGAGATTGAGTTGATTAACAATCTATTTATAACTGAATTAAATTTACTTTCAACAATTTGATTGTTCTATCAACATATTTAAATGTAGTATTATAATCAAACATATTGTGACCATATAATGGTGACAGTTAACAGATTAACAATCATAATCTGTTGATTTGATTGTTGGTCTTAAATAGTAATTTGATATTTAGATTAGGGTGATTAATAATTAAATCAGCTGATGATGAGAAATCATTTTTATTGATAATGATTAGTATTTGTAATTAGCTACTCGAATATCAATCAATTTGTATCACAATTTAACTAATTGCTACATTTGAAATGAAGTTAATTTATCAACGGTAATTGATTAATTGTTGTAATATTGTTCTCCAAGCTTTTAATCACAATCAATTGATCGAGTTGAACAAGAAACGAAAAAATTAATTGTAGAACTTGAATTAACTCTTGTCAACCAATCAAAAAGTTAATTTAATCAAGTTAATTGTGATTTAGACAGAACAAGGATAAATCACAATTAAACAGGGAATTTAATCAAATCATCTAATAATATTTTTAATCATTACCTTTACAATTTGTATTATGTTTAATTGTGCTGAATAATATATTTAATCATCAGAATCAATGTGATGTAATAAATTGTCAATGATTAATCAAATTAAGTAGTAAAAAGTTAATCTAATCAGAATATTGATTAAAATGATTTACTTGATTTTCCTGTAATAAGAAATGAAAGAAATTGATTCATCTAATTTTCATACATTTTAATTAATCACAATTAACTTGATCACCATTTCAGATGATTTGTTTGATCAATTGGTTAACTCATAAATCGTGAATGACAATCAATTAATCACAGTTGATATTGATTTCATTTACACCAACGAAATTGATTGATCATGAAGTGAATTTTAATTTTGTTTCTCAAATCTTTCAATCAAATTAATTGTCACCAATATATCAATTAAACCATTGGGTTGACAATTAATTGCAAATTAACATTGTGTCGATATAAATTGTAATAACAATTTTCTCTCTCTTCCTTAATTTAATTAATCTTAAAATCAGCTTTTCGTTTGCTTTTTTGATTACCAGTTAATTCATAACAATTTATGATAACTCGTATTGATGGTTCGTTAATTAATTGATTAGGGATATCCGTTGAACTTTCATTTACGTCAATTAACTTCCGTCTTTACAATGATTATTATTGATTATCAATCTTTCAAAATTGTGTTTAAATGGACAATTTTCCTGATTCTAATTGTTGTCAACTGTTATTGGTAATTAATTAATTGTTTACTTTTTCTTTTAGGTAAAATATTTGGAAAGATTGAAGATTTTAAAACAAACCTTAATCAAGTCGCAGTTTTTTCAAACACACGAGGTAATTAACTTAAATTGTTCTTCTAATTGTTTACAATCATAGCCGATTAATTATTTTTCTCTCTTCAATTTAATTTAATTGTTTCTCTTTTTTCTTCTTTTTTTCCTTGTAAATGAATAAAATCAAACAATCGACGATTGGACTGATTGATATTATTGATTGGAATCTCTCGTTATACACCATGGAAACAATCAACTAATTGTCAACAATTAGATCATTGGAAGCTCATTATTGTTTGTCCATGATTTGAATAAAGCAGATATTTGGATGATAGATTTTGCCAAAACTTATCCAGTTCCGAAAAACTTGACGATAACTCATTTGAACGAGTGGATGATTGGTAATCATGAAGATGGTTATCTAATTGGAATAGATAATTTAATCAAGATATTCACAGTTCTGGAAGCATTAACAATTAAGCTTTAACACTTGATCATCAATCCCTCATTCTCATTGATTAAATTGACATTCATCACCATATCGTCCTCATCATGATGATGATCATCATTATCAGTTATAAATATCCATAATGGTTATATAAATTTCAATATTATTTATATCTAATTGTCAACCATTAGCACAAATTGATTGATTGAAATCATTGATTACAATCAATTACAATCAAGAAAAGTTTTGATTTACAATCTACCGTATTAGTATTAAATAATTTAATCTGTTGCTCTCTCAATTTACCAACCATAAATTTCTGAATCTACCAATCAAAGTTGAACTGAATTAACAGTTAAATGTAAATAATCAATGTAATTGTTATGTATTATTATCAATCTGTTTCCTTTGTAAATCAAGCCAATCCTTTTTTTCAGTTGAAACTTTGATTGAAACTTCCTCGATTCAGAAATATAATTATTGCAGACATGTCACCAGTTTCATCATCCAATCAGGGTGATGATCATGATGATAGAAAGATATTCTGAAATTCAACTCATATCTTCACGACCACCATATTCCTGCTGATTTAATCATTCTGTCAACAAGAATCATCAATGACATGAAATGAAAGAGAGATTGAGAGAGCCGAAGAATAATTATTCATCAACATTATCTACTTTTTGTCAATCTATTTTTTCACCAGCAAATATTGATTCAGATTCAGACTAATATTATTTCAAATGATGATATTAATTTAATAGCAACAATCAAATCAAACAATCGACTCGACCGAACCATTAATTACATTTCTTGTTTTCTGTACTTGCTCTCCTTCATCAACTGTTTTGTACAATATCAAAATCTAATAACTAAAGAATTAAAAAAATTTCATTCCAACCAAGAGACAATCCATGATATTATTGATTATAACAACTTCAAATTTTATTCAAAACAGTTAATCAAAACTTTGAAGGAATCAAAGAAAAATCAACAAAATGATCCAATTCAACTCTCAAGTAAATTCGCAAAAAGTATCAGACTTTGATTTTCTAATTAAATTCTTCAATCAAGAGAATAGAACTACAATTATGAACAGTTAATCAATTAGATGATCACAATTAACTGATTGCTCTCACCAGAAAAAGAAATCTTCCAACTTATTCAGATTCCGATTCCGGTTGTGATTGCAATTGTGGTTGTGATTGTTGCTGTGATTGTGATTGCGAATCAGATTCTGTTTTGACTCTGATTCGGATTCAGATGCCGATCTTGATGCTGTGGGTACAAGCGGAATAGGAGATTTTGCCATTGAAGAGTGATCGTTAGAAAAGTTCGCAATGACAGTGTCTCGAGTATTTTCACTGCTGTCAATAATAGTAGCGTCATCACTTTCATCTCTATTCACAGAATCAGGAAGAGAAGACCCATCATCGCTTCCTTCATTTTCATCTTCATTATCACCATCAGAGGAACTCGATTGGACTTGAACTCGTTCATCACTTCTTTCATCACATGGACTTGTAAAGTTCAATGCAGAAATTCCAGGTTGGACTAAATTATCCAATGTATTGACTATACATGGGATTCTATCAAATGAACACTTTCTTCGTTCATCTCAGTATCAGTTGCACTTGAGTCTGAGGAAGTTTCCGAATCAGATGAGCAATTAGATTATTGTGATGAGTCAGAGTTGTACCCATCCATAAAACATCTATTGCAGACAAGAGAATCATATTTTAAGACCCAACCCGCTGGTCAGGTATCTTTATATCTCATGGTTAGGAAGTCTATCGTTGTTGATGATTTGATTTTTCTTAAACGGCTGTTCTGGATCTTTCTACGCCTAATTGCAGAGAATGGAGTACGACAAGCAGGACAATCAGCCATATTAACAGAAAGAACAACAAGATAGAGATGGACCGATCACCAAGGGAGCAGAGTAACAAAGAGAGAAGTATCAACCAACAAAGGAGTAGCAACCAAAAAAGAACCGGATGGATCAATGACCAAAGAAGCGGAGTAACAAGAGGATAGAGAGATGGAGTGATAGCCAAAGGAGTGGAGATACAAAATAAAGAGAAAGTGAGAACTAGAGGGAAACTAAAACAAGGAAGAAAGTATAGAGAAAAGAACTATAAGAGAGTAAGAGGTAGACTGTGATTTCCTTTAATGGATTATTGTGCTTAAATATATAAAATAATAGAGTTCAGCTTCAGCTTCAGCGGTGACAAATACAGAAATAAAGAACAGCCAGAATTTCACTAATTTAGTTAATTCCAATTGGACACAAAATATGAATTCCAATTTGATCCACTTCCATGGGAATATAACCAATTAAGAGAAATTCTGAAAAAGAAACAATTAAATTAAATCTTAATTTGATTAAGTTTTTATCTTTATGCATTAATTGAAATTATTTAATTTCAAGTATTAAAACCATCTCTGGTCAAAGGTCCAAACCGATCTCCTTGATTGTTTACCACAATCAACATCAATCAACAATTAACTCACCATTGTTAATAAATTAATATTAACAACTAACTTGTTGTTGATTAAATCAGCAACAACAATCATAATGATTCTCAACCAGCAATTAGTAGGATTGGAAAGAGAGAGAAATTAATTAGAAAAGAGAAAAATAAAAAAACGAGCAATTAGAGATCACATAAGTTCTTAATCAAAAGAACTCATATGATTCTTAAGTGCTTTCACTTTACTTTTTTTCTCTTCTTGTTTCTCTGCTTATCTTAGTAATCTCATAATCTTATAAACGCGCTGAATCAAAACAAAGATTAACATTTCAGTGTAATAAATTTTAATCAATATTTCTAAATAAAGGTACAAAAGGTATAAATGATCGAGATAATTGTAGGGAAAAATGATTGAAATTTAAAGTAAAATCGAAATAAAATATCAAGCAGAAAATTAGAAAGAAAGAAACGAAATATCAGAGCGATAGGTAAGATTATGATGATCAAAGAGATGATGGTCCATCAAATTTCCCGTGATCCTCGTCGGTATTTGATTCGATTGATTTCTCTTTGTTTTTCGATTTCCTTCAGCAATCCATCGTTCAAGAAATGAGAATCATTGAAATGTCTTTTGATCTGCTCGGTATTTGTCAACAATCTCTTGCAACTGATGCATCCAAGGCCGAAGTTGGTCCGAATATGAGCTTCGACGCCGGTCACCATTGTATGTAGAAATCGGGCACCTCGAGCGTTACAATCAATACATCTTTCCAAGACACAAGCATATTTGTTGGTATTATGTCGTGATTTTTGAACTTGCGACAAATACTTCTCAAGAAGGTGGTACGAAATCCTTTTTACACTCGATGTTCCAGATGATGTATGATTTATCTATCCCAAAATAATAGGTGGGGATAGCGTCTTCTGGTCTAAGATGAGAAAGAAAAAAAGATTGAAAAATCATCGATACACGGACAATGTAGCTTGTAAAATGTAAATACTTATATCTCTAGACATAGACGAGGCGAATCATATGTAACCATCGAATTCGAGATGGGTAACATCATTTGCTCCATCTTCTCAACGAATGGGCTGGCTTCAATTTTTGGTGTTCCAAAAACGGCCTGAATACTACGTACCGTTGCATTGAAATTTGTAAAGTCGAATGTAGTTCGGGTTTGTCGTGCAAGACTTCGACCGGTAAAAGGCTAAGTTTTGCGTAATTTTGTAGAATTTTTTTCCGCTTATCTCTGGCCTTTTGGCAATGTCAATCATAATGACCATACAATGATGATGCGATGTTGTAAGTTGAATTGCAATCATTGCAGACATAAATAACGAAATTTGAACAAATATGTCGAGACAACATGTATCTGGTTTTGAGACGCTCTGGTATTGATGGCCACATAGACAATCTTCCAAGTTACATCATGTTCCCCGGATGCTGCAATTAATCAAATCCGTGACTTCATGGTCAAATACGGGCCTGTCGTTATACATCATGAAGTAAAGTTTTATTCACTTATTACGATTTTATTACTTCATTAATTAAAGACACATATTTAAATCATTTTATTCATTTGGAACTCGAAGAGAAGGGGAATATCATCCCGACTCAACTAACTCTATTCGTTACAATGTATCTTTATTTATCTTGTACATCATCATCACCTTCATCATCACCTTCATCCTCATCATCATCTTTATTTTTAGCTCGTCTCTGGTTAAGAGACGAGTAGTTGCCAATACTTTTATTTGCCAACATCTCCCCGGCCTTATGGTGACCATGCCACTGGTCAAATCCAAATCTCGAGGGTCTTCGATATATCTGTATTAGTGTGTTTTTAATGAAGAAGTTGATCAACATTTCTCCATATTAGATCCGTTCCTTGTTTTTTATAAACGGCGAGAAGAAAAAGGTTTACCATAAAGAGCATGATGATATAAATAGATTGATTAATCGTTCGTTGGTTACAAGGCTGTTTTTCCTCCACTGGTTGTTTTTCTCGCTTCTTATACGATTTAGTTTGAGATTCATGAGGATTAAATTTGTCAAACGACTTTTTCGTTTCGTTCTCAGATTTATTCTGTTGATCAGATGATTGTTTGATTGATGGTGGATCATCAGTGTTGATTGAGTAGACAAGAAAATTATCGTGTCTTAAATTTTTAGCATTAACACTTAGAGGTGGATCATCATCGAAGATTGAACTTTCATCTGATGAATCATTTTCATTCATGATTGCGAAACTATATATAGTATTATTTTCAGAAATGATCATTATCATCTGTATCACTAAGATCAGTTTGAATTACCATTTTTACCTCTTTTGATTTTCTACTTGCGGTGGATGATTGTCTTGATTGATGAATCGATTTATTTTTTCCACTATTTTCTTCATTATCATCATTTCTTGTCTCCGGGGTTCTGGTCCTTCCACTCCGTGGAAGAGAGTGTTCAGTTTGAGTTGATTGGATTCTGCAATAATCCTTTTCATATTGTTGACTGTTTGTGAATTGGGTATAACTTTGATCGTAATGAATAGGTAATGAGTATGGTTGATTAGCTGTTGCTGGATAACTGGATGAAATAGTATTAAGCTTTAGTGTGGATCGTAGTTTACGTCGACAATTCAGTTCGGTGTGACCAACTTTATTGCAATAAGTACAAACCGTCTGATAAGAAGTTCTCAATTCTCCTTGCTAATTGTTCGATGGACTTTTGAAGATTAAATGTCGTATCGTGTATGCTAGAATTTAAGTTTTCCTTTTGCATAACGAACGGATTTTTACAAGATAGCATAGCTCTTTCCGCTAATCTTGTTGATTCTAATAGTTGTTGTAGTGATTGTGGATTTTGTAAAGAAATTCCATACTTGATTTGTGGGAGTAACTTTTCCTTAATTATGCTCAGAATAATCATCTCCGGTATATTCTCATCTATTTTCTGGCATAATTCATGAATTTCATAAATGAATGACGCTGTTGATTGACCTGGTTGTTGAGTAGCGTTATGGAGTTGTTGAGATAATTGAGAACGAAAATCAGATGGACATAAATCTCGTATCATTGAATCTTTTAAACTATTGTAGTTTTTTGGTCGTTCATCTTCAGGAGTAAATTTACCATTGATAAAGTTAAAACACCTCCGTGCTGTACCTCTTAATAAGGTTGGAACGATTATGAACATTTGATCTGAAGTCCATCCATTATTCTTCGCAGCGATTTCAAAGATCGAACCATTTGATAACATCATCATTATTTTCAGTAAAATATGGGATATTGGAGGATAATTCATACTAGTAAACTTGATCAAGTTGTTGGAATGATAACATTTTGGGTTAAATTATATTCTTTTTATGATGATTGGATGAGCAAAATTCAAATTATCTAAATTAAACTACCACAGTAACGAACTGATTAGATTAAACCTTCCCATCAGAGGTTACTTATAGTAGTTTTTATAAACAGTTCTCATTGCCAATTGGCAGATATTTAATTTTCAATGTTAGCAACCTATGATTATAATAAGTTGAGCTAATTATAATCATCAACCAATTATGGTTACAGTAAAGAGTTAAATGCTTGGATCAGATCGTCTATTAGCTAATGGTTTACATTGTGAACTTTCTCTAGCTCAATAAGCTTTAAATAGTAATAAGATTCTATAGAACTAGTGATAAATGAGAAGAGAAAGAGAGAGAGAGAGAAAATAAGAGAGAAAATAAGAAAGATAAGAGAGAAAAAGAGAGAGAAAGAGAGAGAGAGAGTAAGAGAGAGAGAGAAAGAGTAAGAGATTAATAGAGTTTCGATTTACTAAGGTTGAATTCTTACATAGGGTTAACAGATAATCACTTGGATAAAGAGATAGAGATGAAATAAACTTCTCTTAATTAGTTTTTAATTTTTTTGAAATTTTATCATTCTGAGGTTCGAACGATTGATGAATTATGATATTGATTGTTCTCTGTTAATTTCTTCAAAATGTGAGACTTATTCGTCTATTTAGTAATGAAAATGTTTGAATCTTGATTGAAGTTTAGGCTCATCATGAATTGTTATTAACAGATATCTGTTTTGATTTATAACATTAGTGTTTTCTAATTATTAGTATAGTTTCAGTAGCATAACTATCAATATTCGTTTTTCTATGGTAGTTTTCTTCAAAATTTAATTGGACAATCGATCTTTTACTGATTATTATTATCATTTTTATCAATTAACATCAACTCGAGATTAAATCGAGCTTAATTATTTGCAAAACCTCAAATTTCAAGATTTTGTTTAAGATTAAAAGAAATCGAGAAAGATTCAACAAGTAGAAGTAATGAAAAATTCACACTGACAATAAAATATCAACTTTAAGTGTAATTGATATAATATTCAACCCAAGCTGTTAATAGCAAAAGTGAGTATTATTAATAATATTGGCTAGTTGAATTTGAATTAGATTAGAAAATTTTTATATTTAACAGAAGTCTTCAGGGTAAATCGTTGTATCACCAGAAAATGGGACAATTTTTTGATAGATAATAATGATTAACAATTCGTATTTATATTGATCACAAATTCCGTAATAGGTAATTGCACAATAAACTTGATTTTAGGTAATAAACCACAGAAACTATTACGTTTGGAACAGTCAAATTTTTCACGAAACGAATGGGAATTTATAATTTAACTGGTGAGATGAACTTCGTCATCCGGCTCGACGGACCAATTGAAGTAAAGTTTTATTCACTTATTACGATTTTATTACTTCATTAATTAAAGACACATATTTAAATCATTTTATTCATTTGGAACTCGAAGAGAATATCATCCCAACTCAACTAACTCTATTCGTTACAATGTATCTTTATTTATCTTGTACATCATCATCACCTTCATCATCACCTTCATCCTCATCATCATCTTTATTTTTAGCTCGTCTCTGGTTAAGAGACGAGTAGTTGCCAATACTTTTATTTGCCAACACATCATAAAGATTTGGAAGCTCCGTGATTGTTGATGATAATGGAGATTAAGATTTCGACAGCTCCTAGAAAAAGTCAAATCGTTATTAGCAGTAGAAAGAACGTGAAGAAGCAAATTTATTTGGGCTACTTACCAGTTTAAGTAAACAAGGCCTACTGCTGGAATGACGTTGGGAGCGATAACATTGTAAAGTGCAATTATCGAAGAAAAAATCGAAATTTGCTCTTGATTGAGACCAGCCTTGAACTCTTCGAAGGTATCTTTCCATTTAAATTCTGTTGCGGCCATGGCATAAACACAACCTGTAGACAAATCTTTATCCAATTGGACTCGAAGCGGTGAACTTTCCGAACGATAGCTAACAGTTTATGAAGATGACGATGATTGATTTATTACAAGTGAAAAAAAACCAAGATTTTTTCAGTGCTCGTTGTAGGGACATTAGTGTCTGACCCAATTTGAAAACTGAAATATCCATGTTTCAACTAACGATCTGCACAGAGTTCAGGTTGTTATTCATGAAATTGAAGTGCGAATACTGCCAGACATTGGTCAGTAAGCTTTTGGTTGAAATAACGGGTAACTTAAGGAGCTCCAAATTCAACGATTGAACTATAAAACTCGTTATATTTGTCCAGTTGTAATCAGAGTAAACAATTGCCTTCAGAATTTTGAGTTCAGCATCGCTCTGTTGTACATTAATGTTTCTTTTGCTGCATATTATCTCTCGTAAGAATGTTTGAACAACATGAAAGATGCAAACATGAACTGCGGCCTGAGGACAACTCTGTAAATGAAAAAAAGAGTGGATGAAATCGAGTATTCAAAATGTGTTTAATGATTTGGACTTAGCTCTGAAAATGCATAGCGATTGTCCATGTCATTGTCAGCCATGATGACTTTCGTGAGTACAAGATTCCGATTACACTCGCATGAAAGAAAGTGAAACTACTCCTAAAGAACCATTCGATTCTGATTCAATTTATATGTTTCATCAACATGTAAAATTTTGAAATACATTTTCTATAATTCTTTCATGTATTGGTCCTGAAAAATAGAGTGTCAACAGTTTCACCAGAGTAAGTTGCATACACTGCATTGCTTTGTCTTTTTTATTCATCTCACTGACGAGTCTTTCGAACTCAGTATTGTTAATATCATCAACTAGATTCACTTAACGATTCTGTCGCACAAAATTTATCACATCTTTTCCGGTGATTGATTTATTAAGTTCCGTTTTAAATTTCTAAACCAATGCTTTAGTATTACCTCCATTCCTCCTCATCGATAATCACCTTTTTTCTTCTGCATTCAATCTTCGCAGCCACTTGAATAATCCTGATTTTCCAGCCAAAGCACAGATATGCTGATTGTTCTCTGAAGTCACAATCAACACCTTTCTCTACTACTCGTCTCTTAACCAGAGACGAGTTGCTAACAACTAAAAATAAAGATGAAGATGAAAATGAAGATAAAGGTTATGAGGGAAGTGAATTATCTCTCTCTCTTGGTCTTTCTCTCTCTTACTCTATTCTCTCTATTACTCTCTAACGCATGTCTTATCTCTCTCACCCTTTTCATTTTATGTGAAGAAACTCTTACCTTTATCATTATAACCATAATTGACTGCCGATAATTTTAGAACATCTAGTTACATCCATTATTTGTGTAAACATTTTGAAAAACTAAGTTACTGCCAATTGGCAATGCGAGCCACTTTATTTAACCTCCGATGGGAAATTTTAATCTAATCGGTTCGTTACTGTGGTAAGTTAAAATTACATTGTTATAATTTTGGTTTTCATCCAATGACTATAAAAGGAATATAATTATAACCCTAAATGTTATCACCACAACAATCCGATCAATTTACTAGTATGAATTACCCTATTTATATCCCATACTTAACTGGAGAAAATAATGATGATGTTATCAAATGGTTCGATGAATTGGTGATTGCTGCGCAGAACAATGGATGGACTTCAGATCAAATGTTCATAATCGTTCCAACCTTATTAAGAGGTACAGCACAGAGTTATTTTAACATTATCAATGGTAAATTTACTCCTGAAGATGAGCGACCTAAAAACTACAATAGTTTAAAAAAGTCAATGATACGAGATTTATGTCCACCTGATTTGCGTTCTCAATTATCTAACCAGCTCCATACGCTACTCAACAACCAGATCAATCTGCATCGTCATTTATTTACGAAATCTTTGAATTATGCCAACGAATACAGGGCATTTCACCAAGTTTCCAACAAGTTTTTCGCGAATAACTTTTTTGTCTTTGTTTTGAAATGTAAGCTCAAAAAATTTTGGCCATTACCTAGTTGTTTACCTAATATGCATCTTTTGAATTGGTTAGAACTTTCAAAATTGACAATGCAAAATGGTCAACAATACATAATAAAGGGTAAATTGCAATTTCGTTGTGCCAATTGGTTGTTATTGACTTTTCACTTTCAACTTTTTCAAGTTTATTGACTGAGCTGGAAAACGACTTTCACCAACTTTTCGACCAAGTCGAAACCCGATTTATTTGATTATCACCAAAATCAATCCAAACGAGTCGAGGTAATCCAGTGAAAGTATAATCATGAAGATGAGTTATCTTTGAATTACAAATTCGAATGACCTCAAGTTGACTGCCGAAGTTACTTCCATGGGAATGGATCGATCCACCGTTGAACGCATTAGCTGGTACATCCTCTAAATTGGATGTGATTATGTAAAAACCTTTTAAATTACCAAAGTTTCGAACTACTCTGAACAATTGGACACCATCAACAAGATTCGGTGTAAATGTAACATCCATCAGGACAATTTCACTGGTTTGACTATGAGTTGAGGTGAAGGCATTTGCATGGATAACACAAATCTTTGAATCAGTAATCTTAATTGTCTTGAATCTGAATCCTTCCAGCATATCCTCACAACAGATATTTAAAAGACCGACATCTTTAATGACCAGAATATCATAATATCGTGAAATATTGTGATGATTATGGTTATTATAATGATAAGCCCGATTAAAAGCTTCCTTGATTTGTTTACCATTTACACCTGAACAGGTAATTTGTGAATAATAATTAACTGAATCAAAGGAAACTACTGAACAATGACAAGGGTCAAAGAGATGCGGATCATCTGGACATGGGAATTCAGTTCCAACGGCCCATGAGTGACCACCACAAATGAACAAATTGAAAATGATTGTCGTTGAAATAATGAAAATCATATTGGTAATTTAAGTGGACCAAATAATCTTGGGTTAACTAATTGTTATCACTTTTAAATTACATGTAGATGAAGATGATGAGGATGATGATGGTAACGATGATGAGTATCGCTTAGTTAACATGAGAAAACAAAATAAAACAACTGAATTAATAATTAACTGAATGTAATTAACAATTGAGAGAAGGAAAAATAAACAATCGCCATTAACATAGTAATTATTGTCCTTCTAGTTAATTCTGGTCCAGTTTAAATTCACTGATTTAGTTCTTAACTAATTAACTTTTTAGTTAATGGATAATAATTATAAAGAAATTTACAAATTTTGATTGGATTTTCTAATTAAAGTGAAAATTGTCACCAGAGCTATTAATTTATTCATAGTTTTGATTTTCGAGTTGGTCATAATTGAATTATCAATAATTAAGTTACTAAATGACGATTAGTCATCAACTATTAATAATTAGAAGTGACAAATTAACTTAGCCCATCTTTAATCTAAAGATTTAATTGTGATAAATGAATTTTATTAATAAAAGTATTTCTAAGGACAATTAATGGAAATCTAAATAATTGAGCAGTTAATCAATCAGTTAAGTTCAGTCATTAATTATTATCGAAATCAAGAGATTAATCAACAGGAAAATTATTTTACAGTCATACCAACCAAAAAGAAACAGTTTGCATCCAACAAGAAACGGGGGTGGGGAAGATTTTATTACACTTGTCTTCCAACCCAAAGGTTATGACCTCTACAAAAAAGCGGGAACACTTTGCAAATGACCAGAAACAGTTAGCATTTTAACTGAAACACTTGAGATAAAATTGAATAACAATGTCACCAATTACTAAAGAAGTGAAAAAGTTAATTATTGATAATTATTCTAGTGGTAAATCAACTTCGGAAATTAGCGAATTGTTTGGTGTTAATTCTAATACAATGCGAACTATCGTTCATCGACACAACATGTTTGAAACACTTGATAGACCGATAAAGAGACAATGAAAATTGAATAATGAAATAGTGAATAAGATGAGTGAATGGTTAGGGTTGAATTGACAATTGACTCTGGATGACTCAGTTGATAAAATTAAAGAAAATTACGATATCGATGTTTGCCAATCAACTGTTCGTGGCAGTGGGTCGATCTACATGGCAGGATTTCATTTCTCTTTCAAAAGGATTTCATTTGTACCTGTTAGAAGGAATACACCTGAATTGAAGGATTATCGTTACAATTATGCTATTGATTTCTTACGATTAGATACTAGTGATCGTGATAAGATCTTTTTCTTAGATGAAACTGGAATTCAAGTTCATGCTCGATTGAGTTACGGATGGTCAAAGAAAGGTAGTAGAGCTAATCTCGGTGTTGGTGCTGTTCGCGGTAAAAGTTTCTCAATATGCGCGGCAATGAACCACCGGCAATTATTTTTCTACGAGTGTAAAGAAACCGCTTACAATTCAGCAAGTTTCATTGAATATCTCCAACAATTCATTCAATTTCTTTCTAACGAAAATATCAATGGAGTGAATTTGATCATGGACAATGTAAGATTCCATCATGTTGAGGAAGTTGAACAAATTGTGTCACGATCAGGTCATCATATTAGATTCCTTCCCGCTTATTCGCCCTTTCTTAACCCAATCGAAAACCTATTTAATCAGTTGAAACATTATGTCAAAAAATATCGACCATCAACAATTAACCAAGTATTTGAATCTGTCAATTTAGCCTCAGAAATGGTATCAAGTGAAGATTGTGAAAATTATTATCGTCATATGCTGACTTATTTACCCAAATGTATTGAAAAAGAAACAATTGAAAATTAAAACTAACTGTTTCTCGTAAATTGTATTCTGTTTCTCGTCATTTGCAAAGTGTTCCCTCTAAGTTGTAAAGTCGTAAAAAAGGGGGTGAAGACGGACGGTCATAAACTCTTCCCCACCCCCGTTTCTTGTTGGTTGCAAACTGTTTCTTTTTGGTTGGGATGACTTTAATTATTTATTTCCAATCAAATCTAAAATAAAAGTGAAAAGCTAATTAATAACACGAGTAATCAAATCTAATTGTTGATTGTCCTGAGACTTGCACTAATCGATTAGAGTCCTTTTCATTTTCATAATCATGATTATCATTTACTAGACAATCAACTGGAGTTAACGCAATTTAAATTGCTTCTTGTTTAATTGACAAATTGCTTATGATATGATAGCTAAATAATAAACCAGCAATCAGATTGTTTATCATCAAAATTAACTCTTGTTTATGATTTAAACAGTAAACCAGCAATTAAACCTTTGAGAAAAGGTTGATTATTAAAACGAAAACATGATATCAGATCGTTAATTAGACAGATTAATCAATAATGTCAACAATTAACAAACAACTAAAAATAGTTTCAACATTACAATTAAACTAATTCATCATTTTATGGCCCTTGGTGGATTTACAAGACTCAATTGTTGAATTCAATATTTGAATCGATTGATAATAACAATAAAAGTACAAACTTTTTAATCAATTTTCAGCTACTTGAGTATCAACAATCAAATTGACGTTAACAATCATGAGTCCATGTTGATGGTGTTCCATCAACACCGATCATTAACGATTGTCTTTTCCATCATTAACGCATTAATTGTTAATCAAGAAGAAAAACGCCCTGAACATAAAGATTAATCTGCGTATTTTAATCATATTATCTGAGGACTATCGTTGTGATTTACCTCAACAATCAAGAATCACAATTGAACAATACTCAGACCTCCTCTTAACCACAATAAAATTTATCAATAGTAAAGAGGAAAGGGAAGAGGTCAAAACGTTTCTATAAAACAATTAAGATAAAATGAGAGAAATTAACTAGATCATGGTGAGAATACCTGAAGATGTTTAATTGTCAGTGAAATCATGAGTTAATTAAATATTGTGTTGATTAAAGAGTAAAATCTCATTTGATTAAACAAGTGCGGTGAATTAACACCATCAGAGTAAAAGACAATGTCTCCGAAAATTGATCCACAAAATTCACAATCAAATGAAAGTAACAACAATCAAATCGGTGTGGATATAAATCAAAGTGATTCGAGATCAACGACTTCGAGCAGATCTTACGGTCCTAAAACCCGAATACCCTTTCGATTTTATATCGCTGTTTTTGGCCTTTTCTCATCTTTATTATGTTTCTCAGTTCGAACTATTTTCAGTTTCGCCATTTTAGATATGCTCGAGTCGGAAGAGGAGCAGCGCAATGCCACAGGGTAATTACAATCAGAGAACAATTCGATTTGATCAAATTGTTTACTTTTTAATTGTCGTTAACTTTTGTCTTTCTGTCATTTCTTTCAGTCCTCCTCGACCTTACAAAGTGAGATGGACTGAAGAGGAACAGGGTGTCGTCCTTGGTGCTTATTCTTATACTTATGCTGCTCTTCAGATCCTTTGTGGTCGTTTATCTGACAAATATGATGCGACCCACGTGAGTACAGTCTCGCACATTTTGTCCCTACTTTGTACAGTACTGACTCCGTTATCAGTGAATGGCGGAATCGCTACGACAATTGCAGTTCGTTTGGTCCAAGGTATCGTCCAGGCTCCAATCATATCAACTCTTTATGTTATTTACGCTCAGTGGTTCCCTCCAAATGAAGTTGGTCTTCCAATTGCTGGACTTTTAATTGGGTCAAACATCGGGTCTGCCCTGGTCATGCCGATCACTGCCTGGCTGTGTCCGTTTGACCAGTACTGGGAGGGATGGCCACTTTCATTTTATCTTTTCTCGGGGCTTAATGTGATCTTTGTGATTCTTTGGATGATTTTTGTCACCAAAGATCCAAGGGACAATCGATGGATCTCAAAAGAAGAGCTTGAATATATAACCAGTACTCGAACAAAAAAAGACAAGAAAAAGGTAGAAATGATTTCTAACTTGATTAATCAATTAACTAATCGTTGATTTCCTTTGACAAGATGAAAGTTGATTGGAAGGGAATGTTATTCTCATTGCCTCTTTGGTCAGTGACAATCGCTCGAGCGGCCAATTCATTTGCATACATGTTAATGAACTTCAAAGCTCCAGCTTATTTGCAAGAAGAGCTTAATTTCAATCTAAAAGACAACGGATTCATCAATGGACTTTTTTACATTGCAATTATGACCACAATGTTTGCGTCAGCACCGGCATCGGCATGGCTCATCGATCGAGGCTATTTTAGCGTAACAACAACTCGAAAGATATTTGAGTTTATTTGTAAGTCGATTCAACCAGCATTTTACTCAAAGACTCGTTATCTTATCATGTATTTGATTAATTGGGTTTACTCTCGCCTTGATTGGTGCACTAATCATTCTGGTTGAAACAGTAACAAGTTACTAATCTTAATTGCTCTCTCTCTCTCTCTCTCTAATCTTCAGGTAACACTGGATGTGCAGTATCAACCCTTTTAATCCCGTTCACAGGTGAAGACCCTTGGATTAAGGTGATGCTTCTGATCACTCTGATGTTCATGAGAGGATTTTCCACCGCTGGTGATCAATCAATCATCTCAGAAATGGCTCCCGATGCTTCCGGATTAGCATTTGGAATCTCTAACACACTTTCATCAGCCATGGGATTCTTGGCACCTTTGGTCGCTGGAATAATCGTCGATGCAAATGTAACGACGATAATTGATTTGTAAAAATGGTCATAAATTAATATTATTTATTTGTTTTCTGTCTCTCAGTCTGAATCAGCTCATCCTTGGAACATGGTCTGGATTACATCGGGAATCGTTTCTTTGGTTGGTGGAACTTTTTTTCTTCTATTTGCTTCAGCTGAACCTCAGCCCTGGGGAACTTTGGACTATAAACCAGGAAAAGGAAGTAAGAAGCCGATCGCTCGAGAAACGAGCGTCATTCCGTCATCGGAAGTTTATCATGTGATGGAAAGAGAATTAACATTGAAGAGAAAAGATAAAACTTTGGCTTCCAATGTTTACGTAATTTCGAACGCTAATCCAAATCTCGAATCTGGTCAATTATCATCGACCACTAGTCGAATCGCCGAAGCCAAAGTATAATCAGTTCATTTTGATTGTTAGTTATTCAGACCAAACCATTAATTACATTTCTTTTTCTCTGTGCTTGCTTTCCTTCATCAACTGTTTTGTACAATATCAACAATCTAATAACTAAAGAATTAAAAAAATTTCATTCCAACCAAGAGACAATTCATAATATTATTGATTATAACAATTTCAAATTCTATTCGAAACAATTAATCAAAACTTTGAAGAAATTAAACAAAAATCAACAAAATGATCCAATTCAACTCTCAAGTAAATTCGCAAAAAGTATCAGACTTTGATTTTCTAATTAAATTCTTCAATCAAGAGAATAGAACTACAATTACGAACAATTAATCAATTAGATGATTACAATTAACTGATTGTTCGCACCAAGAGAAAGAAGCAAATTTATCTTCCAACTGGCTCTCTTTCTCTCTCTCTTTCTCTGTATACACTTCATTTTCTGTAGAAATTGTTGTTTGTTTACATTTTGTTTTCTTTTCCATTTGAAATACTTACTATTGATTCTTATTTATTGTCAACTTTGATTGTGTTAATTTATTAATTTCTATTGATTGTTAATTGTATCATGGAGTCAACGAGTATAAAATACTTTCCATTTAGCTCATTAATTGAAACTTCTTTCTGGCATTCGCTTTCTCAGAATAAATTGAATATCTACAAATTGGATGAAACTGAGATTCCAATTCAAGCTTCTTACAGAAATGGTAAATCATTTAGACGATTTCAGTTAATTGTTCCAATTGTTCATCTCATTTACTAATTTAATTCATCTTCTAATTAGATTCATCTCGTGGCCTTTATCCAATTGTATCTCTTGACTATGAATCTTTTAATGTCAAGTAAGTGATTTTCACCTTTTAGGTTGTCCTTTTATTAGCTGATTGGGATTTCATTTTGTTTTCTATCATTTTAATTACAGAGATTCTTGGACTGATTGTAATTCATTTCCACTCTATGGATCACTGATTATCGCTAATACCATTGAAGATTTTAAATCTCTTGATAAAACTCAATTAACGGAAAAGATTGGAGGTCAGGTAAGAATTTCTATCAAATATTTTGATTCTATTTTCCCTTGTTCCTCAAACATATGATCAATGTTTTTCTCTATATTCTTGTTGATCATAATTGTCACAATACCTAATTATCAATCTAATGACCGTAATTTAGACTAGTTCGAGGTCACTTTTGTCTTTGTGAATCTCTGACGTGTTGGTGTTGATCTTGACTGTCTGTCTATTGAACGGATTAACCTTTGTTATTGGATAATGTTAATCTGATTAAATCTTTTTTCTGTTCTTAAAACATCACAATCTTTGATCTAAACCAGATTAGGGTAATTGTCAACTGTTAAACTTTAATCAAATGGTTGATAACCTTTATTTTTCACCAATTAACCTTTAATTGTTTCGGAAATGACCCGTTAATCTTTTAATCCTCCGATCAGCTGTTTGCTCATTTGCACGACTAAAAGGAAAGGTTAATCCACTTAATCCAATGATCTCTTGCTTGTTGATGAATATTATTAATACTAATTGATTATTTTCCTCTTTTTTTTCATTCTCAGATCTGGAATAATATTATAAACTCAGAATCTTCGGACAATTTACCATCAATTCTATCACGATTTCTGCTCATCGTTTACGCGGTAAATTTTCAATTCAATTTTCTGTCATGAAAACGAGTTTTTTTTTTAATTCTCTTTGATTACTTTCTTAATTGTTTAGGATCTTAAAAAATATCGATACTATTATTGGTTCTGTTTCCCTGCTCTCTGTTTTCCCAAAGAAACAATTAACTGTTCACAAGGGCGATTTCTATCTGATCTTCATTCTGAATCTGTGGTAACTTTTTCATTGATCTTCTCATTTAAATCACAACAACAATTAACTCATTTATCTTTTACCATTAAGGTCTCATCTTTGGTTTCTACTCACAAAGAATTACCAATCAATGATCGAAGCTATTTTCTCACCTTAATTTCTGGTGACAATCAAGTTAAATTGTTCCCATTGAAAGAATACTCCAATTTACTCAAATCATCTCAAAAGGTGAAAACTCATTAAATCGCTTGACCATTGGACTAATTTGATTTTTCTGTATTTTAAGTTTTATGTCTCGTTTGCTGACCCCTGCACTGACCCTAATCACCCTGGTTGGCCTCTTCGTAATCTAATCACTTACCTGGTTAAACGTTTTGAAATTCAATCTCTTGATGTTTTATGTTATCGTTTTAAAAATAACTCAGCGGGATCAAGTTTAATCATCCATTTGACCTTCGATCAGGTCAACAGGAATATCACTGAATATCCTGGAGCCATTGGTTGGGAAAAGAATGAAAAATCAAAACTTTTACCCAAAATAACTGATCTGAGTGCGACTTTAGACCCAAAAGTCTTAGCGGGTAATTCAGTCGATTTGAATCTACGGCTCATGAGATGGAGACTTATGCCTGAGTTGAATCTGGAAAAAATCGCTGCGACTAAGTGTTTACTTCTCGGTGCTGGAACTTTGGGTAGCAATGTTGCCCGAGGGCTTTTAGTAAGTCTATGAGATAAAATAATTCTCTATGTGTTAATAAATCTTACCTGTTTTCTTTATTCAAGGCTTGGGGTGTCCATCAGATTACGTTTGTTGATTCGGGAAAAGTATCTTATTCTAATCCAGTTAGACAATCTTTGTTTCAATTTGTTGATTGTCTCAATTCTGGTCGACCCAAGGCCGAAGCTGCTGCCGAAAATTTGTCCAAAGTTTATCCGAATGTGATTAGTAAAGGTTATTCTTTTACTATTCCAATGCCTGGACATGCTTCTTTCGTCGAAGGTACAAATTTGATTCCATTGCCAACAATTAACTTATTCTAATGATTTCTTTTTCCTCTTTGTATAATAGATATTGAAGAGACTTCGAAAACAGTCAGTCAATTAGAAGAGTTGATTAAAGAACATGATTGTGTTTTCCTTTTAATGGACTCACGGGAAAGTCGTTGGTTACCCACAGTTTTAGGTCAAATTCACGGAAAAGTAAGTCTTCAATTGATTCGCTTATTAAATAATCGATGTCATTTTTTTGATCAACTCATTGTTTGTATATGATTACAGCTCGTCATCAATGCAGCTCTTGGTTTCGATACTTATTTAGTCCAGAGACATGGTGTACCTCCATTAAATAATTCATTATCATCGCCATCGTCATCGGAATCATCTTCTAGTGCAAATGAATCAAATCGTAAACTTGGCTGTTATTTTTGCAACGATGTCGTCGCTCCTGGAGATGTAAGTTTAATATTTGATAATTTCTTACAATCAAAGTTAAAAATCAATTTCTCTATAAAACAATAGTCTTCCCGTAATCGAACGTTAGACCAACAATGTACCGTTACACGTCCTGGGGTCTCAATGATCGCAAGTTCGCTCGCAGTTGAATTGATGGTCTCCGTCTTACAACATCCGTTAGGGTAAGTGTTTCATTTAATCGTTTAAGATGAGAGATCTCATCTCACTTCATAGATGGCGACCATGAAGAAGCCTGAAAACTTTTGAAACTTTTCTGACCTGAAATCGCGGTAAAAATCACGATTATCATCTAAAGAATAGATAATCCATGATTTAATTTTATTTTGGATTAATTAGAGTCTTGAAATTCAATTTAAAAAACAATGTGATAAAAAGTTTATTTGAATAATTAGCAAAAGAGACAGTTAAAACACGAACAATTAAAACTTAATCAGTGAGACAATCAAATTTTGAGTTAGGAACCTAAATGAACAAATGATTAAGAATAAGTTAACCACAATTAACGAGAAGAATTGACTTTAAAAAGGTTGAAAGAGAGACGAAAACAATTAAAAGTAACCATGAGAACCATAATTTAAATTGTCTAAGCTGATTTAAAGTGTCGCTGTTGTTGCTCAAGGAATTCGGACTGAACTAAATACTCTCGAACTGGACGTTGTTGGGGTATGATCAAGTATTCTCGTTGTCGAGTTTGTTGAAGATGCTGATGATGAGGTGAATGATAGTAAACTTGTCGTGCTGGAGCTGTGTGAATATGAGTCTCGTGATGATGATCATCAGCTGAGTGATCGCGATCATATTTGATCTTTCGACAACATTTTCGGAAAACCTCGACTCCCGGTGGAGAAGTTTCAACAATTAAACGACTTCGATCACAAACATTGGGCAAATTTTTGGACCAAATTGTTTGTCCATCTTCGGTACACTTCATCTCTTTCAAGTGGAACATATTATCTTCCTTGTGATTGAATAACCATCGATGTCGACAATCACAGATAAATGGATTAGATTCAACGTAAATAACATAATTGGGTCGACGTAGAAGTGGCTCGAAAATTGTCTCGGACAAAGTTGACAATTTATTTGAATTAAGGTAAATCGTTGTCGGCCTAGTTAGGTTACCATTGTCAAAAGAACCTGGTTCAATATGTTCACTGTGTAAACGATTACCACTTAAACTAATCTCAAGTGGAGCATCAGTGTATTGGTGATAATCCAATGTAAAAGTCTTACCAGTTACCCGATTTATTTGATTATCACCAAAATCAATCCAAACGAGTCGAGGTAATCCAGTGAAAGTATAATCATGAAGATGAGTTATCTTTGAATTACAAATTCGAATGACCTCAAGTTGACTGCCAAAGTTACTTCCATGGGAATGGATCGATCCACCGTTAAACGCATTTGCTGGTACATCCTCTAAATTGGATGTGATTATGTAAAAACCTTTTAAATTACCAAAGTTTCGAACTACTCTGAACAATTGGACACCATCAACAAGATTCGGTGTAAATGTAACATCCATCAGGACAATTTCACTGGTTTGACTATGAGTTGAGGTGAAGGCATTTGCATGGATAACACAAATCTTTGAATCAGTAATCTTAATTGTCTTGAATCTGAATCCTTCCAGCATATCCTCACAACAGATATTTAAAAGACCGACATCTTTAATGACCAGAATATCATAATATCGTGAAATATTGTGATGATTATGGTTATTATCATGATAAGCCCGATTAAAAGCTTCCTTGATTTGTTTACCATTTACACCTGAACAGGTAATTTGTGAATAATAATTAACTGAATCAAAGGAAACTACTGAACAATGACAAGGGTCAAAGAGATGAGGATCATCTGGACATGGGAATTCAGTTCCAACGGCCCATGAGTGACCACCACAAATGAACAAATTGAAAATGATAGTCGTTGTTATAATGAAAATCATATTGGTAATTTAAGTGGATCAAATTATCTCCGGTTAACTAATTGTTATCACTTTTAAATTAGATGAAGATGATGAGGATGATGATGGTAACGATGATGAGTATCGCTTAGTTAACATGGGAAAACAAAAAAAAAACAACTGAATTAAGAATTGTTTTATTTTTCTTGTTGCAATGGTTCAGCTTAATTATGAACAATCAAGTTTCTTACTATGGCGATGATTAAGATGATGATGATTAAAATATGACGTTACTCTTGATTGTAACCAATTGATTAAAGCTTATCAAATGGTTTGATTATCTGTTAAAATGTAAATTTTTATACAATATTGTTGGGAGTTGTTATAATCAACATATTTCAAGGTCTTGAATATGATTTAGCTAAATTGTTAAGATGATGGCGATGATGAAGATGATGAAGATAATGTTAATGAAGAAGATGCAATTTAAACTTGATTGCAATTAGTTAATTCTGTCTTACCAGAATGTATTCGCCTCAATTAACTGAGCTAATTTATTGAGATGAGAGTAAAAAATGATGAACATGATTAAGTTTGAAATTGTGAACAAAGAAAAAGCAAAACTCTGTGGGTAAAGAAAAAAATGATTCCCAGAATCGTGAAGGTTATTCAGGGTATAAAATAATTCCTATGATAATCGTAATTTACTAATTGTTGAACAATTTATTTATCCTTATCAACGCCTACAGGTCGTATGAAAATACATTGGAAGGTCAATTATTCACTTGTAAATCTAAGTTAATCAAGTGATTTCGTTCAATGTTACCATAGGATTTTCTCTTTAGCAACAATTAACAACCTTAATCATTACGCCAACATATTAATTCACCAAGAATGACAACACCTTAGTTACTTTAATTGTGATCATCTTTTAAATTGTCTTATACTAAATCAAAAACAAAAGGGTTCGGGGTTTTTTTACCATTTAACTGATTAAGACAATCTTTAAGGCTTAATCCGATTTGTACAATTTACTTAACCAATTTGATTTGATTGTTAATTCTTACCTATTAGATTTACATTCCGCTTTCTGTAAACTTAATTTCTGTTGACAATTACTCAAACAATTGATTCTCAGGTAAACAAACAGCCTAAATATACTTGATATTTGTTTGGTGTTTGTTGATTGTTGACTTGTTGATCAAAGACAAATTATTCAAGATTATGTTTTCAATTTACAAGATAATCAACAATCAACAATCAACAAGGTTAAAATATATGTTATACTTGTTGATGAATTTTATAAGTTTGTTTTTGTTATTATTTCAGTTGATGAAGACGAAGATGATGATGAAGATGAAGATTATGATGGTGATGATGATAGAAAACTTTTCTTCATCATCTTATTGTGGTTTTCCTGGATTCAGGTCCAGTCTCAAGATGCTAGTTAAGGTGTGACCATGATTTAGGTATTTCTACTCATGGAGAGAGGCCTCAAGACTTTCTCTTTCTTTATCTTCCTTATCTTCATCATCATCTTCATCTTAGGCCTTGCCTCGATCACCATCTCAGGAATTTCATCTTCATCCTATTGATCATCATCAACCATGTAATACATTCATGTTATTCAGTTTTGAATAGCATGCAAGGTCAATTAGATAAATCATCATTTAAATCAATGATTATGATGATTGAAAACACGCGATTAAATCACTAAATCACAACTATGGTCATTTAAATAATTCTCATTCAATTTGATTGCTTTTCTCAAGCTAAGCTAATAATTTTTGCTTTCGATTAACTGAATTGCTGTTGTTTTCAACTTTACTCAATCACCACAATTAACTTAATCAATATTATCATGATTAACAATATCATCACAATAAATGCAATCTAATTGCTATAAATGTTGATTATATTCATCTGATTTCTGATTAAATTGGTTTATTTAATTGTTGCTGATTGTTGACAAAATGGAAAATTTTTTTCCAATCCTTTAACAATTAACTCATTAAATGATTGCAATTGTTTTGATTTCAATCAATGATTTTCCATGATAATCAATTAATTGCTGTATATCAGTTAGGTCTTTGTCTATTGATTGTCAATCAATTTGTTAATCAGGTTCTAATTTTGTTGTCATTGTAAATTGAAAAAACAAAACAATTTGTTGAGATGAATCAGATTATAATTAATTAGTATTATTCCAATTAATTATTAGCATTATCTAATAATTTATTAAACTTAATTGTCTCACTTATTATCAATCAATCAGATTTAATTTCTACCTGATTAGCTTATCATCAATTTTAGTCGATTGTTGTTCAAATAATATAATTACCTCGAAGTTAATTGTTATCATTGCAGAGCAAAAGAAAACCCAAATCAAGGGAGATTATCTTCATCTTTTCTGATGATGATCACAATTAGTTAATTGCTCAACCATCGAGTTAACAACTTAATCCATTTGATCACAATTAACAGTTGGAATACACCACTTTCCATAAGAGTCAATTGTGATCATCATGCTAATCGGTGTTGTTAATTTACTAATTGTTAATATTCATAATTCAGCAAAGCTTTACAATCAACTAATCTAGTTATCTAATCATGATATAAGTATCAAATGATTTAAAGAAATGGGTTAATTTCTTGTGTGTAAATATAATAATAATTATTGATCAAGTTAATCTTTAATTATCAAATTAGTTATTAATAAATTGCTGAACATTTGAATAATAGGTAAAAGGAAAAGGAGTTGATTAAATTGCGTGATTAAGATGATTGATTATAAATTGTTTGTCATTAGAAAAAAGGTGATTAAATCTCTGATTGTGGATTTTTCCACAATTAATTGTCACAATAATAATAATTTCGTTGCAACAATTAGATTGTTGAAACGAATCACAAAACCTCTGCTTCTGATTTGTTTTCATTTTCCCTCCATTGATTTATCAATTAGATCTTCTCATTCATCAATCATCTTCATCATTCTCTCTCTCTCTCTCTCTCTCTCTCTCTCTCTCTCTCTCTCTCTCTCTCACTCTGTGGATGAAGATGAAAAAGTTGATGACAAGCCTCTTACCCATGATACTTGAAACATAATCATGATAATTAATTATATTCATCTCAATGGATAAGGTTAACAATGTTTTTCTTACACCTCCCTCTCATCATCATCATCATCATGTTTATCATCATTAGTCTGCTCATCTTAATCACCAGAATTGATTATCACTAATATGGGACAAACAATTATCTTGATTTGTGTCTCAAAGACTTAACAACAATTTTCCTTCATCAATCAATCTCAAGATGATCAACTATTTTAATCTAATTGTAAATAATTACGAAATTCTTGGAATACTCATCATAGTAATCATACCTTAACAATTTTGTAACAATTAAATACTTTTCCGGCTCTAAATTGTTACCAATAAATACTCACTTTCTCAACTAAATTGTTACAGTTAAATGAACCAAAGTATCAAGAAAGTTTCACTTGCAATGAGAACCAGAAAAACTTTTCAAATTAGACAAAAAGTTTTGCACTTTTTTTGCATTTCAATTGTTAACAATTAATTTTAATTGTTGTTCTCTCTACTTTTTCCCATTGATTACAGTTATTATGCTCCCGCTAATCATGATCAACCTGGATCACAATCATCTGAATGTATACTCGGAATTATACCTCATCAAATTAGAGGATTTCTATCACAATTTACTCAATTTATGCCAACGAGTAATTCATTTGATATGTGCACAGCCTGTTCACCAATTGTAAGTATTTTAATCACAATTAACTATCCATTTGCACTGACAATTGATTATTTGTTTAATTGTTTAGTTGTTTTCAACAATTTAGATTAGTTAATCAGGCGAAACATATTATCTTGTTTTTTTTGTCATTCAACTTGATTGCCAATGTTATGAGGACAATTATTAGTTTATCACATTTGCAATACAAACTAATTAAACAAATTGTTTTAATCATAATCTAATTGTAATTAGTGTTTAACTCACACATACACCATTCAATTTAATTGTGTTTTTTACCGATTATGTTAATTGTTGATTTTCAATTGTTTCTATTAACTGAATCTCCTTTTTTTTGTTTAACTTATTCAGTTTAATATTAATTGTTAATCATTCAATTGTTTATACTTATCATTATCTTAATTTAAGTTGGGAAATAATTGTTTCAACTTATTGATTGATTAACTAAATCAATTATCATTGTAATTTATATAAATCATGTTGCACTTGATATAAAACTAATCATATAAAATGCATATAAAAGTTTGTGGACAATTTTGCAAAAAAAGACAATCAATTTTACAATTAGTGATTAATTAGTCATTTATACAATAATATATTGTGAGAGGGTTTTCAATGATTAGAGCAAAAAAAACATCTAATTAGTTAATTACTAGGAATCATTTGAGTCTATCCTTTTCCGCTTCCTCCTCGTGGTACTTTCTTTGTTGAATTGGTTAATTATTTGTCTTTAAAGTGAAACAATTTACTAATTTTGTTTATTGTGTTGATATTTAGGTTCTGGAGAGTTATAAGAATCATGGATTCCAATTTTTGGCCCAAGTGTTCAAGGATTGTAATTACTTGGAAGACTTGACTGGACTGAAAAAGCTTCATGATGAAACCAATTTGGATGATGTTATGGCTCTGAGTGATAATGAAAGTATCTAATTAAAGATACACTGAAGATGATGAAGATGTGGCAATAATGATTAATGAAGCATGAGGATTCTTGGCAAAAGATTAGATTGTTATCTTCAGCAATTAATTGTTGATTCAATTTTAGCATTTTTGTAGATCAAACAGAAATTGCAATAGATTCAAATGTGTGTCTCGCTTTTTTGCTCCAAGTCATCCAAGTCCATTTGAATCAGTTCATCATCATCAGAATCATCACCATGAAAAGAGGGAGAGAGAGAGAGAGTGAGTTGTTCTGATTACTTGTTTTCTTGAATCAATAACAAGAAAACAAAATCATCAGAATTAATTGATGTCGTTTATCAATCGAACATGCAGACGGAGTGGAAAAACTTTTCTCTTCGGTTATACTGATTTTCCTCCTTCTTTTTTTCTGGCTCCGAGGCATTTGAACTTTGCTTGTCTTCCCCATGGAATTTTTCCTCCTCTATCTCTCCTTCTCTCTCTCTCACTCTATTTATCATCTTCTTTACTCTCTCAAATCATTTTTCTTCTTCTTCTCCATTCCTTTTTAACACATATTCCGTTTTTCCATTTATATTTATATATTTGAAACTTATTTGTAACAACGAATCCATTTTAACTGCGAACAATAAAGAGGCCAAAAAGTTTATGCACCAATTTATGATTGATTATTTTTCCTATTTTCGATAATTTGATGATTAACTGACAACAATTAAGATATTGTTGCAGTGTTTTGTTTATTATAAGAGTTTCCTTTTGATCCATTTTGTGAATCTCTTTGCAATTTCAACCAAGTATCTCCCAAAGCTTTGGCAAAATGATCATCAACTGGTTTAAAGATTTCAAAGAAAAGGGTAATTAGTTAACTGAATTTACTTTGACGCATCGTAATTAAGACTTACCGCTCATTGAAACATTGGTGTAGTTACGATAATGATCACCTAAAGATCGTCGGAAATGCTCATCGATTCCCGAATCAGAATCTTCACCGAGAATTAATAATTGATTGTGTCCATCGGGTCTCTTTTTACCATGTTTATTATTAAATGAATTTAATTCATTGGCAGTTTCGGGTCGCATTGTTTGCGATTTCATGGTGGACTGATGGTGATGTCGATTGAATGAAGACGAGCAAGATGATGAGGATGAGGAAAATGATGACAATGATGATGATGATGCTGTTGATGCTAAAGATGAGGGTCGTGGTGAACTTGTATTCAAGGTTTTATCTGAGCTTGTTAAACCAGAATTAATCTGATTATGGTGAAGATTTTGATTGTGATTATGATGAGATGAATAGAGGATTGATTCATCTTTACCATTATTATTATTTGGACAAATTGTTTGATGGGGATGATGTTGATTGGAAGAGGTTGATGATGAAGATGAAGTTGATCTTCTTGGTCCAAACAATGTAGATGCACAGGTAATGACGGAAGGTCGATGTTGAAGATGAGGATTCCCATTGTGAGAATTGATATGATTGTGATGATTGATAATGTTGCTTGTTGGGCAATTGATTGTTGGTGGTGGTGGAGATTGTTGATAAACATGATGCGGTTGATTGTGATAAATTGAGTTCTGTCTACATGGAATAAAGTTTTTACTATTCATATGATTTCCCTTGTAAATTGATTCGGGTGAGCAAGTGTTGGATCGCGATGAGGTTGATGATGAGGAAGATGAGGATGTTGAGCCATGGTGGTGGTGATGGAGAGAGTTATGGTGATGCCGAAGATGATGATGATCGGACGAATGATGAGATTCAAGTGGAGGGGATGAGGAAGAAGAAGAAGATGATAAAATTCGACTTTTCTTTGACATGTCTAAAGGTTGATCGTATTCCTCTTCTTCCATGTCCATTGCAAGTGGTGGACTACGAACATCGTGATCTGAATTTCGAGCCATGGGGTCACTGTTACGACGGAAAGGATTCGAATTAAGTTCAGGTGAGTTGACAGTTAGATCATATGGTGAACCACGATAATGGGAACAGCTACTATTGGATCGATCTCGAGGATATTTTAAATACGCTGGAGGAGACAAGGGAAGTGGCGAAGTGTTGACTTCGAGAGGACAAGCGAACGGAGTCATGGGGCCGACCCCATTTTCTGATGAGGATTCACCATCTTCCACTCTACTCGAGAGGGAAATCGTATCATGGAAAAAAAAAGTAAAACAAAAGAAAAAGATTAGCAATTAACAATTATATTGATTGATTTGAATCTGACTAATCAGCTAATCAGTTAATCATCACACTCTAGTTTTGATAGACAATTGTGTTCATAAAGATGGTGAAATTATTGAGCAATAAAATGAAACGTTAACATGAAGAAAACAAACTGAATTATATAAATTGTAATTTACCTGACACCTTAATTCACTTTTAATCAGTTACACAATCAAATGTTGTCATAAAAAAATTAAACACATGATAAGATTATGATGATGATTGTGATGTTTAAATGATGACAAAATTGGCAATAGTGACAATGGAACATTGAAAAGATTATCAATTCACAAACTGGTTAATTGTTACAACTTTTTTTGGTGATTTAACATTTGATTAGGGAAGAAATAAAATCTACAGGTAATAACTGATTAAATTGTTAACAATGACAATCAATCAGTAATAAAGTTTACTGTTAATCACTCGAGTCAATATTATGGAGGTTTTAACACGAGGGCGTAGCCCGAGGGGCTTTTTACCTTAACCACAACACTAATAGTTGATAAGAAGTGGTTTTGAAAAGTGATTTACCCTCACTACCACAATTAGTGTAACCATTAACTTTTAATTGTATGTTTACAGTGGAAGATTAAGTTTAATTAATTAGTTGATTGTTTGTGCTAACAAAATACAGTTAGAATTGTTGATTTGTTGATAAAGAAAATAACTGTTACTCTGAGAGAGAGAGAGAGAGAGAGAGAGAGAGAGAGATACTGATGATCAAATCAACGTGTTAACAGTTTAACAAGAAGAAAAGAAAAGGTAAATATTACAGAAGTAGAACACTAATTGTTACAATTAGAATGTAATTGTTCTGTTGACAATTGAATAAATTAAAAGAGAAATTAACTTACAGGTAAGGTGATGATGATCTTTGATATCTGAAACTTGAGGAATGAGCAAGTTGATGTCGATCCTTGTTACGTTTCATGGTGAAAATGATGATGACAATTAATGAGAATTGATAATAAGCTAAGATGATAAACGTTATCGTTGATTGTAACAATTGAATTGATTGGAGAAGAGAACTGGAAACAAATAAATTGAAACAATAAAGAGAGAGAGAGAGAGAGAGAGAGAGAGACGATTATGGTTAATAACTATGATTTTCCAATGGTTATCAGATAAAATCAATTAATATTGTAAGTTGTAATTTAACGTGCGGCAGTGAAACAGTTTAATGATTGAAGGTGAGATTTTGTTACAATTAAATTAACGGTGAGTGAAGATTATGAGATGATGATGATGATGATGATGTTACTCGATTGGAGTGGGTTTTTCAAATGAACATGACACCAGTGGAAACTTTAAGCTTTTAAAGGTAAATCTATGGAGGAAGATGAGTAAAGAAAAACAAAGAAAAAAAAGAAAACGTTTTTATATCGAAAACGTTATTTGGGAAGATGATGAAGGAAATACACAAATAGAGATGAGAAGATGAAAAGATGAGGATGGAGAAAAGTTAAAATAATAATTATAATAAAAATAACGATAATGATGTAAAAAGAAAAGGTAAAAACATGGAAACAAACAAAAGTAATAATAAGCAAATAAAAACAAAACTAATAAAGCGAACAGGTAAACTCCAGGTAACAACTGTTTCTATGTCTCTGTGTTTGCAGTTTTGTTTACCTTTACGAACGTATTAAAGGTTAGGATGTATTAGTTAAGGGAGATGAAGAGAAATGGAAGCGATCAGGTAAGTGAGAGAGAGAGAGAGAGAAATGATGATGAGGGAGAGAAAATAAAGAGAACGCAAGTGACTACCTGTTGTAGATTGTTGGAGTTACCTGAAGCTCCTTCAGGTGTGAAATGGTCAAAACCAGTTCCATCCACTCACAGGTAGAAAGACCACATTCCGATCTCTCAGCGAATCGATTTATTAAAATTAGACAAATTGTTTAAATTGTTCTCCTATCAAATTATTCATCATCTTCGTAATTCTCCTTTTATTTGATATTATTTTTCTCTTTTTCTCTTCTCTAGAATTTATTCTCCTTTTTTTCTTCTTCTTCTTCTATTTTCAATTCTTTTCTTTTCTTTTTTTTCGGCTTGGTTGAATTCTATCAATTTCTTATGATATTTTATTCTCTTTTTCTCTTCTTTTCAGATTCTTTTTCTTCTTCTTATTTTTAGCATTTTCTTATTCTTTTACCTTTAGATTATTATTATTATTATTGTTCTCTTTTTCTCTCTTTATGGTTTATCGATAGTTTTACATATTCCATTTGTTAATTGTTCTCATCTATTTTTCTTTACTATTTCCCTTTTTTTTCTATTTCTGTCTATGAGAATTTTTATTTTCTTTCTTCCTTCCGTTTCGTTTTCTCTTTATAACTTTGAGATGTTTTCGTCTGTTTAAGTAGATGCAAAGCATACCACTTTAGCACAATTTACCTTTACACCTTCCCCCCTTTTACCCTTTCTTTTTCTAATCTTTCTCTTTCTTTTCAAATTTCTTTCCCCCTTTCTCTTCAACATTAACTTGTTTTATTTTTTCAAATTAACCCTGAGTTTAATTTCTTTTCCTCTCTCCTCCACACATCATTAACTCACTTCACGACCTATTTCCCACCTCTCTTTCCTTCTCCCTATTTAATAATTTTTATAATCATTAAAGAGATTTAATGATCTTAAAGATCATTAACGATCTTAATGATCTTAAAGATCATTAACGATCTTAATGATCATAATGGCATTTTCAATTCCAGGTCACATCCATTATAATTCTTATAAATGAATGAATGAGCGTAAAATATTCATTTTATCATACAGATTCGTAAGTAAAACGATAAATAGAAGTTTATCTTTAAAATTTAATAATCAAGTTTTCTTTTTAAAGTTTCTTTGTGAAGTTTTGTTTAAAGTTTCTTTAATCTTCAATCTTTAATTTAATTTATTAAATTAATAATTCAATCTAATCTTTGTGATATAAAATACCTGGATTATATCCACAAGAAAAAAAGTTAAAGTCATCTTTTTTTATTACACCACATCGAAAAATTAACAACCAACCATTAAAAAGTAAGTTGTTTTGATTTAAATCATTCGTTTTATCTACAATTTACGATAACGTTGGATAATGTGATAATTTTAAAGAAATACCACCATTTCAATTCTTGATTTGTTTATCTCTCTTCCCTGTGTTTATATCCATCCTCCGTGTTTATTCCCCTCTCTCTTGTGTTTATCTCTTTCTCTCTCTTGTGTTTATCTCTCTCTCTCTCTCTCTCTCTCTGTGTTTTTCTCTCTCTCTCTTGTGTTTTTCTCTCTCTCTCTTTTGTTTTTCTCTCTCTCTTTTGTTTTTCTCTCTCTCTCTTTTGTTTTTCTCTCTCTCTTGTGTTTTTTCTCTCTCTCTCTTGTGTTTTTCTCTCTCTCTCTTTTGTTTTTCTCTCTCTCTCTTGTGTTTTTTTCTCTCCTATGTTAATCTCTCTCTCTCTCTTCAGTCTCTTTTAGTCTCTTTTAGTTCCTTTGACTTCATTTCCTCTCTCTCTAGTGTTTATATACCTCTCTCTTCTTTTTGCTTCTGTATTACCAAGATTCATAACAACATTATGAATTGTAGATATCTTTCTTTATGATCTTCTGTATGACTATAGCTAGGATCCTTTACAGTTAGATAAATTGATTCACGTGACTCTAGTTCTTGTCTATCGTCATTGTTTTTCTCCATCAATTATGTTGAGGTCCAAATTCCACATTTAATATACTTCTGTACTTTGCTCATTTATGATAATGTTTTCTTTGAAATTTGATCATTTTGTACTTGTTTACACTTAACTTTTGCATACCTTCATTTCATAACCACACATTTTTAACTTTGTTCCTTAGCTAACGATCTAAGTTGCCAGATGTTCAACATCTTGAGTGAGTGAATGAGTTAAACATTTTCCCATGTTAATGAATAGGCTTTGATCTATTTATTCAATTTCAATTTATTTTTTCACTTCTATCCTTTCTTCTTTACATAAGAATGACGCGTTTTGCATGCGTTTTTTATTTCATCAATTCTTAAGTCAGTGAATGGGTTTAACATTTTCCCCATGTAAATGAATAGGCTTTGATCTATTTATTCAATTTCAAGAATTTTTTCACTTTTATCCTTTCTTCTTTACATGAGAATGACGCGTTTTACATGCGTTTTTTATTTCATCAATCCTTAAGTTAGTAAATGGGTTAAACATTTTCCCCATGTTAATGAATAGGCTTTGATCTATTTATTCAATTCCAAGAATTTTTTCACTTTTATCCTTTCTTCTTTACATGAGAATGACGCGTTTTGCATGCGTTTTTTATTTCATCAATTCTTGAGTGAGTAAATGGGTTTAACATTTTCCCATGTAAATGAATAGGCTTTGATTTATTTATTCAATCTCAATCATTTTTTTTACTTGATTTCTTCTTTTCTTTAACAAATAGTGTCTCAATCAACCTCAAGATATATTAGTATGCCGTCACTTGAAGAGTTGAATATTAATCAACCTCAATCTTCTGCTGATCAACACTCTTCTCCATCCAACGTTGACCCTCAACCTTGAACCTCAGCTATTGAGCAACCCCAACCATCAACTTCGACAATCGATAATCGTCGTATTACTCGTCTTTCTTCTCGAATGGACGGTACATCTTCTAATACCGCGATTCGAACTCCCGATGAACCTCCTATTTTGCAAGTGCGAGTGAGTGAGGTGATGAATGAGTGGCCTTCAGATCTCGAAATGTGGTATGAAGAGGATGGTTTGGTCACTTCAATGCTAAGGTGGGACAAAACGATCGTGCCAGGTGAACGATTGATAAACTTCTCTGGTCCAGAAGAGAAAAAGACAACCAAGGAAAACTTCTGGATTGTTGCTGCTCGTGACGAAGTTCAGGAAATTGAGAAAATGGAGGAAGATCAAAGACGAATTATCGAAGCAAATCCAATTATGTATCGTTGTCTATACTGCTTTCAACTCAAAGAAAAAGCTAGACAAGTGGCTGAACATGTTGGATCAATAGCCAACTTTGGCGGGGATTCATCGAAAAAAACTAAGAGAATGAATTGTGCTGCTCGTCGAGAGGTTGATTTTCCCGGTATTTCATCTGGACGGGTCAACTCTAATACCGAAGGTCCACAACGTTGGCCATGGATGGAAATGATTGTTCGGGATGGAGTCGAAATTAGTTCTGATCAATACGATAAGGCCAAAAAATATTTTGATTATATTCATTATAAATATCAAGCTGGAGAATTTTGGGAAAAAAGAGTAAATAATCATTCTTATCAACCTTGAATACGCATGACCATTAAACTTTTTTTTCTTTACGCATGCGTGATTTTTTCTTTCGGGTATATAAACGGTTGTTTTTGAAAACCTTGCCAGTCCGATTGGAGATAGGCTTTAGAATGGTAAGTTGAATGATGAGCATTTTAGATTAGATTTAATTGAAATTTTTTTAATCTTAGGATTTCAAATGCCCATGTTGTAATTATACCAACATTAATTTAGGAGTTTACTTATCTCATGAGTGTCCATGCATCGACAATTGTAGAAAGTGGGACTTCACCACTCCAAAAATACAACGACCAATTCCAAGAACAACAAAAAAGAGTCAACAATGTACAATATGTAAAAAGAGATTCTACCTATCAACTCGTTTAACTAATCACAAGTGTAAAGGTCGATCTCTTTTAACATCATCTAACACCTTCAACATCTATAATTGATGATTTTATATTAACTAAACAAGCATATAATGGAATGATTCGATATTATAAATGTTCAATTAACGAAGTTGATATCGATGAAGTTGAAAGAAAATATAGTGATAAATTGAAGAATATACTAGACTGTTTGAGAAAGGAGCTCGGCAGTGTAGTTTATGACATTAATTTACACACTCAAATGTCGAAACTAAGTAGTCAACAAATAGACACTGTTGTTGCAGATTTACACTCTATAAATAAACCACTTTATCAAGGCGATGACCTGAATATTGAAATTTCTCAAAGTTTTAATGAAATAAGAGAATTTGTGATCAGTTTACCGAGAAAGGAAGTGGGTTCTGGATTGAGTCAATTCAATACATTGAACTAAGTGTTGGTAAATATCAACCGCATAAAGGAGGATGTTCTTCTCATTCTTTACCGGCAAAATTAAATTCAAAAAAGTGTTTAATAAATCTCAAAACTGAAACAGATTGTTTTATGTATTCAATTTTAGCTTCACTTCATCCAGCTTCACGAAATGGTCAACGAATATCAAGTTATCGTACATTTATTGATTTATATGATTTCTCTTCATGTCGCGGGATTGTTGATTTGAAACAAATAGACACTTTTGAACGAAGCAACAATATTTCAGTAAATGTTTATTCTTACAACATGGATGATAAATATGTTATTCCAATACGAATAACCAAACATCAATTACAGAAACATGTTCTCCTTTTTCTTTATGGTGATCATTATTATCCCATAACTTCATTTCAACGACTTTTATCATCTAAATCGTCATATCAACGAAAATATTGTCAAAGATGTTTGATTGGTTTCCATGATGAACAAAAACTTATTGCACATATTGTAGATTGTGATCAGTATGAACCACAACGTATTGTTATGCCAAAACGAACTGGTGAACCCTCTTATTTAATGAAAAAGAATTTCAGTAAAGAAGAAAAACACCCGTTCGTCATTTATGCTGATTTTGAGTGTTTGTCTATTCCGACAGGTGATCCACAAAAACCATTCAGACATGAACCATGTAGTTATGGTTACATTGTTGTTGATTGGGAAAAAAATGTTCTATTTAAAAACTTTTGTCATGGAAACAATATCGTAGGCGATTTTTTACGGGAGATAAGAGATCTACAACAACCTTTACAAGACTATTTGAAAGCAAATATTAAACCATTAGTAATGACTGATGAAGATGAGGATGATTTTAAAAAAACTGATTATTGTGTAATCTGTGGCCAATACCTTGATTTACAAAAGAGAGTACGTGATCATTGTCATCTCACTGGTGTTTTCAGAGGTGCCGCTCACCCAGAATGTAATTTACAACGTTCTTTACCAACTCGTATCCCCGTTTTCTTTCATAACCTTAAAAACTATGATGGACACATTATTATTAAGAATATCGCTGAAAATATTTTCAATGCTAGACTTATTGTAATTCCATCATCACTTGAAAAGTATATTGGATTTTTTATCGGTCAATTTGCTTTTCTTGATTCTCTAGCCTTTTTACCAACGAGTCTTGACACTTTAAGTTCTAATTTATCAACTGATGATAAACTTCACTTCTTAAGACAAGAATGGTCAACTGGGGATTTGTCAGAAGTTTTAAAAAAAGCAACATTACCTTATGAATATATTTCATCTATTGATAAATTTTATGACAACTGTTTACCATCAAAAGACAAATTTTATTCTTCTCTAACTGATTCTAACATTTCTGATGAAATGTATTCAAGGTTAGAAAAAATTTGGCATCAATTTAATTGTGAAGTGCTCGGTGATCTTATCGATGTTTATCTTAAAGTTGACGTGTACATGTTAGCAGCCTCTTTCGAGAATTTCAGAGAAACATCAATGAAAGATTTTAAAATTGATCCACCTCACTATATGACAGGCCCTGGACTTTCTTTCGCTGCTGCTTTTCGTCGTCTTCAAATAGAAGTTGAACTTTTTTGTGATATCGATAAGTTAATGATGATTGAAAAAGGGATTCGTGGCGGTTTGACCACTGTTGCTAGACGATATGTCAAAGCAAATAATCCAAATGTACCTGGATATGACGGTGGTGATCAAACACATTTACTATATCTTGATGTGAATAATCTTTATGGCTATGCGATGTGTTCTTACCTCCCATATGCTTACTATGCTTGGAAAAACTTCGATGATGAAGAAGCTGTACTTCGCGATCTAAGATTCTCTTCCGGTTACAATTATATATATGAAGTTGATTTAGAATATCCATCTGAACTTCATGATGAACATGATGACTTTCCACTGGCACCACATAAACTAAAGATAGATAATGAAATGTTAAGTCCTTATGCTAAAAGAATTGTTGAAAAATTACAAGAAAGAGGTCATCATAGTGTAAGTAGTGAAAAACTAGTTGCCACTTTTCTCAAGAGAGAAAAATACGTTGTTCATGGTCTTAATTTAAAATTCTATATGGAAAAAGGACTCAAAGTGACTAAGATTCATCGTATTCTCAAATTTTCTTCGTTGCCTTGGCTACAAGATTATATTGAGTTCTGCACATCGAAAAGACAACAAGCAAAGATCCATTTACTTCATCTCTTTATAAACTATTCGTGAATAGTATTTACGGTAAATTGATGGAGGATAAAAGAAAACATGTCAAAGTTGATGTGACAACATCCGAACCAATGGCTGCGCGACGACTGAGAAAACATCTACTACAAAGATTCAAAATTATTGATGAAAATAAGGTCATGTTTCAGATGAAAAAAGATGTAGTTTTAATGAACAAACCAATTGTAACAGGATTTACAGTGCTTGAACTCTCGAAACTACATGTTTATACACTGTATTACGATACTTTTAAATGTACTTTCGGTGATCGTTGTCGACTCATCTATTCCGATACTGATTCTCTATTGATTGAGTTGAAATCAAATCATTTGATTGAAGATCTGAAACAAGTTGAACATGTAATGGACTTGAGTGATCTTCCACAAAATCATCCGTTACACTCTGATGAACATAAAAAAGAAATTGGATATTTGAAAGATGAAATGGCTGGTGATGAAATTCACGAAGTTGTTGCGATAAAACCGAAACTTTACGTTATTAAAAGTGCATCGGGCGTGAAAAAAAGAGCGAAGGGAGTACAGAGACAAGTTGTCGCCAACAAGCTGTCATTTGACGATTATAAACGTTGTTTATTTCAAGAGGAAATCCATATGGTAACAAATCGAAGGTTAGGTTCAACCAACCATGACATCCATATGTATACGCAAGAGAAAATAGCGATCACGCCTCTGGAAGATAAAAGATATTTATTGGGAGATGGAATTAGCTCCCTCGCGTATGGACATTATAAAATTGAAAGAGAAGATTAATGCTCATTCATTTATAGTTTTTCATTTGTGAAAGTTTATTTTTAAAAAGTGAAAAATGGAAACTGAATACAATTCTACATTAACTGTTGAATCAATGGATTGGTCCCACTTCGAGGAACTGTGGGCTGAGGGTCTTGCCGAGCAACAGCCAAGTGAAACACCATCAACATCATCACGGATTCGAAGAAAGGCCCGTGAAGCTCGAATGAAGGAGAATCCAGAAGCTGTCCTTTATTTTCTTGGTAAAAAACGATTGAAAGCCAATCGTAAGCTGATCGCTCTACAGAAAAAAGAATCTGTCAATGTCGCTAAAAAGCGACAAGAATGTGATCGCATCAAGCGACAATTTGTAGAGTTGACCAATTCAATTTCTAATTAAAATTTTTTCTGATCAACTTAATCAATTGTCTCTCATTACTTTCATATTTACATTTCGCGAAAATTTTAATAAACTTTGCACTAGCCAAACAAATAAATAAAATAGACAAATAACCACAAGAAGTTGACAGATTTCCCTGATATTTATTGGGATTGTATGTATATCCATTTGGTGCATGTTTTTCAATAAATGAAAGAATATTTCCTTCAGGCGGTCCGCCAAAAGAGTTGAAAAAACTTGCTTTTCCATTGTAGTCAAATTTAACAGCGACCCAATGAGAACCTTCTTTATATCCAGGATCTAAATTAATTATGAAGCTTTTAGGTTTAGTAAATGAAACTGGTAATCTATCAGATGGAAACACCCCACCAAAATTTCTCTTATTTTTCATTAACTTATAAATATCCTCCGTAGTTAACATTAATAGTCTAATGTAACATTTCTATCTCTATCGATAGTTATAACATTATCAAATTGACTGAAGACAATAATTTTCAACTGGTCAGTGAATGTTTCAGCGAATCTTAATTCAAGTCTTATACTTCCTCTTCGTAATAGATTCAAAGTACCACTTTCTCCTCCAATTGATCCATCATTAGTCAAATCGAATCCGAACAATGTTTTTCTTTCACAGAATTCACTGTATTTAATATCAATCTGAGGGATACCTTCACTTTGATCAAGAGCTTTGAATAAATCAATATATTCGCGAACAGCCGTTTTAGCGATAAAATCGGGTTTGTAAGGAATACTTGGAATCATGACACCATCAACATTCAATGAGATGTGATTACATTTATAATGCTCGAATTTAAATGGATTTAATTCAATTTCACCCGAAAAAGCCTTTGAATTAACAATTCCAATAATCATTCTCCTCGGAAAGATTCCATTGTGTACATTTTCGAAACTATAATCTTTAGAACCAGGATTAAGAGCAAATGCTTTAAGTTCATTTCTAACAATGAAATATTTAGCTGGAATTTTTTCAAGTGTAGTTAAAACACCAGCTTGAGCGTCAGGAAAGAGTTTAATTCTCTTGATATGAACCGATAATTTAGTAATTTTCACTGTTAATGGTGTTTTATCACCAACAACTATTGGAAATCCATTTTTCGATCGAGTGAAGCAAATTTGTATGGGCACACCATTAATCAATAAGCGATCTTGTTGACAAATTGGTACATGAAGATTAAAATACATTTCTTTTTCATCACTCCCATTTGTACCTTCTGAACCAATATCGATGTTGGAGGGATATTTAAATAATAGATTTTCTAAATAAGCTTGATAATGATACATATTTGAAGACTTGACTGTATTAACATTATTTAAAATAAAGTCAATTTGTTCAAAAATTGCATGTCCAAAATCGGGAACGGTTTGAAAAATTTTTTTTGTTGGTTTTCCTTCTTCAAGTATTTGCACTTTAAGATGAATCATTGTTGACGAAAGATCAGTGAAATCATCAGAGGCAGGAATGTATATCTCATGATATTGACTTGATTCAAGGGATGCTGAAGGGTTGTATTCAACTTCGTATGAAGATTCGATTGCTACTTGTGTTGGTGGAACAGAAAAAAGTGACAATTCACTTTTTGTTGAGGGAACAGAGGCTGCATGTAAATATTCCATTATGAAAAAATATCTTTTCTTTTCCTCTTCCTCGACTTCTTATATACTTTCTTTCTAATTCCTCCTCCGACTAATTTACTTATTTTGCTTGAGGCATCCATTGCTGTCTTCTTGAGACCTTCTACACCTCTAGTTTTAAGTGATTCTTTAATGTTTTTCTTCTCTAGAATATCTTGACCAACTCCAACTCCCGTTCGAATAGCCTGTTTACCGAGATATTTTAATAATGGTATACTAAATCTTCTAATAAGCGTTCCGATTCCATATCCTCTCTGGTAAGGTGAACCTCTGAACAATTCAATATCAGAGAATCCATTACCACCTTGATTAAGATAAAATCTTTTGAAATCGGACTCACATGAACAATATTTTTTTCGTTGCATTTTATAATTTAATCATTAATCAACTTCTTATATAATACGTTTCAAGTGTAGACCAATATGAACTCTACCGGAAGCAAATCTAACTAAACTTCCAGTTTCATCACCAAGAATGAAATTTATTTCTTCGATTCTATTTGTTCTTACTGGGAAATAAAGTGGCTTAACAAATCTTTCATGAACAATATCATGACTTTTCCCTCTTTTGAGAGGAACAACTCGGAGGACTCGTACAGATTGTTGACCAACAAAATGTTCAGCAACAATATCGGAATAAACATAAATTAAATGAGATCCATAATTTAAATCAACAGTTTTTCTTGCAGTGATTTTTTTCTGTGTATGTAACACTGGTGAGGGATCATAACTAAACCCAAATGTTTCTAACATTAAAGGATCATCGAACTTTGGAATAAACTTTCGATCTTCGTACATGCCTCGTTTGATAGTGATCAGGTCATCTTTCAATACAATTTCTGGTGGTTCATTTATATCAATTGAATTATCAATAATTTTCGCAACTTTTTTCCGTTTAACAGTCAATTTCTCAATATTTTTTTCAATATTTTCGATCGAGGTTTTTATTTCATCTAATTCTGCTTGAACTTTTTTATCCTGTTCACGATTTGTTGTGATCTCTGTTTGAAGAGCATCATTCATTGTTTTGGTAATTGATTTTATTTCTTTTATTTCCGCTTGTAATTTCGAAATCTCATTCAAAGCGGTTAAAATTTGACCGTTTGCCGAGTCTCTTTGAGCTATTAATTCAGTCTTTTCTTTTTCAAGTTCTTCAATTCTTTTATTTTTTTCAGCAATCACTTTTTCATAATCCGCGAGACGTCGATCTGCTTCATCTTGTTGAAGTTTTTTCATTTCTCTTTCAGCGGTTAGTTGTTTCTCTTTCGATTCAATTATGATCTTGCTATTTACCAAAGCTCTTTCAGAGTCCATTAATTGTCTTTGTAATGCAAATGCAAATGATTGAGTTGTATTAAATGATTCATTTTTCGCTCGAATAATATCGCTCAATGTTCGAACTATTTCATATTGTAAATCAACCACTTTAGGATTGGAACCTGATGATGCTAATAAAATATCCAATTTAGCATGAGCCTTTTTCAAATCTTCTTCGGGCTTTGACGCAATAACATCTAATTTTTCATTTAATTTTTTCAACTCTTCATCTGGTTTTGATATAATCTCATCTAACTTTTCATTAACTTTTTTCAACTCTTCAACAGGTTTTGTTATGATCTCCTCAATCTTTTCATTCGATTTATTATCAGATTTACTAGTTATTATTAGTGTATGTAATTTTTCATTAGCTTTTTTCAGTTCATTTTCTTTATCTTTAATCTCTTGAGTTAATTTCTCAAGTTTTTCATTTTCAATGGTCAGACTGTTTTTGTATTTTAGGATATCAACTTCCGCCGTAGCTTTTCTGCTTGTTTGTGTATCAATAATTTCGATTAATTTTGATATACCATCATCTAAACGCTGAAAGACTTCATCAAAAGTTGTTTTAATTTTATTCTGTTCATCTGCTGCATTTTTACACATCAAGATTTCTTGATCCTTAGCGGAAATTTTTGTTTCATGCCCTTTAATTTCCTCCTCAGGGTATCAATTGTAGTTCTTTGATTAGCGATTATATCATTTTTCTCGCTAATTTCTGTTTCTTTAGTTTTAATTTTCACCTTTTTTTCTTCAAGTTGCTCTTCGATTTCGATACGTTGTTTTAATTGTTGAATAGTTTTCTTATGATTCATTTCGAGAATTTTTTGTTTCTTAACCTCCTCTTCTTTCTCAATTTCCGCTGCGATTCGACCAATTAAACTTTGAATTTTTCTTCGATAGACATTTGATCCCATCGCTTCCATTTCTTCATCTGTAATAGCGAGAAGTTTTAATGTATCCATTTTTGTATCGTCTGTTGGATCAAATTTATCACTTTCTCTTTTAGCAATTTTTGCTGGAATAACGGAAATCACTTCATCATAAATTTCTTTTAATCTTGTGTTGATGTTATGAATCACACCTTCTAAACCATCAATTTCATTTATTTCGAATTTGATTTTTCTTTGTCCATCAGGAAATTCTAAAGTGAGATAAATTTCTTTTCTATCAATCACTAAATCAACGGGATAAAATATCTCATGGATAGCTACAACCCATTCTCCTATTAGATTGATTGGATGATGCAATCGATTAGTAAATTTAGTCAGAGTATTTTCAGGGAAAAGATCCATAGAAGCGTTGGAAACAGCTTCAATATAATATTCATCAGATTGACTCGACATTATCAATCCACTGATTAAATTTAGACGGATAACCAACCCAGAAACAAAATATTCTTTTTCTTTGTACGTTTATTTATTCTTGTTTTAATGATCTTATCGATCTTATATAGAGATGGTTTCTTTGTTAGTATTAATTCATATTGATAAAAATTGATGTGATTTCTTCATCATCTAAATCCTTTAATTTATAAATATAACCTTGAGGTTTTTCACATAACGAATTACAAAATTTCGGTTCCAAAATTTGGTGTATCTCCTTTTCGAAAATATTTTATATCTCGTGATTCTAACTGTATCTCCTAACTTGAAAGGTTTCTGTTTAGCTTTATTAATTATGTGAGTTTTTCTAATATTCAATAGAACTTGTTTCTCATTATTTTTATTTACTTCTGATGGGGCCATTTGAATTGTTCTGTGAAAAGATCGATTATATCCTTTAACAATTGAATCCAATTCATTAATGAATCGATGACTATTTTTATGATAAAGAAATCTAGAGATTCTATTTCTTAACGATCTATTGAATCTCTCGATAATCGCACATTTAACTGTCCCATCAGTTGTTGTGAAAAAGTTGATTCCATTTTCTTTAAAAAGTTTAATTAATTGAACATTTTTAAACTCTTTTCCTTGATCACTTTGAATTTTTTCAGGTTTAATTTTCGTAAATAATTTTTTAAACGCATCAACAATTTCGGTTGCACTTTTGTTTTATTGGTATAACCAAGCAAATCTACTGAAACAATCAATAATGTTTAGTAAATAACGATAATTATCATTGTGTTTACTCATCCAGGCAATATCCATTAAATCGATTTGCCATTGTTCATTCATTTTATTGACGAGAATAGGAAGACGAGGGAAACGTTTTTTTGTTTGTTTGAATAAATTATATTCATCCTGATCTTTCAACCATTTTTGAACATCTTTCAATTTAACGGATGGATTTGAATTTTTTAAATGATAAAAAAATCGTTTTAATCCACCTAAGGATCCGCCCTTTTCTGGGTTGAAGTATTCCTCAAAGCTGATGCCTGAAGCCATGTTACAACTTTTTTCGCTGGAACAATGAGATCTATTTTCTCATTTCTAATATAGCTTCTTAACTCTGGTTTAGAAATCATTTGCGAAATTACATATTTAGCCCCTGGTGGTGCTCTTGTTGGATCATTGCGACTAGTTATGTATCGTATAACATCATCAATATCACTTCTAGCATAAGGTTTTTTATTTTCAACAACTTGTCCATTTGCGTTAATTAGTCCGGGAATTTTATTAAGTAACAGTTTTAATCTCGTTGCCTTGGTAGTCCAAGTTTCTGAAACATTTGAACTGAAACTTTGATAATCATCTTCATCATCATTCAAATCATTACTTTGTTCATTTACTGGTTCAATTGTAGGTTCAATTGTAGGTTCAATTGTTGGTTCAATTGCTGGTTCAGAAATAGGTTCTTTTATTGCTTCAGGTATTGATTGAGAGATTTTTGTTTCTATTGGTTCTGGAAGAATCATTTTCTGACCTTTTCTTTCAGTACCTCATTTATGAATCTAATTTTAAGATCATCCGATAGATTTGAATTGAGTAAAGGTAATAATTCGGATTTATCTTCAGTACATTTGCGATTATACTGATCCTCGGAGATGAGAATCATTTTTGACTGTGTTCATATTTTACTAGCAACAATGTTAGCTAATAAAGTTAATGCTGGTATAAGTAAAGCTGGTAAAGCTCCACCTTTCTGAGAAATTATTTTTCTCAAGTTTTTACCTTTCCTTTTTCCAATACTTCTTATATCTTTTTTATATTTTTTAATTCTTTTTAAAGAGCCAGGTGAAAGGCGAATTTTACCTGTCAACATATTTCTGGCTATTCCACTAATAATTCGTAAAACTCTATCGGGTAGTTTCTTTATCATCAGCTTCCGCTTCTTAATTGGAGCCTTAACTAAGGACCTAAGAAGCGGTTCAACTGTTAATGCTTGTTTAACTGACATTTTAATAGAATCATTGAACTCGATTTCTTATATAACATAAGCATACATTAAATCTTCACCTAAAACATTAGTTAATAATCTAACTTCATGAGGTGTTTGAGGTTTCATGTCAATAAATAAGTATGAGTAAGGTTTTCTAGTTGCATCTTCAAATATTGATTGAAATTTACTGACTTTATTTGGATAAATTTGTCTGGCGATAGTTGATCCAATGATTTGATTTCTCGGATTTTTAAATAGAATCATGTATTGAGAATTGAGAGAGATGTTTCGTGTTTCATTTCCTTTAACGAATAAGTTTTGAACAATTAAAATTATTGATATGTTTCTATGATGACTTCCCTTTGTGAAAAGTTCAGAAACAAATTTAGAATTTGAAGTTTCATGCATTAAATCATCTATAATGATCCATTCAGGATTAGCTCCGTCTATTTTTTCAATTAAATTTTCAGGTAAACCTTTAATAAAATTAACATGATTTAATTCATCAAAAGTTTTCTGATATTCACCGTAAAAGTAATGAATACGTGAAGGTGGAGGTGAACATATTGTATTCGCGTTATTAATTAATTTCTTCACCCATTGTGTTTTACCTGATCCTGTTGGACCGGCGATTAACATGGTGAAAGGATGTTTTAAATAAATATCAAACATTTTTACAAAAATAATTTTTTATTTTCTTATAAAGAGTCAACCCAATCTTTAAGATTGAGTACAGCATTTAAGCTACATCTATTACCGCTTTTATGTAAATGACAAGGTTTTCTCTCCTTGAAATATTGTTCCAAGTTCCACCAATATCAATAACATTAATACAAGGAATAGCGAGTGGTAAGAATCCTCTCTCCAGTGATTTACAAGCGATTAAATCTTTACCAGGGGCAACTCTACCTGTGTAAAAATTATGTAGCATTATCGGGAGAAGATTTGGTTCCATCTTCTGATCAAGTGATATGAACGGGATTCCGTGGTATCTCTCAGCAAAGTCGATCTTTTTTCTATCTTTGTTGGAGAAGTGGTCAGGATTAAGGTGGTGTCCAATAGCGATCGACATGGTAACACAACCACCAAGAACAGCCACTTCAGCAGGATAGAATAATCCCTTATGATAGAACCCTTGAGTATCAAGTAACCACAAATACGATCCATAATAAAATGATGAATTTTGGAACCAAGATCTTCTTTTATACTACTTGGTGTGGGACTCACCCACGCAGGACAAGGGCAAGAGACTTGATCATCTCTGGATCTTTCTTGAAGGGTTCACTGATAGATTCAATGAATTGACCCATGATCCGAGAGTTGAACTGTTTCTTGCTACAAGTAGGGGGCAGCAACATCGCTCCGATGTTAGTGTTGAATGTATCATAAAGATTATCCATTTTTGAAGGATCCGAATTTGATCAAGATTTAGTTTACCGGTAGTGAAACATTCCTCTCCATCCCAGGTTTGATCGATATCCTTTCCTTGATAATCCGTGACCAGATGAAAACATCTTCAAGTAGTTTACCAGGGTTTTGACAGTCGATGAATGCATCGGGTCTTAGGAAGCCGAGAAGAAAACAAAGGCCAGGGATAAGGTTGAGAATTTTATTTACATCATCAGCCTTGATGGAAATCCTCCGATCCCGTTTCGAGAGAGATAATCTCCACAAACGGTTCGATCGATGGTTAGTTCATCAATTTGATCCTGTAGTTTTGTATCCGTTCCGTTGATATGTCCGATCATGAAGCTTGCGAGACGACTCAATTCCCATCGTTTGAGGGCAACACCATATCTTGTAGGGATACCAGCGACATAGTATCTTAGATGAACACGACCACAAACGATTTTGTTGTTTCCATCGGTTCCCCAAGAGATGATGAAACTTTGATTAGGGTTGATTTTAATTTGACTTAACGTGTGCCAATTTAATTGAGACATGTTTTTTGACTGAATCATTTCGACTCTGCTCCTGTCTTATATACCTCTTGAATCTGTGAAAAGTATCACTTAGCTCCCTCTGGTGTTGACCACCAGTAATTATAATTTTACCTGAGGGATAGATTGAAATACACTTTTTCTGGTAATACCAGTAAGCAGCGGGAAAGATTTCAGGCTCCATTATCTCTTTGAATTTTGTCAGCTCATCAAAATTTCGAATAAATATTTGACCAGAAGCAACCATGTTGATAACACGTAAACAGTCAATAGTTTGTAGTGGAAAAAAATATTCCAGTCCTTCTCTTGCATGAGCAGTTGAGAGAAAACCAACAGCAGTAATTGAACCAGAAGCGAAGATTAGATATTTCCCTTCCTTGTACTTTAACACTTCAGCATTGAACTTTTTACCAGTTTTACATTCTTTACTTTTGATGATGAAGGTTCTATCCACTTTCCAGAGAGAGACCATATTCACAATTTTAAATAAAGGTTTCATTTTATATTTTAATAGATTCGTACTCTAACCAGTACACGATACAAATAAAAACTAGTTGGAATAAGAGAGCGGACAATATAACAATTATCTCCATCATCTCACTCATGGCTGTTTCCGCTTTTTATCTAACCGTCGTATTCAAATTATATGACGTAATGACCCTAATTATAAATGACAGCTTATCATATTCTGGCGACTCATTAATTATCGTGGCTCCTCACTTCAAGGTTACAGCGCATGAGTGAGAATATGATATCATCAACGGACGGGCGAGAAGGTGATGAAGGTGAAATGACCGCCGCTATAAATGACGTGATCACAAACCTTAACCACTTTATCCATTTATTATCAACACGTGATGATGTGAGATCGTGTGTCTGTTCACAAATTCGTGGCTATTGTGATTCTCTCACCCTTTACTGCCTTACAAATTCAACTAATTCTTCCAAAGTTTCTTCTTCAACTGATGGACTTTTTCCGTCCGATTCTGAATCCGATTAAAAGTAATATTTTACTTGTTTTAAATGTCAATTTCTAATTTTTTTTCTTATTTTTCTTTTTATGTATTAGGAATGGAACGATTATTGGAGATTACTCAATGCGATGGATGATTTCATCACAATTGACCTGAATGAACGATTTGAAGATCTTGTCGAGCGGGTTCGAAATTTTGTAAGACGTTTGAAGTGGAAATGTCACCATCAGTTTCATTACAAGTTCCGATGGAGAAATTCAGGATGAACTCTTTTTTATCTACAACGAGGCCATAATTAGTTTAGAAATGGCCATCGATTTATATCAATATTCCCAACCTGATTTTATACTTTCCCTTTCCTTTTACGAACAAATTATTGAACAAAAATTAAATGTATCTGATCAAAGCAATGAAATTTCTTCTACAAATTAAATGTATTTTAATGATTTTACGTTTGTCCCTTTTTATTTCTTTTTAGATATGGAAGCGTTTTATTTATCTATTGGAAACAGTTTCGCGTTATGGCAAAGAATGTTGGAAGAGGCGAAGGATTTAATGTCATTTTCAATGAGATTTCACTTCTCAAATCTGATTTAGAAGTAGCTGCACTCGCAATGCAAGAGAGAGTTTCATCAACTGGTGATGAAAATACTAACAATTTAGTTGATTCTTATACTGCAGCTATCGACGATATTAATCAAATATTATTATTAAATCAAGAGGATTTACAGCGGATTTTTATAAGAAAATGTTTAGTTTTCAAAATCAGATACATGATAATGCATTTGCAAAGCAAGCCATCAAATCATGTTTCGTCAACATCAATAAACTAATTTTTTGCTAATTTTTTCCTCATTATCAACATGAATGCGTTTTGCATGCGTTTTTATTTCATCAATCCTTAAGTGAGTAAATTGATTCAACATTTTCATGTAAATGAATAGGCTTTTTGCTCTATTCATCCAATTCCAAAAATTTTTTCACTTTTATCCTTTCTTCTTTACATGAGAATGACGCGTTTTGCATGCGTTTTTTATTTCACCAATCCTTAAGTGAGTAAATTGATTCAACATTTTCATGTAAATGAATAGGCTTTGATCTATTTATTCAATTCCAAAAATTTTTTTCACTCTTATCCTTTCTTCTTTACATGAGAATGACGCGTTTTACATGCGTTTTTTATTTCACCAATCCTTAAGTGAGTAAATTGATTCAACATTTTCATGTAAATGAATAGGCTTTTTGCTCTATTCATCCAATTCCAAAAATTTTTTCACTTTTATCCTTTCTTCTTTACATGAGAATGACGCGTTTCACATGCGTTTTTTATTTCATCAATCCTTAAGTGAGTAAATTGATTCAACATTTTCATGTAAATGAATAGACTTTTTTCGATTAAACATTTTTATTTACTGTTTGTATTTTACAAGTATATGATTAAATTTTTCTTGAAAATCATTACTTTTCAAAACAGAAATTTGATAAGAATTGAAAAATTTAACATCGTATTCAATCTTTACCATTGCTTGATGATAAGTAAAGAGTCCAGGTTTTTCCGTTACCATATGGAACGATGGTAATGTCCGAGGGAAAAAGTCATCACTCTTAATTTCATGATTACCCATAGGATCATCCAATTCTTGAAGAACTCTTTTGAACTCTTCCAATGTACACTTGATGTAAAGGTCGGCCCATCAACAAGATTATCTCGAAATCCAGGAGCAAACAAAGAGTAAATACATCTGATATGTCCATGTTCCATTATCGCTTGCTTCCGTTCCAATACATAATGTTGTGTTATTGGTCTTGAACACCTTTTATAATCAAAAATAATTTCCAACTTATCCATTCTGCTCACAAAACTAAACTGTGGTTTTTCAGGATATGAAGTTGGCTTTTATACATTTTACTTTTGATCATGTTTGGTTAAAGCTTCTTCAAATTTTTCCGAGAAGTCTTTACTCTTCAAAATAGCAATCATATACGACTTGAAAAGCTTATCTTTGATGTAATGATATCCCATCGGATCATCCAAAGCTAAGAGAACCTTTTTGAATTTCTTTAATGAACTCGACACTGAAGTTTGGTCCATCAGCTACATCACCAGTTGCACATGATGGTGTCCATGAACTGATAAACATTCGGTAAACAAATGAATCATCTTTCTTTTCTTAATTAGAAAGTGATTCACTTCACCATGAGTTAGCTGAATAACTAAACAAAATTTCTTCACTGTTATCCATTCTGAATATGAAATGAAACTATACTTCATGTATGAACTTCCTGCCCTTTATACTTTTTAGATTTAGCTTAAGGTTAAGATTGCCTAATTTTCACGATTGAGTGATCACACTTTCGGTAAATTTTCAAGGTTAAGCGATTGCGTAATTTTATTCACGGTTGACTGATCACGATTGCGTAATTTTATTCACGGTTGACTGATTACAATTTTGTTTATTTTTGGTTATGCATGAGTGCATTTGGGGGGTGGGGTTTAGGAGGGGGAGGGACCGGAAGAAAGCGGAAGTAGTATTCCCCACCCCCTTCCTGTGCCAGAGTAGTATGGAATGCATCTACTTGTTTACAGTTTCCGATTCTATTTTCGAAAAGGTTAATCGTTATTTTCGATCAATTAGTTTATTCTTATCCTTTTCATTGAGACTATTGAGAACGAGAGAATTTTTAATTTGATTCATTTTAATTTCGTTCATTCTGATTAACTTGATCACCTTGAAATTGGTAAATTTACCTTTCGAAACTTTAAATATTCAACTTATCGAACTGATGTCATAACAATTAGTAAATTCTATCATATCGAATACACCGAATTCATGGAAATTAAGAGTATTGGAATTTTTATTATTTTCATTCGATTAATAATTGATTATAAGTTCTCTCAATTATTTGATTGATTTAATTTCGTTTTCGATTTTTAGATCAATTTAAACATTCGGATTAACCGCCAAGACTTTTTAATTGGTTAACATTAAACTCCAGCTGATTGATGTTTGCATGTTAACGTTACTGTTTATGTTGCGTTAGATTTTGATTGTGACAATTAAATTATATTGTTTTCGATTTACTGTTTAAGTTTCTTGCATTTTTTGATAAAATTGTTAACCCACTGACTATGATTATGTTACGAAGAATTAACTTAATTGAATCATTGAGTAGATCTACTGGAAGATTATGTAATAATATCGTTGAAAATCAAGGTATTTGTTTTGATGAATTGATCTGGTTTTTAATTGTTCTCTTGTCTTGTCTGATTGTTTCTTGTTAAATTAATCTTGTTAATTTCGATTAATAAGTTGCATAAGAATTAGTGTTGATCTCGTTTGAAGATAATCTATCTTTTCTTTTTTGTTCTTTTGTAGGTCTTTCCGTTAAACAATTGACTAATTACAGTTCTTCATCTTCATCGCCAACGGCCATTTTTATGCTCAACATGGGAGGACCTAAGAATTCAGAGGAAGTCGAACCGTTTTTGACCAAATTGTTTCTTGATCGTGATATTATGACTCTTCCAATGCAAGAGTAAGTTAATTGTCTTCTCAATGTTTACTTTTTGGTTGTTTGTTTATCTTGTTCATCTTTTTTTGGTTAGTAAATTAGGTCCATGGATCGCCAAGAGACGAGCACCCAAAGTTGCTGAAAAATATAATCAAATCGGCGGTGGATCGCCAATCAGAGACTGGACTGATAAACAGGGATCTTTAATGACCAAAATTTTAGATGAAATAAGTCCAGAAACGGGTCCTCATAAACATTATATCGGATTCCGCTATGCTAACCCTTTAACTGAGGACACGATCACTCAAATGGAAAGGTATTTGTATTATGGTCGTTTTATTACTTTATTTCCTCTTAATTATCACAATCAGTCATCAGTTTTATGAACTAATCAAATATTTTATCTTTCTTTTTATTGGTTTTCTTTTTTAACTCTCTACAGTGATGGTGTTAAACGAGTCATCGCTTTCTCTCAATATGCTCAGTACAGTTGTAGCACATCAGGAAGTAGTTTAAATGCAATCGCTAAATATTACGATGGTAAAAAACCATCGGTCAAGTGGAGTTTCATTGATCGATGGCCATTAAATTCTGGCCTAATCGAAGCTTTTAGAGATTTAACCAGCCGAGAGATTGAAAAATTTCCTTCATCAGTTCGAGATGATATTGTTATTCTGTTTTCAGCTCACGCTCTTCCAATGTCTGTAAGAAAAGTTTCTCCTCTTTGGTAAATTCTATTCTCTCTTTTATTCTGATTCTTTTTTTTTTATCGAATTCTTTTCTATTCCAATCTTTTATCTTCCATCTTCTTGGTAACAGGCTGTGAATAGAGGTGATCCTTATCCAACCGAAGTGGGTGCCACCGTGATCAAAGTAATGGAGGCCTTAAACTGGTCCCACCCTTATCGTCTTGTTTGGCAATCAAAAGTTGGCCCTGCCGATTGGTTGAGTCCCCAAACTGATGAAGCAATTGAAGGTTTCGTTAAACGAGGACGAAAAAATTTTCTAATTGTTCCAATCTCCTTTGTTAACGAGCACATTGAAACTTTACACGAACTTGACATTGAATATGCACACGAATTAGGATCAAAGGTAATTGATTGATTACAATTTCTGATAATCTCTATCATTGGGTACTAATTATCTAAATTATATTTACAGTTAAAGGTTGAAAATATCCGACGAGCACCAGCTCCTAATGATCATCCTGCTTTTATCAAAGGAATGGCCGATTTGGTTAAATCACATTTAGCCTCAGGTCAAATATGTTCCCGACAATTGTTATTACGATGTCCACTTTGTACTAATCCTTCCTGTTCATCAACTAAATCATGGATTGGTTCACTTTCTTAATTGTAATTTATTGATCAACAATCTCAACATCTTTGGTATCCAATTTAAAAGGCATTTCGTAATTTCCATGGACAATTTAAATGTTCCCATACCTTATTTGGACTCTAATTATGATTAATATTACTTTGTCTCTATGATTAACAAGCTATTTGTTAAATAATCAATTTTCTTACGGAATCGTGAAATCAACAAATCAATGACAATTCACCAAATTAGGTTTCAATTAATTGTACTTACACTACACAAAAATGTTAATAATTTAACAAAACTTTGTAATTACAATTTGATAATAACTTTAAATGTTAATCAAAAACCTTGACTAAATCACCAAACAGGGAAGAATCAATTTAATAAGCAACAATCAATTAGATAATAATATTTTATATTCAATTTTAGCTTATTGCTAAATTAACCTTCTCCCTATTGATAAATTGCCTTTTAAATACTAAACAATTAGTAAATCATGTAATGTATGAAAATTAAGCTCTGATTTTCAGAGGAATAGAAAAAACAATCAACAAAAGGTCTTTGATTTCTACCAATTGAATTAAAATTCACTTGCATTTACTATTGACATTTTTGTTAGAAAAATCATTCACATAATCAACTTGAAATAGTTAATTGTCAAGTTAATTGTGTCTCGAAAACTAAATGATATCAAAAGACGCGCGTAGTTAATTATTGGTCTTTATGTTTACAGATTTTGTTGTGTGTTGGTTGACGTTTTTACTTTTGTTTATATGATTTTTGGTAAATTAATTGTTCCTTTAATTAGTTGTAGATCTTTTTTGTTCAATTTTAACAAATTAACTGTACGATTATCATCAAACTCACCGAAAATGTCAATTGAATCATCATCTTCATCGAAAGTAATGTCAACAGAAAGTGACGAAGTTGAATTGATGAAGAAATTAGGACTTGATGGTGAGACTTATCTTCTCGTTGATATCGGTGCTAATTTAACTAATAAAAAGTATGCCCGTGATCTTGATGGTGTCATTCAACGAGCCAAAGATTCAGGTAATTAAATTGTGTCTAATTACAGTTAAAGATTAAAGTACAATAAGCGAGCAAATAATTGACCATTTTTCCGGTTTTTCCCTTTAGGTGTTCAAAAAATTATGGTCACCGGAACGTGTATGCAATCAAGTCAGGACAGTTTACGATTAACTCGTTTATATCCGTCAACCTTATACTCGACAGCAGGTAAATTTGTCTAATTACCTGAGCCTAATCAGTGTCATCAAATGACAATTGTGTCAACAGAGATGTTACTATTTGCTCTGGGCTCTTGTTTTCTTTTTGTTTCTCTTACTGTCATCTGGTCATAATCTGGTAAACAAACAAAAGAAACTTGACCAAGATGAGAAAAGATGACCAGAGGATAAGATGAGAATTCCATTTCAAGTACCATGATGATGATAATTTTTGTATATTCTTTTCTAATTCAAATATTATCATGTACAGAATTTTCTTCTTCCTCTTTCGCTGTTACTTTTTTAAGCTTCTTTTTTTCATTTTCCAAACGGTCTCTTGTTAGTCTCTCTCTCTCTCTCTCTGTATTGACGTAAGAATTAAAACAAACACCAATGTGACCTTAAGGTAATTAAAATCTTTACCTTTCTGGTCTAAATTACTTGTTTGTTTTAAAGCTTAGAAATGTTTCTAACCGATTCTAATGATTGTATATACACATTTTTCTTTCTACAGGTGTACATCCACATGATGCCAAAACCTGGACAGATGAAACTGAGACATTTATCCGCGATTTAGCGGCCAACAATTCGGAGGTTGTTGCGCTCGGTGAATGTGGCCTAGATTTTAATCGTAACTTTTCACCCCCTGAGACACAATTAGAGGTTTTCGAGAAACAGGTACAAATCGCCTGTGACCTAAAGAAACCGTTATTTGTCCATGAACGGGAAGCACATGAAGAAATGGTCAAAATACTGACCAAATACTCAACTAGACTTCCTCCAACTGTGATACATTGTTTCACGGGAACAATTGACGAGGCCAAAAAGTATATAGAATTAGGCTATTATATCGGATTAACAGGTATTCGAAATGAAATTAACCTCGAAAATTAAATCTAATCCATTTTGTTTTGTCATTTCTTTCATTTCCAATAGGTTTTCTTTGGAAGGATAAATCGGACAATGGTGTTCGTAAGGCCTTGGAGGAAAAGGTCATTCCCTTAGATCGGTTAATGGTCGAGACTGATGCACCCTTTATGTATCCAAATACACGAGCTAACAAATTACCAGATAAGGTCAAAAAGTCGCTCTCTGATCGATCGTTAAGTTTCCTACAACGTTATTGTACCTTCCAACGAAATGAACCTTGTTCGTTACCTGTAACCGTTGAAATGATTTCCGCTTTCATGGAAATGAAACCGGAAGATGTTGCACTTAAGACAAGTTTCAACGCTCTCAAAGTATTCGGCCTTAGCTAAGGAACGGGTTGTGATCTTATTCCTCGATTTAATTGTCCCGATAACAATCAAACAGCTAAGAAAGTGATAATATAATCCATTATGCTTTGGATCAATTTTTTGATCTTTTGTTTAACATTTCAAAAAATTATTAACTAATAATTTTAATCGAGTTAACTTTCTAAATTGTGATCTAAACTAAGCCAACATTTACCCGTTGCAATTAACATGATTATTATCATAAAATTATATCCACAATTGCAACACAATTAAAATTGAAATTAAATTAATTTCTGCAAAAAGATTTACTAATCTTTGTGTTATCCAAACATTTCAATTTTCCCCATTCGTTGGTAATTAATTAGTTAATTAGTTATTACCAAACTATCTGATGAAATTTGAATCCGGTTTTATCATTCAAATGTTACCTTGAAATGACAATTAAGATGAATTAATCTCTCATACTAATTTAATTCAATTAGAAAGATGGAAAACTCAAATTTAATCAATCATCTTGAATCTCAATTGATTCACTTGGAGATTTAATCATTTCCATCTTGAAGTAAATTGAAACACTTTCGGTGGCAATTAAACATTTTTACAACTTTAATTATCAATTCTCACAGTTATTACCCTAGTAGGTGCATATAATCATTGTAAAAGAACGTGAGTTAATTATAATAGTTAATTGTTCCAATTTTGGATAGACAATTAATCGTATATTCAAATTAAGTGCCACAAGAAAAACATTCAGTGTTAACGGTTAATCATATGTAACCCTCTCTATTTGTTAACGATGAAAAAAATCAAATTAATTGGTATTTCTGGGTAAGAATTAATTTCTAATTATCTAATTTGACTATCGTGTTAATTACTAACATTTCATTGTCACAATTAATTTAAACAGCGTTTCAAATGGTGGAAAGACAAGTTTATCCAAGAAAATTGTTGATCGTTTCCCGAATTCAATTGTGATCCGTCAAGATGATTTTTTCAGAGTTTGTTTACTATTAATGATTATGTTGATTTATCTTTAATTGTTCCTCTTAATTGTCTATATTATCAGGAAGAAGATGATCCTAATCATATTTGGATAGTACTTTCATCTGGTGTTAAGCACCAGAATTGGGAACATTTGAACAGCGTCAATTGGGACAAATTAAAATCTCAGGTCGATTTGACTCTCAAGGAACTTGCCAAAAGAGATGAAGAATCATTCCTAATCATCGAAGGACATATTATCTTTAATTACAAGTAAGTAAATTAACTAGTGATCAAAGAAGATGATTAACTGATTGTTTGTTACTCTACAGAGATTTTCCCTTCCCTTATGATAGCAAAATTTTCATCACATTACCTGAAGATGAAGCTTATCGTCGGCGACAAGTTCGAACTTATGTTCCCGCAGATCCCGACGGATTTTTCGCTGAGTGTATTTGGCCCATGTACCTAAAGAATAAGGAGGAAATGTCTCGAGAAGGTCCAGATATCGGTGAGACAATTTGATCTAATTCTTTGTAATTAACCGATCTAATAGTATTTCTTTCTCGTTTCCAGTGTTTTTGGATGGAACCAAAGATCCTGAGGAAATTTATCAAAGTGTATTGAAAGTTATCACTGGAAACAAATCTTAAGGTAATCAAGTGAATTAATTGTTTCAGAATCGGAATTTCCCTCATTTCGATTCTGAGACTCAACCCTGACATCTGAAGGTTCATCGAGACTCTAAAATATTGATCCATTCCTATTCATTTATAGAGATATAAACAGTTATCACAATTTCGAGTGTTTTTTTTGTTGTTCTTTCGTGTTTATCATTAACCAAATGAGAGAGAAATTATCTTAATATCTAATTGTCGACGATTGTAATCAACTCCAATTAGAAATGATTGTTTGTGGTAAACGATTAGCTCTTTGTTGTTCTGCCCTCAGTTGTTGGGCGATTATCATGTTAACCCTGATGGGGATTCTCCTCTATTCTCATGCAATCGCTTTTTCAGAAGATCTTGAGATCGAACCCAAATTAGAAAAAATAACAGATCGAAAAGTTCTAATATCAGAAGCTTTTAATAAATACGAAAATGCGGTAAGTCGATTAACCAAATGAGTCCAAATTCTATTCCAATTGAAATGATTCCCTTTTTTGACTTTTCGGTTTTCAGTTTTCGATTTTCACAAATTCTCATCACCATCATTATCATGTGATTTACTATTAACTAATCATTCTCTTTTCTTTTCTTTTCTTTTAATTGTTGTTAATCTTTAGGCTCATAATTGTTGGATTGCCGTTTGTCTTTACATAATAACTTTAGCGGTTTCGCTTCATCAATATTACCTTAATAGGAAAGTTCAATATGGATTATGATTAAATCCGATTAATCAAATTACTTGTCATTCCAGAGTTTCAACTGAATTAAATCTTCCATTGGTCATAATTAATCAATATGTTACCATCTATGAGCCAATTACTAAATTGTTTGAATGTTAACAATTAACGAATGAACAATAAAATGTATTAAATTGAAACAATTTCCAAAAGCCAATTGATCCTCTTGTTTATTTTCCTCTCGAATCAACAACCAGCAGATTAACAATTAGAATCAACCAGTAATCTAATCCATCGTCTCTGATTCGGTTTAACAAGAACAAGAAATTGTCCATTAGCGATGAATCTCATTTTCGCTTCTTGGATAATCACTTTTCGCATTAATTATCGATCGAATTTCTCTAACTTGTAAACAATAGAAAATAAGTAAACTGAGCATCCATATTTTGGATCTTCTTCCTTCAGATTTTCCTTTCTCTTCTCATCCATCATCTTTTTATCTTCTACTTCTCATCATCTTTTCCTCTTCCACTCACTCACTCACTTTTCTTCTCTTATTTTTCTCTATTATTTTTCTTTTGTTTAATTGAGTCAATTTTTCTTTTCTAAATCATGTCTTTCGGTCAATTTATCGAAATTAAGCCACAACTTCTCAAGAGAATCGAAAGGTAAGTGAAATTAGTTAATTTAATTAGAATTTAATTGGAAACAATTAAGCCAAAAGAAGAAGAGAAATTAATTTTAACCTCCCTCGCCCATTCAATAAGCTCTTCTATTAATACTACAGCTGACATATTATGATGAGAATTGTGGTTTTCTAATTAATTGATTGTTTTAAATGATTGTTTTCTTTTTGTTCTAATTGATTAATTTGATTTGTTTTCTTTTCTCTTTAGTGCTTTAAATGCATCAGCTTATAGAGATGCTATTGAGAATTCATCTAAATATAATAATCAATTGGTGAAGGAGAGGAAAACTCGGTTACCATTTATTGATCATCAAACGAGGGTCGCCCAAAGAAATTGTTTCCTATGGATGCACCGATGGGAACGGATGCCAGGCCTAAATCATGGGGTTGTTTATTCTTATCCTTCTCGTGAATGGCACAGGAAACGACGGAGTTACCTAATTAATCCAAGTGAAAGTGGTAAAAGCAGCAAGGAAAGTGAAGCGAGTTCAAGTAAAGATTCAAACATAGTGAATATTGATAAAATTGTGAAAAATGAAGTCAACGAATCGTCTTTGGATAAATATGATCTTTCCAAGGATAATTGGTTACATGATTTCGGTGATGAGACAAGTCCCCCGGATGCTGGTGAAATTGATGAAGTAAACAGTTCAGATTCATCGGGTGAATATACACCAAGAAAGCGGAGGAAAAAACGAGAACCAACCAAACCCAAACGCAAAGTAAGTCTATGGTAAACTATACATTCATTTGTACCTTATACCTTTTGTTTTTGTTTCTTTTCTCTTTCTTTTCTTTTTCCTCTTTCTATCTGTTTGTCTTTCTTTCGCTTTTTTTTCACCTTTTGTACCTTTTCCTTCGTGTATACGTTACATATTTACATGTGTCTTTCTTTATACTTTGTAGAATCAAACAACCTCTCACCATTCACAACATCATCCTTCTCATTCCAATTCCAGTCAAAGCCAATCACAACATTCCGTCCCAACAACAAGCTCGGCATCGACCTCACAACCGCCGTCATCGCGAAACACAACGACCACAGAGACCAATGAGGGTAAACATTAATGTTTAACGAACTAACTAACTTGCCGCTTCTAACACACTACCTCATTTTCAATTGAAATTATATTATTTGTGCTTGTGTGTGTCCATGTTTTTATAAATTCAATCACACACACTGACCACACAATCTATTCGAGTGTGTGTACGTGTGTCTTTCTTTATCTCACACTTTATGTGTACTCTTGATATACAACGAAATGTCTCTATTCTTGTCTCCTTTTCCCACCTTCTTAGATAACATCAGCACCATCAGCACCACCACCGCCGCTGCCACCACCACCAAACCAACAAGTAACAGAGAGAAAGACAAAGAGAAAGATAAAGACAAAGCATCGCCAAGCAAATATTGTGACTTTTGCTTAGGAGATTCAGATGAGAATAAGAAAACCTCTTCAGCGGAAAAAATGATCTCCTGTTCCGATTGTGGTCGATCAGCTCATCCAACATGCCTCCAATTTACCTCGAGAATGGTTTTATCAATTAAAAAGTATCGATGGCAATGTATTGAGTGTAAATCTTGTGCAGTTTGTGGTACCTCGGACAATGATGTAGGTTTAATTTCAATTGTTTACCAGTCAACTTTTTAATTGTCTTTCCCTTTTATCCTCTTACCTCACAGGAACAACTACTTTTTTGTGACGATTGTGACCGTGGTTATCATATGTACTGTCTTGATCCACCAATTAATGAGCCACCGGAGGGATCTTGGAGCTGTAAACTTTGTATCGCTGCATATCATGGAAAACCCAAATAATCAATTTAATTACAATTTACCATCACATCCTTTGGACATTGGTGCATTAAAACATCATCATAATGCTTATATAATTTTCACCATTTTCATTCAAGTCAAAAACCAAAACGTATCATACTAATCAGCAATTACCGAAAAGTGCACATACATTAATCATCAACACAAAATCTTCATAACAATTCATTTTTTTTTGAAAATCATCTATAAATTAATCACTTAAAACCCCCTTTACCTCATCAATATGTTAAATGTTTTTGATCAATCACAAAATATTATGTTCACTTTAAACCAAAATCGAAACCTAATGTTGATTAGTTTTAAACTAATTACTAACCATTAGATTTAGCAAAGCAATTTTAAAATCTATATATTGATTAATCTAATATGTCGCTTAATTGTAACAAAAAATTGATCAAACCGCTATTCTTAATTACAATTCATCACTAATTGGATCCCACCCGAATCATGTTAATGAAAAAAAGAGAGACCTGCATTATAATTAATCGTTTAATGTAATCAAAACATCAGTCAAATTAAATTTACAATTGTAAATCATCATGAATTTACTTGATTCTTTACCCTGACATCTGAAGGTTCACCGAGACTCTAAAATATTGATCCATTCCTATTCATTTATAGAGATATAAACAGTTATCACAATTTCGAGTGTTTTTTTGTTGTTCTTTCGTGTTTATCATTAACCAAATGAGAGAGAAATTATCTTAATATCTAATTGTCGACGATTGTAATCAACTCCAATTAGAAATGATTGTTTGTGGTAAACGATTAGCTCTTTGTTGTTCTGCCCTCAGTTGTTGGGCGATTATCATGTTAACCCTGATGGGGATTCTCCTCTATTCTCATGCAATCGCTTTTTCAGAAGATCTTGAGATCGAACCCAAATTAGAAAAAATAACAGATCGAAAAGTTCTAATATCAGAAGCTTTTAATAAATACGAAAATGCGGTAAGTCGATTAACCAAATGAGTCCAAATTCTATTCCAATTGAAATGATTCCCTTTTTTGACTTTTCGGTTTTCGATTTTCGATTTTCACAAATTCTCATCACCATCATTACCATTTGATTTACTATTAACTAATCATTTTCTTTTCTTTTCTTTTCTTTTAATTGTTGTTAATCTTTAGGCTCATAATTGTTGGATTGCCGTTTGTCTTACATAATAACTTTAGCGGTTTCGCTTCATCAATATTACCTTAATAGGAAAGTTCAATATGGATTATGATTAAAGCCGATTAATCTACATATCAATCCTAATGAGTTTGGTCATTTTCAGCTTTGTTTTAATTTAGCTGATTTACTAAGTGTGTAAATTGTAATTTTGTTGAGGTTTTAAATTTGTGAATTAAACTTTTCTTTGTTATAAATGATGTTTTAATATTTATGTTGAAAGTCTTGATTGACTTTATTTTATTCATGATCATTTGGTTTTGTGTGGTTGAGGTTAATCTCTCAGATTTGGGTCTTAGGAATCGTATGGGAAGGTTTCGCTTAATTCAGTTCGGGTATATTACAAGTATAACAAAGACACAAATTGGATCAATTGCTGAAGTGGATTTTGTTAACTTGATCCTGTTATATTTTGTTTCTTCTTATTCATTAGTTGATGATGAAAGAGTTTTGGAGTTACAGTCAACTATCTGATTATGTCCTACCTAAAATTGTCCGATCGATCGATGCTTCCATCTTCTTAATCGGAACTATCCCCCCATTGTCTTAATTAAATCTTATCAAATTGATTTTAAAAAAATCGAAATCAATATTTTTAGTTAAATTTCTGGTTATTTAAAAGATTTAAATAAGTTAAATTTTTGTAATCGAAAAATTTAATTAGTTTTAACCCTTTCGAATTGCTCGCTCTCGAAATCGGCCGTACAAAAACGGACAAAATTAGGTAGTTGACTGTATTAGGATGACGAATATATTTTAAGTGAACGATCCAATGATGTAGAGACTAAGAATTTAGCATTGTCACCAAATCGAACTCCAGTTGCCAGTCCAGTGTGATCTTCGAAGGTAATGAGATTATCCCATTGTTTCGTGTGATATATTCTGACATCGGTTCCAGCAACAGCTAAATAGGTACCACTGTTATCGAAATAAAGATCTTTCACTTGATAATTATCTTGGAGAACGATTGTTTTAAAGTTTTTTAATTTTCTCAAATCCCACAATTTGACTGTTGAATCTTCGGCAGCAGTGGCCAAGTAGTAACCGTTTTCAGAAAAAGCCATGGCTGAAATGGAACCAGTGTGTCCAGGGAAATTGGCAACATTACTTTTCTCTTTTAGATCCCAAATTTTCATCACGGAATCTGTTGTTCCCGTACCGAAAATCAGACCATCAGGATGAAATTTAGCAGTGGTCAGAGCGTGTGCTGAACTAGGGTCACCAACACGGCACAACATGACACCCGCATTGAGATCAGAGAAAGCCCAAAACTCATCGGTTGAAGTACTAAGAAGATAATCGCCGGTCGCATGTAAACTAATCGCGGTAATTGGACCTTCATGGGCTGAGACAACATGAGTAGTATTGGAATTGGCCAAGTTCCATACACGAATGGATGCATCAGGTGAGGCAGTGATCGCAGTTGTTTGATTAGGATGGTAGATAACTGAAGTTACCTTTTTGGTATGACCTTTCAGTGTAGTTACAACTTGACCGGCATTCTTGTCAAAAACGATAGCGACTTTATCATTACCACCAGTGAGAAATTTGGAATCATCAAGAGGACAAATGTCAAAAGAAACAATACCCGCTGTACTAGCTGAATGAAGACCTGTATGCGAGGCAACTGTTTTCATCTCTCTGATAGTATCGATATCTACTAAGCCTTCGGGGACACTTTTACCTCGTCTCTTCCGCTCTGCCGTTAGCACGGCTGCTTTGCTATCAAGTTTCTCTAGAATATCAGGAGTAATGCCAACTTCAGGTCGTAATTCTACATAATTCGACAAAAAAAATAGGCGGAAAAGAATGAGATTAGACAGCAAATTAAACAAGAGAAACAACAATTTTATATCTTACCTTCCATCGAGTGATCTCCATTGTTGAAGCTATTGTTAGATACGCTTTGAATTGAGATATTCGGATCAGTTTTGGGTTTAAGTGTTGCTAAAGCTTCTCGAGCGGCTGTCACTTCTTTGGTAAGACGAGCAATAACCCGACAGGCAGCATCATGTTGGTACAATACATGAGATAATTCTTGTCTTGCTGCTTGTAATTGTTTACGAAGAGTAAAAGCATGGAGAACTGTGGCATCCCATTCGTCTTGGAGAGTTTTCAAAATCGCTGGAACACTGGTCGCTGAAGGTGTTTTCGGTTTTACAATCGATGGACCCTTGATCTCAATCAGCATATCCTCAGTTAAATCGCTTCCATTGATAGGATCGTTTCCATGTTCATTGATGTATTTAACAATTAGACGTTTTTCAAAAATAGAACCAGAAACCGGTGAGACAACAGGAGTCTCTGGTACCTCGTTACTCAAACCACAAATCAATGACATTGTTACCAAAATGGTTAAATTAATACTTTATTCCCGCAAGATGCACTTTCAATTATCTAATTAACAATACTTTTCACAATTAAATAGATTAAATTTTATTAGCAAAAACACAATAAGTAAATCAAACACATTTGATTGAAGAAAACAACAAATCAAAATTCAACCAAAAACATGAAAGAACAATCAAACTACACAAGATGGCGCCAACTTCGAATTAGTAACGAAAAGAAACACTAGATGACACTAGTAAAGGAATTTCCGCGAAATTCGTTTTGTTTTGAATGAAAAATTTTCTTGAAAAATAATCAAAGAAAAAAATTCAATTACAATTAACTAATTGTTGAAGTGAATTTTTTTTCAAATCAAGTAAATTTGAGTGGATAAATTTTATTGAATTTGACTTGGTAAAAAGAGGATATGATTTATTGACACCAATTGTGCAGAAAGTCAATCGTAATTTGTGAACATGTTGATTGATTCAATTTGATTGCGACAATTTAAAGTCTGCACAATTAAAACACTAGGCACTAATTAGCATACAATTTAAGATAATCGATTGAAAACAAATTGGAAACAGGAAAATATACATATAATTAGGTCGCATTTTGATTGATTGTTGATTTTTCTTCTCGTTATCACAGAAAATAATTATCATCATCAATCTTAAATTATTGTTACAAGAATAATAATAAATAATAATAATGATAATTAAACTTGTAGGAAATTATAGATTGATTTAGAATTAGAGTAAAAAGAGAGAGATGAATGTTTTCAGATCCATTTACACAGGAAGTCGATGATAAATACCAGTGGAAGTTTCAATTTCATCCTCATCACTTTCGTCGTCTTCACTTGTATGAATTTGATCAATTCCACTCAGATTATCAGAATCGTTTGTCAGAAAGGTTTCAATGTGCGAATAATCTGTGAAAACTTTGATTAAAAAATTGTTAATTACTTGGTAATAACCATCACATCTCCAAGTGAAATTGTGATTTCCATTTGGAAAGGTATGAATTAATTTCATTGGACTGGTCGATGTTTGAAATAAACTGGTCATCATTGAAGGAGGAATAATTTCATCGGCAAGTCCAGAAAGAAATAGAATTGGCACTTTTATATTGGAAATTTTGGATATTGAATCATAACGATTACCAAAGACCCAATTTGGAAGCCATTTAATGAAAACATTATCAACAACAATCTTCGCAATATCAGGTAAATTGGTAAACGTATTTTCAACAATTAGGCATGAGAATGCATTTCGATATCGGGCAACTGTCGCTAGATTGATCGCTACAGCGGCACCAAGTGACCTTCCATAGAGAATAATTTTATTCTTATCAATGTTGGCCTTTTTATGAAGAAATTCTAACGCTGCTTGTGCATCTTTGTAAAGTCCTTTTTCACTTGGTCTCCCTTGACTGTAACCATATCCTCGATATTCAACTAGAAGGATATTAACTTTGAGAAAATGAAACAGCTCGGCAACGTTATTCAATCGATGGCCAATGTTTCCAGCATTTCCATGGAGATAGAGAAAAGTGGCCGGTGATTCACCCGATGATCTGGAATCTGTGTCACGTTGTTGAATGAACATACAGTGGATTTTAACATTATCCTCGGTTGTAAGGTAGAGATCAGTGAACGGAAGTTGAACCGTTGAAGGAGAAGCGACATTTTTCCTAGAATCGGGTGGACTATCAGGGTGATAGATTAAATCGTCACTTAATTTCCAAAGAAAATAGACAACAGCCAACGGGGTAAAGAAAATAATATACCAGAAACCCAAAAGAACCAGAATTATACAAAAAATGGTTAATAGTAAAAGAATATTTCTCCAGCATTTCATCAAAATGATTCCAATGATGGTCAACACTTGACGGACACTTGGAGAGAAAAATTTCTTTAACCTTAAGGTCATCCTGAAGCTTGATGAAGTCTCGTAATTAGGTCGATAATTAAACTTGTCGAAAACAGATCGAAATAGATTCATAATATTGAATTGTCGATAATAATAAGTAAATGGTTTGCCTCCAATGGTAAAAAACAAAAGGTAAACACCAAAAATGAATCAGTCATGGATTGTTTTTTAAAAGAAAAGGAATATCAAAGTAACAGGATTGGTTTATATCAACTGATTACATGACCTTTGGTCACTCAGAGATCGATAATCATGAAAAACAATCACTGTAATTATCAGGATAATAAACAATTAACTGGTAGTGTTAAGGTTAACAATGGATTAGAGGTAAAGCCAAACCAAAAACTGAAAGGAAAATGAAAAAAAAAGATAAATATGATTATCCATTTAAAATGATCAATAAATTAACAGTTAATTGAGTAAATTATTTACCTTTTTCTAGTCAACTATTAATCAGCATAAATTGGAGCATCAAATAAAAATAAAATTAAGAATTAGTTAATTGTTTAGATGAACACAATTAATATAAATACGAGTGAGATTCAATTTGGTTACGTTTGTTTTTCAGCTTCCCAATCAGCTGTTGGCTCTCAATTTAGCTCACCTTTTTTTCAGACAAAGAAACAATTAAGTTAACAATTTATGTTCCTAATTTTGACTTAATTGTTTCACAATTAAATTAGATTTTGGACAATTTGTTTTCTGTTTTGAATGATTACAAATCTTGGAACAATTGACAAAAAAATCACAATGAGACCGAAATTTTGAAAATTTTTGTTAACTAATCAATTTGTCCATTGATTTCAAATCACCTTCACGTTGATTTAATTTTGAAAATTAACCAATCGTCAAGTAATTAACTAGCAATTAAGAACCGAACCAAAACTCTTGGTAAATTTTCATTGATTTCCATTCGTCCCGGTCTATTGGAATCACGTTCGTCTATTTGAACACAAGGATTCGTAGATCAATCTAATAACAGAATATTTTATACGAATTAAATTCTAAGCAACAATTAGATTAATCAGAACAATTAAAGAATTACGATTAACCGATAACAGAAGGCGCTTTGGTTTTCCTTTTTTTCTTAATTTTTTTCTCTTCACTTGATTAACTTCAATTCTTATAAACTTGTTTCTCAAACGTACGAAAGTTTTGATCCTTGATTTTGTTTCTTCTTATTCTGAAATTTACTTCTTCCAATTCTAATTAGTTAAAATAAAACAGTTTTCTAACAATTATTATACGTAGAATTTAATTTAATCAAGTTAAATCTTCAATTAGGATGATGATATACGATAAATATCATCGTCGCCTCTCAAATGATCTTTGTTTCGGTAAATTTATTTTCTTTCTGTTATTGTTTTCATCGTTACCAAATTTGCTTTTCTGTGATAATCAACAATTAATTGCTCCATGTGTTGGTTCAGAGCAATTGTGCTTCGGATTACCATCTCAGTGTACAACTGAATCAACTGTCCCCTGTAAACAATTGGTCAGAATGATGTCAATGTCCAACCCTAAGGACGGAATGTTGGTTGAAATGTTTGGTTTAAACGCTGATCTTGGCCATTGGTTTGCCGTTGGTTTGTCGACCGATGGCCGAATGGGTGACGATATATTTGTCCATTGTGATATCTCTCGAAGTGGTAAATTAAGTGCTGGTGAAGGAATAACCCGAGGACATGCTGGTGTTACCACTTTAACTCGAGGTACAATCGCTCGTAATTTAACCATAACCTCTGGGGCTCCTGAAGTACCTGAAGGTTACCTTGTTTGTCGATGGATTCAAAAGGTTAGCGCTTTTGTCCATTCGAGAAGCTTTAGTATTCTAGATAATCGTTATCATATTCTACTGGCCAATGGTCCATTAACCGATGATGGTTCGATCTCATATCACGACGAACGTTCCTCTTCACCTAATCCCGTGAGTCTACAAAGTGTAGGTATCGTGATCGCCGATACAACAACACCAACTTTAATCCGTCTCCATGGGACTTTGATGACCATCACTTGGGTTGGAATAGTTAGTTTAGGAATTATTATCGCTCGTCATTACAAGGAATCTTGGGATGAGAAAACACTTTGTGGTGTAAGAATTTGGTTCATTTTTCACCGAAGCCTAATGATTTTCGCAATAATCTTCGCTATTCTTGGGGTCATTTCGATTTTCGTTCACGTGGGTCAATGGAGAGGAAACAGTTTACACCAATATCTTGGAATCATCTCATCAGTTTGTATGATCTTCCAACCCTTTGGTGCTTTATTTAGATGTTCACCCGACTCTCCAAGGCGCAGTTACTTTAACTGGATCCATTGGGGCGCAGGTAATATCGCCCATTTAACAGCAATGGGAACCATTTTTTCAGTGTTAACATTGAAATCAGTTAAATTGCCTGATCCTTTCTATTGGATTCTCGCTGCTCATATTGTCATCTACGTTGCCATCCACTTAATTATGCAATGTCATTCCGCCATAATCTCATCTAAGAAACGGGTGATCGAGGAAGCCCACGAATCCCTCAAGTCCTATGCGGTCACTTCGACCTCGTCCCCTAGTCCAGCATCTCGAGTGGGTGAAGGCTTCAGGCAATTCATGTTGGGTCTTTACCTTGTTATCGTAACCGTTTCAACGGTTATCCTTGTTTTAATAATTTTCTTCCAATCAAAGTAAATCAACTGGAAATCAACAACAATCAAGTGAAAAAGCAAACAATCAATTGATTGCTGATCGACCAACAACAATGAACCTTGGATATTTTCCTCTTTTTTTCTGTGTGTATTTAACTTGATTTACAAGATAATTTATTTTTCGCTTAAAAAAGTTTTCTAAATTTCATCAACATGATTTACTCATCAACTAATCAACAATTAAAATGATCATCTCATACCTGTGAATAGCCAAATGTTTAATCAAGGTAAGTCAATTTATCCTCAATACTATTATTTAGACGTTGATTGTTATCGTTAATTCAATGAAACTACATTTAGTTGAAGATTGGGTGATTTAATTTGATTCAGGAAATTTACTATTATTTGATCAGGTTGACTTGTTGTTCAAATAGTAATGACAATTAGTTAATTGGTTTCCCATTTGATATTCATTTTCAAGGTTATCTTCTTTGTCCATCATTTTCAATCATCTTCATCATTGAATTTATGTTAATCATCAACTTGATGATAGTGGTTAGTTAATCAAGGAAACTGTAGTTAGTTGAACAACCTAAACAATTGTAATTGCTGATGAATTGGTAAGAAACACAATTGGAATTGTGATTTCCAGGAAATGGAAAAAAAATAATTTCCAATGTAAAAAAAGACAACAACAATTAAGATTGACCAAGAAATTAGAATCAGGTCAAGGTGTTAATTGTTGTGAGGTGATAATTAGATTGTCAAGATAAATAAGAAACTATGATTGAGAAGATGAAGAGAAAAAATTAATTCAGTCAACTGTAATTAGTTAGAGAGAGAGAAAAAAATTAAAAGTTTAATGAATGAATTTGTTGTCAAACAATTTAAAAGTTAATTGTTGACAATTTATGTTTGAGAGTTAAAAGGAAATCACTTTTACCTTTTGTCTTTTCAACAATCTAATTTAATTTCTAACTCATTAACAATCCTTGAAATCGTTTCCTCATCTAATTTATATAACTTAATCACTATAATCAGGGTAACAATTTAATCAACAACGAGGTAATTTAATTCATGTTTAACTCAATTACGATCTCGGTGGTAGTTTAATTGATTGGATTTGTTACCAGTCAGTAATAGATTTGAATTATTTGATTATTACACTTTAATTTGTCATGGTCGTCATTGTTTGTCACCTTAAATCAACCATAACATTAACAATCTAATAATAATTACTATTGATTAAGAATCAACAATCAACTAATCAAATTGTTCAAACTTTCTCTTTTTTTAACTTTTTGTCTTTTGTTAATTGTTTCAGGAAAAAAACCAAAAACGGATCAAGTCAAGTACAAATTGTAATAATAATGATAACCGATATTGGTGGTTAATTGTTAACGATAATTAACAAATCAACACAAATCACAATGATTATAACAATTAAGCCCCTTAATTGTTTATAAAATCTGATGTAATTTCACCAACATGTTAACAAACCTTGACGATTAATGTTTACCTTTTTTTATCTTACCTGTAATTTAAATTGTTACTGTATATTAGTTAATTTGTTTTTCTCAATTGTATCACTTAATCATGATTAACTCTTCCTTGTCATCTTGATCACCATCATAATAATCATCATGATTACCATCAAATTGTATTGATTTGAAAGGATAATCACAAACATCATCAACAACTTTTGACAACAACAATACAAAAGCTGATCAGCTTTTCAATTGTCTAATCACCTTTGTTTTTTTAAATTGTTATTATTATTATTGTTACCTGTAACTTTTTTTGATTAACTGTATTGTTAATCACTCACTTTCGATGAGTAAATTGTTAATATAAACACATTGATTAGTTTTTTTAGATCTGCAGATGAAAAATGAAAAATGAGAACTGAAAATGTATCAACAAAAATATCAACTTTTCCAACATGAATCAAGTGAAAAGATTTTATTATTAATTGATTATCAGTTAAATTTGTTGTTTCTCTTGCAATTTAAACTGAATTAGGATTAAGGTGACAATCGATAAATCATTTTCTACTGATATTTAATCAAGAGGAAACCCAGTAATCATTTAAATTGGTATCGGAAGAGCTGATGTAAAGGTTAGAGGAGATGACGACAAAAAGTGTCGCGGTTACCTGATCATTGATTGTTGGTGGTGGTGATGCTCATGATTTACTTAATTGTGAGTAAATAACGACAGGAAAGGTTATCATGATGATGACGATCATCATGATTATCGTCTGAATATATTGTTCACCTGAACAAATACTTGTCACACCAAATACCTTGATAAGGTAACAGCAACAATCAATTTTCAAAGTCGTTTCGACAGTTAATCAAGGTCACAATTATATTTATATAAACCTACACAATCTAGTAATTGTGAATCAACCTGAAATTTAATCAACCATCACTGATCATCATCATCATCATCATCATCAATTCAAGAGTAAGAGGCTCAATGGGAATGATAAACAAGCGAAACAAGATCAACCTTTAACATCAATGGTTTTTCATTGTTGACTTTTGATTTTTTTTTCTGACAGAAAAACTGTCAAAATGAGTTTACCCTTTTTTTTTGCTGCTCAGGTGACATTCACCTTAATCAATAACAATTTAGCTTAATCATTTAACAACAATCAGCGATCGTTGTTGTTGTTTACCTGCGAGTGAGATGAAAAAAAGTAGAAGCCAAAAAGTTTCTGATTAATTTCCTTGATTGTTAATGATAAATGATTCAAATAACTTGGGATTTCATGATGATTATCTTCATCTTTCTCACTTTTATCATCATCTTAATCCCCACAATCAACATGGTTAATGATTAAAAAAGAAACAAAATTTAACTTCAAGAACTTTAATCAGAATAACTTTTTTTTCATTTTCTTTGGGATAAAGTTCAATGTTTTTAATTGATCATCTTAATTATTATCATTTAACTGCTTTGGGCGAAAGCTTTAAACTGATCTCAATTAAATCACGAACTTGAGAGAGAAGAGCAATCAAAATTAATCGTTGATTCTATTAATTAATAATCATCGAGATGTCAAGTAATTTAATTGAAGGTAAACAACAACACACGATGAAGACATTAAATGTTAATGATTAACCAAATTCACCAAAAAAATCAGTGTCCATCGGTTAAGTATTTGTGAGCAATTAATATTTGAGAAATGATTGATTACAATTAAACTCGATGAATAAATTTATATACAAATTAAATGGCCGTAAGGTTGATTGTTGTTTATGGTTGATGATGAATATGATGATTTAGTTTGATTATGATTAAAAGATGATCCAATATTAAATAAGGTCTAGAGTAAAGTGAGTTGATTAAGAAGAAGAAAAAAAAAGGAATTAAATTAATCATTAAAACCTAATTTCTAGAATTGAAGGTTTGGTTAGTGTAACAATTTAACCTGAAAGTTAAATTACTTTGATGATTAACTAATTTTATTTTTCTCGGCTTCTTAAACCAACCTTTTAATGGATAACAAACATGATGATTCGGGTTCGTGGATGAATTTACAATTTAATTGCCTGAGGGCATTTAGATGATGATGATAAGGTTGATACAATAGGTTTGAGTTTCTCAATCATCATCATCATTTTAATCACTGATTAGGCCTAATATGATTAAAGGAATCAGCAGATGGATTATGTTCGTGTTCGTGGATTTAATTGTGATTAAATCTAATCCTCAACTCTTTTCATTAAATTTACTAATTGATATTTAGTAATTATGATGAAGATGATCAATTGAAAAAGTTATTAACCAATGATATTTAATATTTTATATTGATAATGATTGAAACAATTAACTTTGATTCGCTTTATAGTGAAAGTCTTACAACAACAATTAATTTTAACTATAATTTGTTTTTATCAATTTCTAGTCTTTGATACTGATAATATAATTTATTATTATATCTTTTAGTTAATAGTTAATTAACTATCACGATTTGTTAATAGTTAATTTTGTTTCTGCGTAGCAATCAAATGTAATTGTTGTTGTTAAACTTGAATTGGCAACAAAAGTTAAAAGTTATGGAGTGAAGATTATGTGTTAAGAAAAATGTACACAATTTACAATATGATTAGAAGACAATTAAGAATTAAATTGAAATTTTGTAATGATTAGACTGAATCAAATTGGAAGATTAAATTGATTAAGTTTCAATTAAGGAAAAGGTTGAAAAGTTTTACAATCAAGAATAAAGTTTTTACCTGTAAACATGATAACCGATAAGTTTGCTGATTTGATCAATGGATCAATTTGACAATTTAATGAATCAGATTGGAAATGTAATCAATGAATAATCAGTTAATTGGTGAAGATTAAGACCATTGATTATAATCAGTTTTACTATTAAAGGCAATTACAAGGAGACGATAGTAAGTGTAGGCCCAATAACGAAGTGTAGGTTAGAAGAAAAAATTTCTTTCTCTTCCTCATCTTTCTCACCTTTCTCTTTCTTTTTTCTCTCTCTTTCTTACCTGAATTTTCATCTTCATCATCCTCATCATCTTCTCAAGGTTGAACAATGGGTAACAAGGTGCGGAGGATAAAAAATTGGCTCCATGATGATGAGAATCAAAATTCTGTGAGAAAAACCAGTTTCCCTTTGAAAGAAACTCTGTTGATGAGATTGTTGTTTTTCCCACTTCCATTCATAGTAACTAGTTAATTCTTGATTCAGTTAATAAATTCGCAACTCAATCAACAATTAGTTTCCTATTATTTAATCATAAATCATTTTCTATCACAATTAAATCGTAAACAATTGTCAATGGTCATCAATTGATTCCTTCGTTTCAATGGCAACCAATAAGTTCAATCTCGTTATTGTTTGTGTCTCTTTTTTAATTGTTACCGTTAATTACTCGATGGTTTCAGGTCTCAAATGTTATGAGTGCGGTCATTATTTACCTCGATCCGATGGTGCTGATCGATTTGTCCCTTGTGAACATTTTAATTCAACTCATCTAATTGATTGTAAACCTCAAGAGAAATCGTGTTTAAGACTTTCCAATCAAGGGTTAATTGTCCTCCAATGTTCAGCTAATTGTATCGGTGATATTAATTATCAGGCTGAAAGGGAAATTCATTGTTGTCATCAAGATGGTTGTAATCGTTCAATTAATTTCTCATCGTCGATTCCCTTGATTGTTACAAGTATTTTGTCAATTGTTTACAATCAACTTACCTGATAATTAATTTCAAATATTTCGTTTCATTTTAATTTTGTGTTCATTTAATCATCAAATCTTCATTCTCACTGGTGACATGATTAACTAACTGTTAATTGTTTATTGTCAATCTACCAATCAAACGTTAATCATTGTTGATTACTGAATTGGATTGGGAAAATAAATTGTTTACTGTTAATATTGTTTAATAACATTAACTGAATCATTTTTTTAATTGTTTGTATGAAAAGTGTCAAAATACTTGAATGTTTTTGCATCAAACTAATCAGGGTTTTTTTTAACAATCAACAAAATTATTATCAATTTAAAGTTGATAATTTGTCATCGTTTAATTGTTAATATTTTTGTATGACTGGTGATAAGCTCAATAAAATATTAGTTAGTTAAATGGCACTAATTAGTGAAAAACTTTCTCTGGTTAACCTCAATTCTGTAAATTTTTCCGATCCCTTTAGATGATGATTGTTATGATGCCTCTTATTTGATAGGTTAATTGTGAACAATTAATGATCATCGTAACCAGGCATTGGGAATGTGCTTGCCCACTCGTTTACACGTCTTCTAATGTCAGCGATTTGCTTAATTGTTTCCTCGTCGGTGGTGATGAATTTCTTGAAATCATTGACAGTTTTACCTATTTAAAAATGAAGAAATTAAAGTTTTGATTAAAAATTAGAAACTTTGACGGAGAAATTTAGTTGAAATCAGTGAAAACAAACTAACCACATGAAGCTTTAACTTTGAGAGACAACTGAACACCTTCATCGATAAAATCGGCCACTTTGGTAAAATCTGATTCCACAAAGTTTCGAGTAGTCAAAGCGGGAGCACCAAGTCGGATTCCACCAGGGAATAGAGCGGATTTGTCACCAGGACAAGTGTTTTTATTACCAATTATGTCACAATGGTTGAGAAGAGCCTCTAATCTTGCACCGTCAAGTCCTTTATCTCGTAAATTCAATAGTAAAAGATGATTATCGGTTCCACCAGAGACCAATGAATATCCCTTGGCCACTAACGCATCGGCAAAAGCTTTGGCGTTTTTCAAGACTTGTTCACAATAAGCTCGGAATTCATTTGATGTGGCCTCTTTCAAAGCGACAGCTACACCAGCGATTGCATGATTATGTGGTCCACCCTGAAGAGACGGAAATACAGAAGAGTTGATTCTTGATTCATAATCAAGAACGTCCTTTCCTTGTTCATTGATTTGTTTACGGAAGAAAATTAATCCTGATCGGACACCTCGAAGTGTTTTGTGAGTTGTTGTTGTAACAACGTCACAATGATCAAAAGGCGATGGGATAACACCAGAAGCAACCAGTCCACTGATATGCGCCATGTCGGCTAAAAGGATCGCACCGACACTATCACAGATGACACGGAATCTGGCATAATCTAGTAAACGAGAATAGGCCGATGTTCCTGCGATAATCAACTTTGGACGGAAAAGTTTCGCAGTTTCTGCCAATTTTTCGTAATCAATGAGACCTGTTGCAGGGTCCAATTTGTAGGGCATCGATTCAAAGAAAATGGATGTTGCCGATACTCTTTTTTGGTCATTCATGTAGCCGTGGGTGAGACTGAAACGAAAAATAAAACAATTTGTTAAAAACGAAACATTTCCAATCAACAGGTTGCAAAGGTAAACGTATATCAGACTCTTTAATGATTGATGACATAATTGAATCTTATCATGATTTCCAAGCTGATTTCATGATCTCAATTTCAAGGGTTAAAGGACTGAAATATCTACATGATAGTAAAACTATTCAAACACTTGAGATTTTATCGATTCAATCTTATCACAATTTCTACTGATTGAGTGGATATTTATGATCATTGTAAGATTATGATCACTGTAAACGTTAACCATTTCAACAAACTTACTGTCCACCTTCAGTGAGCTCAAGGCCCATGATCCGGTCATGAGGCTTCAAGAGAGCATTGTAAGTGGCAAAATTGGCCGGAGAACCAGAAAGAGGTTGAACATTGACTCCCCATTTGCTTGGGTCCAACTTGTAGGCTTCAAGAGCACGTTTTTGGCAGAGAAGTTCAATCTCATCGATAACTTCAGTTCCACCATAATATCGTTTACCAGGATATCCTTCTGAATATTTGTTATTCAAACAAGAACCAAGAGCTTCAAGACAGGCCAAAGAAGCAAAATTCTGAAAGAAACGGAAATGAAGAGACAGACACTTGTTACTAAGGGACTTGTTGAATATAAAGAATGGAGATAAAAAGACGAAAACTGGATAACCTTTGACACCAATCAAGAGACAGAAAATTAAAGGTGAGAATATTAATCTTACCTCAGATGCAATTAACTCTAGGCCTCTTTTTTGTCTCTCCTTCTCTTTCCTGATCAACTGCCACATCTCGGGATCAGCAACGGCCAAAGGAATATTTCCTGAATTCATGGTTCTCACAATGATTGTACGATAAAACTGATTGGACACCAACTAAATAAAGGAACAAAAATCAATTAAAACAACTGAAAATTAAACACCAAATATAAGTAAAACAAGAGAGAGAAACAAGATGAAGATGAAGATGAAAAGAAAACAAGTTTCATCAACAAGGATTATTCACTTACTTTAATGATCGAGCTCCTCCTCATATTTACTGCTTTTTGTTTGATTCCAATTAGAAAACAAGAGAATCAATTTAGCCATAAAAACGATAATTAATCAATCGATGGTGAGTAGATAATCGCCCAGATGATTATCAACATCTTGAAACAGAGAGAAAGAGAAAGAAAATCTAATCTAATGCAATCAAAAATCTTTTATCTTGTCACTAGAAAAGAGAAAATAAAAGTCACATTGTCACAAGAGAGAAAACACTTTACTCATATTCTCTTTCTTTTCTGTCTTTCAATTAATCGAAGTTGATTATTTGTAGATTATCTTGTTGATTGTTCTCCCTCAGTTACTAATTAGTAGTTTAATCTTTTCTCATCATTTGATTTTAGATCATCACATTGATTTGCAAATGAACATCTTGGAATTGATTGTCACCATATCGCCGATTTATTATCGAAATTCAACATTTTTATTATCACAAATACATCGTTCGATAATTGAATCGTCCACAAAAACAGTAAGAGAATAGAAATACAAGTTCCGCTAATTCAATTTACTGCTTTTCTTTTGTCTTTCCTTGCAATATTGACCTTCGCCGTTTAGATGGTAATTCAAGAAACATCGATAGTCTTACTTCTTTATCAAGTTGAGCTTTTGTCCAATCGTCATCAGGGGCTGGACATCCATATTTAATTCGGAGCTGAATTGAATCAGTATTTCTTCGATCAATAAGTTCCTGATTGATAGGAATTCGCAAAGCATCACAACCTTTTTCGAAACCAAGACAAAACGAATTGTAAGCTTGAAACACTTTCTCGAAAGTCCATTTGTAATCCGTCCTTTCTTCGTTTTGTATATTACTTCTGAGTAACACCCAGTTTATAATAATAGCACTTCCTCGGTTGTATTCAATCAAAACAAATTCTGACTGGCGAAAATTAAGGACAGCCATTTTCTGGGTGCATCTTTGTGAAGTCCTTTTTCACTTGGTCTCCCTTGACTGTAACCATATCCTCGATATTCAACTAGAAGGATATTAACTTTGAGAAAATGAAACAGTTCGGCAACGTTATTCAATCGATGGCCAATGTTTCCAGCATTTCCATGGAGATAGAGAAAAGTGGCCGGTGATTCACCCGATGATCTGGAATCTGTGTCACGTTGTTGAATGAACATACAGTGGATTTTAACATTATCCTCGGTGGTAAGGTAGAGATCAGTGAACGGAAGTTGAACCGTTGAAGGAGAAGCGACATTTTTCCTAGAATCGGGTGGACTATCAGGGTGATAGATTAAATCGTCACTTAATTTCCAAAGAAAATAGACAACAGCCAATGGGGTAAAGAAAATAATATACCAGAAACCCAAAAGAACCAGAATTATACAAAAAATGGTTAATAGTAAAAGAATATTTCTCCAGCATTTCATCAAAATGATTCCAATGATGGTCAACACTTGACGGACACTTGGAGAGAAAAATTTCTTTAACCTTAAGGTCATCCTGAAGCTTGATGAAGTCTCGTAATTAGGTCGATAATTAAACTTGTCGAAAACAGATCGAAATAGATTCATAATATTGAATTGTCGATAATAATAAGTAAATGGTTTGCCTCCAATGGTAAAAAACAAAAGGTAAACACCAAAAATGAATCAGTCATGGATTGTTTTTTAAAAGAAAAGGAATATCAAAGTAACAGGATTGGTTTATATCAACTGATTACATGACCTTTGGTCACTCAGAGATCGATAATCATGAAAAACAATCACTGTAATTATCAGGATAATAAACAATTAACTGGTAGTGTTAAGGTTAACAATGGATTAGAGGTAAAGCCAAACCAAAAACTGAAAGGAAAATGAAAAAAAAGATAAACATGATTATCCGTTTAAAATGATCAATAAATTAACAGTTAATTGAGTAAATTATTTACCTTTTTCTGGTCAACTATTAATCAGCATAAATTGGAACATGAAGTGAAAATAAAATTAAGAATTAGTTAATTGTTTAGATGAACACAATTAATATAAATACGAGTGAGATTCAATTTGGTTACGTTTGTTTTTCAGCTTCCCAATCAGCTGTTGGCTCTCAATTTAGCTCACCTTTTTTTCAGACAAAGAAACAATTAAGTTAACAATTTATATTCCTAATTTTGACTTAATTGTTTCACAATTAAATTAGATTTTGGACAATCTTGTTGATTGTTCTCCCTCAGTTACTAATTAGTAGTTTAATCTTTTCTCATCATTTGATTTTAGATCATCACATTGATTTGCAAATGAACATCTTGGAATTGATTGTCACCATATCGCCGATTTATTATCGAAATTCAACATTTTTATTATCACAAATACATCGTTCGATAATTGAATCGTCCACAAAAACAGTAAGAGAATAGAAATAAAAGTTCCAGCTAATTCAATTTACTGCTTTTCTTTTGTCTTTCCTTGCAATATTGACCTTCGCCGTTTAGATGGTAATTCAAGTAACATCGATAGTCTTACTTCCTTATCAAGTTGAGCTTTTGTCCAATCGTCATCAGGGGCTGGGCATCCATATTTAATTCGGAACTGAATTGAATCAACATTTCTTCGATCAATAAGTTCCTGATTGATAGGAATTCGCAAAGCATCACAACCTTTTTCGAAGCCAAGACAAAACGAATTGTAAGCTTGAAACACTTTCTCGAAAGTCCATTTGTAATCCGTCCTTTCTTCGTTTTGTATATTACTTCTGAGTAACACCCAGTTTATAATAATAGTACTTCCTCGGTCGTATTGAAACAGAATAAATTCCGACTGGCGGAAATTAATGACAGCCATTTTCTGGGAGCAAAATGTAAAGAAAAAGTAATTAATATTAATACTTAAACAGAAATATGAGTTTCGATAGTTTGTAGAAATGTTCATCGAAAATACTAATGTAATAGTATTACCTTCAGTGTAATTAATAAGGAAGTTGAAGCTTTGCTGGTTTGAAGACAAAGACAAAATCATCATTAGAACTTAGTGAAAGTTTCATAATGAAACTAAATGACCGGTGGTCACAATAATCGGCTCATTCAGCTGATCTAAAATAGCGCCACTTGTTAGGCAGCTACAGAAAGAAATTCTTTCGGTTTTAAACTCGTAAAAGTGATTGTTGCAGTTAGAATATTAATTGATTGTTAACAATAAACATACAAAGAACCATCAATAGTCTGATAAAGATTGAAATGCTTTTGAATTTGGTCAAACAGTTTCATTCTTATATTTTTAGTACATAAAAGATGACAATCAATGTGTTTTTACCTAATGGTTTATTTCAATTGATGCGATTGAGTCAATCGAACTGGTGATTTCGATTATTGATCACCAATTTTCATTACAACCTTAGAAATAATGTTTGTATTCAATTAATCACTCTAATTGTAGACCATCTATTTGGAGTTTTTGTCGATGTTTGTTTTTAGTTATTGATTTGGTTGGAACTTTCCTTTCTCCTTTTTCCTTAATTGCAGATCATTTCAATTGATGCTTTTATTACCATGCATTTTTTTGCACCACGAATTACAGGCAAACGCCCTAGTGAAAGTTTCTTCGTCTCTGCTTGTAGATTGAGATTCTGGAACTGGAAGACCATGCTGATCTTGAAATTTCCGAACATCATTCGCTCTTCTGTCTTTGGCGACCTTGTCAACCGGAATTCTATGTCTTTCGTAAGCTCTTTCGATTCCTAAACAATAAGCATTATAACTAATGAAGACTCGTTCCAAGTTCCATTGATATTCCGACTGCTCACTTTCTTGAATATTCTTAAGCAAGAGTTCCCAGTCCAAGTCAGTCTCTCGATCAGGTCGCTTGTAAGCTCTTCGGAAATAATGTGATTGACGAGTGGTTATGATGGCCATTTTCTGTAAACAACAAGACAAGATTGATAAACAACTAAAACTTTATGGGTTTTGATATTTCGTATAAAAGTTTATGAGCTTTTGAAGTCTCATAGAAAAGATTTCAATATGTTACCTGTGGTTTGACCAACAATTTAGAGATTTTAAGACTTGAAAATAGGAATAGATCAGTAGTATATTCCGTATAGAACTTCACGAAAACAAATGACCGGCCACTTATTAACCTCCTCTAACTTGACCAGTCATCGAGTCGGTGCGACCCACAACGGAATTTACTTGAGAATAGGCCGAAAGAGAGAGAAGATAATTTAATTCTAATGATAAAAAAGTTATCGGTGGCTTGATTCGGATCAATTATATTAGCAGTTCGAACAATTTTCAATGCACATTCCCCTTGTTATAGCAATGGATCAACATCATTTTAATTGATTTCTTCAGATCTCATCAACAATCAATATATTGGAAGGACATTTGAAGGGGAATAGAACAACCTATTACTATTTCCTGGTGGTTCGTCCAAAACATCGAAAGAGTAGAAATTAGTTGTTGGAATTGGAAGAAGATTCATTGAGAAAACTGCTTGTCCTTTGGATCGATCACTTTAGAACTGGTTGGATTTAAGGTCATATTTTATCGAATCGGGTGCGTTTCCGTTGGAGTCTAAAAGTTTATACAATTTTGAATTGATTCTTTTTGGTTGATTGATTTGGTTTACTTTTTGTTGTCCTCTTAAGTGCAGAGTAAATATTTTCAATTGGACTTTGATTTTTTATTACCATTCTCAACTGCATTTCGCTCAGTTTCAAGAGGTCTCACAATCAAGGGAAGTACGATGATTGAAAAATTCAATTATCGAACAACTAATGCGTTAAATCTCATTCTCTTTTTACTCTTCTTCTTAATAACAATTTGATATCATCACCGATCTGCGATTTGTTTGTTGAACACTTTCTATTTATTTCATCATTTTTTCTACATCTTATTATTACGAATTCATCGTTCGATATTTGAATGTTCCACAGAAACAGTAAGAGAATAAATGATAAATAAAAAGATAATAAAAATATTTCGGGTCAATTTAATGTTTTTCTTTTTCCTTTCCTTGCAATATTGATTTTCGCCTTGCAGATTGTCTTTCTAGTAACTGGAATTGTTTTATTTCTTTATCGAGCTGAGCTTTTGTCCAATCGTCATCAGGGGCTGGGCAACCATATTTAGTTCGGAACTGAATCGCATCAACGTTTCTTCGATCAATAAGTTCCTGATTGATAGGAATTTGCAAAGAATCACAACCTTTTTCGAAACCAAGACAAAACGAATTGTAAGCTTGAAACACTTTCTCGAAGGTCCATTTGTAATCTGTCGGCTCGCTGGCTTGGATACCGCTTCTTAGTAATGCCCAGTTTATAGTAGTTTTTTCTCGGCGGTATTGAATTATAATATATTGAGACTGGTAATAATTAACGACGGCCATTTTCTGTAAGCAAAATGTAAAGAAAAAGAAATTTATATTAATACTTTCACAAAAATATGAGTTTCGATAGTTTAAAGAGATGTTCATCGAAAATACTATCAACAGTATTACCTGTAGTGTAATTAAAAGGAGACAAAAAAGAGCATTTCTGACTTGAAGACAAAGACAAAACTCAACGGTAGAACTTAAAGAAACCAAATGACCGGTGGTCAGATTAATCGGCTCATTTAGCTGATCTAAAAAAGCGCCACTAGTTAGGAAGCTACAGAAAAATTATCATCGGTTTTAAGCTTGAAAAGTGTTTGTTGAAACTAGAATATCAATTGGTCGATATTCACCGGGGCGATTATCTACTCATCTTAAGTTGATTGATTATCGTTTTTTATGGATAATTTTATTATCTCGTTTTCTAATTGGAATCAAAGAAAAAGCAGTAAAGTCATCTTGTTTCTCTCTCTCGTTTTACTTATATTTGGTGATTAATTTTCAGTTGATTTAATTGATTTTTGTTCCTTTATTTTGTTGGTGTCCAATCAGTTTTATCGTACAATCATTGTGAGAACCATGAATTCTGGAAATATTCCTTTGGCCGTTGCTGATCCCGAGATGTGGCAGTTGATCAGGAAAGAGAAGGAGAGACAAAAAAGAGGCCTAGAGTTAATTGCATCTGAGGTAAGATTAATATTTTCGCCTTTAATTGTCTTTCTGTTTAATTTTCTGATCTTGATTATGAATCAAGAATCAACTCTTCTGTATTTCCATCTCTTCAGGGTGGACCACATAATCATGCAATCGCTGGTGTAGCTGTCGCTTTGAAAGAGGCCACATCAAATGAATTCCGAGCTTATTGTGAACAAGTCTTGAAAAACGCCAAAGCTTTTGCCGATGCGTTAGTGGCCAAGGGATATTCATTGGTCTCTGGTGGAACCGATAATCATCTTTTACTATTGAATTTACGAGATAAAGGACTTGACGGTGCAAGATTAGAGGCTCTTCTCAACCATTGTGACATAATTGGTAATAAAAACACTTGTCCTGGCGACAAATCCGCTCTATTTCCTGGTGGAATCCGACTTGGTGCTCCCGCTTTGACTACTCGAAACTTTGTGGAATCAGATTTTACCAAAGTGGCCGATTTTATCGATGAAGGTGTTCAGTTGTCTCTCAAAGTTAAAGCTTCATGTGGTTAGTTTATTTTCATTGATTTCAACTAAATTTCTCCGTCAAAGTTTCTAATTTTTAATCAAAACTTTAATTTCTTCATTTTTAAATAGGTAAAACTGTCAATGATTTCAAGAAATTCATCACCACCGACGAGGAAACAATTAAGCAAATCGCTGACATTAGAAGACGTGTAAACGAATGGGCAAGCACATTCCCAATGCCTGGTTACGATGATCATTAATTGTTCACAATTAACCTATCAAATAAGTGGCACCATAACAATCATCATCTAAAGGGATCGGAAAAATTTACAGAATTGAGGTTAATCAGAGAAAGTTTTTCACTAATTAGTGCCATTTAACTAACTAATATTTTATTGAGCTTATCACCAGTCATACAAAAATATTAACAATTAAACGATGACAAATTATCAACTTTAAATTGATAATAATTTTGTTGATTGTTAAAAAAAACCCTGATTAGTTTGATGCAAAAACATTCAAGTATTTTGACACTTTTCATACGAACAATTAAAAAAATGATTCAGTTAATGTTATTATAATATTGTTTATAAACAATATTAACAGTAAACAATTTATTTTCCCAATCCAATTCAGTAATCAACAATGATTAACGTTTGATTGGTAGATTGACAATAAACAATTAACAGTTAGTTAATCATGTCACCAGTGAGAATGAAGATTTGATGATTAAATGAACACAAAATTAAAATGAAACGAAATATTTGAAATTAATTATCAGGTAAGTTGATTGTAAACAATTGACAAAATACTTGTAACAATCAAAGGAATCGACGATGAGAAATTAACTGAACGATTACAACCATCTTGATGACAACAATGAATTTCCCTTTCAGCCTGATAATTAATATCACCGATACAATTAGCTGAACATTGGAGGACAATTAACCCTTGATTGGAAAGTCTTAAACACGATTTCTCTTGAGGTTTACAATCAATTAGATGAGTTGAATTAAAATGATCACAAGGGACAAATCGATCAGCACCATCGGATCGAGGTAAATAATGACCGCACTCATAACATTTGAGACCTGAAACCATCAAACAGGATCAGGAACATCGGCCTATTCTCGTTTACTAGATTATGCCAGATTCCGTGTCATCTGTGATAGTGTCGGTGCGATCCTTTTAGCCGACATGGCGCTTCAGAATATTAATCTTACCTCAGATGCAATTAACTCTAGGCCTCTTTTTTGTCTCTCCTTCTCTTTCCTGATCAACTGCCACATCTCGGGATCAGCAACGGCCAAAGGAATATTTCCTGAATTCATGGTTCTCACAATGATTGTACGATAAAACTGATTGGACACCAACTAAATAAAGGAACAAAAATCAATTAAATCAACTGAAAATTAATCACCGAAAATAAGTAAAATAAGATGGAGATGAAGACTTTTTCTACATTTTCATTATTATCAATTCATCGTTCGATATTTGAATCGTCCACAAAAACAGTAAGAGAATAAAAGTCTGTAAGTCGTATTTTCAACAATCGGATGCGTTTCCTCGGAGACTTAAAGTTGATACAATTTTACATTAATTCTTTTTGTTTGATTGATTTGGTTGGACTTTCTTTTCTCCTTTTTCCTTAATATTGAACCATTTCAATTCAGTCTTTTATTACCATGCATTTTTCTGCACAACGAACTACAAACATCAGGTAAACAAGACCTATAGGTTTCTTCATCACTGCCCGAATCTTCTGCAACTGGAAGGCCATGCTGATCTTGAAATTTCCGCGCATCAAGCGCTCTTCTTTCCATGGCGACCTTGTCAACAGGAATCTTGTGTATTTCTGAAGCTCTTTCGATTCCATGACAATAAGCATTATAGCTAATGAAGACTTGTTCCAGGTTCCACTGATATTCCGACTGTTCACATTCTTGAATATTCTTAAGCAAGAGCTCCCAGTCCAAATCCGTCTCGCGCTCAGGTCGCTTATAGGCCCTTCGGAAATGTTGTGATTGGCGAGTAGTTATAAAAACCATTTTCTGTAAACAAAAAAGCAAGAAAAGAAAAGATTAGAAAATAACAATAAAACTTGATGAGTTTCTGGAAATAAAATTAATCGGAAATCTTATGGTTGTTATGGGAAAAGATTTTAAAATGTTACCTGAAGTTGAATTGTGAAATACTTGTGAAATTTGGGACTTGGAAACAACAGATTAGAAATAATAGTCAATAGAACCTTAGGAAAAAATGACCTTTCGCTGTTCAACTTTCTCCAACTTGACCAGCCGCCGAATCACAGAAGAATTTGAATGAACTTTTACGCGGGAATAGACTGATGTTCCTGCAATGATCATCTTTGAACGGAAAAGTATAACAAAACTTTTGTTACAAAAGTGTTGCTCCAAACCGAAAATTTCTCAAGAAAATAGAGACTAATTTGATTTTGTCGTGAGAAAAACACTTTACTCATATTCTTTTTCTTTCTTTCTTCCAATTAATCGAAGTTGATTATCTGTAGATTTTCTTGTTGATTTGTCTACCTCAGTTACTAATTAATAGTTTAATCTTTAATCTTTTCTCATCATTTGATTTTAGATCATCTCATTGATTTGCAAATGAACATCTTGGAATTGATTGTTACCATATCAAAAATTTATTATCGAAATTCAACATTTTTATTATCATCGTTCGATAATTGAATCGTCCACATAAACAGAATAAATGTTCAAAGGAAATATTTCGGTTCAATTTACTTTTTTTCTTTTTCCTTTCCTTGCAGTAACATCAGTAACATCGATAGTCTTACTTCTTTATCAAGTTGAGCTTTTGTCCAATCGTCATCAGGGGCTGGACATCCATATTTAATTCGGAACTGAATAGCATCAACGTTTCTTCGATCAATAAGTTCCTGATTGATAGGAATTCGCAAAGCATCACAACCTTTTTCGAAACCAAGACAAAAAGAATTGTAAGCTTGAAACACTTTCTCGAAAGTCCATTTGTAATCCGTCCTTTCTTCGTTTCGTTCTCTTGTTTTCTAATTGGAATCAAACAAAAAGCAGTAAATATGAGGAGGAGCTCGATCATTAAAGTAAGTGAATAATCCTTGTTGATGAAACTTGTTTTCTTTTCATCAACATCTTCATCTTGTTTCTCTCTCTTGTTCTATTCCCATTCAAATGTCCTTCCAATATATTGATTGTTATCTTTTCTTTGCTAAAAATCTAAGAATCAAATGCATCGAAAAATTCAATACTTTTCAATCTTTGCTCAGCCAATTGATTGTTTTCTATGTTGATTATTAGCAATCAATTGTAATTCTATTGTCAACAACCCTTTGTACGTGCAATTGCGAAGAATAATCTTATCTTTAGTTCGTAGGACTCTGTAAATTTTCTCGTTCTCAAATTTTCTGATGATGTTTCTTAATTGTTTGCTTGTCGGTGGTGATGAATTTCTTGAAATCATTGACAGTTTTACCTATTTAAAAATTAAGAAATTAAAGTTTTGATTAAAAATTAGAAACTTTGACGGAGAAATTTAGTTGAAATCATTGCAAATAACCATATGAAGGTTTCGCTTTGAGAGACAATTGAACACCTTCATCGATAAAATTGGCAACTTTGGCAAAATCTGATTCCACAAAGTTTCGAGTAGTCAAAGCGGGAGCACCAAGTCGGATTCCACCAGGAAATAGAGCAGATTCGTCGCCAGGACAAGTGTTTTTATTACCAATTATGTCACAGTGATTGAGAATTGCCTCTAATCTTGCACCGTCAAGTCCTTTATCTCGTAAATTCAATAGTAAAAGATGATTATCGGTTCCACCAGAGACCAAAGAATATCCCTTAGCCACTAACGCTTCGGCAAAAGCTTTGGCGTTTTTCAAGACTTGTTCACAATAAGCTCGGAATTCATTTGATGTGGCCTCTTTCAAAGCGACACCTACACCAGCGATTGCATGATTATGTAGTTCACTTTGAAGAGATGGAGATACACAGAATCTGATTCATAACCAAGAACAGAAAATTAAACAGACAGACAATTAAAGGTGAGAATATTAATCTTACCTCAGATGCAATTAACTCTAGGCCTCTTTTTTGTCTCTCCTTCTCTTTCCTGATCAACTGCCACATCTCGGGATCAGCAACGGCCAAAGGAATATTTCCTGAATTCATGGTTCTCACAATGATTGTACGATAAAACTGATTGGACACCAACTAAATAAAGGAACAAAAATCAATTAAATCAACTGAAAATTAATCACCGAAAATAAGTAAAACGAGATGAAGACTTTTTTTCTACATTTTTATTATTACGAATTCATCGTTCGATATTTGAATGGTCCACAGATACAGTAAGAGAATAAAAGTCTGTAAGTCGTATTTTCATCAATCGGATGCATTTCCTTGGAGACTTAAAGTTGATACAATTTTACATTGATTCTTTTTGGTTGATTGATTTGTTTGGACTTTCTTTTCTCCTTTTTCCTCAATATTGAACCATTTCAATTCAGGATTTTATTACCATGCATTTTTCTGCAAAACGAATCACAGTAATCATCGGTTTCTTCATCACTGTCCGAATCTTCTGGAAGGCCATGCTGGTCTTGAAATTTCCGCGCATCAAGCGCTCTTCTTTCCTTGGCGACCTTGTCAACAGGAATTCTATGTATTTCTGAAGCTCTTTCGATTCCTAAACAATAAGCATTATAACAAATGAAAACTCGTTCCAGGTTCCACTGATATTCCGACTGCTCACTTTCTTGAATATTCTTAAGCAAGAGCTCCCAGTCCAAATCAGTCTCGCGCTCAGGTCGCTTATAAACCCTTCGGAAATGTTGTGATTGGCGAGTAGTTATAAAAACCATTTTCTGTAAACAAAAAAGCAAGAAAAGAAAAGATTAGAAAATAACAATAAAACTTAAGGAGTTTCTGGAAATAAAATTAACCGAAAATCTTTTGGTTTTTATGGGAAAGATTTTACATATTACCTGAAATTTAGTTGCGAAAAACTTGAAGAATTTGGGGTTAGGAAAGAACAGATCAGAAATAAAAGTCAGTAGAACCTTAAGAAAAAAATGACGTTTCGCTGTTCAACTTTCTCCAGCTTGACCAGCCACCGACTTACAGAAGAATTTGAATGAATTTTTACGCGGGAATAGACTGATGTTTCTCAATTAATCTTCTTCCAATTCCAACAACTGATTTCTACTCTTTCGATATAAAATAAACAAAAAACGACAAAAATTCAAACAGATGTCTGATGATTTCTGTGGTCGGAAAGGAATTGATTAATTTAACCGAAATCGTCAAACGAATCAAATTGAATGAACAATTTAACCCAAAATATTCCTGATGCAGAAAAACAATTAATTAATCTAAATTAATTTTCTAATCTTTCCTTTTTCCAGCTTAATAACTGAAATTGGAAACATTAGTATCACAATCAAACTTTTTTACAAGAACTGTTCTAATCCCCTTCAAATGTCCTTCCAATATATTGATTGTTGTCTTTTCTTTGCTAAAAATCTAAGAATGAAATTCATCGAAAAATTCAATACTTTTCAGTCTTTGCTCAGCCCATTGATTGTTTTCTATGTTGATTATTAGCAATCAATTGTAATTCTATTGAAAAACAACACTTTGTACATGCGAAGAGTAATCTTATCGTTAGTTACCCAACTATTGGTGATTTAAGTGCTAAAAACGTGAACGAATGGGCAAAAGCTCTTAAATGGCACTAAGATATTTTTCTCTCGTTTTAAGTGTGTTATGATATGTGTTTGCACGTAAACAAAGTGACTGAAGTGTCTGTTTTGATCAAAAAACTAATTTGGTCAAATTATCCTTGTAATTAAGATCTGGAGAAATCAATTAAAATGATGTCGATCCATTGCTATAACAAGTGGAATGTTCATTGAAAATTTTTCGAATTGCTAATAAAGCCAAAGAAATTGAGTTTGGAATAAAAATAATTCCATTTTACGCATTGAATGATTAAACTGAGATTAACTTGATTATCTTATCGAAAACCCAATGTTCTACAAGTAATCAACTTCGATTAGTTGAAAGAGTTGATATTTATTTGTATTAGTAATTTAAATCATGAAATTAGCTTACAGTCTTTTTCCTATGAATTCACCTTTTTTCTCTTTCTACTTTCTTTTCTTTTTTTCTCGATTATTTTGTTAGTGTTCTCGATATTTCTCACTACAAAAAATCTTCAGAAATATCGATTCTCGATTATTCTCACGGCAACACTAATAACCGGTCATTCGATTTCTTGCTGTTCTTGTGTTGACTATACTTTCGTCTTTAATCTCCAAATCTTCAAATCTTTTTAATTTTTTTCAAGTTGTTCACAATTATTCAGGTAACGTGTTAAAATCTTTTCTTACAACATCGATTATATTTGTTGACAATTTTTCAACAAACTATCGAAACAAAGTTCTTTTTCCAATAATAATTTTTTTCTACTTTCTCTTCATTTTTTTTCTTAGAAAATGTTTACGATTGAAGACAAACATGCGGTTCTTTTCTTAGATGTATATACACGCGATATTACTGAAGTTGATTTGGATTGGCATTCTTTGTTAACCAGTATCAAACGGGTGGACCGAGACGATGTTGATTGTGAATGGAACTTAGAAAAACTTTTTCTTTGTTATAATGCCTATTGCCTTGGTCGGGAAGAAACTTTTGATGACAATAACATTGAAATTGACAATTTGTTCCGGAGTCGGCGAGAAACAGATGCAGTTGCATTTCGATTTGTATTCGAATACCCAGCTGTTGATAAACTGATACTAATTCTTTTCTACTTTCTATTCATTTTTTCTTAGAAAATGGCTTCTATTATGATTACTAGTGAACATGCGAGTTTTTTCAAAGATGAGTACAAGCGACCTCGTAGAAGCACCTCAATTCACTGGAAACGTTTACGATCACGGATTATTTTTACTGAGGCCGACTTTGGATATTTATGGTCTTATGAAAATGTATTCTTGGCATACAACGCTTACTGTTTTGCCATTGAACAAGTTTGCCGAGAGAAAAACATTCCTATTAATCAGTTTTGGGCTGAACGTCGTGTGCTAGACATAGATTATTTCCAATTCATATTTGAGAATCCAGCTCGTTGGAGTTCCGAGAATGATGGGAATCGCAATCATTCTGACGATTAAATTGTATCAACTTTTAGACTCCAACGGAAATGCATCCGATTCGATAAAAATATGACCTTAAATCCAACCAGTTCTAAAATGATCGATCCAGAGGACAAGCAGTTTTCTGCCGCGAAACTTGATGAAAATCGAACTGCGATTTATATCATCTTCCAGTTTCTGTGGAAAATTCAATTATCAAACAACTAATGCGTTAAATCTCATTCTCTTTTTACTCTTCTTCTTAATAACAATTTGATATCATCACCGATCTGCGATTTGTTCGTTGAACACTCTCTATTTATTTCATCAATTTTTCTACGTCTTATTATTACGAATTTATCGTTCGATATTTGAATGTTACACAAAACAGTAAGAGAATAAAAATTAATGTTCCAAGGAAATATTTCGGTTCAATTTACTGTTTTTCTTTTTCCTTTTCTTGCAATATTGATTTTCGCCTTGCAGATTGTCTTTCTAGTAACTGGAATTGTTTTATTTCTTTATCGAGCTGAGCTTTTGTCCAATCGTCATCAGGGGCTGGGCATCCATATTTAGTTCGGAACTGAATCGCATCAACGTTTCTTCGATCAATAAGTTCCTGATTGATAGGAATTTGCAAAGCATCACAACCCTTTTCGAAGCCAAGACAAAACGAATTGTAAGCTTGAAACACTTTCTCGAAGGTCCATTTGTAATCTGTCGGCTCGTCGGCTTGGATACCGCTTCTTAGTAATGCCCAGTTTATAGTAGTTTTTGCTCGGCGGTATTGAATTATAATATATTGAGCCTGGTAAAAATTAACGACGGCCATTTTCTGTAAGCAAAATGTAAAGAAAAAGAAATTTATATTAATACTTTCACAAAAATATGAGTTTCGATAGTTTAAAGAGATGTTCATCGAAAATACTATCAACAGTATTACCTGTAGTGTAATTAAAAAGAGACAAAAAAGAGCATTTCTGACTTGAAGACAAAGACAAAACTCAACGGTAGAACTTAAAGAAACCAAATGACCGGTGGTCAGATTAATCGGCTCATTTAGCTGATCTAAAAAAGCGCCACTAGTTAGGAAGCTACAGAAAAATTATCATCGGTTTTAAGCTTGAAAAGTGTTTGTTGAAACTAGAATATCAATTGATTATTCACCTGGGGGATTATCTACTCATCTTAAGTTCGATTGATTATCGTTTTTATGGATAATTTTATTATCTCGTTTTCTCAATCAAGTTTTATCGTACAATCATTGTGAGAACCATGAATTTTGGAGATAGTCCTTTGCTGATCCCGAGATGTGGCAGTTGATCAGGGAAGAGAAAGAGAGAAAAAAGGAGACCTAGAGTTAATTGCATCTGAGGTAAGATTAATATTCTCACCTTTAATTGTCTGTCTGTTTAATTTTCTGTTCTTGGTTATGAATCAGATTCTGTGTATCTCCATCTCTTCAAGGTGAACCACATAATCATGCAATCGCTGGTGTAGCTGTCGCTTTGAAAGAGGCCACATCAAATGAATTCCGAGCTTATTGTGAACAAGTCTTGAAAAACGCCAAAGCTTTTGCCGATGCGTTAGTGGCCAAGGGATATTCATTGGTCTCTGGTGGAACCGATAATCATCTTTTACTATTGAATTTACGAGATAAAGGACTTGACGGTGCAAGATTAGAGGCTCTTCTCAATCACTGTGACATAATTGGTAATAAAAACACTTGTCCTGGCGACGAATCTGCTCTATTCCCTGGTGGAATCCGACTTGGTGCTCCCGCTTTGACTACTCGAAACTTTGTGGAATCAGATTTTACCAAAGTGGCCGATTTTATCGATAAAGGTGTTCAGTTGTCTCTCAAAGTTAAAGTTTTCTGTGATTAGTTCATTTGCATTGATTTTCAACTAAATTTCTCCGTCAAAGTTTCTAATTTTTAATCAAAACTTTAATTTCTTCATTTTTAAATAGGTAAAACTGTCAATGATTTCAAGAAATTCATCATCACCGACGAGGAAACAATTAAGAATATCGCTGACATTAGAAGACGTGTAAACGAGTGGGCAAGCACATTCCCAATGCCTGGTTACGATGATCATTAATTGTTCACAATTAACCTATCAAATAAGAGGCATCATAACAATCATCATCTAAAGGGATCGGAAAAATTTACAGAATTGAGGTTAACCAGAGAAAGTTTTTCACTAATTAGTGCCATTTAACTAACTAATATTTTATTGAGCTTATCACCAGTCATCCAAAAATATTAACAATTAAACGATGACAAATTATCAACTTCAAATTGATAATAATTTTGTTGATTGTTAAAAAAAACCCTGATTAGTTTGATGCAAAAACATTCAAGTATTTTGACACTTTTCATACAAACAATTAAAAAAAATGATTCAGTTAATGTTATTAAACAATATTAACAGTAAACAATTTATTTTCCCAATCCAATTCAGTAATCAACAATGATTAACGTTTGATTGGTAGATTGACAATAAACAATTAACAGTTAGTTAATCATGTCACCAGTGAGAATGAAGATTTGATGATTAAATGAACACAAAATTATGTGGAATCGTGTTATCGTGGAAGCCGACTTGGTGCTCCCGCTTTGGCCACTCGAAACTTTGTGGAATCAGATTTTGCAGAAATTCATAACCACCGACAAGGAAACAATTAAGAAACATCATCAGAAAATTTGAGAACGAGAAAATTTACAGAATCCTACGAACTAAAGATAAGATTATTCTTCGCAATTGCACGTACAAAGGGTTGTTGACAATAGAATTACAATTGATTGCTAATAACCAACATAGAAAACAATCAATTGGCTGAGCAAAGACTGAAAAGTATTGAATTTTTCGATGAATTTCATTCTTAGATTTTGAGCAGAGAAAAATAACAATCAATATATTGGAAGGACATTTGAATGGGAATAGAACAGTTCATGTAAAAAAGTTGTGATACTTAATATATTTTTCCAATTTCAGTTATCAAGCTGGAAAAAGGAAAGATTAGAAAATTAATTGATTCTTTTTGGTTGATTGATTTGGTTTACTTTTTGTTCGTGCTCGCAAGTGCAGAGTTAATTATTTCAATTGGACTTTGATTTTTTATTACCATTCTCAACTGCATTTCGCTCAGTTTTAAGAGGTCGGACAATCAGGGGAAGTACGATGATTCCAAATAAAACAGTCAAATGTCCAAAGAAATAAGTTCGACAGTAAATTTTCCAAGAATCGGCTAAAGTCAAAACAACAAACGGGAAGACAAGATAAGCCATCATGATTCGAGTGAATAAACAGGTAAGAATATCATAGACAAATGATAGCCATTGTGTTGATTGGAAGTGATGACGAAGACATCGCCGGGCTGTTCGAGCTCCTTGTGTGAATAAAGCTCCAGATAAAAAGGTTAAGTAGTAACCAGGATAAAATCCATGCCACATTGCGGATAAAACATAGGTCGCTAACATGCGATATTTAGGTGATCTTTCATAGATCGATCGTCTCAACCAACATTGAGTCGGTTTATTCCAGGTTGCCAAAGCTTCTCTAAGGTTATGTGAGAACTAAAAGAAAAAAAGATCAAGAAAATGGGGAAAAAATTAGAAATTGCCGAGGAAATAAATTTATGAACTAACGAATCTCTTTAACGAGGGAAACACAATTACTCAGAAGTAATTTAAATTGAATAATCTTACCTCGAACCGTAGGATATCCACAGGGTCAAGTAGATCCCATTTCGGTTCATTTTTCGAGTTGAACCCGTTGAAGCCCAGACCAGCGGCATTACAACAGGCTGCACCGTAATGCCAAGCGAAATAGAGCATAAATCGAGCAATGGCTGGGACTGCCAACATGTAAGCTATAACCATGATGAAGGAAGAATCTGCAAGGAACTTATCATCTAGAAAAGAAAAGAAAAGGAAAGTAATGATAAAATTACGATTTTTTTGACATAAACTTCGTAAAGTAAACTTACCATAAAGTTTGGTTATTGGGAATTTCGGTGCATATGTAACAATCATGATTGCGAAAAAGAAACTGACAGATAACTTTCTAATAACAGCAAAGCCTGGATGAGCTGATCTCTTTTCAGCTTCAGGCGATTCAATGTGCTTTGAAAAATTGGTTCCATCAATAAACTCCAAGTAATTCTTAAAGTAAACTAATGGGCCACACATTACACTTGGAAAATGAAATACATAGGATAGGAATTCAAGTAGTGTTGGAATCCTGGTAACTCGTAATTGCTTCTGTTCCAGTGTAAGATCTTTTTCTAATCGACCTCGACCATCGTGCAGGCAAAATGCGAGACTGGACACTTTTTGTACAATAATCATGGTTGGACCAGTTATGTCAATAGAATAACCACCATAGTCCTCCATTTGACGAATTAGATGAAGGTAAGAAAGATAGAGCATGGAAATGCCAAGAACAGCACAATGGACAAATCGAGGGTCACAGGCACACAAAGTAATATAACATAACATTGCAAGAACAAATAAATTACTTGTCTGATAACCGAAACAAAAATAACACAAAACAATTCCAGGTAGTAACATGATCAGGTGTTTCTGTGTATCAGAGAATTTGAATAATCGGGTCACTCGAAAATAGAGCATTGCCAAAGCTAAACCGGTGAATTGTACCAAACAAAAATTACCCTAGAAAAAAAAGCGAAGGGAAAAGACAAAAACAAAACAATTACATAAGAGTGAAAACATGAAAAATGAATCGAATCAAAAGCAAAACTTTACCTGTTCAACCGACAGACCAACATTTCGATACATGGGCTCCAATATTCGCACTCCATGGTAAGACTTAGATTCGGGCGGGTGATAAGCTGTTGTATCTTCGGCCATAATTAAAGGGATGTCAATAAACAGAGAACAGCTGAAACAATCTATTTACTATTCTTTTCTCAGATTAACCTAGTGGCTTCTCGAGACACCAACAGAAATGTTGCCTCATAGTTTTTCGTTGTGCTCACTTAGTTTCTACTCTTTGATTGACTCAATTGGCTTTTGAACATAATACTAGAGATGTACGAGTGGCTCCTCCCGGATCTCATTTACCTTTTCCAAAGATAAGAAAAATCTTATCGATAGATTAACGTTAATCAAGGTACAGATCGAAATTCGTTCTTAGCAAAGACGATTAACTAATTTATTGATATTCTCTGTTGATTTTGATCGGAGTAGATCGAATGTGGCAATCTCCTTTTGTTTGAATTTCTCTTCAAAAGTTAATATGATTCTTTTTTTTCTTCATTTAGATTCTCAATTGTTGTTGATTGTTAGTTATTGCTAACAACATGATTAATAAATCATGTGTTGTTCCAGTAATCAAATGTTATCATCTAATTGACATTTTTGTGTGACTTTAATCATGATCGTAATCAAATTGTAATCGTTGATTAATTTTCTCGATTATCTCGATTCTCTTGGAAATTAATATTCCCAATCATTTTTAATAACATAAACAATTGACTATTGTAACGACTATTAGTATACCCTTATAATAATGATTGACAATCAACGATAACCAAATCAAATGATTAATATAAATAAAAAATTGATTCATCAACATTTACCTAACTATAAATAACTAAAGAAATCAAAAAGTATAATGAATTTCAACTTGAATAACCAAAATGTTTTAATCTTTTAAATTCGTGATTAAGATTAAAATAGTTTCAACAAATTGTAGACAATCATAATTGTTTAAATTAGAGTTAATTGTGACAGTTAAATGCTGATTAAAATGAATCTTAATCTAATCTAACAAGAGAAAAGTAAACACAATCAATCAGTTTAAAGTTCCGATTTCCGCTTAGAACAAAACTGATTGTGATTAAAGTGAAATCGATTATCACTCACGCGACACATTTATCATGGAACAACAATTAATAAATTAAATTACAATTAGAATCACAATTAACACAATTGAAATTGTTTTCTTTCCGTAACCATGGTGATCGATCTCTGGTTACGCCTCTTAACATATGATGTCGGTTATTTTTCTCATTGTCAAGATTTGTTACATTCCCTTTTTGTTTAGAATTTAATTTAATTGGTTAATTAATTCGAGTTAATTGTTCCAAATTAATCCATCATGACTCTCGTTGAGTTCTGTGGCTGTGCTTTGATAGCTTTTGGTCCAGCGATGACCATGTTTTGTTTAACTGTGGCCGATAATCCAATCTATATAATTGTTATGATCTCATCGTAAGTAAATTGATTTGTTTTTCTTTGTAATGTTAATTGTTTCTTTAATTATTCTTATTCTAATTGTAATTAAATTTATTTCGTATCTTTTAGCTGCTTCTTTTGGTTATGTTCTCTATTGGGTTCATCGTTTGTCTGGATGATTGTTGTTCCATTGAAAGAGGTTCTCATATTTGGTGTAATCTGTTCAGTTTTATTCCAAGAGATTTACAGATATTTGTTTTATTTAATTCTCAAGTAAGAGATCAATGGATTTGAATCAAAATGTCCAATCAACGGTTATCAACGAGCTTTTAAATTCTCACTCATTTAATATTCATTGATTGTGAATCTCTGAAATGAAGGCTGTTCATGGCATGATGAGCTAAACGAAATGATATACCAGAATTGTGATCATTTCTAAGTCTAGTTGATTGTTTATAAACTAATCAGTGTATCTCACTGATGAGTAAAATAATAGTAAATCAGTGAAAATTTAGAAACGATCAATGTTGAAATTGTCTATATTAATCTAATTTTCTTCAATAGGAAAGCTCAGACTGGACTCCAAAAGGTTTCCGATGTTGGTAATCCAGGATCAATACAATCAATCAAATGGAAATCATTATCCTATGGTAATAATTACTAATTAGATTTGGTGTTTTTTTCTCATCTAATTTTGTTTTTTCTTTCTATTTCAGTCTCAGGATTTGGATTTGGAATCATGAGTGGAGCTTTTTCTTTGGTTAATGTTCTCGCTGATGCCGCAGGTCCAGGAACCGTTGGACTTTACGGCGATTCACCAAATTTCTTCATCTCATCGGCATTCATAACATTATCTCTTATATTACTTCACATCTTTTGGGGAATAATTTTCTATGATGCTCTTGATAGAGGTTGTAAATATCGCACTGGATACGTTGTACTCTCTCATTTAATAGTCTCATCTTTGGTATGTCTTACATTGTTACTTGCAGAATATGATTACTAATTTTAAATTTTCTTCTCCTTTCGCAATTTTCAGACCTTTTTCAATCAACATCAATTGTATTTCGCTTCACTGATACCCATCTATTTGATTACAATCTTCACTGGATTAATTGCTTTCCAAAGCGCTGGTGGTTCGTCCAAAACATTCAAAGAGTGTTTACCTTTTACCGTCGGCTGAACATTGATCATTAACAATTCCAATTCCAATCAACTGAATTGATGCCTGATGAATCTAATCAATCGTCTAAATTGAACTCGGCTATTTATTTTCCTTTTTTCTAATCATTTTCACAACAACAACAAAAACTCTTACAATTAATTTTAATTCGACCAAAATAAAAATAATTACAATCAACTATTGATGTAAATCATGAGTTGTTTTGTTTTATTATGGTTTTAATTGGTAAACAGTACAGAGGATTATGAATAATAAATAGTTGAGAAAATAATAATCAGAGAATTAGATTTGTTATTTGTTGATCAGAGGCACATTTGATTTCGATAATTATCTTAATTGTGAACAATAATGATCCATGAATCTGTTTTAATTCTCCTTAATCAGTTAACTTTCAAACCTCTAATTTAGATAGAGTTCAATTTGCGGTGGTTGATTGATGAGAATGACGAAGATGATTAAATCTAAATAGAAACAATTTTGATTTCAAATTGATTGATTGATTGATTGGAATCAAACTGAATTAATAGTAATAAGCAAAGTAAAGAAGTTGATTCAATTCAATTTATATAATTTACTCCTTGTAGACTCGTGGTGAGTATGAATTGGCTGAACTGTAGCTTGAAGGGTTGACCGGAACTGATGAGGACGATGAAAGTGATGATGGAGATGAAGATGATGCTGATGATGACGATGAATTCGTGTCATATTTAGCTGGTGTTCTCAAGGGCTGATCAACTGTTGTTGATTTTTTGGTGACAATTGGTTGTTGTTTGTTCGGGACGATTGGAGTTGCTCTTGGTTTGGTCATCGCCGAAGGGAGTGAACGTCCAGATCCATAGTAGTAACTTGATGGATAATAAGTTGAGCTTCGTTCGGACGATGAAGCTGTTTGGTCATTCGATGATGATGCTGATGATTTGCTGTTGTCAACTGATTTTCCCTGAAGTTGAGCTTGTTGAGCGACCAATTCTTGTTGAATTATCTGAGCGATATATTCCTGTGGGTTGAATAAAGCGTTTTGTAATTGCTGCTCTTGGTCATTGTAAGCCTTTTGTTTTATTTGTTCATCTGAAGTACTTGATGAAATGTATGATTGTTGTTTTTGGGGCGATTGTTGAATCGGCTGAGGTTTGACTGAATTTGGTGAAGGTCGAACTGATTTTGTTTGTTGACTTGGGGAAATGAGCTTTTGAATTTGATAGCCGACATTGGAGACCTTGTCTTGTGAGCTTCGTCGAAGTGTGTGTTTACGTCCGAAAGGAATTTGTAGATTGAATTGTTCACCAGCGGACGAAGAGCCTGAGCCTTCAGATGAAAGTTGGAATGGGAATGAATATAAATTCTTGAAGTTTTGAAGAGCAGCGGCAGCAGCGGCGGCAGAAGGTCCGTCAGGCTTAACAGCCGTTGATAAAAGAGTTGAAGCTGATGTTTCTTGATCACCGGCGTTAGAACCAGAGCCTGAGGCAACAGGTCGAAGAAGCTGTTCAAAGTATGAATGGAAATCAAAGGGAGCTGATAAACCATGTTGAGCTGTTGGAGCTGCAGCAGCGGCAAAGGTATTCGGGAGTGAAAAGGCTGGATAAATGGACGACGCTTGAGCTAAAGGAGTGTAACCCTCAAAGCCGGTGAAATGAGCTGAATAAGGGTAAGGGTAACCACCGGCGGCAGTAGCAACTGCTGGACCAAAAGCGGGTGGACCTTGGAAGGGTAGAACAGGGAAAGCGCTCTGGACAAAAGCGGGATAAAAGGTCGAAGCGGCGACATTATAAGGCTGTTGGGTTTGAGCGGTTCCTTGGAAACCCTAAACGATGAGAAAGTAAGAAAAGTCGAAACAAAAAGTTAATCTAATTGTTTTACTCTCGAATTTAGATCATTCGTAATCATTTAAGATTATGTATTCAGGTTGATTAAAGAATATGATTCTAATTAACCTGTTCATTAATCTTAATGGTCAATCAGTTAATCAGTCGATCTTGATTTCTTCTGAATATTTAACTACGATTATCAATTTGAATATCTGAAAATGATCTTGATTGTTGAACTTAATTTCCCATTTGTTAGGTGATGATAATAAATTAATTCAATTTGGTCTCTTTTTATAGTTAACTGATTGTTAAATACAATTAGATTCCGTTAGAAACTTTAGTTAACTATAATCATTAGCTGATTTCGTAACATTTATCACACAAATTATATTTAAATCAACTAATGGTCAAGACTTAGGGAAAGGTCAAGTTCGTGTTTATAATTTGATTCAATTTAATCATTTCTTGTGTTTACCAAGAAAAGAAACAGTTTTGATTAAATAATCAAATCAAAATACAATTTAAAATTAAATACATTGTATATTTCTGGTTTTGTCCTCAATAATAGTTAACGGATCACAATCAATTTTAAATTAGATTTGGTTACTTTGGATTAAAATAATAATCAACAAAAAAAAGCAACAACTTGAATACAATATAATCAAATTTGTAGATTCAATTGTAATTGAAACAATTAAGTATTGATCATCATCTTTTTCATCATAGCAATTTGTCTGATTATTTATATCATCAGTTAATAAGCTAAATAATTGAATTGGAAAGTTAATTGTTACCTCGTACAAATCTATTGGCTGATTAATGAAGACACAATCAATTCTGTCTACATGTCGTTGTGTTAATCAAAACAAGAATAATCGAGTTAATTGTGATTGATTAACTTACTGATTGTTTTCGTCGACCAAAGAATCGTTTCCACAATCCACTAATTGCTCTTGGTGTTCTGATTACCAATTTAGGTCCATAAACATCATTCTCAATATCGGCGTTAGTTAATGGTAACGATATCCAGAATAATAAGCCAATAGTGATTAACTGTAATTAGCAAGAAAAGAAAAGGAAAAGGAATATAATTAGATAATTGCTGAAGAGTAGAAAGAAACAAATGTTGATTGTTCATTGATTGTTTATCATCAATAATCATACACACTTATTGTTACAGTTACTTATTTATAACTGGATTAACTCAGAACAATGGAAAACACAGTAAACCAGAAAATAAATCAATCATCAATCATCACAATCAATTCTGCTGGTCGATTGATACAATTGGAAGATGATGTTTTGTTAACTTGTATCTTATTACGAAACATTGAGAGAGAGAGAGAGAGAGAGTAAATCAACTGAGTTAATCCACAATCAAGAAAATTTTGTTCTCAAATCATTAATCCATGTCCAAATTGTCAACCTAATTTCATCCGTTGTTGTTGTTGCACTTTTCCTATTAACCAAACTGATTGTTGATTAACTTTCATCATTGTTAATAGTTGATTTTTCATCGCTAAAATATTGACGAATATCTATTCAACCGTTAGATTCAGTTAGTTCAGTTCTCTCTCAATAGATTACGTAATTCTCATGATTATATTCACGATGGAAATTAAATCATGCGCTTATTGAGAAAATTTCAAGAACATTCTCCTTGGAATAGAAAATGTTACCAAAAGAAAGAGAGAAAAGAAAGAGAAACAAGTGTAAGCTTCAGATGAATTCTGATCATCATGATAACCTCTGAATATTTTGATTCTCATTGAATTTCCAGACAAATATTCAAAGAATCAATTGATTGTTACACTCGGAGAATAATTAAACTCGAAAGATTAGTAAACAATTAGAACAACAGAAATAAAAAAGATATTCAAAGTTGGAGTATTAAAGATGATAACAAGACAAACTCGATAACAATTAAGAATACATTTGATTCTCACCACAGACTGATCGAAATGGACCTTCAAAGGTAAAAGGTGATCACAATTAACTACTAATTAGATTTGAATACACAATAAAGTGAAAAAGAAACGAAAACAACATCAATCGAAATGAGAACATTAGTTTTACCGGTTAATCAGATTCCAAGTGTATCGATCTGTTTGTATCCAAACAATATCTTTGGATCTGTTCAATTCCTATTTAGATCATTTTGTTACTCAATCTCTGTTTTCATTTCTCTGGTTAATGTTGATTTATTTTCTCTCCCAGTTACAGAATTTAATTATCTCAATTAGTTGCAAGTTTTTCTCTTCGAATCTAATGTTATCTTTTAATTTGGTTCTCTCTGCATCTTTGGGTTACCCGAAATTGACCTCAAGTGATTCGGATAAATTGTGATATTAATAAGATGAAATCGACTCTAAATCAATGTCACAACCTGAACCAAGGAAATAAAATATTATAATCTAGGACAAGAGGGAGAGAAAGAAAGAAAGAAAAGAAAGAGGAAAAGGTTCATATTGCCAATTTGATTTGTTCTTTTCTAAGGTAATTTGGAGGTGATTGTTTTTTTCTCTATTGATTGGGCTTCGTTACCATTAGATGAGTGATTATGGATCGGATGTTGTTACTCGAAATCGCCGTTGGCTTCCCTCTGAGCCCAATCGACATCCCATGTCTCCCACCATTCCAGTAGCTAAGCTTCGTCTTTACAGAGAATTGGCTAATTCTGGTCTAACCACTAAATCGCTTTCTGATTTACCACATTCATCTTCTCATCAATTTTATTCATCATCTTTATCAACCAATTCACGAGCAATTAATCGACCCCATTCAGTTTTATCTTGTTCATCCGTACCCACTCCAGCTCCAATGGATCGTGTGACCCTCTCGTACCCTGGTACTCCCACCAAATCAAACGGGTATCTCCAACAACAGCATCATCTTCATCAGCATTTATCTGGATCAGCGACTGGAATTGGCTATGGACGGCCGAGTTCAATTAATCTTCACCATCCATCCACTAATCAATATTCACCTGACCCATATGTCCAGGGACAAACATGGTCATTGGGTTCACACCGACAATCAGCTTATCAGGATCGCTATTATCCTGCTGGTACCAATTATCCAACCTCATACAATCCTCATCTCGCTGCCACTGGATCTTATCAACGTGATCTTATTACAACATCACCATCAGCGTATGCGCGTCGTAATAATGTCGCTATTCCTGTTCATTCATCGTCATCCGCTGCCGCGGCAGCAGCAGCGGCATTAGCTACTCGATCATCAACTCTTCCAGGTTCTGCAGGCTATTATCGTCAACATCATCATTCTGATCACGATTTAAGGTACATTAGAGATCCTCTTGCGGCTGGATCATCGTACGCAAGTGTCCCTGGCTATGGGTCAACAGGATACGTTCAAAGTCCAGCCGTTCATCGATCATCAGGTTATCATCCTTCAGCGACTGCTGCAACTGCGACCAATAGTTCATACTATTACCAACAATATCCACACCATCATTCCCGAAGTCGACACTATCGATCTGAAAGTGATCTTGACACTCTATCCAATCTTTATCAAACCTACCCCACTGGTAGTGGTGCCCACAGTTATCATCAACAATCAGCATCCATGGGACCATCAGTTCATCCCCAACACCAACACCAACAGGCTTATCCAACCTCTTCCTCCTACTATGGCCAACACCAACACCAACATGATCCATATCAACAATCACTTGAACATTCACGTTATGCTCAATCAAATCCATACACGATTTATCCAGGTTATGGTCAATCAGCAGGAACAATCAACTCATCAACTGCCACAAATCGTTACAATCGATCAGCAGATCGCTACTATTAACCGACTAATACAAATCGCTAATCAAGATGAAACAAAACAATGACATAACAATAATCAACAAAGGTGCTGTTCAAGGTGACCTTATACATATTGTAAATAGTCAGAGTAAATTAGCTTAACCAACAATTAACTAGAATTGATATATGATAAGCATTAGGACTTGATAATTAACATTGATGATCATTTAACATTTGTCTCATTCAAACCTAGAGGCTAAACAATTAACCAGGAAAAAAAAATCACAACTATTAGTATCTTACACAATCAAAATCCCAATTTTAGCCAATCAATTGACTCACAATTAAGCTTTAATTAGTTAAAATTGAAAACAATTGTGATATTTAAACTTGTAATTGATAAAAATGTCAAATGATTAACGGTTAACAATTTAAATTAGCAGGTAAAAGTTTAATGTTTGATGTGCTTAACCAAAAACAGTCTCAAATTGATACAACAAAAAAGGTTGATTTAGCTAATCAGTTTGACAATTAGTTGATTATTATAAAATGTTTAATTTTTGTGACTTAATCAAAAACAGTTTGTTGTCTTTTTCCTTAATCACTCCTTAATCACAATTAAGGTGTTGATGTTAAATTTTGAGCTTGATTAATGCAATAACAATCAATACACTTACACATACCAATCAGAAAATTACAGGATAACTAAATTAACTAATTGTTATCGAGTAACAATTAGCTGAATCTCATGTTCACCAGCACAATATCATGGAAATTAATCAACATAATTAATTAATCTCGCTAACAATTAACTAATTTTAACCCGTTTGCTCTTTCCAATACCAAGAAAAAAACCTAACAGGATTAACTTATAATTAACTTGTAATTAAATTAAATCCTCTAGGAAATTAACGCGGTGGCCTTTGTCATACGCTTCCCTATTTAATTACAATCAATTAATTGTTGATTAACAAAGTAATTAATAAGGAAAAGATGTTAATTTAATTCACAATTCTAATCATAATCATAATCATCATCATCTTCAAAAGGAAAACTATTAAATTACCTTTTAATTATATAATTTTTTTGTTCTCCTGTTAAATTAACACCAACAATTTAAATTGTGTAACTTTTAATCATCTTCTTTTGTTAATTGTTATCATTAATTGTATTTTAATTTGATAAATCAATTAAGTTTTGTTGTACAAAAATAAATGAATAATTTTCAGTTATTATTATATTAAAGCTTCACCAAAAAGTAAATGAAAATAAATTAACTTGGAGGAAAAATTTAATTTCTCGACACAATTAACTAATTGTCACAGTGGAATGGTTTGTCATGGTAGACAAATGAAAAACAAAACATCAATAAATCAACAATTAACATGAATAATTAAAGTTAATTCATAATTTAAATTATTCCTTCAACACGGAACTAATAATAAACTTTAATCATGATCAAGGTCAGAGTTTAAATTAACAATCTAATCATAATATCAAATTAAGACTTGAAATATCAACAATTATCAACCGATCAACATTATTGAATACAATTTAATTGATTGCGTGATTAAATCAACATGGTAATCAGTGTATCGGTAAATTGTAATCATTAGTTGAGTAAAAAAATGAGACATTGATTGTTGGATTAAAAATTGATTAGTTTTAGTTGATTTAATTTTTTTTATCCCTTTTGATTGTTGATTAAATTGAATTGAAGAAAATGTTATTTTTGATTCAGTTTCATTCATTATTATTTAACAACAGCAACAATTTAATCAATTGACCGTTAAATGTAATAATCAGAACAACAATTTAATACCAACAATCAAGAAAAAACTAGAAAAAAGGAAAAACTGAAAATGCGAAAATTAAATTATTTCAATTGATCAAATACAGAGAGTTAATTGTATTACGTGAACAATTAAACCATCAAATTATCCATTACAATCAACAACTAATCTTAATCATTTACAAGAGAAATGATTAGCTAATTGTTGGAAACAATCAAATGGGTGTAAAGATGATCAGAGAATTGGCAAGTTATAAAAGATAATCAATCAGGGATTTTGATGTTACCCCAGATATTAGAGGGTGATGATGATTTAGGAAATGATTAAGGTGATTAAGATTAAGAGTAAAACATAAGCAATTTAATTGTGAGGATAAAAAGTAGTTCTGATTAACTAAAGTGACCTGAAAATAGCCGAGAAATCAACAATCAATCAAAGGAAGGAAAAAAAATCGATCGGGAAAAGTAATAAACTTGTTGTTGATTTTTCCATCTTGATTCTTGATTGTTGTTGATTAAGATGATGATGATTGTGGTAATGATAAAGTTAATTGTTGAAATGATGAAAACATTGTCATCCCAATAGGTCAACCGTTGCAATATGATTACTTTGGGTTTCTCTTGATTATGATTAGAGAGGGTGAAGTAAATTGCTGTAGATCAAATCAAATTAGATTGTTGGGTAAACTGTGATTTTTTGTTATAAAAATAAATCAACTAAAAATTGATCATCACAATTAAATGGCGATGATAATAATAATCCCAATAGATAATTGTTGTTGTTATTATTGTCAAAGACCAAAAGGTTTGATTACAATGTTAATTGTTATCATTATATTGTCACAATCAGAGGCTTTTTCATACCATTTTTCAGCTAAATTGCTAATCACAATCAGCGATAACAATCAGACTATCACGATTACTTTTAAAAATAAAATCAACTGTAACAATCACAATTAACGACTTGACATAAACTGTTATTTTCATTTCCATTTGATTATAATGATTAAGATACATAAATTGTTACTGTTAAAAGACATCATGATTAGTATTGAAATGGTGAAACTTTTAAATTGTGTCCAAACAATTAAATCGCTATTAAACTTATTTTCAATTGTGTGGTATAGTTTTGTGATTATTTAATTGTTTAGGTTAATTTGATATGGAATCACAAACAGAGTAACAAGATATTAGTGTCACAATTAACTTGATCACCATCTTAGGAAACTAAATCAAGGTGAGAAATTAAATTTTGAAATCTTTACAAGTTAAAGATTGAAACATCACAACAATTAGTGAACAATCAACGAAATTTGAAAATTAACTTACAGTTAGATTTATATTCATGGTGGTGATGATGATTAAGTGATAATTAATTAACTATGAATTAAGATGATGATTAGTTGATTAGAAGAAAAGTTTTCGAGCAAAAAAGATGAAAAAGTTGAACAATTCCAATCGAAGTGAAAACGTCGCAAGAAAATCGTTGACAATTAATGACTTATATTTCCATAAATGGTGGACTAATTGTGATAGAAAGTCCAGTAAATTGTGAACAATTAACAAATGATACACATGGAATCAAATCACAATCACAATTTAGATGGAAAAATGAACAACAAGCGGACGAACTAAAGTTTAGGATCTGTGTTACTTTTACCAAGGATGAACTGTAACTGAAACAGTTAACCCACAATGAGGATGATGGTTGAAGATGAGGATGAGGATGAGGATGAAAAGATCCGCATCAATGATGCATCAAGGTGTATAGTGGTAAAAGGGGCGATCAGGTAGGAAAAAAAAACTCCTCCTTCTCAACCCACTGAATCGCGAGTCCGAAAATGTGATTCATTGAAATAACATGTGAATGAAATTAGCCCAAAATATACCGGTTCAATCATCAGGCCTTTAGGGTCACTATTATGATGTAAGAAAGATGATCGTCCTTATCTTCATCCTCATCCTTATCTTCATCTTCATCATCTTCATTATCCACGTTAATCATTATGATTAACGGAACAAACTGGTTTACAGTTAACTTTCGTCTTCGGTCTTCTCATAGTAACCCCAACATCTTAATCATTACAATTTAATGTTAATTTTGTTTGTTTGTTTTCTTGTTATTTGGTTTCTATTTTCAATCCAATTATTTCAATCAGTTTAGATTAATTTTCCTTAATTAATCAGTCTAATTGATTTCATCTTTAATCATGTTCATTATTTACACAAAAATCAACGTGTTAACTGATTAATCATGATAATTAATTTGCTTGATCAACCTAATTACTACTTTTCATAAGCTTAATTGTTACAAATTGAAATCGTTTCCAACACTTTGATTTCCTAATCCATTCTGATCAGTGATTTAATTTGTTGATTATAAATTCATTTTTGTTTATTGAAAATGGTTTAATCTAAAAATTAACTAAATTAAACTTAATTCCGTTCACTTTTTTTGCTAAAAAATTAATATAAACTTTTTGATTGTTAGTTGATTAATTTTATTAATAAATCATGAGATGATTAGTTAATTACTTTGATAATGAAAACATTTATAGTTGAGCAAAAAAATGAAACAATTTAAAAGTTTTAACTCGATTAAAATTCACAAATTGAACTAAATTAGTTAATTTCATAACAATAAGATAATGTTAATTGATAACAATCAACTTGAGTTTATACTTGATATGAAAAATGATTAGAATCACTTTCAGTTTAATCACAATTAAACTCCAACCCAAATAATTGTGGATTCCGCTTGTTTCCCTTTCAGTTAATCACTACAATCAGGATCATCTCAACCATCATGAAATTTGATTACATTAAACTGGATTAATTTTAGTATCTTAATAAAAAAATTCGGGCCTGATTAAAATTCACTTGATTAAATAATAGATTAACTATAAATAACTAGGACACGACTCTCACTCTATGGTCAGTTAATCAGTCAAAGTAACGATTATAATTGTAATAAATTAGTGAATAAGAAAAATGAATAAAATGATAATTGTGATTAACGGTAATTTGAATTAATATATTAACCTTTGAGCGATATTTTTACTCGGTGAAACTTTTTAAAATTCATAAAATTGATCATTTTAAATGAACAACAATCAAGAATCAACAAGTTTCATTCTTGATTTTCACCATAACAATAAACACTAATTTAGTTTAAAGGGCAAAATATAAGCAATACAATTGGATCAATTTGCCTGAGGGCTGATTTGATTTGCGTTTTATTGGATAACCTTGGTGAAGATGATGATGGTTCTGATGGTTTCTCGGTCTTAAATTGTCACAGTTAACTGAACAATCAAACAAACAGTTAGAATCTGAGTCTTTCTCACTGTTGGAACTATTTTTCAATCCATCGTCTCATCATCAACTCAATTATCATCTTAATCATTAATTGTTGGTTAAATCATTGAGATTAAATCATTATGACCATTTTCTTGGTCCATCTTTTAATTACTTCTTCCCTTCAAATTAGATTATGACCTTAAACACATTGATCACAATTTGCTTTGGTTTAACGTATTTCGTATTCGGGCCTCAAGGAGACAAGTGATCAACAGTTACCGTTAATTGTAAGATAAATTATTAAATTAATTTCATTTCCAAGGGGTTACGATGATGATGGTTTAGTTTTAATTACGATCCAGGGTAGATGATGATGAGAATTGATCATTTAAGATGATCATTAAACCCTTGGTTTTAATTGGTTTCTTTAAGCTCTCGAGACAAAAGCCTTACACCAATCATGGATTAGAACAATTTAATTGTGGAAATGGAGAAACATAATTAGCGTAATGATTAAAATATTGTTTTCCAAATCAGCTTCTTGTTTCATTTTGATCATCTTTTTAAATCCATGATTCTTGATTGTTGTCATTTAGATTTCGGAGAAAAAGTAACTTAATCAGTCTCAGGTTAATCTGACATTGTACAGCTCACGAAACAATCATTTAAGTTGGAAACATAATCAACTAATTGTAATCCGTTTTCATGATGTTACGTTAGTTTAAATTTTGATTAAATAACAATTGGTAAATCATCTTGTTGAAAAGATAATCATAATTAAAGGTGAGCTCAAAAATCGAGTCCTAAATATTTCAAATGATGAAAAAGTTGATGAGGAAACTTAATCAAGTAATAACATCGAGTTTGGACAATTAAGATTATCCCCTTTTCGCAATTGTTCAGGTTGATGATTAAATCCTTTGATTTTCATCAACTGATTCTTTTGTTTCTTAATTTAATTCAGTAATTTGAATCCGTACTGTTATTGTTTCCATCTGATTACATTCATCTCCAATTCCTATGTTATCTGATCATCGCCCTAATTGTCGACTACTAATTAATATCCTTTTGGTTTGTTCCGTTCATGATTTGGCCTTGATTACAATTGGAAGTGTCGATAATGATTAGTGACCATTAGAAAACAAGATCTGGAATAACTGAAAAAAGCGATATAATAACATTCATTGTCTGGGCAACTATCAATTGATGACAATCGCCTCAAGACAATTAAAGCCGAGTATTGATTCCAGGTAATTAAAGTAATTACTACGTTTGTTTTTCGTTTGTTTTTTTTACTGTTATAAACAAAATTAAGAAAAAGAAACAATCAAATGAGATGGTTAATGATGCTATTGGTGTTCCAAGGGTTGATGTTAATGATGAGGATGAAGATGAAGATGATGTAAGATAAATAAAAGGGTTTTATCAACAAAGTGAGACTGTTGATTGATAGGAAGAAAAGTTTATAATAAAAAAAAAGATTCTCAAACATGGTGGAAGATGATTGAAAAAATGATGACCATTGTTAATTGTAGATAATTAGATTGTGATAGGTAATTAGTAGATTGATTAGTTGGCCATAATTTACTGCTTATTACAGTTGATTCATCTGTTAACATGCCTTCAACCCGAAGCCATGAACCGTTATTTGGTTGAGCGTTTATATCAAGTAAATGACAAACTAAATTGTAATGGTCAGTCATCATTAAGGGAGGGGCAGTGTAACCCTTTCGAAGTCCAGGTCCAGTGGCTAACATGATGGTCCTCATTTCTTTCACCTCATAAGGATCGTAACCATGATGACCAGAGTAAACGATATCGGCCAGTGGTTTGGTTTTACCATAATCGGTAAACTGTGAGAATAGAAAATGAAACGATTAAATTGTGACAACGAAATTGATTCACAAAGAAACTAAATCAAGATAGAGAGAAGATTTCGACACCAATTCGATGATTAGGTGAAAGAAGAGCTAATTAGTGATTAACTTACACCTCGAACGAAATAACCCTTTTCAGCGACTAATAGAATTGGTGAAACTCGACGATTGTTCTTGAAATGATATTTAATTGGAATATCGTTTTTCGCATAGAATTTCAATCCTTTCGGACTTGCTTTCTTCAGGTCATCTAGAACCTAATGAGAAAAAGACGCAATCGAATTAGTAAAAATCGAATTAGGAAATTTTTCTTTTTTTCTTCTCACCTTTTGCTCCTTTCCTTTCACAGGTAATAACATGGAAGTTGTTCCTCGGTCAAACATGACCACAATATCGTTCGGGTCAACGATTGTCTCGATTTCGATGACCTTTGCCTTTTGTTCACCATCTTCTTCGATAACAGTGACCATCCCATGGTCGGAAACCAATACGATGTTTACCTGTTGAAAGAATAGCGAAAAAATAACAAAATTAACGCATTAGAATTACAATTTAAATTGTTGATTGCGAGAAACAATTCTGATTAACTGATTGTAATCCAGGTAAAAATGTTAATCACAACTCGTTTAACCTAAAAGTCAATTGATCAAAACATGAACTTTCAATTTAATGGTGATGTTGATTATCTTGATTAATCTATTAATTCATCATCATTTATGTCACATTTATGTATATCAATTGATTTTGATTGTTGAGTGAATTAATTTTTTCAATCATTTGTTTTTCTTATTGTTAAGTTAATTGTTTCTAAAAAAATCCATCAAGAAAACCTAATTTAAATTGTTATTATTATGGAATCACTTAATTGTTGTAACTCTTTCTGTTAATCAAAAATGATAGATAAGTTAATCATTACCAGTAACTTACCTGAGGTTAAACAATTTAATTTTGATATTTTTTTCAGGTAAATTAATTGTAATAATAATAATTTCATTAAAGTTAATCATACAATTAACCTTAAGGTGATCAAAGGTCAGGTTAAATGTGATGACCGTGAATCTATTGATATAAATTGTTAACATTATTTTCACCTTATTAACTGATTGTGTCAATTAACCTGAGAGCAATTTGTTAAATTGTTCAGCTGATTATTCAATCATTGATCTGTTGATCATTTAAATTGTCAGTGATTGTGGTTTGTAAGCTTTACTGTTGTTGTTGTTGTTGTTAATTTAATGAATTAGACGACAATTAAATCACCAAATCATCAAGTTTAATTAATTTTTATAAGAAATTGAAAATTAAGTTTAGATTGTTGTGAATTGGAAGATTGAATTAATCAATGGAATGGGTGAAAATGATTATACTTAATTTGACCTCAATTAATTTGCTAAACGGATAAAAGGTCATAATTAAGGAACTAAATCAACAACAATCAACATGATTAACATACGAAGATGATAACAAAGTGAACTTGAAAAGTGATTAACTTTTTTCAAACTTTCTATTAACTTTTACAGAGCCGATATTGGAAGTGACCTGTGAACTTGAAAACTTTGATTATAACAATTAAAGAATCAAATGAAACCGTAAGATTAAATTAAAATGTCCACAATCAGAAAACCAATGACAGTTAAAAAAAATTCAATCAAACTAATTGTGGTGATTATTAAATCAACTTACTTGGTCGGTCATTTTCCGAGATTCAATTCCATCTTGAAGCCGAGTTATGACCTGGTCTAAATCTTTCATGGCTTCAACTCGGGCGCTTGATTCAGAGCCCCAGGCGTGACCTAATTTTTAATAATCATCGAAAAAGATGAGGCCAGAAAGATGATCATCATCATCACAAGATGATAAAGAGAGAGAGAGAGAGAGAGAGAGAGAGAGAGAGAGAGAGAGAGAGAGAGAGAGAGAGAGAGAGAAAAAAGTCAAGGGCGTTAAGAATTTATAATATTATTAGAAAAAAAAATCGAATTGAATTCTTGGCGATTTACTTAAATTGCTAATCTCAAGATGCTAATTTATTCAACAATTAACTCAAGGTTAGCCTGAAGGAGAAATTTAGTTAATCATGTTTTTCATTTGATTGCAAATCTGTTAGTTTCTATTGTTTTATTTGTTTCAATTTCACTCCTTCTACTGATTATACAGCAATTAGTTAATCGTCAATGAGAACTTACCATTTGCATCAACAGCTTCGAAATAAACTAAGGCCAATCCCCAATCGTCTTTTTCAAAATTGTCCAAAATTTCATCACAAGCGTCGAGAGTATCGTTTTGAACTGTGGGCCAAGTCCAATAGGATTGATATTCGAGGCACATTGTTGGTGTTGTGTTTCGTATTTCAACTTGACAACCATCCCACCTGAAAGATTGCGATTATAATTAGAAAATGATCTAGTTAATTGTGACAATTACGATCAATTCTTACCAGAAAACTGCAGTTTTAACTCCCTGTTTCTCAGCGGTTGTCCACAAGGGCTCAGCCATACTCCACCAGTGAGGGTGAGATGCATTCGGGTGTGGGGACATTAGGAAAGTGTCATTTTCAACAGGATCGTACATGAAGTTCTGGATCATCCCATGGCTTTCACCGTAAAGCCCTGAGGGTAAAAAATATATGATTAGCTAATTTTGGAACAAACAAACAAAAAACTAATCATGAAATCAAAAAATTATCTAACACGAATCATCTCATGTGGAAATTGTAATCAGTTAATTACTCGAATCAAGTGACAGTCTTTTTTTATCTTCATTCTTTTGAAAACGTTGATCATTTTAACTAATTAGTGTTAACATTTTGGAGAAATTTCTGATTATCAGCTAATCAATCAACCTCATCTTGATTAGAAATTATAATTCAAGATAATTAACTGATTTGATTGGTGACTGATTTCTCGTTTTTTTCTGATAATTTAATTTTTTTAATAATTTGAACTTTTAATTAGCTAATTGTGAACTACTACTATTGATTAACCTTCAATCAAGGTTATTAGGTAAATGTATTGATTGTCACAATTAATAATCTATTATTATTTAGGGACAATTCAAATGATTTAGATATTGGTTTCAACTTAATTGTAACTTAATTATCAAGAAAACAATTGGCCTATTAACTTGATTCTTCAATAACCTTTTAAGATCAAATGACAATTGTTAATCACAATTAACCATTAGACCAACTACTTGTATCTATTAAATTACTAATAAAATACAATCAAATTAAATTAGGTAATAATGATTAGTAACAACAATCAAAACATTACCTCTGAATGGGATTCGGCTATGAAAAGTTAATCACAATTAAATCAACACCAAAGTGTAGATTAATTATAATCAATTGAATATCAAATAAGTTTAAAAGTATTATGTTAATTTTAAAGATCAATTAGAAAGCAATTAATTATAGTGAAACTGTAAAAGAGGAGCAACAAAGTTAATCAATGAATTAAAGTAATTAATTAAGTTGAATGAGAAAAAGAATCGATTGTAATTAATATTCATGAATAGAATCAAATTTAATCAAATGAAATACAAAGTAAAAAATTAAAATTGACTTTTCCATTGATTTAGTAGTGGACAAATTTTTCCAAAGGTCAATCAGCTAATTGTTGGTCAACTTTCAATCAATATTATTCTGAGCATAACAATTTACTGATGATCATCAATATGATCATGATCAACGAAATGTATTGGTAATTGACCTGATTGGAATACTAATCAATCCGGATGTTTATCATCTTCGTACGACCTTTTATTGATTAAGCCAAAATGAAGATGATTAAGATGATAATCATCATCATCTCTACTCTGGACACACCTTGGGATGATTAAGGGAAGTTGATGATGATAATTAGAGTGATTAAGCTACGATGACCGTAGCATTGTAAATGTCCAGTCGATTGCATTAGTAACTTAATATCGTTCATTATCATTTGCTCTTGAGCTTTAGGATTGTTAATATTACCCAACAATTAAAACTAATTATCATTTGGGACAATATTAACTTCCTGGTGAAACTCAATTTTTAATTTTCCTTTTTCTCATCTCTTAATTGTTGTAAAATCTTAATAATAGATTGTTGATTGAAATGTACATCAGGTAAATCTAAATAATGAAAGTTAATGATTAACATTACGATTGATTATTTTGGTTAATTTTAATTATTAATATTTTCAATTTTTTTTATTCTTAATCACTATTGATACAGTTAATTGTTATTTCGTGATGAATGTCATTGTCATTTAATTGTTTCCAACGTTGATTCTGATCTTCCTGTTTAGCTAATTTGATTGTTGTTGTTGTTGTTGACACAATATAAGATTCCGGATTTTAAATTGTTAATGATTATTAGCCAATTTTATATATACAATCATTTAACCTAATTGTTGGATTTGCAATTAGATTTATTGATTAATTGCCACTGTCAGTGGTGATTAACATTCTTTACCTATTTAGATGATTAGTGAAATTAATTGTTTCCTATTCTTGGTAATGACTTGGTGTATTTACAGATTGATTGATGATGATGATCAATTGTAATTATGATTAACAACCAACCTTACTAATTGCACTTTAATTAAATAGTAAGAATCATGTTTTTTTTGATAATTTAAATCATGATTAAAATTTCATTATCAAAAAGGGTTAGTAGTTAGCAATTTAATTTTGGTAGTTTACTTTATTTTCATGAAAAAAAAGTTTGATTGTCAGTTACAATTAACTTAATAAAATTGCTGTTTATCATAATTATACAACCACAATCAACTAAATTGTAGATTTGTTTGTAATAAGATGGATGATTGAATTAGATTGAGATTTAAAAAATTAACCATAAGAAATTGTAAATTATAAGGTTACAATCAACTGATTCAATTCAAGTTCACCTTAAATTGAATCTCACCTTCATCACTTAATTTAGTTTGAAAAAAAAGTTACAAAAAAGGATAATCAATATTATCATTTGATTATCAAGATTAAACTTTGATTTGATTGTCGTTGTTGATACCAAACAACAACAACAATTTGATTATAATCAATCAAGTAAACTCAATGACCATTTTCAATCAACAACTTGTTGATTATCATGTTGATTGTGACAGATTTGAGCAATTTTTTTCAAATCAAAGTTAATCAAGTGAAAGTGTAAAAATTAGCTCGATAATTATTAGTTAGTGTACTTGATTAATACGGTTCAATAGATTTAGTTTTTTTTTCAATGATCTAAAACCATGATAGTGCCAATAGTAATTAACAAAGGTTAATCCGGCAAATTAATCACAATCAATGATCAGGGTCACACAATTACAAGGTAATTATGATGTTTTTCATTTCAACTTGAGTCCAAAATCAACAAAAAAAATAACGATGATTTGATGATCAATGTCAAAAGTCACAACAACAATCAAAAGTGTCAAGCGTTTCACTTTGATTAATGAGTTGTAATAAAAAAAACAACTACAATTAACACCGAGAGAAATTAAAAATGAATCAATTGATTACCTGTAACAATCGTGTACCAATTAGGGTAAGAATTGGACGGGAAAATGGGCTGAACATATTCAGCTTTAACTCCAGTCTTCGCCATCCTTTGGATGCCCTTAAGGTTTGGGTCTTTGATGTAATCATATCGCACACCATCAGCTAGAATTAAGATCACCTTTTGTTTATTATTCCGTTGATTTTTAGATTTAGATGATGATGATGATGAGGATGGAGATGGAGATGATGATAATTTAGGTGATGGTTTTGGTGAGGAAGATGCTGTCGATGATGATGAGGGAGCACCAAGAGATCCGATTATAAAAACAGTGAAAATAATTGTAATCACATAGAGAGACGGCAATGGTGACACTTTTAATCTTCTATTGGAAATTGTCACTAATTGTTTCACTAATCCAGTTGTAGATTTTGGTTTGGATGTTGATTGTTGTTGAGAGTATTTGATTTTTGATGATAATAAATTACTAGAGTTTAATTGTGATTGCTCTGCAATCAATAACGGTGCTATTGATGATGTTACCATTTTGTTAATTTGGTTTGAATTCGTTTTTTAATTGTTGTTAAAATTGATTGTGAAAGAGAAACGCTGATAACAATTGGGAAAATGATCCAATGGACATAACAATTTGAAAGGGTAAGTGAATTAGTGGAGAAATTTTTTTAATTGTGGAAAGTGAAAGTTTGTTAATCAGCTAAAGAAACTAAATTACTTTTAGATGATTGTTGATATGATGAAGAAGGAAGGAAAAATGTTGATTGTTTGAATTGTTGGTGATTATGATGATGATGATGATGATTGTTGTTATTAGTAGGAAGAGGAAGAAAGTTTTTGGTCCTTTTTAAATTTTCGTCTTACTCTTGACCACTTTAGGTCCACTCTCAGGTCTTTTTCTGTTGTTGTTTGGCTGTCAATTAACTGATTTTCAACAAGTGATAGTTAAACACTCGCTTGTTGATGTTTAATTGTTTGAATTTAGTTGTGAGTGATTACAATTTACCATTCGGAAGGTAAATCGTTGGTGATGAGAAAGTGAAACTCAGTCAAGTTTGAGTGATGAGTGAGATTTGATTGTTCACTTGATTATGTTTTTTTTTGATTCTTTCTCCTTGAAAACATTTCGAGAGAGAGAAGGAGAAAGTGGGAGAGAGTAGGAGAGAGTGGGTGGAAGAGATTCAATAGGAATAGAAGGATGAGAAAGGAGAGGAAGATAGAGAAGAGAATTGAGAGATAACTGAGTTTCTCTCCTTCTTAACTCTCAACTGAAAATAGAATTGATTAATTGCATTAATCAAGACAATTAACTTGATAGAAATGAGAAAGTTGATGAAAAAAGTTAATGAATGAACGAAGAGCTCGAAGGAGGTGATTAGGAGGTGGGAGGAAGAGGAGGAGAATAAAATTTTTACTATTGATTCAATTTCTTTAAACGATCTTAATGTTACAGTTACATGATTAGTTAATTGTTGATTATGTTTGTTTATTACTCATTTACTCTCTCTCTCTCTCTCTCTCTCTCTCTCTCTCAACAACAGGTTTAGGTTAACTCAGGTTAGGTTATTGGTTGGAAAAGTGAAAGTTAATTTGATAAACATAATGGTAATTGTTATAATCACTATTATGTGTATTAGTTTGAGCATGAATTTTAATTTGACCCACAATTTGATCTTAATCAATGATTTACTTTTCCAACTTAAATGTCAACCTTTCATCAGATTATCAATTGACACTTAGACGGAGTTAATTGTTAACTAATCATAAACATTTCTACCACTTATTACAAATCACAATCTCAGTAATTATTTATTATCGATTGAAATTGGTTAGTCTAATTGGGAACAATTTAAATTTCATCTACTTAAATTGTTTGATCTTCAAGAAACAATTAATCATTACTGTTGATTTAGTTAATTTTTTCCAGTTGAACTTTAACAGGAAAGATTATTATTAGAAAATATTTTCCAGCTTGACCTCAGGTCAGTTAGTTGGGATAAAGGTCATTCTTGAAGTACCTTAGGTCATTTTGTTATTTTCATTGCTGAGAAATTGTAATTAGCTAAAGTTTATTTTCCTATCAATTAATTATATTGATCAACAATTAGAATCCTGATTATTTTCATCTCCATTGGATAATAGACTAAATAATTAACTTGATCATTGATTAATTTGTGTACATTTTTAATCACGACTTTAATTGTTTGTTTTATCATTTTAACTTCTTATTGAAGTTGATTAATTTCTTAATTTCTTAATTGCTCTGAGTTGTTTTCAGCCAGGAATTATAATTTTTTGATTTCTCTTCTCGGATCAATCAACAATTTGAGACAATTCCAATTTGGATTGTTGGATATCAAGATCAATTAGAATCAAACAATTACCTCGGAAATCAAATTAACAATAAAAAAAGGGAACTATTTAATAGACGAAAGATTTGAGCAACTGATTGAATAACAATTAGTTAATTTTTTAAATTGGTTGAGTTGTATTAGTTATTGAATAGATTGAGGAAACTGTGATTGCTTTTGTTAATTGTAAACCGAATCAATTTAAATCATTGGAAATTTTTTATTTCAACAATCAAAATGTAATCTTTCAATAACTGATGGTCAAAGTAACAATTTACTTTTAATTGTGCTAATAATTTAAATCTTTTCCCCTTTCCTATTACCTTGAATCATTGAATTTAAATTGAACAATTTAAGTTTAATATAAATCAGGAATTGATTTGATGACAGCCACTGAATCATAATAAGCTGATGATAATTTTCCCCCCGCCAATATTTAATCAATGTTATTTGAATTAATTCTTGGTTAATTGTTCAATTTTTATTTCAATGGGAACCACAAGGTAACTTAATAAAAAGTATTAATGTTTGATCATTTGAAAGACAAACAATTAACTTTTTCATGTCAATTTAACAACAATCAGTAGATCACAAGTTGATCATTGAACAGTGAAAGTGTTTGCAATTGTAATGATAATAATGTGATAACAGTCACAATTAATATCGATGATTGTGATTAACCAAGTGTAACCAAAAATTAACCAAATATCATTTTGATTAACGATTAAATAACGCTGATTGGGTTAATCATATTAAATCCTGATCGTATTTCTCAATCATCCAATTAATTCACGTTTTTGATTTTCTTAATTGAAAAGCTGATATGTAAATAAGAACAGTCTGATTAATGAACAATTAAAATGATTTAATTAGTGAATTACTGATGATTATTGAAAGAACAGGTTGATTAAATTTCGTTTATTCATATCGATAATTATTGTTTACTTACCAATTCAAGACAATTATCGATCAAAAATTTCGATTTTTATCGAAAATCTGATAAATTTCGTTCAGAGATCGACAAAACAGAGGATAAAGTTTAGATGGACCAAAAGTCCAAATGCTTGAGTTCGTAATTGTTGACGTTGATTGAATTCGCGAAAAAGTCGTTAAGATGCTCATATGAATTTCAATTACAGAATTGGCCCTCAGGAGGTTATCGATTTACTATGCAATGATGATAAATTTATCCGAAGGGAGGGGAAGATGAAAGAGATATGATCGGAGTTCGTATTTTCCTTGACGCTGTTATTATTCAAATTAAATTCAAATTTCAAATTAATCGAAGCAATTAAAATAAAAGCAAAGCACAACCGAAAAAAAGAAAAATGGACATTTATTGTCTGATATCATCTAACACATGATTCGAGCCCAAGGGTTTGGTTGCTGGTTGATTTATATCCTTTTTATAAATCCTTTACCTTGATTTAATTATTCACAATCAAATCGAAATTTACGACTAATCACTTGATAATAGTCTCCATTTCATGTTTGATCACCGAACTAGAACTGAAACATCAGAATGGAACTTAGCTTTTCATTTATTTACATGATCATTTTTTCTGTGACCATTCTGTACATTTTGTCTAAATTTCTCTTTCGACCCAAACCTAAATTTGGTAAAAATGGTAAGTAAAAAGTGATTAGAGATCGTCTTGATTTGATTGTTTGGTAATGTGCTATTGTTTGAATATTGTTACTTCTTCAGCTCCGTCACCTTTTCGATTACCGATCGTTGGTCATCTTCATCTATTAGCGAAATATCCCGATGAGCCATGGAAAGGGTTTGAGGAAATTCGCGAAAAGTTTGGTGATGTGGTTGCGCTTAAATTAGGAATTTTCGATACAATTATGGTTTCGTCTTTCGAAACAATTAAGGAAGTTCTGATTACCAAAGGAAAATTCTTCTTGAATAGACCTGATTTCTATCGATTCGAGTTAATGTTTGGTGGTGATCGAGAAAAAGGTGAGTCTTGTAATCAAAGTTAAATGAGTGACGATTATTGTTTTGAATGATTGATATTCGATCTCTATTAGCTTTACCTCTATGTGATTGGTCCGAAAAGCACAAAAATACTCGAAGCTTTTGCTTAATGGCGACGGCTCCCAATCCATTATCATCATCATTCGAAAGACTCGATAAAGTGATAACTTCAGAGATGGAAAGTTTACTCAAATTCATTGGGTCATCTGATAAAATTCTGACCAAATGCTGGACAGGACAAATCACAACGAACATTTTTACGCAATATCTTTGTGGATCAAGGTAAATGTATTAATTTAGAAAAATCATCTAATTAAACTTAATTATCAATAAACATTCAGATTGGAATATGGTGACCCTGAACTTATTATTCAAAGCTATCGTTCCGATTACACCCTTTACGACATAAGTGCAAGTAACACTCCCATTGACTTTCTACCTTGGCTAAAATCTTTGGGATTTTATCGAGAAAGTCTAGATAAGTTGAAGAGTACCACAGCACAGCAATGTAAGAAATAACCATTTAAATGGAGTAAAAACTTTCTGTGTATTCGAATATTCATTTTAATAATTTTTCCACTGAATTTGTAGGAAATGGGTGGACGATTTCTTGGTAAAACCACGTATAGCTCAGCTCGAAAAAACTCGTGAAGAAGGAATGGAAGACTTGGACGGTAATGATTCGAAGATGTTTTTAGACCAAATGCTCGAATACTATTACGAGAATCCAAAGGAGTTCTGTTATTCCCATGTAGTGTACTCTTTAAGTGATTTAATTGGAGCTTCCAGTGCGATATCTAATCTTATCATGAATATCATTGGTCATCTAGCTATGGATGAAGAAGTACAAGAGGAAATATACCAACAAATCGAGGCCACTGCTCGTCAACATAAAATTGATACTATAACCTTGAAGCACCGACCTCATATCCCACTGGTCGATTCCTGTGTTCTGGAAGCTCTGAGATTTTCATCTTCACCAATTGTTCCTCATGTATCAACTGAAGACACAACAATCGGAGGTAAATAAAATATACAGCCAAAGACTTTGAGTTTGCAACCTTTTTTAAATCATTCACGCAGGTAAAGATAATCAATGAGAGATAATTTTAATCGAGAGATATGATTATAAGAAATGTCCTTTCATATTAACTATGTTATCTATTAAAATGGTCATCTGATTAGCTATCAATTGTTATCTTTATCTGATTATCATTAACTGCGTGAATGATTTAAAAAAGGTTGCAAACTCAAAGTCTTTGGCTGTATAATATTTCATTGAAATTGAAAGATATTCATTGATCAATCTTTATTTGTATTTTCCAGGTTACTTTGTACCAAAAGGAACAATGATTTATTTCAACAATTGGCCGTTGAACTTTTCTACAAAACGCTACACTAAACCAGAACAATTTATCCCTTCTCGATTCGTATGCCCTTCGGACGATAATAATAACAAGACAATGCAGTTAAAAAAGCCCGAAGTTCTCATACCCTTTTCAATCGGTCAGCGAACATGCCTTGGATTCAAGATGACCAGATACATTTCGTTTAGCTTTATGAGTAACCTTTTGCTCCGATATAAGATCGCACCAGAAGATTCAGTTGAAACAATCACGGATCATATTAAAATTGGAGTTCTGGCTTTGAGAACCGATGATTGTTTCCGTGTTAAATTAATTCCAAGAGCAAAACAACAGTAAATTATTGAATTTTCTTGATTGTAACGTTCTAAAATAATAAAAATTACAATTAATATAGACGTCCTTTGCAGAATGACCTTGAAAAGAGAAAAAACCAGGTCATTTTTAAGTTCGCCCAAATTTGACTCAACGGTATTTGGACTTTTGTTGAAAACAAATTTGACGAAATCTTTTTCTCGAATAATTAAAATGCGAACTGGAACTGAAGATGAGGCTGATTTTGTTTGGTCAGGATGGATTGTGATCGCGTCAACTGTTAATAAAAAGTAACCTCCGACGAACGATTTAAGTGTCATATCATTACGAAGGATTCCATTTGTCCGTCCAAGGTCAAATACGTGTGACATGTTCGGTGTCACTTTGTTTCCATTGATGAAAATTGCAGAGCCAATTGAATATTCAATTGTATTTCCGTTACTTATTGAATCGGTTGGATCGGGATCAAGAGCGTTAAATGTTAGTAAGTCAGAATGGACTGGAGTGTCCCAACGAATTCCTGTTAGAAAATAGTCTTGACTGATTTAGGTGGATTATCATCAATGTCTTTTAGAATTATTTTAATCTCCACTTGGCTCAAGTCATTTGGATTATAAGAGGAACTTGTAGCTTGAACTACGAGTGTAATTGTTTCAATCGCTTCTCGATCAAAACGTTTACCAATTTTAATTTGTCCTGAATTATTGAAAGTCTCATTTACGATCGCTCCTTCAACTGACTTGTAATTAATGTAATATTGGATAATCGAATTGGAGCCAATATCATCATCGATTGCTTTTAGAGTTCCAATTAATGAACCAATCGGTTGCTCTTCGTCGATCTCCCAAGTCATTGGAGAATCGCCGACACCTCGATTAAAATGAGGTGAGTTATCATCAGTATCGTTCAATCGGATTACCATAATTCGTTGGGATTCTTGAGGTGGATTACCAAGATCAAAAGCGACTCTAATTTCAGGGAAAATAACAATAAAACAATTAATCACAAAAATCAATTTCAAGACGTAAATGATTGAGCATGAGGAATAAAAATATCATTTAGACAACTGATTGATACCATTTTAGGCAAAGATGCCATATTTAAATTATAACTAGTGAACGACCAAAAAACGAAGGTCATATTAGGTACTTACAGAATTAAAGAGTAATTTTGTTTTCAGTCAGATAGATGATTTCATTTTCAGCGGGTCGTACGAACCTTGGGACACCGTCGTTTGCAGCGATATCACCGATTATTATTGAGAATTTGGTATGTGATGAGAAAGATTCACGACCTGAGTCTCGAGCAACAATATGAATAATATAAGGATCGATTCGACCTTTTCCCGAAAGCGATTTATTCACAAATAGTTCACCGGTTGATCGGTCAATGGTAAACAGCTCTTCCCTTGGATCGGGAAAGTTTTCAAGGAAAGCGATCTCATAGTAAACTTGTCCATTTCTACCTTCATCAGGATCGATTGCTGATACTGATCCAGCACGAGACCCAATGGGAGCGCTTTCAGGGACAATAATTTCATACAAATCACGCGAAAATTTTGGTGAGTTATCATTAACATCGATCAATTCAATCACGACAGAAACTGTAGTTTTCCTGTTGCCACCTCGAAATCCATTACCTTGCGATTTCATTGAGACAATTGAATCGTCGCTATTTTTGTCACTTTCCTCACGGAAATTGTCAATTGCTGTTGCTTGTAAATTGTAAATCGATTTTCTTTCCCGGTCAAGGTTGGCCCCTTGTCGAATTCTGAGAATTCCACTTCGATTATTAATCTCGAACATATCAGAACCATCTCCTGATAGGTGATAGCCTATTGAACCAAAAGGTCCAGAGTCACGATCAGTAGCAGAAACTGTTAGAACAATTTGAGGCCATTTCGCTGTCTCCAGAACGGATGCTCGATAATTGTCCTGCAGAAAAACGGGCGAGTTATCGTTCACATCAACAACAGAGACTAAAATGTTTGCCACTGAGGTGAACTTTTCTCCGCCAAGATATTCCTCTGAACCTTTTGCTGGCTGACCAACGGCTTCGACGGAAAATTTGATCTGCTTAACAATTAGTGATTCGTAGTCAATACGACGATTAATTGTTACCACACCTTTCTACTATTAAAGTAATAGTTCAGCAATAAAAGAACTGAAACTAAAAATTTAGATTTTTCAGAAATCAGAAATTTGTCATAATTCTCTGATTGTTGTATTTTGCATTCTATCAATAATTCAAAATTGTTTATATCTAAAAATTGATAGTTCGTTTTTAACTCCCAATTCGATTGCTCCATAATTTCCTATCTGAATTTAAGATGAATTATATGATTCGATGTCCACTTATTTGTAGCTAGTTTCTGAATTCGATTAATTCATATTAAAATATCAAGGTCATTCCGGTCATTCTGTTAGGATACGGTTTCAAGCTCATTTGGTGGTCACAATCGAATTCAGTTGCAATCATTAGGCTCCATACGCGTTTACAACTTTTTGACATTTTTAGTTGCAGAGATATATCGGTTTTGATGCGGAATCCTTTTAATTCAACTTTCATCAATTTGCTCGTAACAAAAAGCGTAAGAGTCAAAAAACATTTTTGATTTAGTTGCATATTGGTTTGATATAAATTTGAATCGATTGTTACCACCAAATGACCTTCAAACCGTATCCTAACAGAATGACCGGAATGACCTTGATATATTAGTATGACAATTGAGTATGGCCCAAACTAACATAACTCGAGTATGGGGTCTCAACACTCAAAAACAAAAAAGTTATTCGAGAAAAACTTGGTGAAATGCCCTGTATGTTGTAATACTTTCGGCAGGATAACCAATCAAACACATGAACATGTAGGTTTCAACCACTGATTCGCGTTAAGCTAAATTCTGTCACAAGGAATAAACAAAGATAAAAGTAGGGGATGGGCTCATATTCTCCGACCGAATTGAAATCTTTTATTTACTGTTTATATCGTTGGCGGTGAACGAACGAACGCTAAGAAAAGTTTTTCTTTCCCAAAAATTTTCTTAGCTCAATACAAATAGGCTCTTTTCTTATGCAAATTTTTTCTTTCCAAAAAAATTTTCTTATTGGAAAATCCTAATGTCAAATTAATCGTCGATTCTAGGAGTCAATAAGATCGTATACTAATCGATTAGTTAATCGTTAGTCAAACTAATCGTCATCTTTATTTTCGAACAAATCAAAATTCTACAAAGTGTCAACACAATTTTATTTTTAAAAGTTATTTTATTCTGTTTCAACTACTTGTTAACTCTTTTATTGTTTTTTTATCAGTACGGTGTTGCAATCCACAACAACTCATACAATGGAGAAGATAATTTTATCTAGTGATGAAAGTGATAGTAATTCATCCACATCAAAAAAAGAAAAGCTCATTCATCAGCATCAACTAATCATCTTATTATTAAAAAACGGAGAACAGTAAGAAAAATTATTACTGAATCACAACTCAATCTACAAACAGTAGAATTAAGACGAAAAGAAAGGGAAAGATTATTTCGACTTTCACAAAATCCAAAATTAATTCAATCGACAGTTCAATTAGAACCGCAGAGTTTAAAGATTCACACTGATGACAATTTCAACAAAAGGGAGCCTAATGGTAAAGTGTTGATCAATGTGAACAGTCTAAAAATGGAGCCGCCAATATATTTGAGTAAGAAAATTAGCAAAATAATTAAACCTCATCAAATTGGAGGAGTTCGCTTTTTATATGATGTGATCACTTGACAGTCATAGGAGAGGTGGAGGTGGCTGTATTTTAGCCCATGCTATGGGCCTAGGGAAAACTTTCCAAGTGATCACATTTGTTCAGTTATATTTACAATATACAGAAGCTAAACATGTCTTGATCATAGTTCCTGTTACTGTGATAAAAATTGGCAAGACGAATTTGAGAAATGGTTACCAGAATGAATTCAACGACTCACCAAATATCCATCTTTTCCTAGTCTCAACAAAAGCAGGTTCTTTAGGAACGAATCTTATCACAGCAAATAGAATTGTACTTTTCGACAGTTCTTGGAACCCATCTCATGATGCACGTGTAGAACGATTCCAAATGAACGAATTGAACATTCTTGGCCAACTACAGATTGTCAATTATAATAAACTGATGATAATTTTCCCCCGCCAATATTTAATCAATGTTATTTGAATTAATTCTTGGTTAATTGTTCAATTTTTATTTCAATGGGAACCACAAGGTAACTTAATAAAAAGTATTAATGTTTGATCATTTGAAAGACAAACAATTAACTTTTTCATGTCAATTTAACAACAATCAGTAGATCACAAGTTGATCATTGAACAGTGAAAGTGTTTGCAATTGTAATGATAATAATGTGATAACAGTCACAATTAATATCGATGATTGTGATTAACCAAGTGTAACCAAAAATTAACCAAATATCATTTTGATTAACGATTAAATAACGCTGATTAGGTTAATCATATTAAATCATGATCGTATTTCTCAATTATCCAATTAATTCACGTTTTTGATTTTCTTCATTGAAAAGATAAGTAAATAAGAACGAAACGAAAGAACGAAGTGAACGAAATGAAAGAACAGATTGATGATTCTAATAAATTTCGTTCAGATATCGACAAAAACGAAGTGATAGAGTTTGGATGGAACAAAGGTCCAAATGTTTGAGTTCGTAATCGTTGATGTCGATTGAATTTGCGAAAAGTCGTTAAGATGCTCTTATGAATTGTACGAACAGTATTGGCCCTCAGGAGTTATGAGTTTGTCAGGTTAATATTCAATGCCGATGAGGCACTAAATTTATCAGAAGGGAGGGGAAGATGGAAGAGATATGATCTGAGTTTATATTTCCATTACGCTGTTTATCATCCAAATTAATCGAAGCCATTCAATCAGAGCACAGGAAATCGAAAATAAGGAATGATGGACATGTATTGTCTGATATCATCTAACACATGATTCGAGCCCAAGGGTTTGGTTACTGGTTGATTAATCTCCTTTTATAAATCCTTTACTTTGACTTGATCATCCACAATCAAATCGAAAGTTACGACTAATCACTTGATGATAGTTTCCATTTCATGTTTGATCACCGAACTAGAACTGAAACATCAGAATGGAACTTCTTAGCTTTTCTTTTATTTACATGAGCTTTTGTTCTTTGGTCATTTTGTAATTTAGAAAAATCATCTAATTAAACTTCATTATCGATAAACATTTAGATTGAAATATGGTGACCCTGAACTTATTATGCAAGGCTATCGTTCTGATTACACCTTTTACGAACTAGGTGTAAGTAACACCCCCATTGACTTTCTACCTTGGCTAAAATCTTTGGGATTTTATCGAGAAAGTCTAGATAAGTTGAAGAGTACCACAGGCACAGCAATGTAAGAAATAACCATTTAAATGGAGTAAAAACTTTCTGTGTATTCGAATATTCATTTTAATAATTTTTCCACTGAATTTGTAGGAAATGGGTGGACGATTTCTTGGTAAAACCACGTATAGCTCAGCTCGAAAAAACTCGTAAAGAAGGAATGGAAGACTTGGACGGTAATGATTCGAAGATGTTTTTAGACCAAATGCTCGAATACTATTACGAGAATCCAAAGGAGTTCTGTTATTCCCATGTAGTGTACTCTTTAAGTGATTTAATTGGAGCTTCCAGTGCGATATCTAATCTTATCATGAATATCATTGGTCATTTAGCTATGGATGAAGAAGTACAAGAAGAAATATACCAACAAATCGAGGCCACTGCTCGTCAACATAAAACTGATACTATAACCTTGAACTTCAAGGCTTGAAGCACCAACCTCACATCCCACGACGTCGTCATGGTGTGGTCGACGCTTGCGTTCATGAAGCTCTGAGATTCGCATCTTCACCAATCGTCCCTCATGTATCAACTGAAGACACAACAATCGGAGGTAATTACAAGAAACAATATTTCTATAAAATTGAAACATTGTTCATCACTTAATCTTTATTTGTATTATTCAGGTTACTTTGTACCAAAAGGAACAATGATTTACTTCAACAGTTGGCCGTTGAACTTTTCTACCAAATTCTACACTAAACCAGAACAATTCCTTCCTTCTCGATTCGTATGCCCTTCGGACGATAATAATAACAAGACAATAAAGTTAAAAAAGCCCGAAGTTCTAATACCTTTTTCGATTGGTCATCGAACGTGCCTTGGATTCAAGATGGTCAGATACGTTTCGTTTAGTTTTATGAGTAACCTTTTGCTCCGATATAAGATCGCACCAGAGGATTCAGTCGATACAGTAAAAGAGCAAATTAAAATTGGGGTTCTAGGTTTGAGAACGGATGATTGTTTCCGTGTTAAATTGATTCCAAGAACAAGACAAGAGTAAATTTTTAAATTTTCTTTATTGTAACGTTCAAAAATAATAAAAGATACAGTTAATATGTTCGTAAGTCAGAATGAACTGGAGTGTCCGCTTAATTTTAGATATTTCAATGAAGGTCGAGCTTGAACTACGACTGTAATTGTTTCAATCTTTTCTCGATCAAGATGTTTACCAATTTTAATTTGTCCTGAATTATTGACAGTTTCAATTACGATCGCTCCTTCAACTGACTCGTAATTAATGTAATATCGGTTGCTCTTCGTCGATCTCCCAAGTCATTGGAGAATCGCTGACACCGCGATTAAAATGAGGAGAGTTATCATCAGTATCGTTCAATCGGATTACCATAATTCGTTGAGATTCTTGAGGTGGATTAACAAGATCGAAAGTGTTTCAATATATTGAATAGCAGAGAAAAGACAAAAAAAAATGAATCACAATAATCGATTACAAGATTAATGATTAGACACAAAACATCATTTAGATTTTCGATCGGTATTAATTGAGGAAAAGATACTTAATTTAAATTGTGATATTTAAATAAGTATTCGTGGGTATTTTGAGAAGAATTCTGATTGGAAATTTTTAATGGTAAATTCGATCCTCGGGAGGTTATGAGTTTAGGTTGAGGGTGAGTTTGGAGTGCAATTACAATAAGGCGCTAAAGTTATCGAAAGAATCGTTTCGAAAAGGAAAGTAGGATGAAAAGACATGAATACGTCGCAACTTTTTCCTTCAGCTTTTATCTCTTTAAATCATCGAGGTTCGAAAGATGTAATCAAGTAAAAATCTGAAACAAGGAATGATTTTTGTGAAATTTTTGATCTCGCAAACAATCTAACACGTGATTTGCACTTAAGGGCTTATTTGCGACTTTTTACCATTGAATCTTTTTTTATAACTTAATCGAAATTACAATCATAAACACCATTTCAATCAAAAAGTTTGTTGAAAAAACTTGAAAATCCAATTCGTTTAAAATAATGGACTTACTTAGCTTTTCAATTATTTACACGATCTTTTGCTCTGTGATCATTTTGTACATTTTGTCTAAATTTCTCTTTCGACCCAAACCTAAATTTGGTAAAAATGGTGAGTAATTGATGATGAGCGCAATTTGATTGTTTGTTAATGTGCTATTGTTTGGATATTGTTACTTCTTCAGCTCCGTCACCTCCTCGATTACCGATTGTTGGTCATCTTCATTTATTAGCGAAATATCCTGATGAGCCATGGAAAGGGTTTGAGGAAATTCGCGAAAAGTTTGGTGTTGTGGTTGCGCTTAAATTAGGAATTTTCGGTACAATTATGGTTTCGTCTTTCGAAACAATTAAGGAAGTTCTGATTACCAAAGGAAAATTCTTCTTGAATAAACCTGACCTCTATCATTTTGATTAACGATTAAATAACGCTGATTGGGTTTGTTGTAAATAAAGATTGTTGAATGGATTGATGAGAAAAGAAAGAAGATATTAATCTTAATCAATTCTCTTTCTCTGTAACTTAAATTTGTTTACTTTTGATTGACTAAATTTGTATTCAAATAATGATAACAAGGAAAACCAAGCGATCAACATGATCGCTTTTCTGAATAATTTTAGAAGATGGAATTCATGAATGTCATCTTTTCTGTCTTTTTTCTTGAAAATTTTGTCAACCTTAATTTAAACAGAGTAGTTAATCGTATCTTTGATTAACCTCTCAAAGTTTTAATATCCCAGGGCGTGCGGTTGATACAATTGAAAAACTTACATGAATCTGATGCTCTTTCTTTTCTCTTCCCCTTTCATTGCCCCGAACGTCATAATTCATCCCTTCTCTCTCTCTTCCCCTTTTCTCTTTCTTTTCCATCTAATCCTCTTATTAATCTAATTAACATTTTAATTTGGTCAATTTAACGCCCCATTTTTTTCATTAATTAATAACTTTTGACCCTGACCCCTTATGACATTGGCTCTATTTTTTGTTGTTGAAGATTTTTGTCTTGTTTCTGTTGATATTTTTTCCATGTCTGTACGACTCCTAGTTTTTCTTAAATCTTCATATAAAAAATCGTGAATCGTAATAATTGTTTGTTGATTGTTGATTGTTTGTTGATAATGATTGATTAATAATAATTTAATTAATCAACATCGATAAGCATTTGCTTCAACAGGGTTAATCATATTAAGTCATGATCGTGTATCTTAATTATCAAGTTATTTCACGTTTTTGATTTGCTTAACAGAAAAGATGATGAACAGTCTTATTAATGAGCAATTAAAATGATTTAATTAGTGAGTTAATGATGATGATTGTTGAAAGAACAGGTTGGTGAAATTTTGTTTGTTCATATCGATAATTATTGTGTAATACTAACCAATTCGAGACAATTATCGATCAAAAATTTCGATTGTTTATCGAAAATCTAATAAATTTCGTTCAGAGATCGACAAAAACAGAGGGATACAGTTTGGGCCAAAGTTTGAATGAGATGAAAGTCTAAGTGCTTGAGTTCGTAATCATTGACATCGATTGAATTCGCGAAAAAGTCTTTAAGATACTCATATGAATTGCAATTTGAATTTGAGAATTGGCCCTCAGGAGGTTATGAGTTCATCGGGTTATTAAGCAATATCGATGAGGCACTAAATTTATCAGAAGGGAGGGGAGGATGAAAAAGATATGATCGGAGGTCATATTTTACTTGACGCTGTTTATCACTCAAATTAATCGAAGCAATTGAAATGAAAGCGCAATCGAAAACAAGGAATGATGGACTTTATTGTCTGATATCATCTAACACATGATTCGAGCCCAAGGGTTTGGTTGCTGGTTGATTTATATCCTTTTAATAAATCCTTTACTTTGACTTGATCATCCACAATCAAATCGAAAGTTACGACTAATCACTTGATGATAGTCTCCATTTCATGTTTGATCACCGAACTAGAACTGAAACATCAGAATGGAACTTCTTAGCTTTTCATTTATTTACACGATCTTTTGCTCTGTGATCATTTTGTACATTTTGTCTAAATTTCTCTTTCGACCCAAACCTAAATTTGGTAAAAATGGTAAGTAAAAGTGATTAATGATCAACGCAATTTGATTGTTTAGAAATGTGCCATTGTTGTTTCTTCAGCTCCGTCACCTCCTCGATTACCGATTGTTGGTCATCTTCATCTATTAGCGAAATATCCTGATGAGCCATGGAAAGGGTTTGAGGAAATTCGCGAAAAGTTTGGTGATGTGGTTGCTCTTAAATTAGGGATTTTCGATACAATTATGGTTTCGTCTTTCGAAACAATTAAGGAAGTTCTGATTACCAAAGGAAAATTCTTCTTGAATAGACCTGATTTCTATCGATTCGAGTTAATGTTTGGTGGTGATCGAGAAAATGGTGAGTTCTGTAATAAAAGTTCCATGCAATTTATTAGAGTTTTTAATGATTGATATTCGATCTCTATTAGCTTTACCTCTATGTGATTGGTCCGAAAGGCACAAAATTACTCGAAACTTTTGCTTAATGGCGACGGCTCCCAATCCATTATCATCATCATTCGAGAGGCTCGACAAAGTGATCACTTCAGAGATGGAAAGTCTACTCGAATTCATTAATTCATCTGATAAAATTCTAACCAAATGCTGGACAAGACAAATCGCAACGAACATTTTTACGCAATATCTTTGTGGATCAAGGTAAATAGTAAAATTTAGAAAAATCAGCTAATTATATCGGGTGACCGAAAATGAGTGAGCATCTCAAGAATGGTAGGTCCTAGAATAAAATTTCAAACGCAATTGAAAGCGCCATCGATCAAATATAAATCGTGAATTTTTCGGAGTTCAAGTGCAACTGTGGTTCTTATTTAAAGGCCAAAATCGCGATTTTCTCTATGAGAAATTTATAATGGGAAAGTTAGATAGCAATTTTCGTTGATTTTGGCCATGTTAGATCTCAATAACCTTACTTCAGATAATGATGAGCTCAGGTATATGAGATAATAGGTCAAAAAGAATAACTTTTGACCAAAAATTTTGAGTCCAAAGTCAACCGTTCGCTTTTCAGGCCACTCGATATCTTGAGAACCGTGCGTCCTAGAAAAAAAAGCCGAACATTTTTGGACTCAGCGTCAAATTTACTTTCTTAAAATGTATAGAAACGTGGGTCCAAAACTTAAGGCTCGCGAGATGCTCACTCATTTTCGGTCACCCGATACTTCATTATCAATTAACATTCAGATTGGAATATGACGACCCTGAACTTATTGTTCAGAGCTACCGTTTTGATTATATCTTTTACGATATAAGTTCGAGCAATAGTCCAATCGATTTTTTACCTTGGCTGAAATCTTTGGGATTTTATCGAAATGCTCTCAATAAGTTGGAGGAAGTAACAAGCTCGGCTGTGTAAGAAAAATAAGAATTAGAATTTTTAGCAAAAAGTCAATTAAATTACACAAAATTCTTTTTATAAATAGGAAATTTATCGAAGAGATCTCGGTAAAACCAAGAGTAGCCCAACTCGAGAAATTGTGGTCTCAAGATGGAAAACACAATGACTTGGACCATAATGGTTTGACACTCGCTTTGGACCAAATGTACAGATACCATTTAGAGAATCCAAAGGAGTTTTGTTATACGCATCTTGTTTATTCTTTGAGTGACCTTATTGCAACTTCCGGTGCGATCTCTAATCTTCTCATGATTATCATCGGCCATTTAGCTATGAATGAAGAAGTACAAGAGGAAATATACCAACAAATCGAGGCCACAGCTCTTCAACACAAAACTGATACTTTAACCTTGAAGCACCGACCTCATATCCCACTGGTTGACTCTTGTGTCCTGGAAGCTCTGAGAATCGCATCTTCACCAATCGTCCCTCATGTATCAACTGAAGACACAACAATCGGAGGTAAATAAAAGATATAATATTTCATTCAAATTGAAAGATCGTTCATCAACTAATCTTCATTTGTATTCTTCAGGTTACTTTGTACCAAAAGGAACAATGATCTATTTCAATAATTGGCCGTTAAACTTTTCTACCAAATTCTACACTAAACCAGAACAATTCCTTCCTTCTCGATTCGTATGCCCTTCGGACGATAATAATAACAAGAACATGCAGATAAAAAAGCCCGAAGTTCTAATACCTTTTCAATTGGCCATCGAACGTGCCTTGGATTCAAGATGACCAGATACATTTCGTTTAGCTTTATGAGTAACCTTTTGCTCCGATATAAGATCGAGCCAGAAGATTCAGTTGAAACAATCACGGATCATATTAAGATTGGAATTCTGGCTTTGAGAGCCGATGATTGTTTCCGTGTTAAATTAATTCCAAGAACAAGACAACAATCAACAGGCATTTGAAACTTCAATTTTTCTGTTAATGATTTTCGATTAATTCATTTGCTTAATTCTTTCAAAAGTTTTTCAAATGTTTTCAGACACAATTAACTCAATAAAATCTCTGTTTATCAAATTAATTAACTAAAGATATTTGTAATTAGACGAATGGTTAAATTAGATTGAGTTTTGAAAAATTAGATACGAGAATTTTAAATTATCAATTTAAGGTTACGATCGACTGATTCAATCAATTAATAAGTTGAACTTGAATCAAATCGCATCTTCACCATTTAATTTAGTTTGAAATAATGATAATCAATATCGTCATTTGAATTGTTGATGATGATTGTTGTTTTTCGTTTTACTCTTGATCGCTTTAGGTCCACTCTCAGGTCTTTTTCTGTTGCTGTTCGGCTGTCAATTAACTGATTTTCAACAAGTGATAGTTAAACACTCGCTTGTTGATGTTTAATTGGTTGATTGGAATTTTTTTTTCTGAGAGGAATATAGAGAAGAGAATTGAGAGATAACTGAGTTTCTCTCCTTCTCAACTCTCAACTGAAAATAGAATTGATTAATTGCATTAATCAAGACAATTAACTTGATAGAAATGAGAAAGTTGATGAAAAAAGTTAATGAATGAACGAGGAACTCGAAGGAGGTGATTAGGAGGTGGGAGGAAGAGGAGGAGAATAAAATTTTTACTATTGATTCAATTTCTTTAATCGAAATGATCTTTAACGATCTTAATGTTACAGTTACATGATTAGTTAATTGTTGATTATGTTTGTTTATTACTCATTTACTCTCTCTCTCTCTCAACAACAGGTTTAGGTTAACTCAGGTTAGGTTATTGGTTGGAAAAGTGAAAGTTTAGTTTGAGCATGAATTTTAATTTAACCCACAATTTGATCTTAATCAATGATTTACTTTTCCAACTTAAATTTTATTATTCGTGCGATTTATGGTCGATTTTTGTTGTGATTTGATGAGTAAATGTTGTTAAATTAGCATAATTAAGGTATTGCATCTTTCTAACCAATTGCTTGTTTTATAACTTATATTACTTATACACTGCCAGTCAATATTTTTCGTTACAACAATTATATTTAATTGTGGTACTAATACTTGACCAAATTGGATCAAATTTTTATAATTTATTCTTAACTACGATAGCAATCATCTGGGAAAAATTTGTAAAATTTAGAATAGCTTAAGTTGGTTAAATTAGTGCCGATTGATTAAAAAACCCAAATAAACGGTTCAAAATTTTTCGTTGGTCCTCCGTTTTCATTGATAGAGATATTTTTTAGATTTTATTGTTGACAAATTATATTGTCTAGATCACAACGATCAATTTGAGAGATTTTTTATTGAAATCGGATGAGAAATAAAAAAGTTATATCAGATCGAATTTAACATGGGGGTCTATGGAAAATGACGAGTTTTGGCCTGTTAATCTTAGACTATTAGGGTCAGTGCCATGAAAACTTGACAACTCGTAGTTCAACTAATTGTTTATAAGAAATTGAGACTAGAATGATGATTGTGCGTCTATTTTTGTTTTTTCAGGTCTAAAACAGACAATAATCAAAAAATTGTTCATATAATAGGGAATTTACATTGGAAATTAAATATTAGTTGAACTTCCTATTGAAAATGAATAAAACGAAAAGTAATAGACGCACAATCATCATTCTAGTCTCAATTTCTTATAAACAATTAGTTGAACTACGAGTTGTCAAGTTTTCATGGCACTGACCCTAATAGTCTAAGATTAACAGGCCAAAACTCGTCATTTTCCATAGACCCCCATGTTAAATTCGATCTGATATAACTTTTTTATTTCTCATCCGATTTCAATAAAAAATCTCTCAAATTGATCGTTGTGATCTAGACAATATAATTTGTCAACAATAAAATCTAAAAAATATCTCTATCAATGAAAACGGAGGACCAACGAAAAATTTTGAACCGTTTATTTGGGTTTTTTAATCAATCGGCACTAATTTAACCAACTTAAGCTATTCTAAATTTTACAAATTTTTCCCAGATGATTGCTATCGTAGTTAAGAATAAATTATAAAAATTTGATCCAATTTGGTCAAGTATTAGTACCACAATTAAATATAATTGTTGTAACGAAAAATATTGACTGGCAGTGTAATACTATGTTAGTGTTACCTAACCCCACGAATGCACGTGCATTTTAATTTTTCAGGCCTTTTCAATTAAATCAATAAGACTAATCTGAGTTACTGTGAGTCTTTCGATGAGATTAGATTACTTGTTGGTTATTTGAAAATGGAAACTACAGCAATAAGTTGGAAAAGGTGAAGCTCGGCAATTCGCTTTCAACTGACAGTTAACCAACCTGGTTGGCAACCAGCTGATTTTTAACCAGCATCCAGAGCTTAATTCGGCTTATCAGTTTATGGAAAAGCCCTTTAGTGTCACAAATGACTCAATTTCTGACCATAAGTCATCAAGTTTCAGACATCGATCTCCCAAGGTTCGATTGCGATCAATTTTTCCGAATGTCAAAAATCGATCATTTCGATCGATTTATAAATCGGATCCGAACATCTTATAATCAGTATCTTATTGATCTCTCTCCATACTAATCTTTCACTCAACTCATTTACCTGTTGTCAGTTTTTGTTTTGTTAATTGTGTTAATTATCAGAGGTTTTATTTCTAATTGTTTTCTTTTTAATTGTTTATTTAGTTTCTAAGGTTCAACCAGTTATGAGCGAAATAACTTCATTTCAAATGGAAAATGATTGTGATGAATTTTCTGACACGTATGATCACGTATCTGAGGTAAGAATGGATTTTGTTGCTTCTTTTTCCTCCTTTCAACTGATTGTCTCTAATATTTTCTTAATTATTTTCCTATTTATTTTCCTTTAAATGGTACAGGATTCGTTAACTGCATTTGAGAGATTAAAAGATTCAAAAGTGATCATCACAGCGCAAGGAGAAATCAAAGAGGAAGATATTAATCATCATTTATCTGTTACAATTGTGAATCTCCAGAAAAGTATTGAATCAATAACAAGTAGGCTAAAGAATTTAGAATCCAGAGGATCATCGGTAATCATTTTTCGCCCTTTAATTAGTTTTACTATTTATCTTGTTTACCATTTAATAATATCTTCTCTTTTTCCTTTTCCATTCAGCAAAAAACTGGACTGTGGCCTTTTGAAAGCTCAACTACAACATTCGCATTTCTATTGACCTATCCAATTATAACCTATTTAATTATGGACCGAATTAAACAAAGAAATGTCAAATAATCTTGATGATCAAAGGCCACACCATTTCAAGAGAGGTTTTATCATTTGATTCTAATCAAATGTCCAATCTTTACTTTAGACAATTAAGCAATTCAACACAAGATCAACAATTGGCCCATTGACCAAAATCTATTGACCATTCTGATCACAATTTCCAATTTATAACAACTCAAACCATTACTCTCACTTTTTTGTACTTGAAAATTATTATTATCTTAATTGCGTTAACTGCTTATAATTAATCGATTATAATAGTTGTGAAATAACCGAAACTCCTTTTTTTAATCAAATAATCAAATCAATTAAATGGAAAGAAAAGTAAATTTGAACAATTTGTTTTGGTAAAAAATAAGTTTAATTTGTTGAGAAAAAGAAAATAATAAATAATAATTTAATAATGATGATCGATGGTGAAGATGAAACAGTTAAGTTAATTGCAGCGAATCCCAATTAATTGATTGACCAATTATCACCTTAATGTTGGAAAACTTCTCGCCGAAAGTGCATCTAATTGTGGATTCATGGCTTCCTGCCATTCGTAAATTCTGTCTTGACTAAATTGGAAGAGAAAAACAAATTAATTGTCAACAATCAGCTGATAGTAATTTAAATCAATCGAAATACTCACTTTGGGATATTGGTGAACTGATTTGGCTTATAAATTGGTTGACCTGGAACCGCTTGAGGGTGGGGATGGTGGGGATGATGGTGGGGATTTAACATTGAACCTAATTGTGACTGGCTGGCGATTCCGACACAATTAGTGACCGTATTCAATTTACGTTTAAGGTCAGATTTCATGTTAATCGCCATCATGGTTAAAAGTAAAGTACAACAGGCGATGAATATGGCAACTAAAACGATTCCGAGCTGTTGTCGGGAAAGTAAGGGTTGGCTTCGAGGCTTAATACATTCCTCGATTGAGATGATTCCATAATTGGAATAGATTTTCTTTAATTGTGACAGTGAATTATTTTTCAATGATTTAAGAGCTTCTTTGTAGGAAACAATTGTTCCGGCTTGAATGTCTTCCGGTGTCGAGTGAAGGTCAACTGGAGCATCTAGAATTTGGAAACAAGCGGAAGTAGCCTCAAAATCGAGTGAACCATCTTTCCGTTCATGGAAATGTGCCTCTTGAAAGTTAAACGACCATTTGAGACTCATTGGTTCTAATGCTTTTTCCAGGTCATTTTTAAGTTCGCCCAAATTTGACTCAACGGTATTTGGACTTTTGTTGAAAACAAATTTGACGAAATCTTTTTCTCGAATAATTAAAATGCGAACTGGAACTGAAGATGAGGCCGATTTTGTTTGGTCAGGATGGATTGTGATCGCGTCTACTGTTAATAAAAAGTAACCTCCGACGAACGATTTAAGTGTCATGTCATTACGAAGGATTCCATTTGTCCGTCCAAGGTCAAATACGTGTGACATGTTCGGTGTCACTTTGTTTCCATTGATGAAAATTGCAGAGCCGATTGAATATTCAATTGTATTTCCGTTACTAATTGAATCGGTTGGATCGGGATCAAGAGCGTTAAATGTTAGTAAGTCAGAATGGACTGGAGTGTCCCAACGAATTCCTGTTAGAAAATAGTCTTGACTGAATTTGGGTGGATTATCATCAATATCTTTCAGAATTATTTTAATCTCCACTTGGCTCAAGTCATTTGGATTATAAGAGGAACTTGTAGCTTTTAATTTTCGTCCTTCATTACCACCTAATTTACGATATTTCAATGAAGGTCGAGCTTGAACTACAAGTGTTATCATTTCAATCGCTTCTCGATCAAGACGTTTACCAATTTTAATTTGTCCTGAATTATTAACAGTCTCAATTACGATCGCTCCTTCAACTGACTCGTAATTAATGTAATATTGGACAATCGAATTGGAGCCAATATCATCATCGATTGCTTTTAGAGTTCCAATTAATGAACCAATCGGTTGCTCTTCGTCGATCTCCCAAGTCATTGGAGAATCGCCGACACCTCGATTAAAATGAGGTGAGTTATCATCAGTATCGTTCAATCGGATTACCATAATTCGTTGGGATTCTTGAGGTGGATTACCAAGATCAAAAGCGACTCTAATTTCAGGGAAAATGACAATAAAATAATTAATCACAACGATCGATTTCAAGACTTAAATGATTGAGCATGAGGAATAAGAATATCATTTGGACAACTGACAATTTAGGAAAAGATGTCAAATCTAAATTATAATTTGGGTTTAGATTGAAACAACTAGTGAACGACCAAGAAAACGAAGGTCATATTAGTACTTACAGAATTAAAGTGTAATTTTCTTGTTTTTCTCGATCAAGTGTCACCGTTTTACCAACATTTCGTGATGTTGTTATCGTTCCTCGAGTCGAATCAATATCAAAATAAGGCGAGGGTTCGGCAAATTTGTACATAACTCGACCATTTGGACTATTAGGATTATCGGCATCAATGGCAGTTACAGTGTAGACCAAAGCTCCTGGTTTAGTGTTTTCAGTCAGATAGATGATTTCATTTTCAGCGGGTCGTACGAACCTTGGGACACCGTCGTTTGCAGCGATATCACCGATTATTATTGAGAATTTGGTATGTGATGAGAAAGATTCACGACCTGAGTCTCGAGCAACAATATGAATGATATAAGGATCGATTCGACCTTTTCCTGAAAGCGATTTATTCACAAATAGTTCACCGGTTGATCGGTCAATGGTAAACAGCTCTTCCCGTGGATCGGGAAAGTTTTCAAGGAAAGCGATCTCATAGTAAACTTGTCCGTTTCTACCTTCATCAGGATCGATTGCTGATACTGATCCAGCACGAGAACCAACGGGAGCGCTTTCAGGGACAATAATTTCATACAAATCACGCGAAAATTTTGGTGAGTTATCGTTAACGTCGATCAATTCAATCACGACAGAAACTGTAGTTTTCCTGTTGCCACCTCGAAATCCATTACCTTGCGATTTCATTGAGACAATTGAATCGTCGCTATTTTTGTCAATTTCCTCACGGAAATTGTCAATTGCTGTTGCTTGTAAATTGTAAATCGATTTTCTTTCCCGGTCAAGGTTGGCTCCTTGTCGAATTCTGAGAATTCCACTTCGATTATTAATCTCGAACATATCAGAACCATCTCCTGATAGGTGATAGCCAATTGAACCAAAAGGTCCAGAGTCACGATCAGTAGCAGAAACTGTTAGAACAATTTGAGGCCATTTCGCTGTTTCCAGAACGGATGCTCGATAATTGTCCTGCAGAAAAACGGGTGAGTTATCGTTCACATCAACAACAGAGACTAAAATGTTTGCCACTGAGGTGAACTTTTCTCCGCCAAGATATTCCTCTGAACCTTTTGCTGGCTGACCAACGGCTTCGACGGAAAATTTGATCTGTTTAACAATTAGTGATTCATAGTCAATACGACGATTGATTGTTATCACTCCAGTTAATTTATTAACGGAAAAATAACCCTCTGGGTCTGTTGAATCGATCTTCTTGAAGTTCGTGATCGGTTTACCAGTTAACGGATTTTTGGCCGATAAGACGAAAACGGTTGATCCAATTAGAGTTTCTTCTGGAAGGTTTATTTCATAGGTCGGCTCTGATGGTGTCCAGGGTGCGATGAAGACCGGATTACGTTCACCATGAGATTGAATATAAATAGTTAGATCGGCGGAAGCTTTTTGATCAAATGAAGATCCATCATCGGCTTGTCCGTTAATATCACGAGCAACTATTGGCACTACAATGATGGAAGCGCGTTCAGAATCAACTGTACCATTAACACTAATGACTCCTGACGCGGGATCAATTTTGAGAAGATTATTGAAATATTCTGATCGTCCAACCAATGCTCCAGTTTTATCTCGAACTTTAATTGACTCAAGATCAAGATCATAACGGATTTTGGCATTGGAATCGGTGTCGGCAGCTCTTATGGTCATGATCTCATAACCGGGGACAAATTGTGAATCGGACAAATAGATTACGTAACCATCTTTGCCAAATTTAGGAGGCTTATTGTTAACATCTTCAACAATAACCGTTAATGGGGCTGTTGATGTTAAGGGTATTGGGTGACCTGAATCGGTAACGGCAACAGTCAAAGTATACTCTCCCCCGTATAGATCGCGATCAAGATTAGCTGATGAGCTAACTTTAACTTCACCCGTTGTTGGATCGATAATGAAATTATCTTTAGCCCCAGCGATTAGTGAGTAACGTAGTTTGGCATCAGGTCCATCGGGATCTGTGGCCTTAACAGTGATAATAACAGTTCCAGGGGCAGCATTTTCCTTGACCGTTGCATTATAAGGTTCATTTATAAACATTGGCTCACCGTCTCGAGCTGACCGGACATAAATTTGAATAACAGCCTCAGCTGAGAGAGGAGGTTGACCTCCATCAACGGCCTCAATTATGGCCTCATAGTTGAGCTTCTTACGCAATCCAGTTTCCCGGTTGCGGGTAAAATTGGCATGAATTGATTGGGTCAATTTAACATCACCGGAAATTGGATCAATAGCCAATCCCGTTAAATTGGTCCATTTAACATGGTAACGAATTCCGTTAGTTCCACCTTGGGTTTGACCATCGATATCGGTGGCTCGAAGAATCAAAGGAGGATAAATCGTCGTGTCCTTTTCGTTCAATTCGCGAACATAAAGAGCACGTTGAAACTTCGGTACATTATCATTGATATCAACGATTTCGATGTGAAGATTAGCAGTTGACCTTTTACCTCCTCCGTCAGTCGCTTCGACTCGAAGTGAGTACGAAGGTTGAACTTCATAATCTAAACATTCAACTTCTTTTTCGGAGCCAATCGAAGGTGATGTTTGAATTGCATCCAACGAACAGTCAGCGACTGAAATTTCACCGGTCACAGAATTGATGGTGAATTTATCTGAACCGAAACCTTTGAGAGTATAAGTCAAGCGACCGAAAGAACCCGAATCAGAATCTAGAGCGAGCACTGAGTAGAAGGTTTTACCAGGTTTTTCGTTCTCCAAAACTCGAGCAAAATATTCTGGTTGATCGAAAATCGGTTGATTATCATTAGAATCTATTAGAGTTAAATTGATGAAAACGACCGATCGAATGTGATCTTGAGTAGCGATAATGTTAAAGACGAAGTTTCTTCGAGTTGCATCTTCGTAGTCCAACCAATCAGAATTAATCACTTTCAGAATGATTGGTGTTCGTCCCATTGCTAGACTGGGTGAGACGGAAAAGACTCGAGATGCTGGATTATTTTGGTCTAGATCTTCAATGGAAAGAGCAAACTTAGCATTGTGACCTGCATCGGGATCGGAAACAATCAAATTCAAAGACGGAACAGCTGATCCATTGGTTATATCTTCAGGAACTTCAAGATTTACATGGTCGAGATTGAATCGAGGTTCTTGATCGTTGATATCCTGAATAACGACGGTAACACTTGTCGATGATGAAGCACCGAAATTTGTTCCTGTCGAACCTGGAATAGGAACTAATTCGGTCGCTCGAAGTGTACAACTATAAATTCCACCGGCGAGCAAAATCTCAGGATCTTCTCGATCCATGAGAGTATTTCCAGTTTCCAATGACCAGGAATCGGAATCGATTCGAGAAAGAGTAAAGTACTTTTTCTTGTCATCCACAATTTCTAATTGAATATCACGACGAATCGAAGGTGAATTATCTCCATCACGAACAATTATCGTTAAAACTGAACTTCCAGTCGGTGTCGATTCATTGACCGTAATCGAATAAGGTCCATTAAGAAACTTTGGTGGTTCATCTTGAACATCGATCACATTGATGGTCACATTTGTCGATGCTCGTAAACCTCCAGTATCAATTGCAAGAAGACCCAAATTATGAACGGGTGTAAGTTCATAATTAAGTGAATTTCCTTTCAAACTAATTGAGACACCATAAAGTCCACCATCTTGATTAATTGGTGAACTATGAACAGTAAACATGGAACAAGCTTCCGGAGTAGATTGAGAGTCACAGGAAACTTCAATCTGTGAATTCCGCCCTGAATCAGAATCGGAGACACGAATTCCTTCAATTACCGTTGTGAACAATCTGGTTGATTCACTGACGGAAAATTTATACGGAGCCCCAACCCAAACGGGCGGATTATCATTATCATCGATCACCTTAATCTCCCGTTTAATGGACAAAGTACTTCCAGTCGATGAATCGTCGACGATTGTTATGATTACGTCAAGAGTTGATTCGGTTTCACGGTCAAGTGGACGAATGAGAGTGACCACACCTGAATCTTTGGCCACACTAAACGAGTCTCCTGAAATGTAATACGATAAACGACCTCGACCTGGATTATTGGCCTTTAACTGGTAAACAACCGAACCAACTTTTGTACTTTCGGGTAAAGTGAAGCCCAACATGTCCCCACCGGGTAAAAAAACGGCTCTCTGTCCATCGACGGCTAATGAAAAAAGAGACCAATCAAAACAATTAATCAATTCGTTGATTACTTTAACCAAAACACAAAAAAAAACTTCCAACTAATTAATCAACTTCAAACTTTAAATTCACTTCAACTAATTAATTCTCACACACATTTAATTGCCTTTTGTTTTTTTCTTCCAAGACAATCACAATTAACACGCTGTTCAATTTAAAGTTGACCATAAATAGATCATAATTAAGGTTGGAATACAAATTACTACTCTGAATAATTAACTATTCATGTTAATTGCTAATCCTTTTTCAATGTTCAAACAGGTTAATTAAGTTGTTATAATTTTCTTATCAAATCCTATTAGGTGATTTGATGGTTAATCTTTATTTAGTTTATTGGTTAATTTTGGTTTAATTTAACTGTTCATGACCCAAAATATTAACTTTAAATTGTAACAATTGATCAGTTGTTTACTTTTTTTTTCTTGTCCTTCTAAATCTTGATTCATCTTTCTGTTCATTGACAATTTATCACCTTTGATTGTTGATTGAAGTATTTAGGTAACCTTTATCAGCTTCAATTGTTATAATCATGATCACGATTATGGTTGATCAGTGATAGTCAACTTTTGTTATCAAGTATTTTTCAGCATCAATTAACTTAATTCAGTATCAAGAAGGAAAAAAAAAGATTCATCTGATTGAGAAGAGTAAAAAAAATTAAGGTTTCATGATGAATTGATAGTCCAACAATTATGTTTCACTGAATTGTAATCAAGCTTCACAATTAGAGTTAATTTTTTATATTGGAATTGATTTTTTTTTCTCATCAACCCTACAAACCCAGATGATCATCTTGATTTTTTTTCCTTCTCAATTTGATTCTATTAATTGATCAGATTTTCTAATACAATCAAACTCAATTTAGAACTGAAAATAATCGTTATTACAAATGTAAGATTATCTCTCGTTGGAATCATAAACTTCTCGGAACAATTAAGGATAGAATTGAATGTTCCTGTTTTACTAATCAAAATTTCTCAACACAGGGAACAATTAACATGACACTTACCTTGAATTAAAGGTAAAAAGTTGATTAAAATTGAGAACAATAGTAAACAAGGAATGGATAAGATTCTCATTGTATTAAATTCACTGGTGGGTGAAGATGAAGATGGTTGAACCATCATAGGTTCTCAATTGTTGTTAACCTTTTAATCCAATGGATGAAACATTAAAGACACATAAATAATGAATTGATTACATTTACATTACAATTTAGCCTATCCCAAAACACGTACACAAAATACACAGAAAAAAAAACAGGATCAATAATGAAATTTCAGTTGGTCGGTTCCTGGAAAGGTAACTGGTCAGACCAGTATCATGACTGATAGTCCAGTTTAACTGGAATTCGATAAGTCGGCTTACTTTTAATTCTCACGCTCCCTCTACAGTCGGCTATCAAAAAGAATTCCAATTAAAATGATCCAACAATTAGGCGATTAAATTGTTCCAATAAATTTGACCATTTCGATCAACGAACAGCAACAAAGAAACAAAGTTCGTAAAAACTTTTAACTCTCGATGAAAGTAAAAAAAACAAAGAAAAGAGAAAAATTGACATTTCTAAATCATCGAAAACTGATCATCACAATTTAATAGAAAATTTTACTTTGTTACCTTGATTTTTTGTTCTGCAGATTTTCTTGATTGTCTTCAATTTAGAAACTGAATTAAAGTTTTGAGATTTTTTTTCTCTTTCGATATATCGATTGTCCCATCGAACGATAATCGATCCATCAAACGGAAGACACATGCGTCCTTGGTTCCGGTTTAGAAATTAAGGTTGAAGAGGTTAACTTGAGCTCTTTTAATTGTGACAATTTGCTCTTAATTGTTAGTTCTTAATTTAATTTCTTCACAGATTTAGTGTTAAATTGTGCTCCAATCATCATGAGTAAGTATTTGAAGGAACTTTGATTGTTTTAGTGTTTTAAATTGATTATATTGATTGATTTCCTTTTAGGTTTTTCTTTTCTCTTTTTTATCTTTCAACTGTGATTGAGTTTAATTCTTTTTTTCCTTTTTGTCCTTATGTTGTCCTTTCTCTTGATTATGATGTTGATGATGATGATGATGAGCTTAATTATGATTTTTTTTCTTGTTTCATTTGTTTTTCTTTCTGTTTCTTTTTATTCTTTTCAGGTAAGGATAGTCAAACTTATAGCTGTGAATATGGTTCTGCCAAATTCTATGCCCTCTGTGGTATTGGGGGTGTTATCAGTTGTGGTTTAACTCACACTGCTGTTGTACCTCTTGATCTGGTCAAATGTAGAATTCAAACTAACCCAGATAAATACAAGTCTATTGTAAATGGGTTCAAAATTTCAGTTAAAGAGGAAGGACTTCGTGGTTTGACCAGAGGTTGGGCACCAACTGCTATTGGTTATTCTATGCAAGGTCTTGGTAAATTTGGTTTCTACGAACTTTTCAAGAATGTTTATAGCAATGCTTTAGGAGAAGAGCTTTCATACACTTGGAGAACGTCTCTTTATTTAGCTGCTAGTGCTTCAGCTGAGTTCTTTGCCGATATTGCTCTTTGTCCCATGGAAGCTGCTAAAGTTCGTATTCAAACTTTACCTGGCTGTCCAAGTCAACTTAGAGTTGTTGCTCCAATGATTTTAAAACAAGAAGGTATTGGAGGTTTTTACAAGGGTCTATCTCCACTTTGGATGAGACAGATTCCTTACACTATGATGAAATTTGCTTGTTTCGAGCGAACTGTTGAAGCCATTTACGCTAATCTTGTACCCAAACCCCGAGACCAATGTACTAAGGGAGAGCAATTGATTGTGACATTTGCTGCTGGTTATATTGGTAAGTATTATGATTAGAGAAACACTGAGTTGATATTGACCTTGATTTGACCTTCTTTTTTTTCAGCTGGTGTTTTCTGTGCAATTGTATCTCATCCTGCTGATACTGTTGTATCTAAATTGAATCAAGAAAAGGGTAGCACTGCTATTCAAGCTGCTAAAAAATTAGGAATGTCTGGTAAGTTTATGACATAACTTTTTCTCACGTTTTTAAGCCTTCGACCCCCTAATTTCATGGGTTGTTGGGTGAGTCAATCGTGATAGATTAAAGGTTCACGTTGAACCCTAAGCTGAGACATTTATTTGTATCCTCTTCTTTTCACATTGTGAACACATTTAGACTAATTATTTTGTCTTGATTATATTTCTCTAGGACTATGGAAAGGTTTGACCCCCAGGATTATCATGATCGGTACCTTGACCGCTCTTCAATGGTTCATCTATGACGCTGTTAAGGTGGTTCTCGCTATTCCTCGACCTCCACCTCCAGCTATGCCCGAAAGCTTGAAACGAAAGCTCGCTGAGAAACAACAGTAATTCTCTCTCTCTCTTCCAATCCTTTCCTCTGTCTTTTAATGTTTCTCTCAGTAAAAGTATATTTAATTTTTGAACTATCTCTCAAAAATATAGTTAACTAATACTACTGTTGATGGTATTGCTAATAGACACCAATCCAATCAAATAGTTGCAATTTAATTTGTATTATTATTGAACCCTTTTTGTTTGATCAAACTGCTTAATTGTTTCTCCAATAACAACAATCAATCATTTAAATCAATATTTAAATTTTCAATTAATGAACAACGATTACAAAATTAATTACGTCAACGACGTTCACGGAAAAAGTAATCAAGATAAAGTACAGATAAACCAACTAACTAATTGGTCTAATTAATTAATCGTGAGCCTGATCAATTGAATAGACTTACAATCCAATATGATTATGGATATGATTCAGAAACAATTAACCAACTCTACTGGCGATGGTATTGATTATGGTCTCAATAGTTTCGGTATGATTAACGTGATTAACTCTGCTGGTGACAATCCAATTGCGAGCAATCAAACGAGTGTAATTCATTCAGTTAATCATCAAGGTGGATCGACCAGTAACTTGGACATTACCTGGGATGAGATTTTCCTTCAAACGCTGGACAATGAACCTTTTTTTGATGATTACCTGGATAAGGAACCGAGTTTATCTCGTCTCGATTTGACTGGTTATCCATATGATGACCCATTGGCCGCTTCATCTTCATCCTCATTGACCTCTTCCTCTTCACCTTCATCTTCATCTTACTCTGATTGTCATTCACCTTTAGCCTCTGGACTCATGGCTTCTCATTGTGGTGATGATGAATTCAACATGGGTTCAAGTGATTATTTGGCCTTGGATGATGATCGGAACTTGTACTTGCAAAAAAGATTACCCAAAACTCGCGATCCCAAACAATAGAGACAAGTATTTAGCACAGAATTAGATTAAACCTATCAGCTGATCAATAGTGACAATTTCAACTTGGAATTTGAATAAGTTTGATTTTTCTCAGACCGAAAGGACGAGAGTATAATATTCACGTGCTGAAGTGTTTCTTTAATCTGAGAAATTTCAAATCAATTCTACACTTGACTCAAAATTTCTCCTTTGAGATCAATTAATTCACTTTAATTCTCTCTAGAAAACTAATCTAAATCAAGAAGACGTGAAAAAGCAAATTGTGACATTTAACCTTCGCTACCAACCGATTCTCTAGTCTATCACCACCACTTCGTGTGTTGGTTGATGAAATTCAATGGATTTTAAACTCTTTCATTGGTTTCGCGTTTCAAATTTCTCGCAAACCAAGAAAATAATTAAGATGAAATTAAACTCATAACTTTAATTAACCGATGTAACTCGCGTATTTCATGACAAACATTCTCGGCATATCGCACAATTTACACTTGTAGACACAAATTTTTCCACCGACAACATCGCCATCACATAGACTAATCGGTTCTCCCTGAATCGGTCTTTCGACAGGCAAATGTCCATGGAAAGGTAACAAAGCAGCAGAATCGATTGAATTGATGAACAAACATTGGATTGTGACGATTAACACAATTAATCCATAAATCTATTGATAATAAAATTTAAGATAAAAAACCAAATTAATTATTGTCACAATTTAATGTTAAACAATCGACTCACTTTGATATTGATCATGTTTGATACGAAAAATTGATTCACAGATAAAACAGACAATTTACTGATTGTTATTACTTAATTTTCTTTCGCTAGATTAGTTAATCATTGAAAAAGATTCACAATTAAATTTGATAAAATTTGCTGACGTGATGGTTAATTTTTTTAGGACATGATGAGAAATCAACTGACCACTAAAACGATGAGTCCAAAAAAAGATACTCAATTTACCTGAAAGCAAAGATCAAGTTTAACCAGAAAAAGTGATTAGTTTAATTGAGAACGAATTTGGAAAGGAAAAAGTTAATTGTAACTAATATAAAGAATACAAAATTAGTATCGATTAAGTGACAATTAATTGACGAACTTGAATCAACCTAATTAACAATCAATAATTGTCCAAGTTGTTGACAATTAAAAGTCTCCTTGTTGTTTACTATCAACAATTAGTAACTTTAATTGATTTGATTTAATATTAAATCTTGTTTGTCTCATTTAAACAGTTAATCATTATAAACAATAAACAATCAATTAGTTAATTAATCAATTAATATCGTTAAGGTTATTCAGCTTGATGCGTCAATTACTAATCATGATTAACTTTTTTTTCACACTTGGTAATGATTACAATTAAATCAACGATTATGAGTGATTAACAATTTGTCACCTATGAGATTAATTTGATTAGCAGAAAAAAATTGAAGGTTGGGTTTCTAAATTATCAACAATTAACACAATTTGAAGTAATAATTAGCAACAATTTGATGATTAATTTTTAGTCAGTTAATTACTGGATCATCTTTGATTTGTCATCTAATAGTCAATGGAATTGTAACTTTGTTAATTGTTAGTTCTTAGAATAGATTCAATTAAAATCGATGACATCAATCAGCAACAATTTATCAATCGTTGTAACAATTAACCTTAATGCGAAAAGTGAAAAACAAATCTAATCAAAGTAAATTGTTTACAATTAGAAAAAGAAATCAAATTAATTGTAAACATACCTACGTGATGAGATGCAAATCTAATTGTTAACAATTAGTCTGGGAAAATTACTTATCATTAGAAATTAAATTTGTCTGATCAACAATTAGTCAAATATGATAACAAGGATCACAATTAAACTTAATTGTTACGGAAAAACCTTCAACAGATTCTAATTATAATGTAACTATATTTACTCATTATAAAGAAAGTTAATTATAATGTCGATACATTTGCAATTAAATTTGACAAATCAATCAATTAATTACACATTTATGATGATTATGATTAATAATTAATGAGAAAATGATTAACTTTTGATTAGATTAACAAGAAGGAAATTATTTTAATTGTGTTTACCAGAAACGGTATCAATAGTAATTAGAATTACTTTGTTTACCATTTAGCTTTAACATAGAGAGAAATTGATTAGTAGTTTATCAACAATTAATTTAATCGTAATAATCAATTGATTAGTAGAAGAGAAATCAACGAAAATAGACAGAGAAATAGACAGAGAACAAGAAAAAGAGAGACGATCAAGTGAGTGAGAGAAAAATATAAAAATCATTTTCTCTTCAACGAATCAAGTGAATGTCACATTTTCCTTGGAGACTTTGAGTTTGCTAATTGATTTGATTTTTTGATTAATTGTCTTCATCTTTAAGAATTAATTACTCTTTGATTGTTGTTCTTTGAAGGTGTTGAGTTAATTTGGATTCGTTTTAATTGTGATAATCAATGACAACCATTAAAGATCAACATCAAATGCCTAATCCCAAATGGATCATCTTTTGTTGCTAATCTGTAAAGTGGTCAACACATTTTGTGACTATAAGTGTCTTAATTGTTCAAGTGATTTATTGTTAATAAGAACGTTTAAATTGACTAAAAGGTAACATTTAATTGTCATCATTGTTATTTAATTGTTACAATCTAATTATCATCAACAATTTACATCAAAAGGAAACCAAAATAACATCAAATTTTTGAAAGAAGAAAAAATTGTCTTGGCCCATTAGTCATTCGACTCCATTTTGATTTTCACTTTTTTTCTATTCTCTTTTCAATCATCATCGTCATCGCCTTTAAAACTCTTTCTTCTTTGTGTTTAAATCAGTGATTTCTTTTTACTGTCAATCAGATGCCAGTTTACGCTGCTATCAGTCGATCAAGGAAACGAAGTCAGGAACGGAAACTGTCCCTTAGTTCCTGTTCCTCTGAGTCTTCATCTATTTCCTCAAGTGAAATTGATATAAAGGTGGATCAGAATGTGATCTTTGTGGATTATCACTTAAATCGGTCAAACAACATTACATTTGTGGACATAATTTTCACATCGATTGTATTTGGAGATACAAAAGATTAGCCCCCAGTAACCATGAGTATTGTCCAGTTTGTGGTATTCATCATCCACCAAAAACAATTAGAAATTACTAATTATCATCCTCATCACCATCATCATCGTTGGGTCATCAATATTTATCCACATCTCATACTTGCGACAATTTAAATCTAATTGTTTGCCTCTTGCTCTCTGTCTCTCATTATCCATCAAAAATCATTGTAATTATTTAATCGATCATAACAAAGTCACAGATCATGATTAATACCAATCAATACGAATATAAAATACAACTAAATCAATCAAAACAGCTCAAAACAATTAAATTGTAATCGAAACAAAAAACACGCTGATTAAACAAGTGTATCTTTGTATTATAATCATCACAATCAAAAATCAAATTGTCATTATCTCAAATTAATCTGTAAAAACGTACAAATCAACGGGAAACAATTTTGTTTTTTTTTCTAATTATCGACACAATTAAAATTAGATCAATGAATTGAACTAATTAACCTCAATCAGAAAAAAATAACTAAGAGATTAATTTAAATCTAATCAAAGCCTTGGAGTTACAATTATCAAATCAAATTGTTAATTCAACTGTCAACATTTCGATTGTTTGGAAAAAGTGATAATTTAAATTGTTTACAATCGCAAACAAAATTGTAGATCAACAATCAATTGATAGTGACCAGTTTTGGTGACGTTAATTGTAATCGTGATCATAATCATGATAACAATTAACTAATAGCCAGAAACGGATCTCATTTAGTTTTGTTAACTATTATAATCAATTGGAAACAACAAAAACCAAACAATTTGATTAGATTGTAGTTAACCAAATGATCAAAAGTGATAGAATTATCCTGAAAGAAACATTAATTAATCAAATTGCTGTTAATTGTTGCCTGTTACTAGGGAAAAATCAACATAATTAACAATCAAAATGCGATCTAATTAAAGCTTAGAAAACGAGTGAGTTTCCATTTCCAAATGAAAAATTATTAGAAAACTAATCAAATGATTGGTTAACTAATCAGTTATTAAGAATTGAAATAATTAACAATAAAAATGAAGATTATTTTTAATTATCAACAATTAGATTGACTCGAAAACAATTTAAAATTAGTTAGTTTTTCCTCTGATAGATGTCGCGGTTTTCACATTCGTTGACGTAAATGAAATTAAATTTAAACATGATTATGATTGTAAACAATTAGCAATTACAGTTAAATCATTTAAACTTACGCACAATTTAAAAATATCAAGTATATCATGAAAATCTGATGGAAGATAATCTGACAATGTTGACTGATCTAATTGCGAATCCACGACGAAATTGTGTACTAAGCTTCTCGATTACTTAATCGTCACGAAAAAAAAGTTAATCAAACATAAGATTAAATTGTTAATCTTATTGAAAATCTTAACAAAGATGAACAACAATCTTATATAAAATTAATAATCAGTAACCTAATCATCCACAATTATGATTAGCCAAATGATGCGATTACCAAACAATATCCAAAAAAAAAGTTGATTACATCTCATAGAAGTTAAATAATTGATAAATTGCAGATTCACGTTAACAGACAATTTAATTACAAGTTAGCAATTTAATCGTAAAGTTCAATGTCATTGATGTTGAAAACCACAATGGAAAACCAAAAATGAAAACATTGAATCAAATTCGTTGGAAGAAAAAAAAACCAACAACAGTTACAATTACAACTAATTAACCATCACAACGAAAGTCTCAATGAATCCAATGATCAATTTGAAATAGAATATAATTTAAAGAAAAGAAATTGAATTGAATTGAAATTTAAAATTCGATTCTAATCAACAACAATTAACTTGCATTCGAAATGGGCTGGGCTTAGAACACCCTGTATACCGGAATCGATGTTTTCTCTCAGTTGATTCACTTGATTTCCAATTGGAGTCTGAGTGTTGGTGTTTCTCTTGGTTTGGCTTTTATTTTCCTCTTTTCTTCAACCGGTTAACAAAATAATCTTTGTCAATTTAATATCCGTGAAAGATAATCAACTAATCAACTTTAATCTAATCAGCAAACGAGTAATTAACAAAAGAATAATTAATTTGAATCAATATTCTTCCATCAGTGACAACAAATTTTCATCTTTAACCAGGAAAAAGATACCAGACAATTTGTGTTTACATTTTCTCTTCTCTTTATATTGTTTCTTTTTTCTTCTCTTTTCAATTTCTTCTATTCTCTTTTTCACCAACACAATGATTAGTTAACTACCCTTAATTACTGTTAAATCATTTTAAATCATTTTAATTCTATTCCCAATATTGGTTGACTTTGTTTTCTTTTTCCATTTTCTGGTTAACCGTTTCTTTCTATATTCCCACTTGTACCTCTTTCTCTTTCTCTTTCTCTTTCTTTGTCTCTCTCTCTCTCTCTCTTACTCTTTCCATTAACCGTTAATCATCAATAGCCAAATATGAGGATCTCTTTGGCTCTATTTAAAGATATTGTCAAAGGTCTTGATTATTATTCTAAATTCAATCCATCACCTCTATCGATTAAACAGCTTCTTGATTTTGGTAAGTAAATTTATCTCCAATAATTAATAAGAAATAACCACAATAATAATGAAAAGATTAACCAAACATCAGATTGAAGATGGAAAAAAACCAGTTCAATTAATAGATGTTGTACTTTTGCCAGGTCAATGTTTCCCTCCTTATTTATCATCTATCTTGTTCCTCATCATCATCAACACCATTATCATCTTCTTTCAGGCCTCTACTTTTTACCAACTTGTCAAGTGTTTGTTTTCGTTAAATTGGTGACAAAATTGATCCACAATCAGTTAGGAAATTGGAAACACACTTTACATGTAACTCCAATGGAGACTCTCAATGTCGTTGTTAATTATTCCTTGTTATTAATTGATCGCCTTGAATTAACTGTTAGTGCTCACTGATTGTTGCTAAATCCTTCCGTCTGCTATTACCAGAAATTACAATTAACTGTAAACAGTTAATTTGTTTTGCTTCCTATTCTTTAACCAATAACAGTTACAATATAAACATTGTCAAGGTTGGATAAAGAAATATCAACAATAACCATAGTTGTTATTAATTTGATTGTGAAACCTAATTATCGTTATTATGATTTCAATTAATTAGTAAATAGATCTATTTGCTTCTATAATCAATTGATTGTTTACCTGAAATGGACCATTTAAATGGAAAGATAATCAATCGTAATGTTGTTGTTTTTGTTATTTTGTTCAGAAAACAACATTTGGATCATTTTGTTTCCCTGAACTTTAATCAAAGTTCAAGCAACAACAATCATGATATGAATCTTTCCAGATGACAATCTAATTGCTGTTACAATTAATATCTAGGGTCTGAAGTTCACAATAATTAATAACCCACCAATCCCACAATTAATTATTTGCCAACAGTAAACAACCAGACTTGGCTCGAGAAGTGTATTGATAAAAACAATCAATTTCCTTGAAAAAACCTCGAATAACCTTTTGTATGATTAACAGAATTATAATAATTGAAGTTTAATATCTAAAATTTACCATGAATGATGATCGGGTAATCATTGGGATTCACCCTAATTGTAATTTTATCTCCTATTGATACAAACATCATCAACATTGATCAACATCAAGGACAATCAATAAATTACTTCTTGTTAGGGAAGCTCAATTTGTAATCTATAAATTTTGTTTCTTCACGAGAAAGGAAGTCGATTTGTTTTAATTGTGATTAGGTAAAGTAACAATCAACCAATTGATTGATCATTTTCTTAATATTATCAACAACATTGTTAGAACACAATTATCAAAGTGTCAAGTAAATTGTTGCAACTCAAATAATTCATATCATGAGAGATTCATGTTACTAATCATCGTCATCATCTCTCTTCATACGTTAACCTCTCTGTCTAATTTACTCTCTCTGGTACTTTCCTTCATCTACGTCACTTTGTTTTTCTCATCATCCTCATCATCATCTGATAGAGTTAATTAATCCATTTTCTCATATTCACTCTTGTCTATTTCAAGAATATAATTAAAATTAGCTTATTGAGATTCAACTTAAACGTGATCAAATTTTGAGTACATCGAGTTAACCTCATCACCATTGGTTATTAATTGATTGGTAATTATCGTCATCTTTTTGATAATCAATAACAAATGTACCGTTAATTTGATTCATATTTTAATTTATTCTTCAAGATAATTAACTCTCATGATAATTGGTGTAAATCTTTTCCACTTTGAGTGTTTTCAATAAAGTTAATTGTTCAATTATCGATCCTGTTTAGGTTGATCAGCAATTTACTGATTGTTTAACTTGAATAACTTTGTTTTCAATTTTAATTATGTAATCACTTGTGACTTGTGGCTAATTGTAGGTAAATTAAATCATCAAGATATTATTATTGTTATTTCTTGATTCCATTAGAAACTTAATCTAATCAATTTTTCTAATTAACTTTTTTTTTCTCTCATCTTTAGGTCGACGAAAATGTGAGAAACGTTCATTCGTCTTCCTCCGGAAGGAATTGCCCGTTCGATTGGCTAATATTATGCAAGAAATTAACTTGTTACCTGATAATTTACTTCGAATGCCTTCGGTCACTTTGGTTCGAAGTTGGTACGAGCGGAGTTTCAGTGAAATTCTAGACTTTGAATCAACCTCTGAGAGCGATATTAAAGTATTAGAAAATTTCTGTGAGACTTTAATTCGAATTCGAAATCGTCACAATACGGTTGTCCAAACAATGGCCCAAGGGGTTTTGGAGATGAAAGAAACACATTCGGTTGACCAAAGTACCGAAAGTTGTATCCAATATTTTCTCCATCGATTCTATATGTGTCGAATTTCAATTCGAATGTTAATCAATCAACACACAACTCTGTTCGGTGCCGATAAACCAGGTCACCCTCGACACATCGGTTGTGTCGACCCAAACTGTGATGTCCACTCGGTGGTTCTTGATGCCTACGAAAATGCCAAGTTTCTTTGTGATCAATATTATCTAAATTCACCGGGTCTCATTGTTGAACAAGTGAACAGTAAGAATCATTGATCAGTCTAACTAATCATCCAAAACAACATTAATTAAACTTTTTCTCTTCCTTCAGCCGCTGGACCCGATTCGCCGATATCCATTGTATATGTACCTTCACATCTTTACACAATATTATTCGAACTATTTAAAAACGCCATGAGAGCGGTGGTGGAAAATACTCCGGACGCTGATTCGCTTCCACCGATTCATGTGATGCTTTGTAAAGGAAAAGAAGATTTATCCATAAAAGTAAATTAACTTTTCCATTTATCGAATTATTTTCTTTGCGTCTTACATCGTCATCGCCGTTTAATCGTTAAAATTTGTCACCTTTTCTTTGTAATTAGATGAGTGATCGTGGCGGTGGTATACCAAGATCGTTGAGCGATTGTCTATTTAATTACATGTACTCAACTGCCCCTCGTCCATCGGTCTCTGGGTTTGGCTCTGCTCCTTTAGCGGGATTCGGTTATGGACTTCCGCTTTCTCGACTCTATGCCCGTTATCTTCATGGTGATCTGCTGGTCAATTCATTTGAAGGCTATGGTACCGACGCAATAACTTACCTCAAGGTTTTGTCCAGTGAGGCCAATGAATTATTACCGATATTTAATAAAACCTCAACCAAACATTATCGAGCTGCAATTGGTAATCATGACTGGAGCTCTGGATTTTCATCAAACTCCTCCAATAATCACAATCATCATAATCATCATCATCAAAATAATAATAACAATAACAATAAGAACAAAAAAAGTGATGATAACAATTCATCAACAACCAACAGTAATAATCAAGTTAATGCTGCAACCAATAGTTCAATTGGTTAACGAAAAGTTAAAACAAATAATTTAGAAAAGTGTTAATTGTTAATCATAATGGTAAAGAAGAAAACTTTCTACCATAACCAATTTGTTGATTAATGTTTTTTTTTCAATGTAATTTGCAACCAATTTTGTTTATGACTTGATAATTGTAGACATTGGTTTTAATGTTATTGTTATTTACCAACTTTTTTAAAAGCAAAAAAAAATCTCTCATGTTAATTATAGTTGTAATCGAAATTGAAACAATACGATAATTAAACTGTTTTCACTTAAATACTCAATGAAATACATTTATTATCAAAATAGGAGAATTAATAACAGAACAATGGTAGTTATCAAGGTAGAGTGGATTACTTTTTCTTTTGCATTCCATAAAGGTTTCCTTTCAATAGATTAGAATAAGCCAATTGGAATTTATTAATATCCTTTGAATGGATAACTGTACTTATCTTTTTTTTACCAATTTTTGCACGAACAAGACACAGATGATCACCAGTTGAAGAAGATCCCTCATCCTTATTACTGGCGGCGGTTTTGTTGGCGTGGCTTTTAGGCTTATCCACTCCCGAATATCTTTTCATTGTGATGTAAACAGAATTACCATTGTTACGAGCGATGTTGAACATGTTCGATAATTCACTAAGGAAAGGCTCATTTTCTAAACGATTCATAATTTACAAACAATTAACAACCCAATCACCTGTAATTATCATCAAGAAAAAAAAATCTCTTCAATTTAATTGTCAACATTTGGAATTGAGCAAAAAATATCCGATCCAAGATTCACTTACAATCAATATCGATACTCTTACAATTTAACCGCTTCTTTTGAATTTCTTTTTCTATAATTGTATTTACTCAATTGTTGATTGTTGACAAAACAATTTAAGGTTAACAATAAAGGTTCTTGGATAAATTGGTCTGTAATTAATCAATACAATTGTAATCCATTAGGGTGATACACATTTTGACCATTTTATAAGAAGCAATTTGTTATTAACTAACTGAAACCAAATTGACAAGATGATTGAACAATTTAAATTTAAGTTGATTTAAGTGATTTAAGGTAAGTCCTTTTGTAAATTAATCTTTGTGTACATTTTAATATCATCATCTAAGGTCCAATGTGTATTTAAATCAATCTAAATAATGTTAATTTCCTCTAGATTGTTATGGTTTGATCATTTATTCAAATTCCTTTGATTTTCCTTGGCTTCTTCAATTTTGAATTTCTCGTAATTATATTTACGATCAAAGTGAAAAACCTAAATGATGAAAGAGAGAAAGAGAGAGGAAAAAAAGGACAATCAGATGAGTTGAATTGTAAATTGAAAGAAAAAGAAAATAATTAACAGTTAATCAGTGAAAATGGTAAACAAAGTAAAAAGAAACTCACCCAAACCTTTGGACAAGAATCAGTGAAAATTTTTCTCAAATCATCACAATTAATTTTCTTATTTGGATCATCAATAAAATCATTGGAATCCTTACACTTCCAGTAATTGTCTCTAGCACTGTAACATTTTAATCGATCTTCCCGAGTGGGTGGAGGTGACATGATTAATTAGAAAATCAATGGAATCACAATTAACAGAAATTCAGTTTAAAACCAAAACAAGAAACAAAAAAAAAACTCTCACGTGGTGTCAACTCATATGGTAGAAAATGTAAACAAACGGATCATCGAGTAACTAGAATTTTCTTTCATTTGTTTTTCTTTAATTGTAACAACCAATTAATTAATTATTCTTTTCTTTTTTGATTCTCTATTATTACTAATTGTTCCAATGTCAAATCACTTCAAGAAAGATCCAGCCATTGAAAGAAAGGAGGCCGAGGAGGAAGAAGATGATCCAGTTACATTAGCCATCAAAAGAACTGGATGTTTACAATTACATTTTGATGTTCAGGTGAGAAGTTAATTGTTTATGATTAGCTGACAATTCTAATTGTGATTTTAATCTTCTTCTTCTAATTAGGAATGTATCTTTGAGACAAAAGACTGGAGGGCTTGTAAGCAACAAGTTGCTTCGTTCAAAAAGTGTATGACTGATTATCAAAATCGATCACAAAAATTGGAGAATCAACAATGACAATTAAATCGTAATTAAACTTGGATTGTTGTTCGTTGCGAGTTAAATTTTGATTAGAATGTTGAAATTGTCAGTTAACCTGATCATGAATCGTTTAACTAATCACAATTTGATTCTCTGCGAATTGTAATCTGGTCTAGTTTTTAATTACTTAGGTTGAAAAGTTTTCTGATCATCGCTGTTAATTGTTGATCAGTGATTTCTCAATTTTGTTATTGATAATGATAATTTAAATGTCTCATGTTGATTGGCAATTAAAGGCAAAAGGTTTCACTTGAGTACAAAAATTTAATTTCCAGTATAAAGATAATTGTTATAATTGAATTAAATTATTTCATTGAATAAAAAAAACAGAGAGCAGTTGGTTAATTGTTGAGAGAGTTAATCAATTGATTTGAAATGATTGATAAAACTTGAACAGAAAATAATAGTAGATTAATTGTAATCAATGAACCTTGGGGTTGATTGTGATTACAATTTAGTCAATTGTTTGTCTTTTTTTCACCAAATCAATTTCTCGATTCATCTAATCCTGGTTAGCAATTAAAACAAATGATGACAACAAATAGGAAAAAGGCAAAGGATAATCAATGAATAATCATGATTAATCAATCAACTAATTAAACTGTGTTAATTAGTGATTAGTGGGAACAAAAAAAAATATCAACTAATCAACATTAATCATGATTTGGTAAAACAAAAAAAAAACATTGATACAAATAAAAAAGAAACGTTAATTGTAGTGATTAATTTAACTCTCTATCTCTCATTAAAATTAGGAATTAAATATTGGCGATAATTTGAAATTTTTGATTAATTTGTTGGTGAGTTAATTGTTGGGCTAATCAAGTTGATTATGAATCGACAATTTCAATTATTAAGTCAACGTGATTGCAGGTGGTTGTTGATTAACTTTGACATCGTAATTAATTTGTTTCTTGATTAATTAATGGAAAAAAAATGGAGAGAGAGAGAGAGAGAGTAAACAATCAACAATTAACTATTACAATTAAGATGTAGTCACTTAATAATCTATCACGAAGTGATAACAATTAGTGAGATTGAGAAAATGAATGTATAAAAAAATGTATTGTGATGATAATTAAGGAAATAATTAAAATTAATCAACGGAACAGTTTGATTTACATAAAGAGAGTGTGAGACAAATTGATACACAGAAATTGATTTAAGTTAATTGTGATTTTGGCTGATTGATTGTGAAGGTAAATGTTTGGCAAAAATTTCAATTGATTCCAGCAATTGAAGAAATAAAGTTAATTGTAATTAAAGTCAACAAGATTTCTCGTCTTGGTGACATTTTGGTTCATTTTTAATGATAACTCTTTGATAATTATCACCGATATTGGAACTGACTGACCCATGGCCCATCGGCCCGACAACAACTGAAGTGGCCTGCGAAGTAGCGGTAAAATTATTCGTTGAGTTAATTGATTGTCCATCGTTTGAATTGTTACCATTTTCTTGAATAATTGTTCCCGAAGGTGGTGAATTAGCTGCTGCTGTTGCCGATGCTGCCGCAGTGACCGCAGCATTGGCCGGTCGGCGTCCACATCGACCCTTCCGTTGAGGTACCATTTGATATCGACTCACCTCTTCGGGAAAATCTTTCCAATGGGTCTTCAGATGTTTCGTTAAATGGTCTGACCTTGAGAATCGACGTTGACATATACCACAAGCGTAAGGTTTGTGACCTGTGTGAGACCTTCCATGTCGAGAGAGCTCATCCGATCGGCTGAATTTCCAGTTACACTTTGGCCATTTACATACGAACGGTTTCTCGCCGGTGTGCCGACGATGGTGGGTTTTAAGGTGAGATGATTTTGAGTACTTTTTGTCGCAACCTTCATAAGTACAGACATAAATTTTTTCGTCCGACGAGTTGTCATTCCCGTTGGAAGCGGCAGCGGTGGTGCTTGTCCGTGGAGGGGTAATTACACCAGTGGTGGCAATTGAGATGTGTGGGGTTAAAGATGCAGTTGAAGATGATAAAGGTGAGGATGATGAGAGTGAAGAAGATGGTGAAGAGGAAAGTGATGAAGATGAAGATGAGTATGAGTTGGAGGCTCGACCCCGACGTCCTTGACCTCTCTTACTGGGCACTGATGAGATGGGCTGAGATCCTGATCGGACAACTGAACCTTTACCAAGGACAGTTACAGTTTGTGCTGATTGAGGTTCTTGGTGTTTGATTAACTCACTTGAATTAATCAATTGATTAGTGGCCACCGCATGTGCGTACATTATACTGGAAACTGGTGGTAAAGTCCCAGTGATCACTCTTGGTCCATTTCTAGTGCGACAATTAACTAATTGCTCGTCGACTCTTCTCTTACCAATTGGCAGGGGGGTTGATAATTCTTGGTAAGTTGTTGTTGATGCGGAAGTCAACAAATGAGTATCATTGGAACTATCGGAATTAATTGTATTACCATTAATTGGATAATGATGATTATCATTGATCATCGGTGGATTGTAAATTGATTGTGATACATGATTAGTGTTGCTTTGATCACTATTACAATAACCATTAACCAAAGTGTAATTTGAACAGTCCATTGATCCTTGACCATGATTTTCATTGTTAATTGTGTATACATGATGATTGTAAAGATTACTATTACCAAAATTAATATGATTACTATTAATTGGTGTGGTTGAAGTAAAGTTACAATTAGCATCAGGGTGATGATGATTATGGTCACAATACAAATTATCACCTCGACCAAAGGCTCTCGAAAGGTTTTCCAGGTCAACCCCAAGCACAACAAGATCCCGATCATCATCCAAGGCCAAATAATCACCTGAACCCATGTTGAATTCATCATCACCACAATGAGAAGCCATGAGTCCAGAGGCTAAAGGTGAATGACAATCAGAGTAAGATGAAGATGAAGGTGAAGAGGAAGAGGTCAATGAGGATGAAGATGAAGCGGCCAATGGGTCATCATATGGATAACCAGTCAAATCGAGACGAGATAAACTCGGTTCCTTATCCAGGTAATCATCAAAAAAAGGTTCATTGTCCAGCGTTTGAAGGAAAATCTCATCCCAGGTAATGTCCAAGTTACTGGTCGATCCACCTTGATGATTAACTGAATGAATTACACTCGTTTGATTGCTCGCAATTGGATTGTCACCAGCAGAGTTAATCACGTTAATCATACCGAAACTATTGAGACCATAATCAATACCATCGCCAGTAGAGTTGGTTAATTGTTTCTGAATCATATCCATAATCATATTGGATTGTAAGTCTATTCAATTGATCAGACTCACGAGTAACAATTAGTTAATTGGTCTATCCGTACTTTATCCTGGTTACTTTTTCCCTTTCCGTGAACGTCGTTGACGTAATTAATTTTGTAATCGTTGTTGACGCCGTTGTTAACAATTTAAATTGTTTTGATCTTTTCACTCGATGGTCAATGGTCACCGGTAATCGTTTGTTGATTGATTGAAATTTAAATATTTGTTTAAATGATTGATTGTTGTTATTGGAGAAACAATTAAGCAATTTGATCAAACAAAAAGGATTCAAGAAATAATAATACAAATTAAATTGCAACTAATTGATTGGATTGGTGTCTATTAGCAATAACATCAACACCAATTGGATGAATACACTTGGATGTTTAATATTATTATGATGATTAGTTTAATTGTCGATAATAATATTAAGTTAATTAACTTATTGGAGGATGGCCAGAGAGAGAGAGAAAGAGAGTGAGAGAGAGAAAAAGTAAGAGCAATTTAAAGATGTAACTGAAAACAAAAGTAACTGTACTTCAGAAATTGTTAGTTAACTAAATTGTTGAGAAATAATTCAAAAATTAAATATACTTGTAGTGTGAGAAACATTAAAAGACAGAGAAAAGGATAGAGAGAGAGAGAGAGAGAGAGAGAGACCGAGGGAGGGAGGGAGATGATGACAAAGGCACAATGTGAACAAAGTGAGATTATGATGAAAACAAACAATCAAATTAACTAAATAGTAAGATGATTATTGTTGTACTGGTTCACGGTAAATGTTAATCTAAGACAATTGAATTCCCAGTTGATTAACTTGATTCTCTTTCATCATCTCTCTCTCTCTCTCTCTCCCCGAAGTCATTGTATTGGCTCTTTGACAGAATCACGTGGTACGTGTTAGTCTAATATCTTTTTCCATTTTTTTTCTCTGTCTTTTATCTGTCTTCCTGTTTTGTCATCTTCTCTCAATCTCTCACTTTCCTTTCTCTGCCCCTCTCATTCTCTCTCTCTCTCTCTCTCTCTCTCTCTCTCTCTCTCTCTCTCTATTTAATTGACAATTTACATGAAAACAATGATGAAATTATGGTTATCATCATCATCATTTTCATCCCCTTTTTGTTTAGATTTACATTGATTAGTTAATTACCATTGAGGCTATTAATCAATTTTCACAATTGAAATCAAATCCGAATAAGTTTTCATCTTTTAATTGTCAACAATTTTGACCAATTTGATTATCCATATTGGTTTTTCTTTGATTTTCACTTTAAAACAATCAGTTAATTGTTATAATTTGTTTTAGACTTACAATCAATTTCACCCCAACCTTTGATTTTTTATCTAATATTTAACTGATTCAGTTTAATTGTATTCAATCAATAGTGATTACGATTAATCGTTGTTGTCGTTGATTAATTATTAATATTAATCATCTTGTTCTCACTTTTGTTTAATTATAAACAATTAACAATATAATTGTGTCCAAATAATTGCGCTCATTGTAAACAATTAATATGGGAGTTACTTTGAAGGACAGTTTGATAACTTAATTGTAATTAAAAAAATAAAGGTATGAAATTGCTATGATTAAAAACTACATGTATATCCAAAAGTTAACTGTAACAATTAACTTAATTTTGCATATCAGAGGAGCCAATTTAATATTGTCGATTGATCAACTAATCAACTTTTTTTTACTGATTCTGATCAATTGTTGTACTTGAAAATGAACCAACAATTTATTAATAACTATTCAAATTGTGATTAATTTAGTTTTTTTTTTACTTTTAATCAGATTAGTAAAATAATATTACAACAACAATCAAATTTGATTGTTAATAGTAAGAAATAATTAACTTAATTCATAGGAAAAAAACTTGAAGCCAATTAACAATTTCCTGATTAACCGGATGAAAATCATCACAATTAACCAAATGACCGTAACAATTAAAGGTTTCTCGTGTTTCAACCTTACTTCAAATTGTTAACAATTAGTTAACTGTAATCATAAATCAACTTCAATTTGATTAAATTTAATCATAACCGTGTTGGTGGTACAATCAATTTCAACTCCCAAGACAATTAAACTAATAATATAACAATTGTTATTAATTAAGGAATAAAAAAATCACTGAGAAAATCAAAACTTTAATCCACTGATTGTTGTTAATTGTAATAATTTAATAACTGTTGATAACAATAAATTGTAATGTTTTTTTTATTCATTATTTCAATTAAATCAAATGAACGGAAATTGATTTAATAGCGATCATCATATCGATGATTACAATCAATTAATAAGTATTGATCATTCAATTAATTTACATTGGGATCAAATTGTTATGATTAAACTAATTTTATCTCAATCGCTTATATAAATTATTTAATTATAAATTGATTAGGCTGATTAATAATTAGCTTTTGTTAATTGGTGGTTAATTATTAAACAGAAAAGTAAAGTTGTAAAGTTTAATTGTGGTGAAACTTTGATCAGGAATTTTTGAGACAATTAACTGATTGCTTAGGAAGGGATTTTATTAATTGTTAACAGTAGCAGGGATCAAATTGATTAACTTGATTTGATTGTCGATAAAAACAAAGTGAGGTAACAATTAACTTGTAAACTGTCAAAGGTTTTTCAATGATTGATAATCAATGTTGTCGAGATACGAGAAGTTAATTGTTGATGATCAACTAATTGTGACAAAAAACACACTCGATTTTGTTTCTTTTCATCTCATCAAGATGATGAAGATGATGAGGATGAAAAAGAAAGAGAAGAAAGAGAAATCCTATAAAAAATGATTTTCTTTTCTATCACAATTTAGCTAATTAATCACTTTTAATGCGTCGATATTTTTTGATTGTGATTAACTAATTAGACCTAATCGGTAACCAAATTACTTGATTACGCATAAACAATAATTTAATCAACCGGCAATCAGTTTAATCTTAATTACAATGTAATTAATTGAAATTGATTTGCTAATTTAGAGAGAGAGAGAGATGAAGATATTAATTGTAACAATTAACTTTGGAAAATTTTAATCATCAAAGTTTAGATTTAGTTACTCAAATGATTAAGTTAATTGTTGAACTTAAATTTGATCAATACATTTTTAATCTCAATCAAATAAACTTGGTTAATTTAGTTAATTAATTGTTGTATTGTTTTAACTCACTTTTTGTCCAAATTGTTTTTAATCAACTGATCAATCAATCAGATTAATTGTTATGGTTTATACTCTTGTTACAATTAACTGTTTAGGTAATTAAGTTAATTCAAATTGTATCTTATTTGGTTGATCTTTTTGTTTTCTAATCCAATCAACAATTAAATCTAATTAATTGATTCTTTCTCTTCCTTTAATCTGTAATTACAATTAAATGTTGAATAATAATTAACTTTTGAACTATTAAATATTAGAAATCAGTTGATTAATCAAATTCAAATTTCATTCAATTACCAACAATTAGAATCTCTCCCAATAGTAACATACAAGTTGATTTAATTGTTGATCAATTTTTCTTTCTTTTAATTTGATATTAACCTAATTAAGCTATTGATTAGAAATAATCAAAGGTGAGCTAACTGTTTACAATTAGTTAATTGTTAATTTCCCCAATAAAGATAAAAATAGTTTCTTGTATTAATCAGAATCTTGATTAACTTAAATCACCATAAATAGTAATGTTTTTTTAATTATTACCAATCTAAAGTCAAATGATTAGTTAATTGTTACTCTATTTTCATTTAAATATTTCTTTGAGACTTAAGTTTATATCTAAGGATTGGTAATTAGATTAATTCATCGACAACAATTAACTTTTGATTGTCTCATTCAGTCAATAATGTTAACTGATTTGAAAAGTTTTAATGAAATTTTTCCGTCAGATAATTAAGATAATTGTAACATGAAACAAATCAACAATTAGCTAATTACAAAGTGATGATTGATCATCATTTTTAATTGTGATAAACAAACTCAAGGATAATCAACTATTAACCCTTCACTTTTTTTATATATATAAATTAATTGTTACAATTAAATCAAGGGAATTGTTTGCATTCCAAATTTTCAGGTTTATCCAATTTAGTTAATCAATTGATTTGATTTTGTTTAATCAAAAATTTAGTCAAATGGGAAAATTATTGATTAATTTACCTGCAAATTAATTGTGATTTAGAGGATTCATACTAATCAGCTGATTGAATCTTGTTTATTCTGATAATTACAATTATCTTTGTTATAATTTATGAATGTTTATATTTATATTAGTAATACAGTTAATTGTTGTATTGATTGTCTAATAAATTGTCTCATTATTTGATTAATCTCACTTTGAGGTCCCTTTTGTTTTTGTATCATTTGATTGATAATTGTTTTGGATAATTAGATTTAATCATCAACAAAAACCGGCATCTAAATCAATAATCAAACTAACAAGGGTGAGAGAAATTAAATTAATAAATGTAAATAATAACAATCAACAATTAGAACTGTAGATTTGAAGATTAATTAATTATGCTGATTAGTTGATTTAACTAATTTGGTCTAATTTCCTTTCATTTTAGATTGTCAGTTAATAAAACTAAATCAATTTTAATCTCGACAATGATTAATTGTCATCAGATTTTTAATTTGACTTTAATTGGCAATCATCCCGATCAATGATGATTAAAATAAATCTTATCATCATGATTAACTCATGGGAAAGTATATTAAGTTAATTGTAAGAAATTAAGTTGATTCAAGTGAAGTAAATTTGATCAACGTGTTAATTTAGTTTCAAATGAGTGTTAATTAAAAGTGATTAACTGTTTTCATTTTTTTCGTCTCTTTCTTGATTAGATTGATTTAGTTACCTAGTGTGCAATCAACTAAATCAATGTTAAATTGTTATTATTATTATTATTAATTAAATGATCAACTAAATTCAGTTCAACAAACAATATGTATTGAGTTGACAATCAACAAACAATCAGTTGATAACTGATTGTTTTACTTTTATTGTTTCATTTCATAACAATTAATCTGGCCATGGATTGATTAATTTACTTATATTAATTAAATTATCAATAATGAGATAATTAATTTTAAATCGGAATTGAAAGGTTAATTTAGTTCGATTATTATTAAATAAAAGTTAATTGTTAGTGGTAAATATGAAAGTTAATTTGTTAATCAGGTAAGATCATAGGATCTAATTGGGAATGTATTAGTTTTTTTATCGGGTAAGTAAGTTGATTAGTTTGATTAGTTAGTTAATCAATAATAAACAATGAAAATAAATTAATAAACTCGTACATTGATTATTTATAACAATCATTTGGGAAAAGTTTCCTAATCAAATCAAGGTTAGATTAATTAGTTAAACTGATTTAATCAACCTTTTACCTTTAAATAATTAATCAATTGCTTGTTAATTTCCCTCTTTCTGTTGAAACAATTTAAATCAATCATGAGATGTTTCTTGAAACAAATCAACAACCTAATCAAATCTATAATTAGTAAATTGTAAGGCAATGAACATTGGACTAGAAATTGATCACTGAAAGAAACAATCAATTTGATGATTTGAGAATCAGAAATTTGGAACAATTAAAAAACAAATGATTAATGAATTAAAAGTTTTCGTCCAAATTGTTTGAAAGTTGATTAAGAACAAGTAGAAATGTCAAAGCTAACAATCAACACGTTCTTGTGAATTGGATGAGTTGATTGATCATCGAAGCTAATTGTTGGATGTCCAATGGGTAAAATCAGGATCCAAATCAGTTGATCATATTAACAGAGTTTTAATTGTGTCTTCGGTGCGTTCATGTTAACTTGACTGATTGTTGTTCCAACGAGGTTTTGTTATCAATAACTAACGGGAATTAACCAGAGAGTGAAATAGAATTAAAAAAGAAAGAGAATAGATAAAAATAATTATTAGTAAATTAATTATAGTTTCGTTGTTGGAGGTTGTTGATTATCATGAAAAATTAGTAATTATCATAAGTTTGTTGAGTTAATTAGCAGAATTGATCCTAAAGTAAGACAATCAAACAATGAAAATTAATAATTTTTACCCATTGGACAATAAAAGGAGGAAAATTGTAATCAAATCGATTTCAAACTAACCAAGTAACCATCTTGATTTGTTAATTAACAATTAGGTAAAATTATTAAATCAAAACTGAAAGGAGAACAAAAAAAAGAATCAAGTTAATCAATGATGAACAACAACAACAATTAATTAATTCTTCTCACATGACAATCCTAATAACAACGTAACAATAACAACAAAAGTTTTTTATCAATTCTCGAGGTTGATTAGAGAAAACTAATCAATGATTAATTAATTAGTGGAAACGGTAAATATTTAAGAGAATTTGAATTAACCTCTTCAATGAGATTACTCATTAGGTCAACTGATGACAAAAAGAGAAAAGAACAAAAAAGAAAAAGAAAATCAAAATGTCGGATGAGAAGAAGCGGCAATTTAAGTAAATCAATTAGAATAGAATTTAAATATTCTTTTCTCACAGGAAAAGTGTCACTTATGGGTAAATATTAATTGTAGCGAATCAGTTGATTGTTACAATTAAAACAAGAAGAAATTTGAGAGAAAAAGAAGAAAAAAAAATTACCATTGAGAGATTTTCCTTGTTGGTGATTATCCCTCTTGTTGTAATCCGAGTGTAACTTTGATCCAAAAAAACCAAAACTACTTCATCTTTAATTGCTGTTGTAATCTAAACCGATTAACCAATTAATTTGACATCTCTAGATGCACGATTAGTGATTAGGTGACACACAATTAATTAGAATTGTCAATGTTTGTCCACAATTAAAACATTGACAAGTTACAGAGGTTTACAATTTGTTTCCAATAACAAGTAACACATGTAAAAGGAATCAAATGAAAGAGAGAGAAAGTGAAGAAAATGGTGAACAACAATTAAAAGATTGTAATTGTAAAAGAAGAGAAAATCAATTGTGATATTGTTCATCTTTTCTTCAAACAGTAATTGACCTTTCAACCTAATCACAATTAAGATCAACAATGAGAAACCGAATCACAATTGTTACTCTAATTGTTTACTCTCTATCATGTAAGATCATTCAATCAGATGGCAGCAGAAAAGTTTCTTTCTTTTTCTCTTTCTTTTTTCATTTTCTTTTTTTTCTTTGTTTCTTTTTGTTTCTTGCTTATCAAATTGTCTTGTCAATGATTAATTGTTCGGCTTCTGTGTTAATTGTTGATAATATTTATCATCATCTTCTCTTCATCACTCACCAGTATCTCTCTTAATTACCTTGTTTCTTGTTGTTCTCATTGTTACCTGTGAATTACAAGTAATCATTTTCTAATTGTTTTCTTGATTTCAATTTCATTTCTTCCTGAAAAGGTTTTCCTATTTGTTGGTCTATTGGGTTGATTAAGATTTGGAATCTTGATTCTAATCGTGATGAAAGTAATCAATGGCTTTGGAATGGTAAATTGTGTCCAAAGGATAGGATCATCTATCCTGACCAGTCAATCATTTATGTTGACAAATTGCTTCCAAATCAACAAATTGTAAGTCTATTGGTGATTTGTTTTTCTCTTGCTTCATGATTGATTGTTTTCTTTTGTTTTTATTTTCCAAAGGTTTTACCTAATAACGGAGAGATCATTCTAGATGATAACTTTGATCTGTCTCAAGTTGATGATACAATTATATCTAATTGTCAACCTGTTGGTAAGTATATTGCTAATTATTTCTGTAATTATGTTTCTTCTTGTCTATTCATTGTGATCCTCTAACACTCTTGACACTTTTACAATAGTCTAAGAGGAAAACTAGGTAACAAAGATTCAATAGAGACAAATGGATAAAGGAAAATTGATTGATTGGTACAAGTGATGACAGAAAATCAGATTGATCAAACGTTTAGATGATAACACATGAAATGATTATTATTTATTCCTGTTAATTAGCAACTTCCATGAGCAATAATATCTTAAATAACTCGTGAGAATCTAAGAGGTGATAGAAAATCTCTTATTTCCGTTTTAAATTATCATCTGACTTTTTCTATTATCATTTTAATCACTTCTCATCTAATTCTGGTGACTATTTTTGTTCAATTTTCTGTATCACATATCATATGCGTCTAATTAAGCAAATTGTTTTCTCATCACATAGACCGGAGGTTTAATTTAGTTTACGGAGACTGGATGGATCCCAATCGATGGAATCAATCAGTGGCAGGAACTTTAATTAATGGAGCCTGGATTAATAATCCAATTCCTCATGTTGACCGAGTTCCATGTGATCAAGATCGAGTTGTATTTCCAAAAGGATCGACATTCCAAGTCACCGTTAGTTCAATCTTACCTAATTTATTTGTTGGATCAATAGAGATTAACGGAATCCCATTAGATAATCAAGAATTTCAATCATTTGTTAAATCGAAAACAGGTCGCTACCTATTTGATATACCGTTTGATCAAAGTTTAACCATTGGCACTAATCAGATTGATTGTAACACTGGTAATGGTTGTTCTTGTTCACATCGAAGTACAAAATTCGTTAATTGGATGTGCAAAAGAGTTAAATGTAAACCAGTAACTTGTAAAAATCCAATACAACCTGATGGTCACTGTTGTCCATTGTGTGGAGCTTTGATTACATTGGGTGAGATTCCTAATGATTCTGATCTAACCAAGATTCACAATTATCTCAACAAAGTTTGGCTAAAACGATATCCAGGAACTTTGGGATATTCGTCAAGAAATCCAGCAACCAATTCACTCGAAACGATTATCACAGAATTAGAATTGACTGGTCAGTTGGCCGATCGAGCGCAATCTTTATTCAATGAACTAATTAACCACGAATTTGATCCTGGATTCCCTTTTAAATCTATTTCAATTCGTATTTCTGATTTCGTCGGTAACAAATCATCATCATCATCTGTAACTAGTGTGATTATAATCATTGTAATAATTATCTTGATTGTAATTGGATTAACTTTATATCGACGTCATTTTGGTGATACATTTACATCTCTCTGGGAACGATCAGCTTTCGCTAATTCACAATTTACCTTCATTCGATTCCAGGGATTAGATGAATCAGAAAGAGTTGGCTTGGAATTAGGATTAGCTAATCAGCCTCGAACATCATCCGAGGAAATGACAATACAAACAAAAGCATCTTCATCAACTCGATCATCTCTTCAAAAATCAACTTCAGCTCTTTTTTCAATAACCGAGGAAAAAGTTCCAACAGCTGATGAATCAATTAACGAAACTTCAATCGAAGCGACAATAACAACAATTGAAACAAAATCCATTGATTCAGTTGAATTGGAAACTGATTTAGAACCAAGATCAACCCATGATAAAGCCTTACTACTTGATGTTATTTCACTTGAACAAGATTAGATTAATTTCCTTAATTTTTAATCAACTTGAATTGTCTATTTTTGAAACTCACATCAACTAATAATTGACAATAATTATAGTATCACTTAAGTCTTCCTCCCACCGATTTAACCAGCAACCTGTTGATTAGTTAATTAACCTATAAAATGAAAATGGAAACAAAATCAATCTGATTAATTGAAATGATTTAACTCATTTTGTTATAACCTGATTTAACCCTTACATGTGAAATCCATTGATTAAATGGATTGACCAAAATAAATGGCAACAAAATTGATTAATCATTTTTTTTTAATTCAATTGATTGAAACCAATTAATTAAAAAATTTGAGCCAATTGACAAATTTCCTATGAATTAATTGTTGATAAAAATGTGAGATGACTTATTAATTGCTATCAAATGAAACCTTAACTAAACCAATTTACATCATGAAATTTTTTTTTCTATCCTCTAATTATTGTAATGAAGATGATGTTGATTAACTAACTGTCGTTGATTGTAATTGTTTAACTCAAAATGAATAATTTAATTCATTTATCAGTCTTCATTAAGATCCACCAATTTTTCGTGTATATAAATTGATGATCAGAAGAGTCTTCAAATCAGATTAATAGGAAAGTTGATCAATTGAGATTCTCATTTGATTGTCCAATCAAATTAACTTTTTTTCCTCAGTGTTGATTAAAGTGTTTAGATTTAATTATCAACAGTTAACAATCAATATGCAAAGAAACGTTTCATTAATTCTGTTTGTTGTTTGGTTACTTGGAGCAATTACTTTGGTAAGTTAATTGTGTTTAATTAGACTAATTTTCTCCCCCATTGGAATAACAATTAATTGATTAGTGATTAACTGTTAATCAATGTTCAGGTTAATTCAAGACCTTATGAAAACGATGCAAGGATAATCCAGTTACCAATTGATTGGCCTTCCAATCAAATTCAAAGTAAAGGTAAGATGATTTGATTTAATTATCCATTGATTGTCAACCCTTTAACTATTCAACCTTTCTTCTCTCTCTCTCTCACTCACTAATTAACAATTGATTTGATTACAATTAAAGGCGATCCTATTTGGCAATATTATCCATCTAAACAAAATCAATTGTTTGGTTACGACGGATTCCCGATGGTCAGTGGGGAGAAATCAAAGAAAAATAAGATTGACCCTTTAAATGGTTTGGTGATGGGGTAACAATTCAAATCACTTTGGGTGTGGGCAAGGTAATAGTTGACAATTAAAGTAGAAAATAATTAGTTAATTGTTGTTTGAGAGACAAACAAAAGTTATATTATTGTTGTTGTATATCAAGAGCATAAGGATCAACCTTGATTAACTTAATTATCACCAAGATAACATGAAATTAACTTGATTACAACAAATGATTATTGTTAAACCTTTTTATTACCCTTGATAATTTAACTTTAATCCTTAACTATTATAATATTTTGATTATTATTGAATTAATTGAATTGCGATACAATTAAATTCACATTAACATCTTATCATGAAAGATTTAATTGTAATTCATTCCTAAAAGTTATTTGAATAAACAAATGAAAAAATAATTGAACATTGAACAATTAAGTTTATCAAATTTCTAATTTTTCTCCTAAATCCCAATTGTAACAATCAATTAAATTAAATTTTCTTTTTTTCGAAAAAATTTTTCTCAATCAATTAGATTTACCATCGGAAAGATTATCAATGTATCGAAATATGTTTGCTATGGTTTCTAAATTTGTTAAGAACCTTTGATTTAGCTTTGCTAACAATTAAGTGATTAAATTGTGTAATTAACTGTAGTTTTGATTAATTTAATTTCGAGAAAATGTTCCATCGATTAGCCTTCACCTCTGGGTCAACTTTGGCTAAGATCGCAAAGTCTGGATCGAGTCATCAACAATTCACCTGCAATTCACGCCAATTACCAATCATACCTGTTGATCAATCTCACCTTGATTCAAGTTCTGATGTTTCACCTCAAGATTTTGCTCTGGTTTCAGGAATGCCCGAAGAACATACAACCACAAGAAGAGTTCGAGTGTTTAAAGAGGCAAAAAACGCGATGCAATCAGGAAACAAGAATACGAATACATGGAAATTAGGTTTGTTCAAAGATTATTTCAAATGATCTTGTTTACTCTCAGCTAATTATCTCATTCTGTCTCTAACTTAGACTTTGAAAACAGAGAAAGATGGGAAAATCCACTCATGGGATGGACATCAACAGGTGATCCAATTTCAAACTTATCTCTCAAGTTCAATTGCCTAGAAGAAGCTATTGCTTTTTGCGAGAAAAATGTTTGGTCATATTCCGTTGATGAACCACCGGAACCAAGGAAACCAAAGAAAAAATCATATGCCGATAATTTCTCATGGAACAAGCGAATCAGAGTCGGCAGGTGGTCTGGTTAATATTTAATATTATCGATAATTAGTTAAATTATTTTGATTTTGAATTTTGTTTCCTTTTCCGTTTCTTTTGATTCGGGATTTCGGTCTTGGGTCAACCATTCGTCATATCGTTAATCTTATAATCTTATATTCATCTTTTGTCCATCGATTTCGTTGGTTGTTCACTTGGATTTGTTTCCATTGATCTTCAGAAGGAAATCTGTTGATTGTTGATGTTGAATTGGTGGATGGTTATGATGAATTAAGATTAACAATATGATTAAGGAGAGAGAGAATATAAAATCAGATGAGAAGAGGAAAAGGAAAAGGAAGTTGAACAATTTGTTTGTTGTTTCGAAAAAGGTGGAAGAAGAAGAGAGAAAATAATAAGTAAAAAATTGTGAATTTCGGGCGCTAATGGGTTGACGGGCCAGTGGTCACCCCGTCCAGGAGAATAGGGATAAGTTGGACAAAAAAGAGAAGAGGAAAATATGGTTGGCTGAGGAATCGCTGTAACGGAGGAGACTGAATATTCTGTTCCTGTGAGAGATAAAATTGACGAACACGCAGCGGCCGCGGCAGCAGCTGAGGTGAGAGAAGAAGATGCCGATGAGGAGGTAGATGAAATGGAAGAAGAGGCTGAAGATGATGATAAAGAGGAAGTATTGTTCGCTCCCTTGGTGCTTTTCGATAGCAAAGGAGTCGGGGTGAAGGTTAAAACGGTTCCTGTTCCTCCTCCGGGAATTCCTGTTGGTGGAGAGGTTAAAGTTCCAGGTCCAGTTAAAGGTGAACAAGAGGATATCAAGGGAGGCGGTAAATTGGTTACGGTTATTTCGCTCCCTTGGTGGTTTTCGATAGCAAAGCTGAACAAGAGGATAACATGAGAGAAGGAAACTTTCTTCTCCCATGTTCAAACAATTCAACGATTATTAACCAATTGTTCATGGAAAAGTCGAACCACCGGAAAAGGAAATCAATCTAAATGAATTGTTAATATTCTCGAGAGTCGTTAATTGCTTCCTGTTTTCTTGAAATAACCGAAACACGAGAAAAGAGAAAATATTTTCTCTATCTTCTAATCATCGCAATTAAGATGATGATTACCTAAATTGCGATACAATTAAATTCACATTAACATCTTATCATGAAAGATTTAATTGTAATTCATTCCCTAAAGTTATTTGAATAAACAAATGAAAATAATTGAATACTAAACAATTAAATTTATCGAATTTCTAATTTTTCTTCTAAATCACAAGTGTTACAATCAAATGGACGATAATTAAATTGAAAACAATCAATTAAATTCAATTTTCTCCGATGTAATTACAGCAAAGATAATTTATCGATCGCTTGAGGAAAAAGCAAAGTATCAACTAAATCAATCATATTTTATTCATTAAATTTAATTAATTGTTTATCGATTGAGAGAAATTAATTTAATCTTGATTGGAAAAGTAATTGGAATTAAATTAACTTTTTTTCGAGAAAATTTTCTCAATCGATTAAATTTACTATCGAAAAGATTTTCGATATATCGAAATTCGGTTGCTCTTGGTTACGTTTTGTCCTTCGCCAGTTTTTTTTGTTTATTTTTCTCAACTGAATCAACTTAATTGTTATTAATTGAAATTTCCTTATGTGAATTATTGTTTCAACTATTAAAACGTTTTACTTGTGAGCTTCATGTAAGTGAAAATTGTCTTATTAAAGATGTGAAGGTTAAGAAATACAAAGAGCTTGTAGATGTGATAGTTTTATTTTTCTGTTTTAATTTTCCTTTCAGATTGTCATTGTTGTTGATTGTTTTGTTTAATTGTCTACGATTACTTTTTCTGTTGATAATCTGGTTTAGTTTCTACAGGCCTTGGTAGTGTTTTAGCTTTGATTATCGTTATACTTTCATTCGAGAAATAGAGTAAATTTGAGACTGAATTATCTCTGGGCCTTTCATCATGTACAATGTTATTATTCATCATCACTATTACCTTGATTTCTAATGTTCAAATTTATTTAATTCTGTTTCATTTTCTTTACAGTTTCTCTACTTTGGTTGACCCTGATTCACAACATGGCTGCCACTTTATTCAGAGCATCATCTCTTCCAACTCTTAGGTTTTTATTCAAATGATTTTCAGCTCTAATTGGATTGGCCTTTTACTTAATTGACTTGATGTTTCTCTTTATTTCTATAGACGATTTTTGACAACTAAAAAGCAAGTGATTTCTGTCGCTGGGAAGGAATTTAAAGCCGTTAACGACGTTTTTCCCATTGATAACGATTTCATATTACACAAAGAAAGTCTTGAAAAACAAGTCGCTCGTGATTCAATCATAAATTCCGATGTTTCACCTCAGGATATTGCTCTGGTTTCAGGAATGCCCGAAGAACATACAACCACAAGAAGAGTTCGAGTGTTTAAAGAGGCAAAAAACGCGATGCAATCAGGAAATAAGAACACTTATACATGGAAATTAGGTTTGTTCAAAGATTATTTCAATTGATCTTGTTTACTCTCAGCTAATTATCTCTATTCTGTCTCTAATTTAGACTTTGAAAATAGAGAAAGATGGGAAAATCCACTCATGGGATGGACATCAACAGGTGATCCAATTTCAAACTTATCTCTCAAGTTCAATTCGCTAGAAGAAGCTATTGCTTTTTGCGAGAAAAACACTTGGTTTTATACTGTTGATGAACCACCGGAACCAAGGAAACCAAAGAAAAAATCATATGCCGATAATTTCTCATGGAACAAGCGAACCAGAGTCGGCAGTAAATGAATAATATATTTCTACCTGTAGATAAGAAGCCGTTCCATTCATCGTAGATACAAATTTACATTTAAAAGGAAAAAGTTATTATGATTGTAAATCAATTCGATGAGTAAAGGAAAGGAAAAGAATATTGGAAAAGTGAATTTAAACGAATCAAGTCAACTACTATTAACTAATTGGTATAACATTAATTTGTCGAGAAATTATCTTCATGTTGATTGTTGAAGTGAATTTGAAATTAAATTTCTCAACAAACAAAGAAAACGGAAAATAATCAAGTCAATTTCTAATCTCATGGTGTTCATTACAATTGGAATCATGGAAAAGTCGAATCACTGGAAAAGGAAAAGAAAATTGGAAATTGTTGATTAGTATTCTGAAAAGCAAGTTAATTACTTCGCGTTTTATTTAATCACCAAATAGCGAGAGGAAAATTAAGTGAAACAAATGAATACAAACACCTTTTGGATCGTTTCTTGTAACATCAATTAATTTTATTTTTTTTTCTTTTTCATTTATTGCAGTTTATTTGTCGGATTGTTGTTGGTTTTTGATCAAAGAGAATTAATATTAAATTGGTAATTAAAGATTTTGTGCATCAATTTGAGAGAGAAAAAAAGGAGACAGACAGAAGGAGAGTAAAAGGGATAACTCCCTTTAAAGGAAACAAGAGAAAACAATCATAATCAAGAAGAAGAAGATAATCCAATTGATGATTAAGATTTCGCAGAGAATTAACCAGAACTGAATGAGAACAGACAAGAAGAAGAGTTTGGAAAATATTGATAGCCAAATTACAATGGAAAAGAACAGGAAAGACAGATGAAGAATTAATTGACAGGTATAATTAATTTGATAAGAAATGGCAATTAGATTTAGAGGGAATATGTATCGTTCTCAAGATTAATAGAAAAAAAGAGGTTTTGGTTTAGAACCGTTAAGATTAAAGAGAAGACCATATTCCACGGAGAGAGAGAGAGAGAGAAAAAGAGAGAGAAAAAGTTCACGAGAATGATGTTCGATATTCATCAAAGTACAAGAGCGATTAGAGAGAAAAAGGTGAAGGCGAAAAAAACATAGAACTTTGTACAATTGAGAGCCTTTGGCTCTTTCATCCGAAATTAGAATACGAATTAAGAATCATAATTAGAATTAGAATATTTTGATTTTTTTGTTGTTTCATTTTCTTTGCTTTTGTTGTTTCTCTTCTTGTATGTTAAGGGATTTGATGAGTTTTTGTGTTTTCACGCTGAAAATTGTGTTGATTTGAAAAGAAGATGATGATTATGATGCATTTTAATGCTAACAATTTGTTGAATGTTTTTTTTGTTCTTTTCCTTTGTGTTGATTGTGTTGACAAAATGAATATGATTAAATAACATGTTGATTGTTAACGATGAACTAACAAAGATCAATTCAAATTTTTAGATTTGATGACGATGAAGATGATGAAAAAAAAGGTTTCGAAACGTTTGAGCTTCGTGTTAAAGGTGTAAGGTCGTTGATTGCTTTTCTTTGTTTATAGTCAGTGACTTGGTCTGGTTAATATTTAATATTATCGATAATTAGTTAAATTATTTTGATTTTGAATTTTGTTTCCTTTTCCGTTTCTTTTGATTCGGGATTTCGGTCTTGGGTCAACCATTCGTCATATCGTTAATCTTATAATCTTATATTCATCTTTTGTCCATCGATTTCGTTGGTTGTTCACTTGGATTTGTTTCCATTGATCTTCAGAAGGAAATCTGTTGATTGTTGATGTTGAATTGGTGGATAGTGATGATGGATTAAGATTAACAATATGATTAAGGAAAGAGAGAGAATATAAAATCAAGATGAGAAGAGGAAAAGGAAGTTGAACAATTTGTTTGTTGTTTCGAAAAGGTGGAAGAAGAAGAGAGAAAAGAATAAGCAAAAAATTCTGAATTTTAAGCGGTAATTTGATTTTCTTTTTGTGTTTAATCCTAACGAATTTTGGATCACTAGTCTTTGATTTTGTTTGATTTGTTGATTTCTCTTTTGAAGAGATTACCACAGATCAATTTAATCTTTTACTGAGATTAATTGCACCCGAATTAGATCCTAAGAAGGAGTATAAAGATGTCGCGTGCTGGTGATTGTGATGATTAGTTGATTTGTGAAGAGTGTCGGCTAAATGAATGCTGACATTGTGATTTGTCCTATTGAAGTTAGCACAAGAATTGGGACTATTTCGGGCGCTAACGGGTTGATGGTGAGGTGAAAATGAGCTTTTGCCAGGAGAGACAGAGGAAGATGGGGATCGGATGATTCCAGTTGGACAGTTGATCGTTTGATATGGTGATTGGAGTGGACCACCAGTGGTCACCAAAGGAGAATAGGGATACGTTGGACAAAAAAGAGAAGAGGAAAATATGGTTGGCTGAGGAATCGCTGTAACGGAGGAGACTGAATATTCTGTTCCTGTGAGAGATAAAATTGACGAACACGCAGCGGCCGCGGCAGCAGCTGAGGTGAGAGAAGAAGATGCCGATGAGGAGGTAGATGAAATGGAAGAAGAGGCTGAAGATGATGATAAAGAGGAAGTATTGTTCGCTCCCTTGGTGCTTTTCGATAGCAAAGGAGTCGGGGTGAAGGTTAAAACGGTTCCTGTTCCTCCTCCGGGAATTCCTGTTGGTGGAGAGGTTAAAGTTCCAGGTCCAGTTAAAGGTGAACAAGAGGATATCAAGGGAGGCGGTAAATTGGTTGGTATTATAATAGTATTTGGACTTGTGGATAAACAAGTTAAACTCTGTGGAGAGAAATTCGTTGCCGAAGAAGATGATAAATGTCGAGGTCGATCAAGATTCAAACGTTCCGTAAATGATGGTGGACTTGACGGTCCAACGACTTCACTTGATTCTCCATGTAAACTATTGATTCCCCCAAGAATATTACAATTACGTCCTCGTTTCTTTTCCTCAATGAATCTGGCAACTAATTAGTGAACAAGATAGATTACAGAGAGAGAGAGAGAAGATAAAAAAAACAGAGACAATTAATCAACATGGAAAGAGATTGGATAAGATTACATGAGATTGGATCGAAAAGAGTTGAAACATTGTCATTGGAATCGAACACTTTTCAAGTCCAATTAACACATTGGAATTATTTCTTAAACCGATATTTGTATCTAATCTAAATTTTCTCTAATTGTTCACAAACACACGCAGAATTAACCTTCGTATTAAAAGTTAATTGTTCCAAGAAAAGGATTAACTAACCAACGAAACTTTAAAAGGTAAGATGATGATCTTTTCTTAATGTTGTCATTGTATTTCTTTCTCTCTCTCTCTCTCTCAATTTTCTCAATCTAATGAGTTAATCAACTTTTCTCCATCAATCTCATATATCTCTGTTCGCATTTATTACACAGAGACAATAATGGTTATGGAATTGTAATTATAATCGCAATCATTTCGTTTCATATTTCTCTCTGGTTCTTTTTCATTAACTACTCTCTCTCTCTCATTTACACATTAAGTGTCTTCTGTTTGTAGCTACTTGTGTTTATGTTTCTCCATTGGATTGAACACTCTAAATCTCCCAAGGTTATTTGTGAATTCTTGTTGCTGTGGCTGATATTTGAGAGATTTTGGTTTGATTCATTCTCGTCAATCAATCTATCCCTTTCTGTACTTATCATTCTGAACGGTTCATGACCTGTTAGTCTGGATATGATTATGATAAAGATGAAGATGATGAAGATGATGATGGTGAGGATGATACATTGATTCAAGGATATTCAAGAATTGGCAACATGAACAAGCAACTTAAACACATCGGATGAAACAAAAACCCAAATCATTTACAAGGTTAATCAGACTCAAGAATTTGGATTTGATTTTTTAAAAAAAGCAAAAAGGTTACCATTTAAATGAAACATTCGTTATCCCAATCAACTAATTTATACTTTTTCTTGTTTCTTTGTCTCTTTAGAGTCTCTTTTCTTGCTATTTCTGTTGATATTTACATTTGTCATTCCATTTTAATCAAGAGTCGATTTTCCTGAAACATTCATTCAATAAGTTCAATCTCAAGTTTTCTCTCTCCTTTTTATCTCTCATTTGGAACATTTGAGAGATTAAAGGAAGAAAAAGAGGAAAAAGAATCAGCAATCCACCAAAAGGAATGGAAATATGATCATTTTGGAGATAAAATTTTCAAATCTACATGAAGATAAACCAGAAAATTCAAGGAATTCTGATGATCCGTTTTTTTCTTCTTCTTCGTATCCAAACAACAGCAGAATTGCAAAGAATCATCAGCGAATTGTAAATTAATTTTACAGTTAATCAATCAACTTGTATCACGATAATTCAATCTAAATTCTGTTTCATCTTCTTCATCTCCTTTCAAATTGTGTATCATTGCATCGCCATTTTATTCTAACAATTTTTCTTATTTGTTTTTCATTTCATCCTCTTCTCTTCAATCGTGATTTATTTAACTAATCTGACGTTGGGTAACCAAAGAGTTTATCTCATCGTTATAATCTTCATATTATTCGGTATAATTTCAATGGAAACAGTGAGTTGGTGGTGATTCTATGGTTCTCAAATATATATCACTGGAGATCTTGAATTAACTTGAGAGAGAGAGAGAGAGAGAACGAGTGAGCAACTATTACACTTCTCTGACAAGAAAAAGAATCATCATTCATTAAATTATGCATTCATCTAAATGAGAGCCTCCAAGAAGATGGCGAAATGAAGAGCAAAGAAATATATATAAATATATAAGAAGAAAACGAGTTATAATCAGATAATTATCGCTGTTAAACAGATAAATCTACAAGTGGAACGTGAATGTTAATTAAGACAAACTGAAGAGGAAATTGAAATGAAATTAAATGATAAACGGTAAGATAACAAAGAAAAGGTAATGGATAAACATCAACATCTTCTCTTGGGCCATTAATCAAGTTACATTTGTCCAAATCAATATCGATTCTTTAATTTTCTTCTATATAATTAACTGATTGTCTTGTATTCTTGAAAAGTAGATGATAATGGAAACAAGGAGACAGAGAAAGGAAACAATTTAAAGTTTCAAAAATAAGACCACAAGTTAATGGAGAGACGAAGGAAACATTCAGGTAACCATCACCTTGTTGGTAAATTATGAGAAAATTACGATTGTTAAGGCTTTTCCTTCAACACAATTAACTAAATTTCTCTAAATAATAATGATAACATCATTAACCCTCTCTCTCTCTCCTTAGTTATCATGGGTTTCAAGTTAATCATCATCAACAGTCACAACATCATCATAATCATCTCCATAATTATTGCGATGATAATCACTGGCGAAAATACTTAGAGGAGAGAAAAACAATTTTCTCTCAATGAAAATTATTCTAATATCTTTATTAGTAGTTGTATTCACACTTATTGTATAGATACTGGAGTTTGTTTATGGATTGGAGGTTTAATTGTTGGGGTTAATTGTTAAGTGTTGCAACTTACCTGCTCGAAATTTTTTCTTCAATGAATCTGCATCGAAACCGTTTTTCTTTAGTAAAAAATTTAGAATTGAACTCAACAGTCTCTCCATTCGGCTTCCTTCAGGTCCTGGTTCTTTGGAGATTAAACATTTAAGATCACTTTTGTATTGACCGGCCAAAGCCATCACATCTCGGGGAGATGCCCGTCGATTAGAGCGATTTGATCGGCAATCTAAAGATGTATCTGATTGATTGTGAAAGAGAAAACAAGAAAACAAAATCAACAATCAATTAACGAAAAAACTTCAACAACTATATTGCAATATCCCGACTGTTCACCCCACCCCGATCTCGTTGCGTTAATCAATCACTTAATCAAGGTAAATTCATCATGGAAAATCAACAAGTCGAATAGTGGAAAAGTTAATTGTGAACATTGAGTTGATTGTTCAACAAGTTCCATCAGTCTCTCTCTCTCTCTTTCTTTGATATTTTGTATTCTAATTTACATACATGGCGTTGATTGTTAACAATTTAATAATTGTTCTTGTCCTTTCCCTGCCTCCCTCTCCCTCTCTCTCTCACTATTTCAACATGAAATTATTTAAATTAACACAGAAATAATTGGTTAATCAATCTTCTGTCATCTTGATTATCCACCTCAAGACAAAAATGAATTTTCATTAACCTTTGAAAATTGTGATTATTTCAACATGGTTTGCATGCTGAGAGTTAATTACAATTTCATGAGATGTCACTTAATTGGTTAATTGTTGGAAAACAATATCGATCTGAGAAAAAAAGTAAAAAAAAAATTGACAAAACAATTCAAATCTATTGATCAACAATCAAAATTGATGATACGATTAATTTAAAGTGTTGAATAAAAAAGACGAGAAAATTTTTCAATTATATTAACATAAATTGTCCTCAAGTTAATTTAAATTAATTCAGTTAATTTAAACAATAAAAATCATCTTGGATAATTAATTGTTATTATTTACATGAAAAATCAATTTAAATTGTGCAAGAAAAAAGTTGACACCCATTAATTAACTAACAGTAACTAAGACACTTGGCAAACAATTTATATATTCAAAGGCAATTAACAACTAAATCAATTGGCAATCTAATCAATGAGTAACAATTAATAAATATAACTAAAAAATGAACAATAAATTAAAACTTTAAATGGTTAATTAATTCAACAATAGTAACACAACAATTAAAGGGATAGGAAAACATTTTTCATGGTTGACAAACAATTAATCAATTGAGACACACAATGGAAAGCAATTAACATTTGAATCAAGATGATTAAGACATTTACTAACATTATTATGGTAACAAAATTAATTTTAATTGTGCAAAGAAAATCAAATAACAACAATCAAGTTAATTAACAACAAAGTGACAAAAACAAACAGACAAACTCAATTGTAGTAATGATTAAGATGAGAAAGAAAAAGGAAATTAAGAATTAAAATGAATAAGTTGACTTAATATACACACGAAACCAATTAAATTGTTAACAATTAAGGTAATAAGAGTAAGAAAATTAAGAAGATAATCAGTTAAATTATAATCGTTGAGAAGCTTTAATTGTGCAATTTAATTTCCAATAATTTTTCCTCTTGATTCCATTCCAATGAGATGATGATTTAGATCCAATTGGGAACCTGTTTATCAACTTACAGGTTTTAATCAGCAAATAATCAGCAATTAACTTATTGATTGGCACTCACATAGGTGAAGGTGAAAAGTTAAAATTAATGATATCTAACGATCACAATTAAATTAAATCAGAAAAAAAAACTGCGGACAATTTAACTTTAATAATAAGTTTGCGATGAAATTAGTTGGGAAACAAACTTTTGGAGAAAAGTTAATTGTCAACTAATTTGATTGATCGTAATGATTTAATCACAATCTCATCATCATACTCATCTTCCATCATAATCAATGTAATAAATTATGACAATTAACAATGAATAATTAAACAGGTAAAAGATAAATTAGAAGAAGGAGAAAAACAAAATCTAAATTAACTTAAAATAATTAAGGCAACAAATTAACTATCAAGTTAATGAAATCAACTGGAAGCAAAAATAATGATAAAACAAAGGAAACATGATTAAGTTAATTGTAAATTCATAAGGTTGACAAATGCAATTACTAATCAAATTGTTAACATTTTAATTGAGTCAATTTTTAAATACAAACAATTTAACATCTAAATACAAGGTAACCTCAAGATGACAAGGTTAACTTTTTAAATTGATTATAATTTATTGGTCATAATTAAAATCATAATCATAGTGACAATTTAATCATTATAATTGTCATATAGTAAAAAAAAAACTCCAAAAATATGATTAAGTCAATAACCTTTTAATTGTGAATGATTTAAACAACAACATGGACTAGAACTGACCAGATAAAAGACAAGGTTAATCACTGATTTAGTTAAATTGTTAACTCTGTTTATTACCGTGTAACCATATTGCTGACAAAAAACAACAACAACAATTAACTTTATTTAAAATTGAGATTAAATTGTTAATCATATTGAAATGAAATAGTGAAAATCTTACTCACTAATTAGTCTCGTTAATGTCATAATTAAAATTGATAAAAAAAAACATAAAGACTTATAATTTAATCCTGTTGATAATAGTAAGAGGAGAGTGAGAGAGAATGAGAAAATGTATTATTACAATAAAGACACGATAAAGATGCTAATGATGATAAATTTGAAGATGATGATGTAGTTGATGAAGATGATAAAGGTGATGAGGATGCTGAGTTGATTCTGAATATATAGATCTCATTTCAACGAATTTGTAAACCTCAAAGACTCTATATTATTAACTTTTATTTTTCATCATTTAGGCTGATTGTTTATCATCCTCATCCTCATCATCTTCATCTTTATCCTCATCATCTTCATCTTTATCCTCATCATCTTCACCTTAATAACAATAAGATGAGGATGAGGATGAGGATGAGGATGAGATTCATTGATATAAATAATCAACAGAATAAGAAATAACTCCCTGATCTGTTACTGGGAATGAATTCCGATTCTTAATCATAATTAATATCATTTCAATTTATCTTTTATACCAAATGATAAATATAAAAGATTAATTTAACTTGTTCATTTTTGTTATAACAATTAAGTTAATCAGTTGATTAACAACAAGGCAACAAAATCAATCTCAATAATCAAATTAAATGAGTATTCAATTCATTTGTCTGGTTTCAATAAACTTTCAAACTAACCAATAGTTGATTAATTCAAGGACATCATGTACTTAATTGTTGATTCTTAAATATATTAACCACATCATCATTCATATTATAAGTTACAATTAGTTAATCAAAGATAATCAAAGGTTCAACTATTCAATTTGATTGCAGACAGACAAGGAAGTGTCAATGAAAAGATATTGATTTTTTTTAACTAATTACAAGATAAGTTGAGGTTAATTAAGTTACTTAAATTCAGACAACAAAGTTAGATATTAGTTAAATTGAATCAATCAACAGTTTCAATTAGGATTTTTACAATTTACTAATAAAACTGATTATTGATTAGATGTTAAACTGATTGTTCAATATTGATTAGCTGATAATCAGTAAAAAAAGTTGAGAGTCTCTCCCATTGAAGTGAAAAAAAAAAATCAAATCAATGTTGATTGTTACTCTTAACAATCAATGTTAACAAACAATTTGTATTAATGATAATTTAACTTCCCGTCAACATTGAAAATGATTAAATGATTTAAATTATTGATTATCAGTACAAAGGTAAAGCAAAAAAAACAAAATTTTTACAATAATAACAATTAAAGTGAATGGATCATTTAAATTGATTAGTAAATAAATAATTAATTAATGGTGAAAATAGAGAGTGAATGAAAAAAAAGGAGTTACCGTTATTATGATAATCAATTTAATTTGATATTGTCAACGGTTAATTGATTAAATTATTATTAACTTAATACCTAAATTGTGTTAAAGTTAAACTTGATTTAGTGAGTTAATTTTGTAAATTAAAAGGACTCACAATTTAAAGTGTCTTTCCAACAATCAACCAATAACAATAATAATACTTAAAACTCATTTTATCATTTTATGTATTAATTGTTTCCCAGTGAATAACAAAAAGGGAGAAAAGGGTTAAATTACACAAGAAAAGTGAGCGAGTGAGAGAGAGAGAGAGAGAGAGAGAGAGAGAGAGAGAGATGTGGAATTGATGAGGATGGAGAAAAAGGATAACTAGTAAAAGAAAAATGAGTTCAAGTAGAGAAGATGAAGATAAAAAAGAGAAGAGGTCATTAGGATAAATTGCGAGTAAGTGCAACAATCTACTTGAATAAAGTGATTAAAATAATTTAAATTGTGAGAGAGAACGAGAGAGCTGAATAGTAAATTAATGGGCTTACGAGTCTATTGGTGGACATTATACAATTTAAATATTGATTTTGTTAAATTGTCTCCCAACAGAGAGACACAATTCACATTAATCTCATACGAAACTTTTCCCAAAGAGTTTTGATTGAATGAGTGAGTAAAAAAGAGAGAGAGAGAAAGAGAGAAATTAACATTATCATTGAATCAGTGGAAGAGAAAACAAAATATAAAACAAATAGAATTTATATCTTGTACTTTTCGTTAAAATGTAAGTAATTAGTTAATTTAGTCAAGAGAGAGAGAGAAAAGAAGTTCAATTGAAATTCTGCAATTCAACAGGTTGATCATGAGAAAATGTTCATCATCATCATCATGTTCATGTACCACACCCTTTTCTATCAATTGATCAACAATTTGTTATCAGAATGCAAATAAAAAGCGCAAGAAAAACTATCATCAGCTGAGATGAATGTTGTAAATGGTGACAATTAAACCAATTAACTTTACTACGACAACTACTATGTTACTTAGAGATAAATTGTCAGTTTGATTAAAAGCCATTGAACATCAACCAACACACAAGTGATGATGATGATGATGATGATGATAGTAGAAAACTTGATTACACATTAAAAGAGTGAAGGAGGTGGATGAGTGATTTTCCATCACACCACAGATCATCTCAATCCAAGCCAATAAACGATAGCAACGAATAGTGAATGAGACTGATAAGCGATAATAATAATATACCCTGAGGGTTTACGCCCAAATATTCAAAATTGTCTCTTATATAACTTGTTGATTAAATTGTGGTTTAATTGTCAC